AAAAATTTAAAAAAGACCTATTGATATTGGATGCAATAAATATAGGTCAGCTTTTAGAAATCAATTTTGAATATGTTAGTTTTACTTATGGTATTTTATTGTCCATAAAGAAACCGAAATTAAATTTATAGCTCATTTCCTAAAATCCCAATTCATAGAATAAGGGTGTAACCAAAATAGTTTTTCATTCACCAAAATCGGTGAGGTACCTGCATAGTTTTTTCATTCACCAAAATCGGTGCGGTACTAGCATCCCGAATATAGTAGGGTCCTCTACCCTACGGCCGGAATACTAATCCTCTACCCTACGGCCGGAATACGAATGTCTATCTATTTATGGGATGTTAAGACAGGAAAATTAAAAGCCATTCAAGATAGTCATTCAGATATGGTTTATTCAATTTGTTACTGTCCTGATGGAAATACATTAGCATCTGGTAGTTATGATAAGTCTATCTGTTTATGGAATCTTAAAACAGGAAAATTAAAAGCCAATAAAGATGGTCATTCAAGTGCAGTTTTTTCAATTTGTGACTCTCCTAATGGAAATACAATAGCATGTGGCAGTTATGATAAGGTCTATTAGTTTATGGAAACTTAAAACAGGAAAATGAAAAGCACAAATTAGATGGTCATTCAAGTTCAGTTTTTTCAATTTGTTACTCTCCTGATGGAAATACATTAGTATCTGGTAGTAAAGATAAGTCTATTAGTTTTATGGGATGTTAAGACAGGAAAATTAAAAGCCAATGAAGATGGTCATTCAAGTGAAGTTAACTCAATTTGTTACTCTCCTAATGCAAATACATTAGCATCTTGTAATCATGATAAGTCTATCTATTTATGGGATGTTAAGACAGGAAAATTAAAAGCCATTCAAGATAGTCATTCAGATATGGTTTATTCAATTTGTTACTCTCCTGATGGAAATACATTAGTATCTGGTAGTAAAGATAAGTCTATTAGTTTTATGGGATGTTAAGACAGGAAAATTAAAAGCCAATGAAGATGGTCATTTAAGTGAAGTTTTTTCAATTTGTTACTCTCCTAATGGAAATACATTAGCATCTTGTAATCATGATAAGTCTATCTGTTTATGGGATGTTAAGACAAGAAAATTAAAAGCCAAATTAGATGGTCATTCAAGTGCAGGTTTTTCAATTTGTTACTCTCCTAATGGAAATACATTAGCATCTTGTAATCATGATAACTCTATCTGTTTATGGAATCTTAAAACATGAAAATTAAAAGCCAAATTAGATGGTCATTCAAGTGCAGTTTTTTAAATTTGTTACTCTCCTAATGGAAATACATTAGCATCTGGTAGTCATTATGGGTCTGTCTGTTTTATGGAATCTTAAAACAGGAAAAAAATTAGATACTCATTCAGATATGGTTTATTCAATTTGTTACTGTCCTGATGGAAATACATTAGCATCTGTTATTTTTGATGAATCTCCATCACTTTATCAGCATCTTAAGAACACGTAAATAAAAATCCTCAAATTTTACATTCTTGTTTTTGATTATCTATCATTATCCCAAACCCAAACCCAAACCCAAACCTTCGCGTAGGTCTTCCGGAATTCACAGCCGGGGATTTTTTGCCTTCGCGTAGCTCCCAGAGTGACTTGGCCACCACACTTCAAGGTAGTTAATACCCAGAGTGACTTGGCCACCACACTTCAAGGTAGTTAATACCCAGAGTGACTTGGCCACCACACTTCAAGGTAGTTAATATTAGCAACAGGCAGAACGAGTCAAGCAAAACAGTCGGGCTTCCACGAAGGTCTTCCGGAATTCACCGCCGGGGATTTTTAGCCTTCTCGTAATGTTAATTATTCGCTATTATTTAGGCCAAACCCAAACCCTGTTTACCTAGATTCTAATATCTTCCTTTCAATTAGTTTTTGTTTTCAAAATCAATTTAAAAAAAGATTTTTATTCATTCTAACCTAATGAATTAATCTTTACTATAGTTGGATATAACTAATGATAATGTAGAGTATTATAATTTCTTTTTTTTCTTTAATATAAAATGTGTTGTATTTATTTAGTTCAACATGCTTTATAGATGAAATTATCTTTGATTCTATCTGAGTTCACTCTTTGAACTCTGGAAATTCATCGATTCTGTATCAGTCCTAATCAAAATCACATTATAATAATATAGAAGTTAGAATTATTTAATTTGGTCAATACTGAATTCATCTATCTCATTAATAATATAATATAAACTTCATCCTCATACTTCGAGGGCTTAATTGATTGTAAAATTAAAGAGAAAGGAATAAATCTCAAAACTATTTTTTCATACGAACAAGAAGTATTTTTTCCTATTTATTTGTACTTAAATTTATCCGTTTTTTAACATCACAATTATATATTACTTAGGAATTCTCTTAAATATACTAATAGTAATGTTTAGAACCAACATTTAAGACTTATCATATCTCCTCAAGGAAAAAGAAACTAGATACACCTTCCGTAAACTTGAGAAAAAGGACGTCTATAACACACAAAGGCTTATGATCAATGCGTTTCTTTCTCACAATCCAGTTATTTAATTACTATAGGCTAAGGAACAAGACATTAAAGTATTATAATCAATAGAAATTTTGTAAGTTTCTTTAGTCTTATTTGTTTTAGTGATCGAATTATACAAGAAAATCTTTCATTTGGGGCATTTGAAGAAGGCAAATTAGTTTCTGCTTGTTTAACTTGTGATTTAAAAACAGACATGTAAGATGAAGGTGTGTAGCCAACTTTAGTGGCTTCAGAAATTATTGGAATTATTGATATATTATTAGGTAAGTATGTAGCATCAAAAGAGAGAGACTATAAAGAAGTAGCTTATTTAAACCACTTGGGAACTCATACAGATTATTTAAGGTAATCTTTAGCTGTTGTTTGTGCCTATTTGTCAATTGAAGAATGTAGAAGACAAGGGTTTAAATAACTACTAACAGAATCTTGGCATCAAGGAACTTATAGCACCTTTAGTAAGATATTTACTAATTTTGATGTAATCAAAGAAATTCATGAAATTAGAGAATAATAAGTGGAACTCATCTCTTTAGTTGGATAATTGAATTGATTTATATATATTAAGGAAACATTTAATAAATATTTATATTTTTGTCAGTTACCCTCTTAATTTTGAAATCAATCTATTCATACTTGGCGTAATAAAATTAAATTGCATCGAATGGTAATTTTAATTCGAACTAAATAATTTAAAAAATTGTTTTTTTGTGTTGGTTTCTAGATGGTTCGCTCCTAAAATGTTTCTATATTTTTATAACTTAAAAATGCATGCTATTTGATTTCAATTTGATTATCAGATATCCATTCTTATTTTGATTATAGCAAGCGACTCGATAGAGTAATAATTCTAAATATTTGCTGTATAAACATCTTAAAAATGACTATAAATTTACATTATTTAAGGATTCTTAGCAACTTTATAAGTTCTAAACTTATTAATCCTGTTTATTTATTTCTTTTTGATTTTATTAAATTATTATATGATGCTTTAATTCTAGATTCAAAAAATTTAATATATAAATAAATTATACAATTTTTATATTAAAATTTATAAATATTTTCGTTTTTATTCAAATTAATATGTAATGGTGTATTTATGGCTAAAGCAATTTATTCATCAATTTTCGATTTTTATGAAAAGATAATGATAATAAATACGATAAATTACAATCTAAATATAAATTATTAAATGTGGAATTTATACAGTAGCAGTTAATAAAATAGAAGTAAATTATTTAAGTTCTTAGAATAATTGTGTCTTGTGGAATATATTATATATTGTTTGATTTTAATATTAAAATGAAAAAAATAAACAGGACTAATTTAGTTTAAATTATGAGTAATTATTAAAAATCAAACGAATAAAACTTATTAGTTTATGGAACAGAAAGAGAACCATTTGAATTCTCAAATTACGAATAATAACCATAAAATTTGAACTAAAAGGGTAATATTTCTTGTAATCGAGTAGAAAAAGTATCAAACGTATAATAAGGAATAGCAATATCAAATAACAACGATTATACTAAAATGCAAGCATAAGAATTTTCATAAGATAAATTGATACACCAATAATGCTTTAGTATCCAAAAATAATTCATCATCAAAATTCTCATAATCTTTTTCTTTTGGTCTCTTATTGAATTTTTCTTAATATATGCTCTACTCTATGGAATGAGAGAATTTATCGATCTAATAGCTCCTTATTTATTTCCAATCTCTTTTATGTTAATGTATGGACTAGCTAAAATTGGAACTCTCTGGCAATTCAGACAAGTACATATTTTAAGATTATTCCTAAGTTCCCGCAAAATCTAATCATCATAATAGTCCAAGTCTATCTATCAACTTAAACTTATTTGACATTTTGCAGATTATTTAATAATAATTCAATAAATGATGATGATGGGGTGTCATTTAGTGGTAATTAAGAATATGAATTTTAGCTGCTGACTTGGTATTTGTACTGGCAGAATATTAATTTATCTTCAATTGTGCAATTAACCTAATCTTAATTGTATATTTTGCATTTGAAAAAGAAGCCTTAAGAATGTTTGGTATACACAATTTAATGATTTAGTTCCTATTGCTGTTTGCTGTATATTTGGATTAATTCCTGTAATATTCAACATTTGGTTTTTAATAAATTCCATCTTCTCTGTCCTTTATGGGTCTGTAATCATGATGGTTATTGGATAGATTTTTAAAGGAAAAGTATTAAAATCAATTATTTTAGTTTCTGATTTAAGTGGATAACATAATTGCTGCCACGAATATCCTCTTTTTTGGTGTCATCCTGCCTGTTGAAATGTTTTGATTTTTGTAATTTTATTTGAACACAATTAGTTAATACTAACATTTTATACTTCAAAGTTTAATCAATATTGATTAATTTTAATATGATTAAAATATATTTTTTTGGCTCATTTAATAATACAAAAGTAATGATATTTTATAAACAATATCCATTTTTGTTGCAATAATAAAGAAATTATTTCAATTTTTAGTTTCATCCTTCTTAAAGCAAGAAGTATATGATCGAATATTATAATAATAAACAAAATTATTAAAGAAATAAATTTAATTCATAAATAGCGCATAAAAAATATAAAAAAAAACTAATAAGCATATTATTTATTTTCTAATCCAAATTCTATCCTTATCTAATATAAATTCTAATAGATTACCCTCTAGCATTAATTGCACAAATAAATACTCTAAAAAAATTATTAATGATTTTTATGTTGCTTAATTTCCAACTTGTTAATAGTATGATTATAAATGAAGCAACCATTTGTTCCCTCGACCTCTATCTACCACTAAGTGCTTTTTAAACAAAATCATTTTTCAAACATGCGAAACTGCCTTTATAGAAAGTATATAAAGGAATAATAAAATGCTTATTTTTAATGACTGATTCTAAAATAATTATAATTAGAGGTTTATGATACAATACTCTTTTGTGATTAAGCAAGCCCTGTATGTTTCTTCCTCTCGTTAAATAATTGTGAAGATTCTAAACTTTCAAACAATTTGTATTAATAATAGATGTTGATTCTTGCCAATTGTAAGAGAACAATTTAAAAACCAAAATTACAGAGTTAATTAGATGGTGGAAGATAAAACTTATATGCAAATTATGTCATAATCACTTTTGAGGGATACTACTTTGATAATGTAGAAGGACGAAGAAATCCATCTGTACTTTGAATTTATGAAAGATATCGTATTTTATAAGTTTGGTATCTTAAGTTCATCTTAAAAGAAGAATATTATGGATTTGATTTTAATAATTAATAATTCATATTATGTTTTAAGATTATAATCTAGAAGTGCAAGATACATGGAATATTGAGTAGAACCTTAAGGAAAAATGGTTGCCTCTCTATTAAAAGGATACTCAACTAGCTATGAAGATATTAATTGCTCTTAAAAGTGATATTCAAAAATAGATGACTTCTTTTATTGATTCATCAATAGATTATATGAAAAGTTTGGATGATTAAGTCTAATAATTGGAACTTAAATCAAATTAAATTGCATCTTTCCTTTACTAACTACCTTCCAATGTTTATAGTAACCCTAATAAATTAAATTTATTAATATCTGAATAATTAGAGGATGGAGAAAGGATCAAAGAAGTTTTGAAGAATAAATTAAGGAATTTTGTAAATTCGGAAGCTTTAAATAACTTATTTTAGAAAATTTCACAAATAAAGTTCGACGATTCAATCAGAAATTTTAATAGAATATTTTTACCTCAGTAAAAGTAAAAAGATGGGACTTGGACTTGCGAACAACACAAAGAAAGTATAAGATATGTTTAATTAAATGGAGAAATATCTAATAAGCTAGCTTGTGAATACTGTAGATAATTAAATAAAAATGGATAATACATTACCATTTAAAGTTTGAAAAATAGATGGAATGAATATATACTAGAAACTGCAAGGTCTTTTAATTTGGCCTAGAACAAATTGGCATAAAAATCACACATCATTTTCTAAACAATTAACTCATTACAATTACATTTTCAAAAGTTAATTGATTAAATCAATTAATAATTGAATAATTAAACTAATTTCGAAAATGATTAATTTCACCAACAGTTTTACTTGATGCAGTAAGAATGGACTGAATTATCCACAAGTTAATTAGTGGATGTAGCTTACATCTGCAGTTAGAGAAATTAGAATGAATAAATTGAATAGGAGTTTAAATATAAAGACATCCAAATCTCGAATATATTGAATTAATCAAAATGTTTTTCTAATATGCTGATTGCTCAGTTTGAATCATTTCTCAAGTATTGGAATAAGCCATCAGTCAATGATTTTCAAAATAGTGAGTTTGTTGAACCTACAAATTAAGCTATTCCTTTGAATTATTAGTTACTGGAGTAATATAATGTTAAAGAAGATAAATGCTTATCATTTGCTTTCAATAGTGATTCCAGCATTTTGGTGGTTGGATGCAATTGTATTATTAAGGTATTTGAATTTAAACAAGGCCAATTAACTTTAAGATAAATCTTAAACGACCACAAAGATTATGTGAGATGTTTATACTTTATGAATAGGACTAATTAATTCATTTCGGGTTGCAATGACTGTAAAATCATGATATGGTCTTGTGATAGTAACAACCTTTGGTATTGCTAATAGGTTTTGGAAGGACATACTGATTATGTAAGGGCTGGAGTAATCATGAATAATAGAGAAGACCTGATTATCTCTGGTTGTGATGATCGTTCCATAAGATTCTGGTCTAAGAAAGATAGTCAATGGTATTGCAAATAAATACTAAATGGTCATTCTGCCGAAGTACGTAGCTTAAGTCTCAACCCTTCTTCAACTTAACTTATTTCTTGTTCAACTGGAACTGAGATCTTTTTGACTTAATATTCTTAAAATAGGAAACTATGGTATATAAATTTGATTATACCTACAAATAAGTGCGGATATAGTTTAAGATTTATTAAGGATGATTTATTCACTTTCTAACCTTATGATTAAGCAGTTCTTTAGATATATAAGAGAGATTAAGAAACGCTAAATTTCTCGATCATCTAAGAGCTTAAAGTATACTCAAAAGATAATAGATTGGATTTTTTTTCTTAATAAATGATTGAAGAAAAATCTATTCTATTACACAAAACTGGGAACACCATTAATATTATTTAAATCAATCAGAAAAATAATGAATTTTCTGTTGTGCAATCAATTTAAAGTTCAGATGTTTATCTATATGGTGCTATGACTAGAGATGGTAAATATCTAGTTACATGGGACAATGAAAGTAGATGCATCAGAATAAGAAAATATCAATAATGAATAATATCAATATTTTCTTATTCAGAATATTTAAATTAATATAAATAATTCACTGCATATATATAATAATCATTTTTCAAATAATATTATTGCTTTAATTTTAAATAAGATGTGAAATTCTTGTTCAATTGTGCTCATTTTCATAAATTTGATTATTTTCTTTACAAGTATAGGCTAATAATCAGTAAATATAGAAAGATAGGTCCTTAAAAGATTTATCAAAATCATATACTTTATGATTATGCGATTATAATTTTATAAAGAGACAATTAGTTTTTTAAATAATAATACTATGACATTCATTATAATGAATTCAAAATATCAACTTGTAGTTAATTGTATCATTGCAATATTGTGCAATTATATTATGAGTAAATTTAATGTTATTTTATTCGAGCGAAATCTTATCCATCAACTTTTTATATTTTAGATTTCCTCTTAAAATATCAAATATCATTCCTTACGACTAAAGTACCCCCTAACTATCTTCTTGTTAAATGCCTGAAGAAATAAGATTAATAAATACTGGATAGGAAACAAGATCCTTTATATGAATATAGATGACTATTAGCCCCTCCTTTAGGTGCCTTTCGAATTAATCTTCCCCTCTTATAATCGATTAAGATTGGTGAAATATCCTCCAATTAATTGCTAATTACAGCCATACTATTATTAAAAGGTAATTTAGTCACTTCAGATTTTACTGATTTCCAATAATAATATTTAACTACTTATATTTCGTTACTTATTTTTATTAAGAACAATTAATTGATTCTATTGCTGATTAAAGCTAAGGAATCATTAAGAATATCAAAACTTTGTAATGGATAACTTTCCAGCATATTTTATGGCCATCCTTTTTTAAAATTCAACACAATTTATACCTCCTAATTCAGGTTTATTAAATTCAATTATTATTTTATAATTTTGTTATTTTTCGTCAATAAAAATACGCAATTTAATTAACGATCATAATTCAATTAAATCAATGGATAATTATAGGTTATAATAAATTTCTATCCCCAATGATTTAATAAATCCATAAAAATAAAATACACCTTTCCTCCATATTTTGCATCAACACTTATTAAATAATCAGATAAAAAACATGTAGGAGGTGCTCCAATATGATCAGTTTTAAACGAAAATGAAAAAAACATTTAATTTTTAAGGTCTAAAATGATTATTTTATCTGAAACTTACCAATAATTAACTTGTTTTGTATTCACTATCAAATACTATTCAGTTGGGCTTATTAGATATGATACCATAAAGCAATATTGGATAGGTTCTAAGTTTGAATCAATAGAGGATGAGTCTAAAAAATCATCCTAAATTTTTTCTTCAGCTTTTTCTAAACTCTCATCAATTTTTTATTGACTTTCATTTTTTATTGATTCTTAACTTTCTATATTCTTTTATTTCAATTAATTCTGGTCTTTATCTACAAAATAATTTAAATAAAATGTTCCTTAAAGATAATTCAAATTTTGTTCTTTATCAATTTTGTTCTTCCAAAAATTTTGTTCCCCTTTCAATTTTTATTACATTTGAAGGTTTTATCAACAACTTAAATTATTTTTTTCTTTAAATCATCATAGTGTCTTTAATTAAAATAATTGCAATTTGATTGGATAAGTTCAAAAATTTATGATATTCCTCAACAAGTCATTTGTTTACGATTGCCCAGTCTTGATGTTGATTATATTTGAATAGACTATTTAAATCCATTGAAAATTAACTAACTTTAGAGAAAAAGAGAATATCTTTTTTCTGATTATTTCATTTTTATTCTAAAAAGGTGTAAAATATAACATTAATAAGTTGTAAAACTGAATTCTGTGTTATCAGTCATAACATTTTCACAGAAAATTTTCTATATGTATTAAAATACTTAATTGTGATGCTACAGTGTAATTTAAATATTTGATCATTAAGGATAATGATAGATAATTTTCTTTAAGCATTTTACTTCTTAGAGTAATTCTTAATATTGAGCAGTTAAATATTACAATAATCTTGATGTAAATTTTTTTAATAAATAAATATTGCTATTCTAAATGTATATATATTTATTCATAGCTATGTGCCAAAAGCATAGTAAATCAGAGGTTTACTTCAATAAGAAAATTTGGACAAAACTTAATCCTAATAAAACAACACATTTCTAACTGAAAATCAAAACAAAAAAATTAATAAATAGTAGGAAATATAATTGAAATAGTTAAACTTAATAATAGTTCAGAAATTTAAGTATATAGAAGTTAAACTATTTATCAGTTTTGGTCATCTTTTAATCTTGAATAACTAGAAATTGAAAAGTTTAATGTTGTTTATCTTCAAGTTATTATTGAATCTATCTAAAATGAAGGGGACTTTAGAAATATCGAAAGCTTTAGGGATAAAAAATTAAATGCAACAAATAAATTATTAATAAGAACTTGTTTTACATAAAGAGGAAATAGTGTAGAAAGAGATTTAAATAAATTGATCAATGATTCTATTATTTAAAAAGTAATGTGTTATACTTTTGAAGTAAAATTAGAATGTTGTGTGTAATTTAAAATTGAGTATATATAACTTTCCATATTTCTAGTTCATTCATCTCCTAGATGATATATATATTGATCATATCACCAAACTGAAAATAATTTCTCCAATATCTTGCAAACTCTATTGGTCAGTTCATTCAGAGATAGCAAAAATTTAACCTATTCTCAAAATTGTAATTTTAATTCTTTTTAGGAAATAGGAATAGAAATATAAAGGTGAATTTCATTAAGGTCTAATAGAAAATGGTTGAATCAAGGTAAAGCTAAATAAAATGATGAAAATTTTACTATAAATTAGAATATAATCAAAGTTAATCAACTTAAAGTGAATATCTATACAATAGGCTTAATAATCTCAGATATACAAAAATAGTATAAATTTAATTGATCCTAAGTTTTGATTTTTATAAAAATTCGTATTTCATTTGAGAAATATGAGTACGATTGGAAAGTTCTCTGAACAGTTATGAAATTTAGCTTTGCTGATATAATAAAAGTAAATTAAGAGTTAATATAAAGATAAAATATTTAAAGAATACTCATGATTTAACTTTATATGATCAAAAAATCTCAACCCACTGATAAAATAAGTAATTATTGAAATTGAGATCAACAAAATATAAATGAAGAAAATTATAGCCCAAAGTTCGTTTAACTCATTTTCTTGATAGAAATCTCAAACTAAACAAAAGGATTTATAATTTCAGACAGACGAAAATGTTAATATAGCATTTAATCAAATAGATTTTACGTAATGTTACTTTAGTGTGTTTTTCTTTAACTATGTAATTAATCAAAGAATAAAATTACAATGGACAAAATATTTTTTAATAATTGCATGTACTATAATAAAATTTATTTGGGTAATTCCATTTACTGAAATTCTTAAGCAATGTTTATATAATTATATCTGTTTAGCCAAATATCAATCGGCAATCAGAATTATAAATGTAAGAATTCAGATGTATAGCAAGTAATTTTAATTATATTATTTAAAACATTTTATAAAGATATCATATTAAATAACTTCTAATTATTATTTGGATAACTACAATTTTATTAATTATTTAATTTTATTTATGTTTAGATTAAACAAGTTAATTAAAAGCTTTGGTAGTATTTAAAACTTCACAAATTGGGAATAGGATGTTCTTAAAGCTAGCAAGCCAGTCATAGTTGACTTTTACGCAACGTAATTTTAATGTATAATAATTTAGATGGTGTGGACCATGCAAAAGATTGACTCCATTATTAGAGCAAAAAGTAAAAGATCATCCAAATGTTACCTTAATAAAAATTGACATTGATTAACATGAATAATTAGCAAATCTCAATAATATCGAAGTAGTACCAACTGTATTTTTATTCTAAAATGGAAAAAAAGTGAATAATTTTACAGGAATGTTGCCACCAGATCAATTAAATAAATTCTTTGATCAAATACCAAAATAATGAATATTATATATAGAATATTATTTGATCATATAATCCAACTTGACCATTCATCTCCATTTAGAGGAGCACAAAACCTACAATATAATTATTTATATAATTCTTAATTATCCTCTTTTATTTTATTATATTATTTTTTGCTTTCTCTCAACTTTAAATCTTCTGATAGTTTCTATCTTTCGATTTCTTCTCTTTTATTTTCAGTGTCCTCTAATAATCCAAATGCCACTTCTAATTATCCTCTATATTAATAATACATATCCCACCAAATATATTGATTTGGGGGATTGTACATGATATTTGAATGGATGTTTTTCCAAAAATAAGGAGAAGGACTCTTTAGGATTTCAATAATAACTTAACCTAATTCAACAAATTTATGATGAAAATAATTTGGATTCATAAATTTATAAGTTTGAATTCTTAAAACATATCGATTGAGTAATTCAAATGAGTATGCTTCTATGTATAAGGAGGGTTCAGTTATATTTATTAGAAATTTATTGACAGTTTATGCTCCAGGTACGTCAATTTTGGTAGTAAATTTGATTTTTAAAAAAACATGTGTCATATTTTAGGCCCACAAATATGACGGTTCTAATACATTTAAAAAAGGAGAATGTGGTGGTAAAAGCTTAGTCAATTATTCAAACAACGTTTAATTGAGTTTGCTATTGTGGTTTAGTTTAATATTTTAGAATGTTGGATATAGATCAAATTGTTTGTGATTATAATATTGAATAGCAATTTTGGCACATTTTATCCATTAGTTGAGGATAGCTTAAATTAATAATCTTGATAATTATTAGAATGGATATACTATGTATGGATATTTTGATGATTTGAATGTTGATATAAATGTGAGCATTGTTGTTATTAGGTGATAATTTGAAGGAGTTCTAGTGATTCAGTAGATTGAATTTAAGGGTAGGGATAAAGTAATTGCGCAGATAAAAATGGAAAGAATAAGAATATCATATTTAATAATAATTAAAATATATTAAGCATTAAGAAAGTTTTTATAGATAAAGATGAATGATGAGTTAGAAAAGACAGCAAACTTTTTCTTCCCTGTTGATAATTAAGGAATGAAACAGAAATTTGTTCATACAAGACGATTGTTGAAACATCCTGTTCAGAGAAATGTTTCAAATCCATCAACCCAGATGTATTAATGAATTAATCAAATTTAAGAACTACATCCAAGAGAAGTTCTGATAATTCTGGAGTTGAAGGGTAACATACTCCTCCATAAATATGTGGAATGAGAAAAAGATCAGAATTGCATACAAATTCAGAGGATAGAAAATCTAACAATAATCGAATATTTAGTTCTAATGTAAATCAACGCTCTAGTTACCCCTAACAATTTAGTTTTGGGGATTAATTTAAGTTCATGAATGAATTCTTATAGATGAATGATGAACACTAAAGTCCTCCCTTCAAATAAACAAAAAAGCTTCCTGATATCTTCTAATAAAGAAACTCTAGCCAAGGATTCAGATAAGTATTTAGAATACATAGTGGATAAAGTAAAAGAGAAACAATGAGCAACTTCATCCAAGATATCGAATGCCCAAAGTAGTAATGTATGTAGTAGTTGTAATTAAAACAAACAATTAATAAATAACAACTAAGAGGAACTTAAACAAAGTTACCAACTATTGGTTAACCTGTATCATTTTTATAAACTAAACAATAATTGAAGATGATAAATAGAATATTTTCAGGCAAACGGGATTAATGATTATAGTATATCTCATTCCATAGATGATTTTGGTATTTTAAATGAATTTGCTTTTTTTAATCCTCCCATTTTTGGAGTCTAAGAATTTAATTTTGATATAGCATCTTCTAAATGAGCAGCCTCATCATTCACACAGTCATCATCTTTACTTAATTGATTGATTTATTATTAAAATGAATTCTTAAGGGCTGTTTTACGTAGATCTGATTACAAATTCTTCCTCATTGCAGGTGAGTCTATATATATGATTTAATGTACTTGCATCTGATTAAGGTTGCTGCTTATTTGCATGTCCGAATTGACTAAATTTACTATGTTGTAATTGCGGCTTCTAATCTAATCTTGTAACTGATCCATTATTGGATACATTTGAAAATGAACCCATAGTGTCAATTCTACCATTCAAAGCAGGTTATCTTTATTATAATTGCATCGAACCAACTTAACTTGGTGGACTATCTGTTAATCAATCCATTACCCTTATTATTTGCCTAATAAATAAACAAAATCTTTATCATAATCCCTGAGACTTTCTTAAACATCTATTAGATCTTACTCCTTGAAGATTTCCTTAAAATAAGGATGTTTAAGGCATTCTTCTGAAGAGACTCTAATTTTTGGATCAGGGCACAACATTTTCTTCATTAAATCTACTAACTACATAGGTGCCTATATTAATTATCTTAATATAGTTTACAGCTAGAATCTATTTTAATTCGTAATTAATTTCGCAATTTTTATTTGCTCTAAGAATTCCTTTATAATCGGTTCCTTAAAATGGTTACCTCCCTGTTAATAAAACATAAAAGATAACACCAGCACTGAATACATCACATTTTTCATCGTAAAACGGATCTCCTTCTTTATATAATAATATTTCTGGAGCAACAAATCCTGGAGTTCCACATCTTTTAAATAAGATATCCTCACTTAAGAAACAAGCTAATCCAAAATCAGCAATAACAATGTCTGTATCATTATCTTTCTCTTTTAATAATAGATTTTCTGGTTTTAGGTCTCTATGCATGCACTTTTTGGAATGCAAATGACAAAGCGCTTTCATCAAATTGTACATTAACTTTTACAAACTTGGAGCACTCAATGGTTATTATTTGACTCTTGCTAATAATTCACCTCCTTTTAAAATATCCAATATAAAATAGATTGAGTTTTGGGTTTCATAGGTTTCATATAATCTCACTAGGTTTTCTTAATTTAATCTCCTCATAACTTTGATTTCATTTTCTAATGATTCTCTTCCCTTAAATTACTCCTGCATAAATTCTTTGTTAAATGCTTTAACTGCATAATTGACTCCTGTGGATTTCTTCGTTGCAAAATAAACTTTGGCAAAACTTCCTTTTCCTATCATCTTTGTTACTCCAAATTCATCATGAAAGGTCGTTTATAGGCATCTTGTTGCCATCATATTCTTAAATACAACATATTCATCAAATTATAAATCAACATATTTGCCATTTCGAGAAATTCTTATGATAATGCCAAATTCATCATGCCTATAAGTTGTCATTACAGCCACTGTTATATTAAGCTAAGATATGGTTTGGTCTTTAATATAATATATATGTTCATTTCCTAATTAGATTGTAATCAATTTTAGTTGTTTCTATTTTTTACTGATTTTGCGGCAGTCTTCTTAAAAAATGATGATGTCATTCTTAATAACATTTACTAAATTTATATTACATTATATATTTCTAAATCAACAGGTTACCATATTTTGGTGGATTTGCCTTAATTTTCTGGATAGTCAAAAAATGAATTCAATTCCAATATCATTTATGTTTATATAAATATTTAATATATTATTAATGGATCGAACATTCAAAATTTGGAAACCTGTAAAAATATTCACTATTAAAATCTTAATCATTTACATTTATTTATAGAATTTTAAGTTATTTAATTAATTCCTCTTTAGTATTTTCACTATAATAATAATGTATTTCAAAATCTCCATTCATACATGAGTAAGATAACTACTCATTATCTAGAATTAGAATTTTATAATTAATATTATTATTATATGCTAATATTTTTCATTACAACTATCTATTGTTAATCAATTCTTGACGGTCTTAAAATGGTCGAAAAAAGCCTAAAATATACTTATGATAAAAGCATTTTGTATAAAAATTGCAAATCCATCTTTGGTTTACCATGTAAAATCCAGCAGTAGTAGAATTCTTTATAAGAATTATAAATCAAGGAATACATTGATGAAGAAGTAAATATTGAATAATAGGAAGGCTACTTTATTCCTAAGTTTAATAGAATCAGATTCAGAATATCACCAATATTATCAAGGAGTCATAAATTAAATTACAAAAGAAATAGGACTCTATGATATTAATGAAGAATTTTTGTCTGTGTTGATGGATTTCGATTAATTAAAATTAGAAAATGAAAAAAAATTGATTGAACACAAATACTATGTAGAATTATAAGAGAGGGAGATTTATAGTATAAATAATGAAAACAATACATTGAAAGATTATAATGGATCTCTATTCATTTATTTCAAAGATCTTTATATTCCTAAATAATTAATTTAATAGGCAAAGACATCCTCTAAAAATGTACATATTGAAACAGCAGATAAGAACGGCACGATTTCATTTAGCAAAGGAGTTTTTTTGAGCTCATTTTATGTTAAGAGTTTAAAGGTGAGTTCAAAAATTACAATAGCGTTTTAGGGAGGATTAACAAACTCCATAGATATCAAAGTTGATGAAAATTGGGTTTTAATTAAGGGTCCAATAGATTACCAAGTAATAAATATAACAATAAGCAAATATACAGCAATTGATTCTATTTTAATCAAATTACAGAAATTTGCTTACACTTAAGAATAAATATCTACGTTGTTAGTTTAGAACTTATTGTTAAAGTAATAACTTTTGCATTAAGATAAAAAATTAAATAGGTAAATGATTGAGGAGAATTATGAGAAATAAAATAAGAAATAAAAAATGATAATTCTTTAAGATATGAATTACGATCAAATTGATGATTTTATAAGCTTCCTAGAATTATTAAATTTGGAATTTAAGAGGATTAAGGTAAATGATTAAAATAAGAAATTGAATTCAGATTAGATATTGGAAGTTATGGGTTAAATTGTTAATGTGTAAGAAAATAAGAAAAAATTTGAGAAATTTCAAAGCATTTTGGAAATATTCTTTTAGTCGGAGTTCAATGAAGAAGGAATTAAATCACTTTACTTTGATTTGGTTAAGGCAAAATCAGATCTCTAAGAGAATTGATTGGATTGTAGTTATCTTGTATATTATTTTTACATAATCATAAATATCAAACGATTAGTATTTTAAAAGAAAGTAAAAAGTTTAATATGGTGCTACAAATTTTATTTTAATTTAGTCACGAATTCATAGGTTTTAAGTTTGGTTATTTAGGATTATAATATTCGTCTAAATTTAGATGATTATAATCTCTCTTAGGATCATTAAACTAAAAACAATTATTATTGCAATTTAGTAGTGTTAAGTGAGAATTGTTTTATAAATAATGTTTTCTTTATTTTTTACTAAAATTTAAATTAATAATGTTTGGAAATGTGAATGGCGCAAATAATGCGCAAACATAATAATAAGGCAATCCAGCTGCTTCAATTTTTAACAATCCTGCACCTTCAAACAACTTATTTGGTCAGCCTCAAAATCCTTTAGGGTAATAACAACAATAAGGAATTCTGGGATAACCATAATAGTCGAGTATATTTGGTAATAGCACTTAGACCACTGCTACATTTGGATAGCCTTAATAATAATAACCTAATGTATTATTAGGACAGCAACAATAAACTCCTTTGGCAGGATAGCAACAGCCAACTTCATTATTAGGACAACCATAATAATAAGCAACATAATTAGGACAGACCTAGCAAACCAATATGTTTGGTTAACCTTAATCATAATAACCATTAGCCTAAGGACAATAGACAACAATAACATAACCTACTGCTTAGCAATAGCCGGCTTAGCCTAAAAACTATACATTAAATTAAATCAATCAACAAACTAAATTACACATAGAAAATTTGACCAAAGCAATAGCAAACAAAGAAAAGATTGATAAAAATTAAAAAAATTTACAGCTTATAGAAAAAAACTCATTAAAAAATATTTAACAATAATAACAACAATAACTCACTATTGGAGGCAATCCAAATCCATAATAACAAGCATAGAGAACTCTAGTGAAGGGAGATAGAAGAAATCACACTTAAAAAGTTGAAAACTATTATAATGAATGGAATAAAGTTTTTCTGAATATCAGCAAAAAGTAAGACGAAACACTTGCTTAGTTAGCTGCTCTAGTTGATCAACTCACTTAATAGGATACTTCTTTTGGTATTATTGCTATTAATATATTTATAGATATAGATGAAGAATCACTCATTGATTCCATTAAATAATTTGGCAAGGACTTGGATGTTTTGGAACGTAAAATCAATTACGTAGTTAAGATATAGGAAAAAATACTAGGACTTGAAAAAGAGGAATCTGAATGGGATTAAATTGTCAATAATTTAAGTGAATGTTTGTTATACTTGGATTAATAAACTGTATATATTTATCATAATTCTTAGAAAGATGTCGAGGACTTATTGTAACAAGCAGAAAAGCATCCCAAGGTGCAAAATAAATGAATTTAAAATAATTTTTATAGTATAAATATATGATCATTTTTGCGATTCATTTCTAATATTAAATTTTAATGAAATATTAAAATAATAAATAATAAAACTATTTATATGAAGGCTTAAGATAACTCTTTTAGATTGCCTGCATTAAAATTATAGCCAAGAGAATATAAATTTAATCTGAGCTAAGAATCCATTGAATAAAACTAAAGCAAAGAAACAATACAGTAGAATGTTTTTAATCACTATAATCCTTCACCAATTAGACATAGGAATAAAATTATGTCGGTGTCAGTCTATAATAGCTAAGAGAAAATTAAACCAAGTAATTAAACTAAACATTTCCAAAATAGCGAATTTATCACTTGTTAAAATACTAATAATAGCATATCAGTTGTCTAAACAGTTAGAAGATATAGGAGTAAGCTCAAAAAGCTCGTTTAACATAATTAAAATAGGAGTGAAATTAATTCTAGAGATCCGCGATATTTCTTTTTTAAAGAGCCCTCTGCTTCCATCAAACTAAATAATCTTCAAGATAATTCTAAGTAAGTCGATAAACTTTTGGAAGAAAGAATTAAGTAACTTATGACTAAAGTTTAAATGCTCATTTCTTCATAATCTTTTTATCAATAAAAAAAATATTAAGCTCACCTAAATGTGAACCTTGTCAAATTGTAGGATGAATACGATGTATTATTTTAAGATTTCAACGAATTTTATTTCTCATCAAAGAGAATAGATTGTATACATTTTATTCTAATCATTAGCATAAATCAAAAATTTATTGAATCACATGTAGATTATCAAAAAGTTATTAAGTCCGCTATAAAAGCCTTATGGAATATGTTAAAAATCAAGCTAATCTTTACATTAAAATATATTCGATTCGATCCAAGAAGAAACAAAAGAATCTGCTACATAAAGAATTGATAATTCTTAATTATAAGGTAGAGTAGATATCAATGATTTTGATGAATAAAGTGAAGATGACAATCTTGGTCAAGAGGATTCAAATTCTTTTAATGAAAACAATAACAACCAAGAGGGAAAACCAATTAAAAATGGCCGATAACCATCCAAAAAAAGAATGAACAATACTAAGTCAAGAAGTAAAATAAAATAATAAGGAACTATGGACTCAGATTAAACTAAGGAGAGTCAAGATCAGGAATCTATAAAATTTGATGATTAAGGTAATCAAATAATCTCACCTAATAAAAGAAGAAGAAAAGTATCTTAAATTTCTAACAATTTTAATAATAATGAAGATTAATTGGAGGATTTAGAAATTAAAGAAAATTAGGATGTCTAAGAAAATGGATCTAAATAAATAAATTAACATGGAAAGGTAGCTAGTAGAAGGAGAACTGTTCTAAAAGCAGATGGATCTAAATAATCTGATGATGATCCTCATTCAGAAGATGATAATGAGATGGTAATTCAAGAAGAGGAATTAAGCGAAAATGAATTAGAATCTGAAGTTAGAGATTTAAAAAAGAAAGAATAGATTTAATAATAATAATAAGTGCAATTTTAGCAATCTTTTAATAAAGAAATTCTTATATAGAATTAATAGGATGATTATTAGGAAAATGAAGGTCCTTAATCATTCCGTTAAGAAAGGTTCATGATTTAACATCCAAATCACGAAATTATTAGTGTTTCATTACTTGATAGATTTATACATTTAGATAATATCTATGATTATAAATTTTTATAAAGTTGGAATTATCATATAGCTAAAATTAGATAGGCTAAGTTTCTTGATGAATTTGATATTTGAGATTAGATTTTTATCTTATTTATTAATTTGCTCATATATAAATGTATATCATTATATCATAATACTTTTAGTTTTTTCTTTAGTTCATTTATCTGCTTTTAATAATCAACAGCTACTCTGGTCATGCTTGCTTATAATTATACTAATTATTCTTCTGCTACAGTTGCTTTGACAACTAATTCAGTTCTTTCCCTTTCCAATTGCTTAGTAAGTTATTCATAAAATTGGATTTTTTATTGAACGTTTTTACTTTATCCGGATTGAGGTCCAATCATCTCATATTCTTTAACAATCTTCAAAAGTCTTTCATTATCTTATTACAATTTATGAAGATCCCATTTATTGGAATCCTTCAATAATTATACTAGCCTCCTATTTTCTTCTTGTAAGTCATTTCTTTCTCTCCTGAGAGAAGAGTCATTGAGGTTATTGTTATCGGAGACTTAGCTTTATTTTAATAACTAGATTTCAGAGATGAGTCTTTTGGTAGCATTGTTTGGGTCTTCAATTTTCTTAGCCTCCTTCAAATTCATTAATTCTGCTTCTAAAATATGATTTTTGTTTCTGAGTCTTTGGATTTCTTGTTCTTGATCCTTTTATGCTTGAGTATGCTATGATATGTTAGAATATAAATACGAGTTCATTTTCATCAAGTATCATATATCCTTTATGTAAAATATCAGGTAAAGGCTAGCCAATTGGTGCCCAATCTTCAGCCAAATAGCGTATTTATCTAGAATAGCTTTTGATTGAACGCATTTCGATTTGTAGTTATTTATTCTTTTTACTCAGAATTTCAATAGATTATGAATATTCTCTTTCTTTGGCTGCATAGGTTTAGAATAATTCATCTCTCGGATCTAATTTATGAATTTAAATCAATTTATTTCTATAAATGGCTCTCATTTCGTCTAATTGTAATTACATTTTAACATTTTCTCCATTTAAATCATTTAATTATTTTTCTAGATCTTTGATTCTTTCATTGTCATCATTAACTTTTCTCTAAAGGGATTTAACTTTATGAGTAAGTTCCATTTTTTAGCTTTCCCATAGCATCCTTTCATTCTTAAAAGCATCATCATTATTGGGAGATTAAGTTACTTAAATTTAAGTAGATGATTTATCAAGTTCTAATCGCTTTTTATCCAGTTCTAATTTATCTTTGGCTCCTAACAACCCATACTTCATTAATTCAACCTTCAACCTTTCAATCTCAGCTTTCGCAAATTCAAGGGCTTCTCTTTTGTCTCTAAGATCATCAGTCATTGTTTTTAGCTTTTCTTACATCATTTTAGTTTGCTCATTTGTTTAACCGTCTGACTAATACAATTTAGATATTTCCTCTTAAAGAGCCTTATTCTCATTACCCAAATTAATAAGTTCAAGACTGTAATTCTCTTATTGTAACCTTATATTTTCCAATTCTTTCAGTTTATCCATGTAATTCTTTTTTAATGCCATAAATTCCATTTCAATTTCCCTCTTTTCATCTATAGTTTCTCTTAATCTATCTTGTAATTCTTGAATAACCTACTATGCCTTTTGTAATCTAACATCATCTGAGATATTGTCATCATTCAATTTTTTTGTATTATTTTCTGATTAAATCTAAATAATCAACTCTTGTAGTTTTGTGTTTTACAATTCCATATCCAATAAGGCCTTTGCAGATTCTATTTTATCTTCTTCAGCCTTGATCAATTCATCTTATAGCTCTACTTTTTATTTAACTAATTCTTAGAACCTTGCTCTTAAAGCTGATAATTTTGATTTCAAATCTGTAATTTCATCATCCATATCAGCGATCTATTTAGCATAATCATTGACTTTGCTTTTTAAATCAAGCAGTTCTTAAACTCCAACTGAATCTCCTGAGGCAACTGGAGTATCTTTTTTCTTTCCGACTTAATTACTAGAGGCAGCCTCTAATCTAAACTGTCTTAAAAGTGCTATGACTCTATGGTTATTTATAACAGGATAAGTCATTATTTTACGGGCTTATTTGAATACTTATAATGTTAAGGAGGACCCTTTTGGATCACCATGCTAACAACAAAATATTCCGATATTATATGAATTACTTCCATATATTTCTTTACCTAATTTAGTCACCGTAGATGTATCATACATTACATAATCTTCTTATCTATTGGCCAAATCTTTTATTAATTAAGAAAATGCAATGATTACTTTATTTAATGTTGATCCTTGTTTTACTCTTATAGTTTCTGCATCATCCACCAATATTTCACTACCTGGCAAATCAGCAAATGTTGCCTAACTTTTAAGCAACACCATTTCTTAAGTATCTTTATTTGAGAACCATTATTTAAGATCAATTATAAATAATGATGTAGCCTTTGCACTTACTTTACCAAATTCATTGCTAGTATTATCTCTACTTTTTAATCCTTTATATAAACGATCATTTAAATCTGTGTCTTTTGTAATTTCATGCCAAGATGCTCCTTAAACAACTGGGCCATCCCAAGGATGATCTTCAACAAACAACCTTTCTCCAAATTTTCTATCAGCACATAAGTCCATTATATTTTCATCTAAAATTTCCAAATATTACATTCTCACTTCATACTTATAATCAGCAATTATACTATCTTCTTTGTATGTTTACACTACCTTATCTTACAAATATGCAAATAAAGTACTCGCCCAAAGTGTAACTATACCTTTTTCTTTCTTATTTCCCTCTATTGTTTATGATTTACCTGCACCTGTAGAACCATATGCAAAAACACTCACATTGAAACCTTATATAAATTATTAAATCAAAGGAGCCACTCTTTCATTATATATTTATTCAAGGCCCACCTCCTACCCATAAGCTTCTGGAACTTCAAATTCTTCTAAAATTCTATTGTTTGGATCTGTTAATATAATATTTTGATTGTTAATTCTTAAATCTTCTCTCTAAAAATTGGTTGCTGGTTTAATTCTGACTATTGGCATCAATAACTCTCCTTTTACATCTTCAAACCACTTTCGACTTCTAACACTGGGAGTAGTTGTCATTTCTTAATTGTATATATTTATATTATTATATATTTAATCATCATGCAATAGCAATTCAAAAAATGAGTAAATGCAATTCTAATTGAGTTATATAATAAGATCATTTTATCAATCATTCTCTTACTAACCATAAATTTTGACCAATTTGCATAGTAAAAGGTAAGTTTTAAAATAACTCTTAAAGGTTTTAATGACTTATATTATAGGGAGTATTCAAATCAATGATTATCTATGTATTATTACGATATCAAAATTTTGTATTTTGATTTCATCATAATTTATTCTATTTCCTCTCATTAATTAATATAAGATGTCGATTTAGTAACCTTTTTTGGATTTTTACTTTTTAACTTTTTAATCTAGTTTTAAATAATAATTTTTTAGGAATAAATAGTAAATAGTAATCTGTAGTTTTATAATATAAATTATAAAATTGTTAATTAATAAGCTTCTTTGATAACTGTTCCTTCAATAAATGTTTCTTAGATTACTAATACTCATTTTTCCAGGTTCATTTATTAATATTTTAATTTGTTCCATTCTATTCTGAATCAGTTTCAAAGATTAGCAAATTGAAATTCCACTATCTTTTAAAAGTTATTATAAGTAATTTATAGTTATCAAGGGGCATATTTAGAGAAGATAACTTTTGATTATCAAATATGTTCCATGATTATAAATTAATATACAAATAAGTTAATTTAATTACTGATTATTATTTAATACGTATGATAAGTTTACCTTTTGATAAATGGAAACTCAGCTTTTATGAGTATGATTTTGAGATCTAATATGAAGAACACATTAACAAAATTAGATTAACTGGATTTAAGATATTGAACCTTTTGATGACTTTAGCTGCTCTTATTACACTTATCATTTTTGTAGTTCAGTAATAACCATCTGTTTTAATAATAATGATGGCTGCAGTAGTATTTTGCTGTTTTGGATTGTATTTATTAAGTCCAAAGTTGTAACCTCGTTTAAAATTTGTGTTTTCTTGTATGTATATTTGGAGTGTGTCAACAAATGTTATGATAGCGATGAGTGGAAATAATATGTAAAAAATATATTAATAATAAGTCCGAATTTCTTTTTTGGGTTTAATTCATCTGCACTTTTATTTGGAATTTTGTAGTTTAGCGATAATAAACTAAAAGTAATATACACAGTAGTGACCCCTTTAATTTTAATTTTTCTATTCTAAGTCTACACTGCAAATAACATATAATTCATTTTACATTCTGGTGCTTGCATATCATTTGTTAGTGTTTTAACATATATGTATGAATATACTTCAAGACTTGCATTTTCGCTTAATTTAATTGCCAATAAATAAAGGTAAACCTTATATATAAATTAGAGAAATAATTGATGAATTTGTAACTGATTCTATGTTTGCTGTAAGTTTGGATGACAGAACAAGATAATTTAATCTTGAATTCAAGAATAAAACTTTTGAAAGTCTCAAAAATATTAAAGATTCAGAATAAATTCGATAATTTTTAAGAACATCATATGTCATGAATAATATGAATGAGAGCCAAAAGTAAAATGAAAAAGCTCTATCGAAATTGTAAAAACTTGAAGAATATTTTTTCAAAAAAATAAGGACAACTGAAAGTTTTATGAATAATGAAAATCAAGACAATGAGATTGAGATTATTTAATAGGACAAGATTAATGAAAAACATAAATCGATGAAACTTATTGTCAAATTATTTAATTTCGGAAAACCAATTTTAATAGTTATTATCAAAACTGAACAAGTGCATAATTTAATAGAATCATATGAGAAGGATATTATTTAGTATCAATAAACAATTGTAAACTATTCATAAGAAATTCTTAATAGTTAAGCAAATATAAATTAAGAAATTAAAAAAATAAAATAACACTTCTCTAAAAATATTTAGGATCAAATGTTTCTGAAGCTTTAATGTCTAAATTTATCAATAATGAATTAGGTAAGGAACTATATAATATATTTTCAATAGGAGAAAATATAATAACTAACTTAGATTTAATATATTTCTAACTTAAACCTATATCTTGATACAATCTAATAATATCTGTCCACTATTGCAGAATATTATTCTGTTAAATTCATGTTGTAACATCAAATGGAAATTTAACTTTCTCTTAATATCAACATTAAATTTTTAACCTAAATTTCAATTAATTTATTTTAGTAAATTTTGATTCATTCAATAATGAATCAAGTAATTAGTTTAAATATAACTGAAGAATTATAAACATCAACAAAAAGGTATACATAATAAGTAGAAATAAAAAAGAAAGTTGAAGATTTTTAAACTCAATCAAAATAATTAATTGATCTAAAATTGATTTCGTTTACTTTCACATTCTATTCTCCTCATCACATTAATCTACAACACCTTTAATCGTTTTCTATGGAATAAAAAACTGATATCAATAATTTTAATCATATTCCAGAATATGTAACTTGCTATCTTTTAGACTAAATGGGGCCAAATAATTTTGTATAAATTACTCAAACAGAGCTTTTAGATACTGAAGGGAAAACATTTTATCAAAATAAATTGAAATTTCTAATCTATTCAGATTAATCTTAATTAGAACCTTCATTTTTAAAGCAAATTCTAGTTTAATCAAAAAAATTCTGAATTTATGATTGGATTTTAAATTTATCTTATATTTTAATAACAGACATCTTTTTACATAAAAACTATCTTTATAAAAATTATTTCTATGATATTATTTAGTAATTTTTAATTTTATTTAAATAGAAATTTTTATATTTCACTTTCTATGGACATGTCTGTTGGTTATTGTTATTTAAATTGAAAGAGGGTTGCAGATAATATCATAAATGAGTTCTATAAGCTTATAAATTTGAAATAAATTATATAAATAAATAATATCTGTTAGCCAACATCATGGAATAATACGACAAATACCAACTATATTTAAGATTAACTAACAAGAAAGAGCCTACCAAAAATAATGAGGCTCTGAATTCATCAACCAAAAAATAACATCCAACAATTTTAAGTGGAAAAAGAAATCCTAACAATGAGGCATATTAGAAACTGCATTAGAGTTCAGAAATCTTTAAAGAAAATACCACACCAATCAAGAATGACATTACAAAACCAAAAAATTATGCCACAGAGAGAAAATCACTTGAAGATAAAAATACAAAAAGAACTTTGATTCCAAGCTCAGATTAATTTTAATCTCCTGAAAGAAAATGTTCATCAAATATTAGATATAATCCCAATATAGAAAGTTCTTAAAAAGAATCTAAGAGAATTTTAAAGTAAGTTATATTCAGAATTATTAGAACATGTGAATAGAGACATCAAGACTTTTCTCATCGAATTAACCTACCTATTAGCGCAGTAATATTTATTTGGTTACTATTTTAGATGCAGATAAAAGATTATAAGGAAGATAATTATGGATTGGGTAAATAAAAATCACATGAATCAACTTAAAAGCTGAAAAGCTATCTTGACCTTTAAGGTCATCTTAATAATTGTAAAAATTGATAACCATATCCAGAATCATATTAGAGCCAAACTGACAGATTATTCAAGAGTCAGACAAAAATATAAAAAAATCTTTTATCATCATATTAAATTTGCAAAGCCCAATCAGAGATAAAGAATGGAAAGAAAAGATTTATTTAGAGTGCTATGCAATAGTAATTATCACCACCTGATAATCCAATACAACCAAAAAACATTCATAAAGTATTTGTCAAAAGCTCTTAAGAAATATGGGACAAATAAGTAATATAAACTTTTAATGATTAAGCAATCTTAATAAAAAGCAATAGTAAAAATGAATCATGCTAACCAATAAAAGAGCCAAATAGAATTAAGATGAGTTCATCTTTACAATATATATATCATTCTAAATTTTACTTATTTTAATTTATTATTATATAACCTATTTTCATCCAAGAAAGCCTAAGTTATACATAAATATCTGTTAATGAGAACTCAATCTTATTAAACTATTTAATTATTATTAAAATTATATAAATATCATTTTTAATTTGATGAAACCTCAAAAAAGCATTATAAAAGAATTGAAAACTTATGAACATAATCTATTTAAATCTAACAAAGAACATAAGAAAATTAACATAAATGACTTTCCTAATCTTTCTAGAAAACCTATCGAATGGATGGATTGTGATTAATTTATAAAACTCAGATAATTTAAATGTGACAAAAGATTGGCGATTAATTTATGCCAATAATACAAAATTCATAGATCAGATCAAAAATTTTTTGATACCATATAAAATGTGAATGTTGAAAATGAGGAGTACAAGAAAATTTAAAATGTTAAAACTTTTATGTTAATTATTAGTGCACATCATTTTTACTAAGGCAAATTCGATAAAACCAATAGAAAAAGTAAAAGCTCAGAATGGATTATTAAGAATCCTAATTTGATAGCAAAATGTCATCTATTTTAGATCATTCTTTTTCATAATTTTAGAGATCTTTAGATAAACACATAGAAATTAAAAATGATATTTAACATACCTTTAATTTAAAACAATTAACCAAAGAATAGTTGTTAAGGAAATTATAATCATTGTAATACTATTTAATTTGTTATTAGAAACAAAGGTTTGAAAGAAAATATATAGACAGAAAATATTCAATCAAATGAATCCTTTTAGAAAATCAGTTTGCCTACAACTTTTATATCTGTATGAAGTTGATATTTATTAGTAAGATACATCCAACACTAACAGATAAAAAATATTCTAAAGCATAGACTCCAACATCTCAATTATAAACTCAAAGAGATACAAAGTCTAATTTTACAAGGACTTTTGTAAAGTGGCAATTAAATTCAAAGAGCAACAGATCCCTTTAACAAATTAAGAAAATAAGGGATGATCAAGGTAAGTTTAAACCTTCGCTTTCAAAAGATTTACATAGTTTAAGAAATATTGGGACTTTGACTGATATAGTGTAAGTTTCAGTAAAACATAAGAGTAAAAGGCATAAGACTAACCATAGCATTATTAAACAGATAAGCAGTAATGGATGATACTTCTAATGATTAATTTCTTACTTAAAAATCATTTTTAAGGACAGTAATAAAAAAAATTAATTTAATTTATATCAAATGTGACATCTAAGAGAAAGAGTTTAATTTTTAGATAAAATAACGAGTTCATTAATATCAGAAGCAAAGATCTCTTCTCCAACAGTTAAGAAGGTTAATTGGCAAGTGATTGTAAAATTTGAAATTCTCATCATAACTTAATAATTAATTGCATAATAGTATTTTTACATAGATGACTAGTTTATCGTTCTAGTAAAATATAATTATTAACCTAAAATGTCTTTTATCATATGTATAACCAGATATTTGGAAAATCTTAAATTAGTCATTTGCAAGTTTTACTGCAAGAAAGGATGATTATTTGAAATAATACTGAAAATTAATCCTAGATTAATAGTAAATCCACTTGGTTCAAAAAAAATCCATACATCTAAATTAATTATTATGAAAGAATATTTTACTATAATTTCTATGATTATTGAATCATATTTACAAGCATAATTTTTACTATAATCTTAAGAAAACTGAATTACTTTTTTATAAGAAATAATATTATTAATATATCAACTTAAATCAAATCCTGAACCAGATTCTTTCAAAGATTTTAGTAATTTCTCTCTTACTATATCTTTAGAGGAGTATTCTGGCAAATCAATCCGATTAAAACTAACTATCATTAAAGTTTATACCATGCATGAGCCTTAATGAAATGTTCTTTATTGAAGTCTTTCGAAATAGAAAACTTCCTTGGACCATTTGGACCTCTTAAATTCTTAAATCCTCCGAATGGAACTAAAGGACTTCCTGTTGCAAACATTAAGAAGTCAGCCTTTTCAGAGTCGCTTAAGGTTGTCAAAACTTCCCAAAACCATAAAACTGTTTAATTATTTTTTTCGTAATTGATATATTCTGTATTTTCTTTTAAATCATCAACTAAAATTAGTAATAAAATACAATACCATCAACTGAAGGAACTCCTATTATTAGTTTTTAAAGATCTCTCCAATCCATATAAGAGAAATACTCTTTAGGCAAAATATCAAAAAACCCTTCTCTTAATGCTTATATCTAATTTTTAATCTCCTCTAACATAATTCTTTTGCTAATATATTCACAAATTAATCTTTTGTGTTTTACTGATACATTTGTAGTTTATTTTTCAAAGACATCTTACAATTTAATATGTTTTAAAACTTCATCATTCAGCTATTTTTTTTTATTCTTCCTGATAAGTCTTTTCCTCTCCCTATTTTCCATGTCTTCTGCTGTTATATCTTCAGGAAGCTTCTTAATTTGTATTTCTTCTTCTTTTTCATTTTGTTTCTGTTCAGCTTGAATTATTGGAGCCTTCAGTTCAGATCCTAATAAATATTCTTGCATTTATCTTATTTACTAATCAATTTGTTATTGAGATTCTTACTATACTTCAATGATTTGTGAAAGTGATATCGTTTATTCTTACTGTTATTAGAGATATAATAATAATTATTATTATTCAAATTATTCTAAATTTATTTCCAATTATGATTCATTTTCTTGAATGGCTTCATTTTTTTATTATGTATGGTGTCTTATCATTTTTATGAAGTTTTTTGCTTTTTTTATCAAATGTTAATCTAATATATGCGATTTTTCTTATTATTATTCTGATTATTCCTCCTATAATTCTTCAACTATTTATTAATATTTTTGATATTATTACTCAGATTATTCTTTTATTTACTGTTATTTTTCTTACTCTTATTAATCTTCTTACTATTCTTTTTATTCCTATTATTATTATTATTGCTAGTCCTGTTGCTATGATTTGGGTTAATGTTGTTCCTAACTTTATTCGACTTCTTATTTAGTATTTAACTCTTACTATTATTCAGTTTATTATTCTTATTTTAATTCAACAGGGTTCTTTTCTATATAATCTTGAAGAAGGTCAGCAAAAATATACTTTTTATTTTAATCTATCAGATTTGCATATTCTTCGGGTATCCAAAATTCAAACAAGTCTTTATATTGAACTTAAGTTTCATCATTTAAAAATTTAATAAAGGTATCATAATAACCTTCATTATAATGTTCAAGATCATCAATGCTAGGTTTTTTTTAAAGTATTTGCTTGAAAATTGGAGAGATAAAATACACTGGCAAAAGTAGTCCATCATAAATACTTTTGCCAATTATTTTACCTAATAGTTTATAATGATTCAAATCTTCTTAAGCTTTTTTATTTGGATTAATTTTGTAGAATCTTTTTGTTGTTAATTCAAATTTATCTGTTTATAAGATATCTTTAACAAGGTTAGTCATCCATTCCTTTCTAATACCTCCCTCATCTTAACCTCTTTCCCCTTAATATCTAATTTTTATATCACATTTTCTAAACTTATTCTTATCGATGTTAATAACTTTTTCCAAAGATTATTATAGTCTTGTTTCTCTAACTACATTAATCTCAATAGTATCATTTTATCTGCCTCTTGATCGTGCATTAGGTTTTTCACCTATTTTTAGAGCTTCTAAATCCAATTCAAATAAATGCTTTTTATTTTCAAAGGATATTATTTGACTCATTTTAAAGAAAACAAAAGCTAAAGGATCTGTGTCTTTAAATGACTTAATTAAATTTGGATTTTAATTCTATTTGTGATCAATAGTAACTTAATGAAGCCTTTATGATATTAAATGATTAATGAGTCTTTTCCCATTTATACAAAGATAAGTGAACAGCTCATCTATTTTCATTTACATTTCATTTTCGTTTCTTACTGCTGAAAATGATCGTTTTAAATGAATATTCTATGTTTACAATAAACCAAATGATAATGAATTAGTGGCTGATCCACTTGTATTACGCTCAAAAAAGTTAGGATCTGCAGCACCTTATACATGGGAATCCGAATGATTTGTATCTTCATGTACATTTTAGTAAAGTCTCAAGAAACATTCCAATAATGGGTATAATTTTTTCTATAATAACTCTAGTGATCTATGACCTTTACAATTGAAAATTAATAATAATGTTTCCACAACATTAAGCCACAAATGGTGAGTTTATCTTGTTTATAGCACATTTATAAATTATTTTCGAATATCTTTTTTCGTCAAAGCATCAATTTCTTGTGCATCATCTAAATGCTTTCCTTATTAATGCAATTTAAATTTCTTTTTATCTAATTGAATTTATTATCTAGTTTATGTTGAGCTTGGCTTGGTTGTGGGTTATTTTTATTAATCTGAAGCACTCACATTAAAATTCAAAAACCCTGTAATTGCAATAAAACATCTTTGAATTACACTAGGATCAGGTGTTTTCTAGTTAAGCTCTTTGATGATTTCATTTTCTTATTCTGACAATTATTATTATCTTTCAGGATCATGCTCTGGCACCTTTTCTCGTTAACTAGTGATTTCTCTAAGTTATTTTCTTTTTCTATCCAATTCATAATTGAATATCTTTGATTATTGGATTATATATTTAGTTAATTCATTAATAGCATGTTCGATTTTTAAACGATCATTTGCATATCCATTAAGTAAATTAATGATTTCTATAGAATTGCAATCTCGAAGAAGAGGGTTATTAAGAATTCTGCACAATGCTGTTATAATATCTATTTCAACATGGGATATTTTGGCACTTAGTTTTCTCTCTCTTTATTGTATCTTAGAATCTGATTCATTTTATTCTTCTGAGACAAATTGGTTTTAATCATATATTTTTGATTCTGGGTTGTTTGACTATTATTGATTCTAATCTTATTACTAGACTTATTATTATTATTTCTATAGTAAAATATTATTGTAAAACTGCTTAAGATGTTATTATTAAGTCTATTAAAGGTCTTATTAATCATCATTTGCTTTAAGGTACCTATCATAGAACTATCTAAGTTGCTAAAATTATGCTTAAGATGTTGGCAACTTTCTAATATTTTACAAATTGTTTTAAAATTATTATTATTATTACAATTATTATTATTATTGTTATAGGTGTTATTACTAAAGTATTGATATAGATGAAATTGGAGGCGGAGCGTAGCTGGGAAAAGTTTGAGGTAGAACATTTAAAGATTATGGTAACACTGGTATTTTAAATTAGAAAGTACTTTATAGATTTTGATTTTGTTCCTATTATTGTTATTGTTATTATTATTATTATTATTGTTGTTATTGTTATTATTGTTATTGTTATTGTTATTGCTAATCTTATTGTTATTGTTATTGCTAATCTTATTGTTATTATTGTTATTGTTATTCTTATTGCTAATCTTATTGTTATTCTTATTGCTAATGTTATTCTTATTCTTATTACAATTATTATTGCTATTGTTATTGCTAATGTTATTCTTATTACAATTATTATTGCTATTGTTATTGCTAATGTTATTCTTATTACAATTATTATTGCTATTGTTATTACTATTATTATTGCTATTGTTATTACTATTATTATTGCTATTGTTATTACTATTATTATTGTTATTGTAATTCCTATTGTTATTATTATTGCTATTGTAACAATATTTCATTTTATCTTAAAGAAAAAGGCTGCCTAGTGTAATAAGATTATGGTTCCCATTGCTCTTATTGATTTTCTGAATATCTTTCTGCAAAAGTCTTAAAAATCAATTCCTATAAATGTATATCTTCTTCATGTTTGTTGAGCTAAGTAACAAGGTCAAACAATTTATTATTAGATTCTTCATGGCTATTTGTAAAGATTGTAGCTTATCTTCTCTATATTTTTTATAAATAATCATCATCACTTTTTTTATTCTTATCTTTCGATTCCTCATTTGCAATTATCAATGAGCCTTTGATAATTTAAATCAGGTAAGATAAATGCATTCCAGTTTAGTTAGCTAGTAATGGAGTCAGGAGAATATCTAATATATTATATTAATCATACTTTTTTCTAATGGTATATAGGATTCTGGATTATGAAATATTTTCATGAAAGAGATGTTTTTCTCGCAATACCGATTAATCTAATTAATTAAAAAGACAAGAGGATTTTCTGGATCCTCATCTTAAGGTTATTCCTCAAAGTTTTCTTCCTCTTCAATTACAAATTGTTCCTTAATTTCTTAGACTTTAGCTAGATTTGCCTTTTCTCTTTTATTTAAAATTGGGCTCACCTATAACTACTCAGATAACAAATCTCTAAGATTAGTTGATGGAATTTTCTAACTCACAAGGTATAAGATTTTTAAAGTTAAATCTAAGTTATTTTTTTGTTCTTAGTATAAGAGTAACAATTAAATCAATAATTTGAAACCAAGGCGAGAACATTTACTCACCTATCTAAATAAATTAAATGGAAATTATGGAAAATTATTTTCATCTAATAAGAGATTTATGAACATTTCAAGAACCATATTATCATAGATTAATAATTGTTATGCATCAGGCTATATGAATGATCTTTTTGGAATTTACAAGATTACTGGTTGAATTATTAGGTGTTCTTCTGGATGCAATAAACTTTACAACTTTGCTCTAAGTAAATTTTAATCCTGCAAATCATTTGGCATCCCATTCAAAACTACTCTGCTTTATAGAACGTTGCAGGTTATTTAACATAAAATCCTATGTTATTATTGCTAAGACTCATTGACATTGATTGATAATGAATTAGCTTAATAATCTTGTTATAACTAATTTGGAGGTTAACCGAATTTTGAATAGAAACAAGAAGAACTAGGCTAAACTTAGAGGTTATTTAGAGTTCCATTCAAATAATATGATAAATATGATTGCATGTAATCGTTCTATTTATTTCGATAGTAATTTGATGATAATAATAGTCTATTTATTTAATGAATGAATTCAACAGTAATTTTAAGTTAATTTTCATATGATTTTGAAATTAAAGATTTTTTATTTTCAAAGTATTCATTTGAACTGTAATATAATCCTACAATAGAGGTTATCCACTATTTATAATCATTGGAATAATATTAAATGTTCTACCTAGTAATTGATAATGTAGGTAAGTTGAAACAAATGGACTGTGGATCAACTTTGCAAAATATGATATTGAGATCTTTCTATGGGAATATATTTTATTAGTTTTCTCGTACCATCCTATCTTCATCTCTGTTCAAGCTGTATTTTGACATGAAGTCATTATTGTCATAAAAATAGTAATCAGAACCCCAAGTATTAATATTTGTATAATTTACTTTGTATTTTATTTGACTGTTATCTACTTAAAGAATATCTTGATCCGAATCAGAATCACTCACATCCTCTTCTTATTGCTTTTAATTATTCTGCCTTTAATTATTGTAATTTTTTCTTGATTGATAAAGTGGCCAAATTAATTCTTATTAGTGTTCATCCTTTAAGGTCTATTGAACTTATTAGTGAGAAATAAAATGTTAAGCTGATCCTGCTACACTTTTGAAACCTGGGTACAGAGAATAACAAATCAATTGATTTCTTAGACATTGCAAATAGTGATATTTAAAAGGATCATCAGTAATACTTTGTTGTAGTCTGAATACTTCTCCATACTTTCCAGATTTAATGTGATCATAATATATTTAAGATTGCAAAAAAGGTTCAATAATTTTGGCTATCGTTTATTGATATGTCTTCACAAATTGCTTGTTGTCACAATTTTTTATTTTATTCAATGTGTCAATCAATTAAGGAATTAAATTCATTTATGATCTTTAGTCTGTTAAGATCATGCTACAATTTTGCATAGTTAAGGTTTAAGTAAACAGTATCAATATTTACATGATATGATAATATTTCTATAGTATCTAATCCTGATCAACGTCAATTTATAATTCATTCAATAATAATTGCAAACCTTCTTAGGCAATAGTGACTCCATATCCAATAGACAACAAATTTATATCACTTAAGTAATTGTGCATAAAGTTAGCTAATTTATCTCCACCAACCCAAGTCAAATACTTAATTACAAATTCTATGAATGTAGTCTTTTTATCACCTCCACTTAATTATGGTGGCAAATCTACTTACAATTATCTTAGATATAATATTAGTTAAGGAATTTTAATGATGAGCATTTCTATAATTCTCAATAATTGATCCCAACCGTAAACGTAAATCCTAGAATCATCTTTGTATTGGTTGAATTGTACTTTAAATATCTATTCTATCAACCTTTAATTCTCCTCAAAAAACCTATCAACGGTTGCTTAGGCAATAATTTTGACTAAATGGATGAAGTTTTGATTTAATTACGGTTCTATAAATTATTCTATCTCGTATCTGATGACTATTTCTGTCAAGGGTTGAGTTTACTATTCTTTTTCCTTCTCTTTCAATAATTTCTCTTATTCTTTTGTCAATTTTCCTGTTGGTTAAGTTTAAACTTATTTTGGAGTATGAATTCTATTTAGTTCAGAATATTTGTCTGTAATTGATACGCCTTACTGTTCAATTATCAAATTATAGATAATAGGATTGTTAATTAATACAGGATGAAATTGCAATAAGTATTACAATGGGCATTCTATAAATTTCTAAGGGAATTAAATTTGGGTGAGATCTTCTGCATTCTTTAACTATTAAGCATGCCAATCTATATGTTCATTCAACATCACCTGTTTCAAAATTTAGAAAACTAAGTCATTTGTTGTTTTCGTATCAATGGCAACAAGATATATTAGGTTTTCAATGAATACTGGCTAGGATTCCTCATATTCAAAATGACTAGGATGCATTTTTAATTGTAATAGTATCTCCAATAATGATAATTTGTCACTTGATGATTTTTTTGTTAACATATTGAACAATTTGTTTTGATTATGCAATCCAAAATTATTCAAGCATTATAATAATTATGCAATCAACTGTTTATCAGACATAAATCGTCTCTAAATTATCTATCTCATATAAATCATATTTTGAGGTTAATCTCTTTATTCTTTCAATACTTAATTATTGCTAATTTATATATCCAATTCTTCAAGTAAATTATAGGTTTGCTAGGTGTACTCTTATAATTCCAAATTCATTGTACCTACTTAAATCAAAAATTCAAGGTAGATGAGTATCTAGCTCCAATATCGTTCTATTAATTGATCATGTTTATTTTACAAATTTAAGAAAAACTTAGTAAGATATTTTTGTGCCTCTAAAATTTCTTTACAGAATAATTTTAATGTTATTTATTTGTTTTCATATAAATTGTTAAGATTAGCAGTGATGTTTTATACTTGAAGAAAAATTTCTTAATAAGACATATCAGAAATATTTAGTTGCTTTAATTATTACAATTCTATTTCGCCACTCTTTTTAAACTGTTCAAATATATCATCAGACAATGCAAAACCAAATGTAATCATGGATTGAAATGAAAGCACATGCTTTTATTATGGTTCTTGATCTATTAAAGCCAAATTTTAATATAATTTTTCATGTTCCTGTGGAGCAATCTATTATAATAAATTAAGCCATTGCAAGGCTTTTTGATATTGTATCATAGTTGTATTCAAATCCTAAGATGATTTTTCTTTTTTTAAGGGATTCAAGATCACAAAAATATAATCTAAAATCTTGCTTATATGTTATTATTTCTTAGCTATTGTGAATAAATATTCTAATAAATTACTATTTGTTTTTTGGTTATTCAATTGTTAATCTAATAGCTTATTAAGATTAGAATCTAATTTAACTTAGAAATCATTAATTAAAGTCAAAAATCTTTCCAAAATATTTAATTATTAATTAGCCTCAGGAAAGTTTTATTGTAATATTTTAGTAAATTATTCTTAATCTAAGACTTGGATTTCATTTTACTTTTACTCTTTTTCTAATTCATTCTCGATTTTTAACTTTTATTAGGCAATTTGTTCTTAAATTATTTGATTTTGCTCAGCTATTTTTATTTCTTGATCAAAGAGATCTTCTTACTCTTCTTCGTCATCAGAAATCCTTTCGTTTATTAGCATATCAATAATCATCGTAGGTTCTGGAATTTCAATTCTTTGGATGGCTTTCTTGATCAATTGCTATTTGAATCCCATATCACAAATATCATCTATCATTGCTTTGATCTCAGGTCTGTCAAACATTGACTTCTTTTATTCTTAACGTACTTCATTTCCAGATAAGATTTAAGTGATATCCTTATTTCCAACTACTTATTATTCTTTTGTTTCTGTTCCAGCAAGCTTTCTCATCTCCTAAACTTATAAATCTTTGATTGAATAAAACTTTTATATTAATTATTCCAAAAGAGTCTTTAAATTGCCTTCACAATTATTGTAGAGCAGTAAATCGATCATTTAATTGAGTATTGAAGCTTAGGATACAAAGATTTCATTGCATACTATATCCAATTGTTATGGATCTTAAATTGATTATCCAGACAATTATATTTTATCAATAGCAATCTTCTTAAAAATTAATAATTTTATTATGCTATCTATATGCTGATGTATTGCCTCTATAAATCCTGGCAATATCTTTCTAGTGATCTCTTATTCTTTTGTTACATTGAATTACTGTTATCTTTAAATACTATCCAAATATTATAGAATCTCAATTAATTACAAAAAGAAATTACTATTTTGGAAGCAGATTACTGCAAATTGTAATGGCTAATATTATTGTTCTAAACTCAAAAATAAATTCTATAAAAATTTGAATGATTTTAACATATCCTGCATATAGGTTACAATGGATACAATTTAGATTCCTTAAGCTTATTTAATTTATTAGCATTTTTCTTAGAAGTTCTGGAAGAACAACTAAGTAATTTCCCCATATTTTTTAATTATATAGTCTTTTTACTCAACTTGTTATTGTAATTTACCTATCAAATCCAAACAAGATGATTATAATGGAATCAAATTATCCCTGCTAATCCTTCTCCTTATTTGTGTGTCCTCATCGTAACTAGTCTGTTATTTCTGAATCTATTATTTAGCAGACATAAACATCATAATGGATTCATGAAAACCGGCATGCTATGAGGATAGAAAATAGATTTCTAACAATTAGGAGATCATCAGATGAGAATCCTAATTTTATCCCACACCCTAATTGACACACATCTTGATCAAATAATGAATCAAATGGAAACGACTAAGTATGTAGAATCCTCTATAAGTTTAAGGAGAAATGTGTTTGATGATTTTTCTAAAAAAATACTTGTCACTCATATGAATAGATAGAGCATCATAATCAACTAATTTTCCAATATCGATTATCTTTTGATCACCTATGACCATGTAATTTTATGAGATCAAATCCAATTCCTTCCATAAAGAATTATAAGGATTTAACTTGTTTTTCTTACATAGTATGCCAACATAATGTTCAACATAGGTATCCTTGTTTTTACTACCTATAAGTATTGGACTCATTATTATTTTCTCTAATGCTTCAACGAATTTTTAATTCTTCAAAAGAGAATTGAACAATAAATCTTTTTGTCTCTGAGCTTCTTCTAATTACAATTCTTCATATCCTTGGAATGAGCGATAGGATGATTTCTTCTCTGGTTGTAATTGCATGAATAATTATAATAAGGCTTGTAAGCTTTTGGAATAACTATAAAAGGATTATAACTTTTCCTAATTACTAACTATTTCCTCAATCTTATCTTTACTCAAATCCACTAATTATGATATCTGAACAAATGTATTTTCAATAACTTTTTCGATTAACTTTTTTGCCAACATGCTTTGGCTATACAGCATAATAATCTTCTTTGCAAAATCATCACTCACTGTTGGATCGTGTAATAACTCTACTGAAGGCAAATAACACTTAATAAAGATTCTCTTAATCAAATTTTCCTATTATTATGAATCACCATTATTATTCGGTTGTAAGGCTGATGATATTGCTTATTCATTTGTACTGATTGCGATCAATAAGTTTATTATTGTTACAATTAAAGGAGATGCTCTTGAGCAAATCCTTAATAATTCAATAATTTTATTAATCAATTATTATAAACTATTATTTTCGTAAAATTATCTTACTCTGGCTGGATTCTCTCCCATTGTTATTGCTAATAAGGTTATTAGATGGGTAAATAATGTTTCATTGAGTTCTGCCCTTTATAGAGTGTCTTCCAAAATTCTGTTTGACCAGATTTCTGCAAGTAATTTGTGATATCTCTCTGGAACTGGCATCAAGAATTCAGATTGAGCATTTTGAATCTAAACTTAATCAAATTCTTGTTTATAGTATGTAACTAATTAATTTAATAATTGAAATGCTCTGATTTATAATTAAATTTATAATGTCGTATTGCAATTCTTAAGGATTTCTAATAAGCCTTAAATTATCTGGCTTTCTAATTGATAATCTAATTATTGGTTTTAGTTATTGCCTGGTAACTCAGTGATCAAATTGACAGAATAACTTAAGATGGGATTTAAGATATAGTATGGCAATTTTGTTTCTCCAACTTATCCAAAGGATTTTCTAATGATTTGAATGATTATGAAATTCCATTAGGTATAATTCGGTTATTTCTTAAACATCTATGTAAATTGTTAATCTGATAATGATTAGAAGAATAATTGTTGCAATTTAACATTTAACTTCATTCTATTATCATAGAAGTTGCCTTCACTAATATTGAGTTCTTTCTTCCACTAGACTAGAGTGTCTTAAATTCCCTATAATTCAAATAGCCATAATTTTTCCAAGAAGGTATTATGTTCATATAGTTGTATTTGCTTTGATTTAATAAATTGGAGACTATCCACTAGGGTATCCTCTAGTGATTCATCTTTATTGCTTGCGATCATCCTTATTAATAAAAATAAGTAGTCTTTTTGATCTATCAACCTATTAGTAATGTCTGTCATATATTTGTAGTTAAATAATTATAAATCTGAGAAAGTGCATTTAAAGTGAAATATGTAATTACTAATAAACATCTTCTATAGTATTAGTTCATCATTGGAATATTAGCATAGCAAACGAATAAAGATTTAATCAAATAGTATACTTTCTTTCTAGACTTTGATTTCAGCTGCAATCTGTAAACTTTAATCCAAGGGATTTTTAGTATAATCAAAAGGAATGTCTAAGATTAAAGGCGGAGACTTGAGTATTTTTCTGAAATTGCTCATCTCCAAATATCTTTGATAATTATTCATGTCCTCATTTGGGATGGTGATTTTGAGATTGTAATTTTCGGTCTAATATTAAAATAATTCCTAACATTCCTAATCTGACAAAATGTAAATATTCTTTTATAAAAAGGTGTTAATGTACATGAATCTTAAAAAGACTCTTTCAAATTGTTCAACTAATATTAATTGTTAGAGATATTACTTTTAAATTTGCAGGCCTTGGATGCATTCATTTATTCAATTAAATATTGCATGCATTACACCAATTTATATATTTTTGCTATTTCATAATCTGGATTGTGAAATATAAGTGTCAAAATATGCTCATAACTAAAAAACATATCGACTTTTGATTATTGAAATAGAAATACTTATTTTTTGGTTTGCTGATTTGATTATAAAATCACAACACTAAATACACAAATCCCAAATTTAAATAGAATCGGATTCACCCAGTAATTGAGCGCAGAAAGTTTGGTCTTGCTCTTGAAATAAAGCAACTGCTGCTTCAAATATTGCATCAATTGTTTCGCAAATGATTCGAGTATACTTGGGATCTTATAATTGTTTGCATTATGCAAAATCTTAAATTCTTTCTACCAGAGGCTTCTTGGTCGTCTCAATCCAAGAATAATCTGTTTAATCAACATGCTTAGACTTCTTGTATCTTTTCATCATGCTTTCATAGTAAGCTTAGGGAATTCGCATCTTTAATTTTAATTAATGAATAAATGCAATAATTTAAATATTTATATATAAATTAGGTATAAATAATTTATTTAAATAATTATGCTCAGATTAGTGAGCAGACTGAGGTTCTGCGTAGCACAACGAAATTTTTTCGTTGTACCTCCCTTGTATCCAGAAAAGGAGGACTTGGCCTATAGACCTAAGATTACTTCCTATGATGATTCACAAAAGCAATCGCATGCAGTCTATAAGAAGAAATTGTCAAAAATTAAAAGCAGAGTGACACAGTATGTAAATTAGCTAAATTTAGACGAGTGAGAGAAATGCAGCCTAAACAGGAAGATAAATTGGAATCGACTTAAAAAACTGGCTAAGATTTACTATAAAATGTATTGAAACATGTCTACATTGATGAAGAGACGAATTGTCCTTTAGGATTATTTTTCGATGATTTCGTTTATGATATCAAAATGAAGAAAGGACAGTAATATGAAGCAGAATACAATCGTAAAGTTTAAGGATTGTTATCATAAATGGTATTTGTACAATCTAAGTATTTAGAGAGTAATGTCAGAAACTGAACTTCTACAAACTTCTCAAGATTTGTTGATTAAAAGTGAAGCACCTGAATATATAGCAAAAGCAAGAAAAGTTGTATTCGATAGATTTTTAGAAGGAATAAAAAAATTACCAGAGGAGGAAAGAAAATAAATTTTAGGTGATGATGCTTAAGATTTTGATAAGAAAATTAATGATGAAGCTATTCTAAATAAATACGTAGATGCTAATTCCGTGAATGCAGTAGCTGAAGAGATGGCAAGGGAAAATTTGCAAAAGGATTTAGAAGATTTTTAAATTTATGACCCTAAATATAATGATAAAAATCAATAACTCACTTTTGGAAAGGCCTATCTAAAGGATCTTGATTTCTATGAATCTGGATGCACTGTTGAAGAAATATCAGATGATGAGCGACTATTAAAAATGAGATACATCAGACCCTCTGATGGTCAAGAGGCATTATAAACTGAATAGTCAATTATAGATAAGGTTAATTTAAATTTTGTTAAACGAGCATATTTGAAAAGATTAGCCAATAAATAATAAGAACCTAAAGAACCAAAAAAGCTAATAAATGCAAGAGATCAAGAAATTTGGGAATTAAAATAGATACATAAATACCTCAAGAATCTAGATAGATAATCTTTGTAACTTCAAATGAAAGCCAAAAAAATTGATAAAAGAATCATTGATCCTGTCAAATTGTAGGATATTGTTGAAAATATAGACTTTTTGTTATTAGGTGCTCCTAAATTCATAAAGGATTTGTATAAGGATCCAAATAATAAGATAAAGGGATATGAATCTGTATTTTAAGATGTAGAGAAGATTAAAGGACAAAGTCTGTTTTGGAAAGATTTTAGGTCTTCATTTTAGACTATCTTCCCTAAAGTTAAGCTCCACAAATAGCAAGATACTTTTGTGGACATCAAGAAACAACCCTATAATAGACAGTATTTAATTATTATAAGTTAGTGTTAAAGAATTCTTTGAGGAGAAGGTGGATGAAGTGAAAAAAGATGAGTATCAATTTTCAGTTGAATTATACAAAGAGTTCTAACAACCAAGCAATTTAGAATTCTTCCATCATTACTTAACAAATATTTTCAAATTAAATAGGGAATAAATTAACGATGGATTATAAGCATTTAGTGACAATACAAATCCATATACTTATGAAGTACCAAGCACAGCAATGATGGCTGATGATGTAGATCCAGATTTTGAGGATGTAGTTGAAGAAGAAGTTAAAATTGAGGATTTCAAAGAGAAGAGTGCAATCCAAATCGATTAATTAATAGAAAAAGACTATAGTGAATCTTCTCTACTTTATTATGTGGGAAGAGGAAGAAGAAAGTCGTCAATTTGTTATGTGTAACTCAAGAAAGGAGTAGGAGAGGTGACAGTAAATGGCAAGAACTTAATCAATTACTTTACTCATCCTGTATACAGAAGAACAGCATTGAGAGTATTAGAATTGGCTCATCTTTCATGTTTAGTTGATGTGAATGTGTAATAATCTTATTGTAAACATTAGTGTAATAAGAGGAGGAAGTCAGTCAGCATAATCTCAATGCATATGCTCAGCCTTGAGTAGAGCCATCGTTAAAATGTGTCCAAGTATCAAGGGAATATTCAGAAAGTTACTGTTAACAAGAACTGATAGTAGATAAGTGGAAAGAAAGAAGCTCGGTTTGTATAAAGCTAGAAAGAAGTATCCTTACAGCAGAAGATGAGATGTTATATTTTTATCTATATAATTGTATATTAACATTCAAATATCATCATCAACATCATCTCCATCTTCCATGCCGAACTCCTCGAATTTCTTTTAAACTACTACATCCATTTTGAATTCATCTTAAGCAAATTAGTGTTAGTGCTATTGAATCTATTAAACAACTTGTTCTTCTTGCTCTTCTTCTTCATCATCATCTTCATAATCAAACTGAACTGAAACATATAAGATAGCTGCTATTCCAGTATAGTTGTTCAATTGTTTCCCAGAAGGATGTAAACTAGAGAAGATAAACACTTCTCCACCCTTATTCTTGATTTCTTCAATCACTTTCAACCATTATCTCCTTACTTTTGGATCTTTGGCTCTTGCCACTTTATCACTTATTAGTAGAGTCTGAATTGCGCCTAAACTATGAGCAAATTCAATATCTTTCTTTCCGTAAGCCACCTTGGTTATATCTAATCGAAGTTATTAAAAGAATTTCTCCAAGATCATCACTTCTTACATAGCTCTAAATATATCCGAGTATTCTACTTTGTATTTTCTAATCTTTACTAAACTTATTGATCCTATAAAATTTCCATTAGGCTGTTCAAATAGCCAGAACTTGATTTTACTAGAAAGATTTTATCTAGCATTTTCTATTTTCCTTTATATTTCTCCTCCTTCTAAAATGTATTTCTCAGAAATAAATAGAAATCATCCTTTACAAATCTACACTATAATCAGTACTACTACCCTGGAGATGCCACGATCAAACACTTTACTTATTCAAACAATGAATCTTATTCCAAGGCTGCCAAACATGTTTTAAAAAACTCTTCCATAGCCTTTTCTCTTTACTCATTAGCGCTTCTCTTCTTCGTTATCTATTTCTCTACTTTTTACTTCAATCTAGTAGTAGCTGACCCTATCAAACATAGGTGACCTACTCCCTCTTCCATTATTAATGCGGCCACTTCTGATGAACTTTACTATTGTTTTATCTAATCCAAGATTGCATAATGAAATCTATCCCAGTTTTCTTTGTATATGACTATTTATTAATTCAATTCAACTTCGTAAGTGTGAAACTAACCCAAAGATAACCAATGAGATTCTTAGCAATTCCTACCCTTTATTGATAACAATAGATATTGATCTGCCCAATAATTAATTTCATGAACCTTCAAAAATACAAATATTCTTCTTTTCTCAGATACTTTAGTACCAGTTTAACCTAATCAATCATATTTATAATAACTTTCTTTCACTATCTTTCTATGTGTGCTTGTCTTTATTATGTCTCCAACAGACAATAAATTATATAAATGCCAAAAATCATCATCTTCCTCAGGTACTACTTTTATGAATCCAACTCCCTTAATTATTTTCTTGCTTAAAATTTTCATTAAAATTTAATTTCTTTATTAAATTCTGTAGAATAATTTAAAATATGAACTAAAATAATTAACTTCAAGATGAAATAACTAAGGAACTCTTAACAATTAAATAAGACATTGAACTCAAAGTCCCTGAATTCATTAGACAAGGTTGTCTGGAGTTGAAAGTTGACTAAATTTCAACACAAAAAAAACAGGATATCATTAAGTGTCTTGGTGGTAATAAATATAAATAGGATAAACAATTCATCCCTAAATTAACTGAATGTTTACTTAGTCATCTACTCAGAATGAAGAAATGTAGTTTATAATCTACTAATATTAATCCTACAAGACCTATATATTTAGGATAATTGATTACAATCACTATGTTTTATTATGAAGACAAGATCATCAAATCTTACTCAATTTTAGAAGAACTAACCAAATTCATTAATAAACAAATTCATATCTATTATGAAGGCATTCGTGATAGATTAAAACTCATTAAGGATAAAGAATAACAATTATTAAATTAATTGAGAAATTCTCAATCCAATAATGATAAATAAAATGAAACACAATAAGATGTTAACTTTCTGAAATGCTATTGTCATTCATAGCCTGGTTTGTATGTGCAAATCAAAACTAAATTGAATACTTCCAAAGTTCTATAATGCAAAATTTGTTCATAGAATTTTCATGGTTTTTGTTTGCAAATCAATCACGATATTCAAGATTTCATTTGTCCATATTGTACTCTTGTAATGCTCAATCCTCAAAACAAAGTGATCGATTAGATAGTTCAATCTACATTTCAATAGTTTCTTCAATACAAAAATGAGAAGCATTTTTTATTCAATTGTCCTGTAAAACATAAGGGATCTCAAATAGAGATTAGATGTTTAAGAATAGATGGGAAGGATGGATTAAATGAAATCACTTGGCCTGATTATGGGGAATTACAGATGAATGGAGTCAAATTGGCTGAGTTCAAACCTTTAAGCATCAATTATAGTGTTAAGAAACGAAAGGATGATTCCATTAATATTACTAATCATATCAAACATAATGAATAAAATCGTATTACTTTAATTGAATACAAATCTAATGAGGAGTTTAAAAAATAATTTAGAATATAACATTAGTGTATTTATTTTTTAGGTATATTCTCGATTAATTAATTGAATGCCAAAGAATTCATCTTGGATATTAAACAATATCATAAAAACTATTTAAGTATTGAAGATTCATTCAAATTATTCAAATAAGAATGCTCTACAAATAAGGATGTCAAAATAAAATCTATAAAAATCAGTCTATTATGTCCTATCACTTTACAATTAATTAATATTCCAGCTAGAGGTCGATTTTGTAATCATCTGCAGTGTTTTGATTTGGAGAATTTTATAACTGCTATAGATGATCAAAGGGACAAAAAGATTTGGAAATGTCCTATTTGCAAGTTGAAATGTTTCAAATTCCTAATAGATGACTATTAACAAGTGATTTTGGAATTGATATCTGAGAATAGTTTATCGAATAAAGAGGTTGAATTCAATGAGAATGGAGAGATAGCAGATTTGGTCCTGAGGGAATTGTGCAACCAACGTCTTAAGAATCAATATTAAATAAATGATAGAATAAAGAAACAAATAAAAACTGACTGACTTATAATGAAATCAAATATCCTAATAATCGATAAGTTCATCATTAGTTCCTTCTTCTTGTTACTCTTTTTTGAAACAGTTTTCCTACTCAATCTATAAGATAATTTGATTTATATTTTCAATGGCCTGTTCCTCTTTTAGTAATGTTAGAGGTTATTTTTTATGATATTAGAGAATGGTTTAGATTTCGTTTTTGAATTCATTAATATCTCTCAACACTATATAATTATAAAAGTGCAATACTCAAATTGTTGATATCATCTTCGAATTCATGTGATTTTGAACTGCTGTCTAATATTGATTGGATTTCCCTTGATTCAAAAGTAGATTCTGTTGAATCAGTAATGAGATTTTGGAAATCCTACTACATGGTAATTTCATCAAAATTTTCTTAAAATCCAAGGTCTCTCTTGTTGGGTTTAAAAAACCACAGAGATTTGAACTCTAATTCATAGATTAAAGTTGAATTTTTATTTAATATAATCTTTTTGCTTGTTTAATTAAAGCATAAATAATTTGATATGTTGAATTGTGATGCCAGTATCTTGTTAATAACTTATTCGACTGTAAAAGCCAAAGGAACAACTTTGGTTAGGTATGTAAAGGAATCATCTTCATTTTAAATCAAGAACTCCATTTAAGTCATGTCTACTGGTATTACGAGATCATTTGGTAATAATTCGATATCGCGTTGTGACAGAAAAGTAAAGTCATAAATACTACTTTTTATGATATTGTGTATTTCCATTGTGTAAATTGGTAAGCAAGGTCCTATGGAAGAATAACGATTATAAAAACCTCCGTTGATGTGTTGCATCAGGAAATTCCATATTTCTGAGCACACAAAATGAACCTGGTAAAGTTTATCTGCTTTGAGAACTTGCTCTTACGAATTTTATTTAATTATTTGAGGATTGATGTTGAACTCAGTTTAGAAATTTGCAGTCAAGCCTTATAATTGTTATGATTCTTCCTAACAAATACTATGACAATTATTGATTGAGTTACCAGAGAGAATAGTTATCTATCTAAGTGAAATTCGAATTGGAGCAATTTAATTCATCCTGAAATTACTCAAACCTATAAATTGCATTTTTATACAAGATACCATTTTTAACTCACAGCAAATAATCGAGGACTTGATAGATCATTTGGAATTAAAAGAAATTTCTCTAATAAACTCATTTTATTTTATATTATTATTTATACTATACTTTATCAATCGAATAAGCCACCCATATCAACATCTTCTTCAGGTTCTTCTGCTTTTGCTGGAGCTTATTAAGCTGGTTTATCTTCAACCTTTGCAGCAACTGGAGCTGTGGTTGCAGCTGGAGCATTGGATTGTTTAATTTGATCAAAAATAAATCCTGATTACAATCCAATAGCAGCCAAATCCTTGAAAGCATTAGCTAACAAATATGGAGCTGAAGACTCATTTACCCAACCTAGAAATATGATATATCATAATACCATTAGCCAATGAGATTGCAGAAATGTTTGTCACATTCTTTTAGAATTTAGCAAGAACATCATTCAAATTAACGGATACTTGTTATTTATTCAAAATAGATCCATTGTCATAACAAGCCAATACTTCCATACCGTATAAAAATGGTTTCTTTCCCAATTTTTATAACAAAACAGCTTATGATTATCCTACTTTTTATCCTGTTTTCAAAACCACAAAGTCTTTGGTGATTTAGATTTATCCCTTTTCAATTTTTGTTGGTATTTGCAAAGCGTGGAAGAATTGAATTGAAGCTGGGTCCATGCCAGTGGGACCAGGAGGAATAACAACATCAATTGGAGCAATAGCACCTACTCTGGCTGGTGTTTCAACCTTATTTTCTTCAATAACAGATTTAAGATCGAATACAGGTGTATCGGTAAATACGAATCCTACTTTGCCAGCAACTTAATTCTTTAGGACATCTAATTCTTTAATTGCAGCTCCGAATTTCTTCAAATCTTCATAATATTCATGGCTTTCTGGTAAATCTTACACTCTTGTTGCCAAAACTTTCTTAAACAATGTCTAAATATAGAAATGGCTCAATACATTCTTTCCAATTACTAGAAGAGCATTTCTCTTTGCCAAAATTCTTCTAATGTCTTATACTTATTTGGATCCAACATTAGCTAATCCAACTATAATCACTTAGGAGTATTTTGATAACAACTCATAGATCTTTCTAATAGGAATTCACAAATGATTTACTTGAATTAAGCAGGCTTTTTATCTTTTGTTTCCTTCTTTCCCATTATTTATTTAAAAATAAGATTTCTTTTTTTTTATAAACAATTCAAGTTTTATAAACTTCTATATTTCCCACTCTGTTCCCATAGAGCCACAAATAAATTAAGCAATTTGCACCTATTATTTGAGATTAATTTCTTTCGCTTTGGATTAAGAATTAAATTTTAGAATGAAGAAGATTCATTTAAATTGCCATCAATATATTGATAATTATCAATCTAAATCGCCCGTAATTAAAGCGTAAGTATGCATCAAACCAAAGACGATAAAAACTATTCCTCCAGCCAAATTAACAGTCTTCTCGGAGATTGAATGTGCTAATAGTTTTCCTCCAACTACAGCGATAGTAGTACAAATTAAATGGCCTAAACTACAACCTAGAAAAACAATATCTGCATCCTAGACAGCTGACAAACTGATGGTTGTTATCTAACTTCTATCACCCCATTCTCCCAAAAATGTCATTATAAATGCTTACCATATTATTTATTAAATTGGCACAACAGCAGCCAGATCTAAATAAAATTCGGATGATTACTTGTTGTTTTTTATCCTTCTGATGGATTTTCAGGATCTATAATTTTGTGGCTGCTCAAAAGTTTTTTATCTAATTCTTCGAGCTCCATTTCTACCTATTTCAATTCTTCCTTATCCCCTTCATTCTCCATATGGTACCATTCGTAAAGTAATTTGGCTCCAAAAAAGTAAAATATAATTGTCACAACAATTGCAGTGTAAAATCGAGGTAGAAGACTTGGAACTATAATACCGAAGGCACAACTTATTGCTGTCATTAATACTAAAGCTCCTGCTGCTCCAGCGAATACTGCCATTCTATTGAACTTCATAGACAAAATTGCTGCTAAGAAGAATGTCTAGTTTTATCTTAAAATATAGATGTACTTTGTCTCCAATTTCTGAAACCAACATAGATCCGATTGACTGGGTTAGAATTGTAAGATGTTTTTCACCTGACTCTTTGCAATATGTTACAAATATCAAACATATCAAAATAAATGTTCTTAATGACATTATAAATGATTTAATATATTTAATTCATTTTTACTATTTTTCTAATAAATCATTATAAGACTAAAGTAGGCGCTTTAATTCCTGTCCAAGTTATTTTAATGACACTATGTTTGCTTTGACATTGCAATAAAATATCAAAATTGAATGGGACCAAATTTCGAAATATAGAATCCATTCACTAAGTTTACAAACCATTCAATACTCATAAACTAATGTAATTTGTTTTGTTTCAGAATCAGAAAGTTTTCTTAAATTTTCATTGCATTACTGAATAGCCACGACATACATCAATGATTATGCTCCTGTTCTCAACTTGTTATTTTCATTTTAGAATGCTCCTATAATCCTAAGTTTCTCTAAATTTCTTACTCTATTCCTTCCTTATCCATTAGTACAATCCCTTCTATGAATGGATTGTTCTATAAAAACTTTTACAACGCAGGATTATTGGACATTTTATTAATATATATATATTTAATTAATATCCAAAAGACTTATTTAAACTTAAACACTTTCAAAACTACAGTGACTTACTAAATTATATATTCTTATTCAACCATTAATAAGAATTGCTTAAATAATAAATCTCAAATTTCCATCGATACCACATGTCCAAAAGCAGAAAATTTTTATTCCATAATAACTATTTTCATACCTTATGTCAAATATTCACTTTAATATTTAAATCTCAATTTTAAGGATAGTGTTTCACCAGATTTAATTTCAAATACATTTGTTTCTAAATAGTTTATACATGACAATACTTTATTAAACTTTCTCTCTTTTTGATTTACTTTTTTAAAGATACTTTGAGGATGACGAAGCAAGTTTACCCTCAACAGATCTTGAAGGTTATCTTGACAAATTAGGTTGTTTAACCAACATAAAGGGATTTTGATGCAGATTTTCCAAAATTAAGCAAATTTATCTAATTTAATATCTACTTACTTGGAATATGGTGTATGAACTAATAATTCATGAGATTAGGATAAACTTATCTTTTCATTAGAAGCATTTAAGTATTAAGTTTGATTCAAAGATATCAACTCTTACTATTATTATTATTATTGAAATTGTTTCCACCCTGCTGAAAAAAATTATAAATTAACAATGAAAATCGTGTAACTATTAGGTTTAAGCTTAGAATCAACCAAAACCATTCCTCTTCTTATTGGATTTTCAACAGTTCCAAAGTTTTTTACATAAGAATTGACAAGTGAAAATTAGACTGTACACAGTTGACCACTTAAAGCTGACTTCACTTTAACTCTATTAGATTACAGATTTTAAACTTAAACAGGATAAAAGTTTCCCATTTTATCTGGGCCCATCAATAAAGATTACCCTTTTTTTATGATGCCTTTTGTTACAGTTCCTCCTAAGATTAATAATTTCCTATCTTGTACTTGAATTAATCCTTTGTTGGATCTTAAAGTTAACTAAATTTAATTAAAAATATTTACATCTTCAACAGTGAAGCTTTCAGATTCAATTGTTGGTTATTCATCATTGATTTATTTATTCAGAGCAATTTCAAAGGTTTAATGAATACCAAATTCAACTGGTTGAGTATTATTATTGGTAAATTCATTTCTTAAAGGTAATTGATTCAAAAATTATAGAAACAAGTTATGGGTTTTATATTCTAAATTGGATAGAATAAAAACTGGTATGACAGTTTCCTTTTCATACTAATCTATTATTTATTTACTAAATAACATAACATCTTCAGTCGATCTGACTAAAATAATAGGAATTGTTTTGATGATATGCTACTTTACCTTTTATCTAATATTAAACAATAGTATTTCTAATTCATAATCATCTTTCAATTTATCAGCATGAGTAACCACAATGAAAATCGGAATCTATTAAGATAATGTTAATTTTAATTATTAAATAAATTCTGCTCCTAATTACTAAATAGCATTTATAACCAACAGAAAGTAATTAGGAAATTGAGATTAAATATTTTACATTGCTTCATTATTATTATAATGTTGACTTTCCTTTAGATCAATAAAAGTTATGATTTTTGTAGCATTTTCAAAAACATATTCATCTTCTTTTTCTTATCCTAACAGATTGAGTTTATTCACAACTTTGCCTTTGCTATCAAATCCGACAACCTATCTAAATAATTTGCCAAATTATTGTCTTCCAATATTTGATTTACCTGTTGTGATCATCCCAATTAAAGAGGACTTACCAGAGTTCACCTATCCCAACATCACTATTCTAATATCAGTCTTAATTGAGTCTTAGAGCCTTCTTCTAACCATGAATTCTGCTATCTTTTATGAATTGGTTCTTCCTTAATGCATCTTCTATAATATTATTTCCGCTTTGTTATTATTTGCAAATTTAATTAGCCATTAAATTGATACCAACATTTCATCTAAATTTATGCCAGTTGGAGTTCCATCATCCTCTACACCAACTCTATAATATGCAATACCTTTTCCCTCATCTAATCTATTTATTTAATTTATTAATCAATATACCTAAATTACATTTAAGTGGTTCTGTGTTCCATTTTGCATTAATCAACCTTAATAATTTTTAATTTGTATTCACAATTACCATAATATTATTCTGGAGGGTAATTTTTGAAGGAATGATTCAAAGCATACTAAATTATATTTATAAGCTTACCTATTCATGTAAATATTAAGAAAGATTTATTGTCATTTCTTAATTACCATGCAAAATATTTATATAAAAGTTTTAGCCGTCAGTATTAATTTTGTTAAGTGAGGTCATTCTTGTTAACTCTAATGTTTAAAACTCATCTTCCTCTACTTTTTATTGATTCTTTAGAAATTATTCAATATATTAATCAGGACTCCTTGATTTAGCTTGCTTTTTCATTTTATTTTTTTATTTATCAATCTAATTCGGACTTGTTTTAATTTTTTATTTTAAACATTTAAATAAATTATACTCATTCATCTTAGGATTATTATTCTAAACACAAACACTTAGATAACAAATTTACCCTACAATCATCTATATAAATGTGAATATTAGACTTTCGAATTTGACCACACATTCTCTGAATTAATCTTTTTCATTTTAATACAATCTTTAAGTAACACACTCACTTCCAGTTTCCTTTTCTGTTATTGACATCAAATCAAATTCTTTGAGTTCTAACATTTATTCCTATTTTTTAGTTCGATAATTGTATTCTAAGTTTGAATATAAATAATTAGACTATTTTGAACCTCAAAATTTGACAATTTACTAGTTAGTTCACTAATGAGTTGATAGTTTTTCATTAACATTTATTTTTAATCAGATTAAGGTTTATTAATTGAAGTGCTAAAAAATTATCAATTATAATAACAAAATATAATTTAAACAAAACTTTTAAGAACAAGTTGGATTCATAGTAAATGGTATAGATTTTAATAATATTCTACTATTAAAACTCCATTTTCTATTTCAATAGTCATTATAAGATAGGATATATCATAATAATAATAATATATATAAATATTATCAATCATCCCAAATAGTTTCTATAAATTATTTTTATTGTTCAGGTGTTAGTTATAAAAAAGATTTGGGCTTATTGTCCTCATCGTAGAATAAATCTTATAATTATCTTATAGAATTTTATTAGAAAATTGTAAGATTTCGAGGTGTCAAGTAAGGCGTTTGATATAATGATCTAGAAGTCTAAAAGTCTCGACATTACTCTTCATCGTTGTCATCACATTAACATATTAGATCATGATTCAAAATTAGAAATTTTTGACCTAATTTTGTGTAAATGTAAAATGTATACATATAACTGAGGATTTTAGATTTGTAAAAAAAGAGTTCAAAAAATTGTAAACCTTTCTTCTCCTCTTTAACCCATTCTCCTTACGACTATAAATACATTTTTTAATTAGGGCCACTCTCATTTGAAGATGTTTGTGGATTTCCAATTGTGTTTTAATTTCATTTTAAAGAGTGACCTAATATTTGAATAATGCCATCAATTTTTATTTGAGTAATTCGTGTTCTTGTTGCAGTTCACTTCTCTTCTTAGTGTCTTCCTTTTTAGACTTTTTGATGGTTCGTTTCTCTGCCATGATTTATGTAAGATTCAGCGAACTTTGAGTAAAATGTGGATTAATAAAGACAGTAAAGCCATTTTCATCTTTTGTACTCTTAAAATTGTAAAGATTCATTTGTTTGGTGAAGCTCTTATAAGACGTCTATTTGAAAATGTTGGGTAGGATATCTCGAATCAATTATGATCGATTAATAATTTTGATAGCATCTTTATCGACAGTCCATTGAATAATGTTATATGCTTCACCAGACTATTTACAATTGAATATACCTCTAATAAATCGAATAATTTTTCGAGGAATAATTTTGGTTTTTATTTTTCTTACATTTTAATTAATGAAAGTATTTGCAAAAGGCTTGAATTTTATGGGCTAATTGGGATAAGGCAATTTCAAAAGTCTAGAACATTTTGCACTTGTCCCTGATTTGCAAAATGTGGGAGTTAAATAATTGGAAGCCAATATGACATAATCGTTTGCATTATTGCAAGACGGACAATTATTACATTGGGGTTGGCAATTAGACACAATGACTGAGAATAGGACACTCTCATTTTACAAGAGAAACCCTACTCTATGTTAATTATGGCAAGTATTGCAATAAGAGTCAATATTAGAAATATTCTCCTCTTGGTACTATGTTATCAATGAGAGGTGGAATCGTTCAACCAGTTTTATTAAATAAACCTATTATTGATGCTCCAATCAAATCATTTGCAGTTGGAGGCAGTTTTATTATAATACAGATGAATGATGGAGTCTGCTATGGGATGGGAGAAAACTATAAAGGCTAGTTGGGGAATGGTGAATTAAAGTATTAATTTTAGTTTAAATAATTGTAATTGCCAACTAAAGATAAGGTGATTTAAGTAGCATGTGGTTATTAACACAGTTTGTTATTGACTGAAGGAGGAGTTGTGTATGGATCTGGCAAAAGAAATCATTATTAATTTACTGAAACAAGAAGGAAGGACTAAGAATAGATATATGGTATTGATTAAAAGTTAATAGTTGTTCTTAGTTGAATTTTCATAGCATAGATAATTGATGGATGTTGGGAATCAAACTATCTAGAGGATTAGTTCTGGTGCTCATCACACTCTTTTGTAGGTTTCTGATAATAGAATTTATGCTTGTGGTTAAAATATGTATGGATAATGTGGAATGAATAATGAAATCGATAGAATAAAAGAACCTACAGAAGTATTTCTAGATTTGCAACCAGATGAATCAATTTAATAGATTGTTTCAGGATAAGCTCACAATCTAATATTAACTAGCAATAATAGATTAATATTTTTTGGTTGTCTACTGCACAACTAGATGGGAGTGAAGTCTAAATTTGATTTTGAATTTAGTGGCTAAACTGAAATCAACTTACCACTTGAAGCAGATGAGAAGATCGTTAAGATATATGCTAAATTTGATAGATCTGCAGTTTTAACTAGTAAAGGAGATTGTATTATTTGGGGTGGCGAAGACTTGAGATACATGGATGTCCCAAATTATGAAACATACACTAGATTGCTTCCTGAATTGGGATTAGAAAATGTTTAGATTAAGGATATTGCTTTGGGTTTTAGTCATATTATGGTTTTAACTGATTGATTGAGTAAAATAATTTATTATTCATTTTTATCATTTAATTATCTATTCTGAACTGATTTGTTATGGTTATGTTTATTGGATATTAGACATCTTTTTAAGATTGGATGTGGTTCTCCATTTGAATGCCCAATTTTTGATCATCATTATCGAACTCAATGAATAAGCATTATCTATATCTGTTTACGCGATCTCCATATCTGTTTACTCTTCTTTATTTCTATTTATTTTATAAGTGAGTACATTTCATCCCATAAATTCATATTCTACGCATTTAACCATGGATGTTTGGCTATCTCTGGTATCTTTGGTCTATTCTTAGGGTCTTTTTATAAGATAAATTGTAGAAACTCTTTTAAGCCATCACTAATATCATTTCTTTCCGGAAATGTAATTCTAATTAAGTTATTGATATTTTATACTCATTATGTGCAATATTATGAAGTATATCAGGAATAGATGAACCTGTAAATGGAACATCTAAATAAGCAAAGGCAAAAAAAGTAATTCCCAATGCCCAAATATCAGCTGCTTTGCCAGAGTAACCATCTTTCACTCTGTCTTTATCACATGCTTCCGGAGGCATGAAATAATAAGTCCCTTGAGTATTATCCAATACATCATTCTTACTGCCAACCATAGTGGAAACTCCAAAGTCAGCAATTTTAGCAGTTTTATTATCAGTCAGAAGAACATTCTATGGTTTTAGGTCCCTATGAACTACTCCATTCTTATGCACTATATAATATAATTAAAGGACTGTTACAATAATTAAGACCCTTGATACAATCACGAAATATCTAATTGAGTAATGGTTCATCAAGTACAACTGACTCATTGACCAAATAAAACTTGCATTCATCGTCATCCCATTCAATCACTTGTCCACCTTCTGCAAACTCCAAGACTGATAATGAGACAAGTTAATACCCATGAATAGTTTATCATTGTTTGGATTGTCAATGACTTCAAACAACTGAATTAAGTTCTTATGTCTGAGCTTCTTCATGATGGCAATTTCTCTTCTTACATCTTAAAGTGCATCCTTAATCACCATATCTAATTATATTGTCACTCCTACTTCCCTTAGCATCCTTAATATACTCTCTCTATCGCTTCAGTTTACTCTTCCTCATGATTTTAATAGCATATTTCTGTCCACTTGATCTTTTGAATGCCAATTTGACCTTACCAAATGCTCCTTCTCCAAGGAATTCATCAAAAATGTAATCGTTAATCATTTTCACTCCCTTCCATTTAATAATTAATTTACATCTTCATTAGTGCTCTTGACCAGTTTTTATGTTTCCCTGACTTTCTTCTTCTTCTACAAACATCTAAAAATTAGCTTACTTGAGGTATTTTTAGCTGCTTAAGAGAGGTTTATTTGACAGTTTGAGATTAAGGTTGAGCTGTTTCACAGGGATGTACTTCAACTTATGAAGGTTCAGGTTGCACTCGTTTCGATTTTTCACATACACATCCCATTATTAATTTTAATATTCGTGTATGATACTCTTGATTTCTCATTTGATATCTTCAATTTTCAAGGTTAAGTCTCCATTTTTGGCTATATAAATAAGCTTAACTTAGCAAACAAGACTTTTAGTAACAAAATAATTAATTCCTTGTATCCTTTATCATTTTAGTTAATCAAGTAGAAATGACAAACAAATCTGAAGAACTGATCTAAGAACCCATGATTTTAAAAGATTTGCCACATCCTAGCATCATTACATTTTAGAGTATCATGAAAACAGTACCCCAATTCTTATAAGAGATAATATTCAATGTTCAATAAAATAATTTTATTCATCTCTTTAAAAGTATTCTACTACTAAATAATCAATTAGAGTAGTTAAATGAGATAGTCTGATGAAAATTTGATTTAAATCTAAAGTATTATTTGTAAGAGGAAATGAAGAATAAGTAGAAGAAGAGAATATATAATTTGATTGTAGTTTTATCATATCATGAATCGAAAATAATTAGGTTAATAACTGTTCTCATTCTTATTAAACGACCATAACTCTACAACAACAAGATAATATTTGAATATTCTAAATTTTTATTATAAATGATAATTTCATTCATATTTGCATAATTTATTGGATATTCCTATTCCACCCTCTTATTTTATACTTTTGGAAATAGAGATTTATTATTAAATACTACGAAATACTCAGTTGCTAATTTTGGAAATGTTCCATATGGATAAAAATTGCACGGATAATTGTTTTTGCCTCCTTTCCAGAAAGCAGATCTTATGGTTGAACAATTTTGTGATCTGAAGAGTATTAATTCATACAGTCCTTACTTTTCATTTAAACCTGATAAATGGATCATCAGCAGAGTTGGAGGCTGTTCAATCACTTAAAAAGCAATACTAGCATAAAAGTTATAGGCAAAATTACTTCTAATTTATGATGATAAGGCAGACGATAAATCGGAATTATTTATCACTGATGATGGTAATGGATACTAAGTGTACATCCCTGTGATTATGATAAGACCTAATGAGGCTAAGATTTTGTATGATAAATTGGCAGAAGATCAACCTGGAAGTTCATTAAATGCCCATATTAAATTTGACTAAATCATTCAAACTTAAAAACCTAAAGTTTTAATTGGATTAGATATTAGTAATAGAGACACTTTCAAATTAATTAAGAATTTTAAGAACTATTATGATGAATTGAAAGACTTTATTGATTTTGATATTTTCTACCATTTGNATTAAGGTTGAGCTGTTTCACAGGGATGTACTTCAACTTATGAAGGTTCAGGTTGCACTCGTTTCGATTTTTCACATACACATCCCATTATTAATTTTAATATTCGTGTATGATACTCTTGATTTCTCATTTGATATCTTCAATTTTCAAGGTTAAGTCTCCATTTTTGGCTATATAAATAAGCTTAACTTAGCAAACAAGACTTTTAGTAACAAAATAATTAATTCCTTGTATCCTTTATCATTTTAGTTAATCAAGTAGAAATGACAAACAAATCTGAAGAACTGATCTAAGAACCCATGATTTTAAAAGATTTGCCACATCCTAGCATCATTACATTTTAGAGTATCATGAAAACAGTACCCCAATTCTTATAAGAGATAATATTCAATGTTCAATAAAATAATTTTATTCATCTCTTTAAAAGTATTCTACTACTAAATAATCAATTAGAGTAGTTAAATGAGATAGTCTGATGAAAATTTGATTTAAATCTAAAGTATTATTTGTAAGAGGAAATGAAGAATAAGTAGAAGAAGAGAATATATAATTTGATTGTAGTTTTATCATATCATGAATCGAAAATAATTAGGTTAATAACTGTTCTCATTCTTATTAAACGACCATAACTCTACAACAACAAGATAATATTTGAATATTCTAAATTTTTATTATAAATGATAATTTCATTCATATTTGCATAATTTATTGGATATTCCTATTCCACCCTCTTATTTTATACTTTTGGAAATAGAGATTTATTATTAAATACTACGAAATACTCAGTTGCTAATTTTGGAAATGTTCCATATGGATAAAAATTGCACGGATAATTGTTTTTGCCTCCTTTCCAGAAAGCAGATCTTATGGTTGAACAATTTTGTGATCTGAAGAGTATTAATTCATACAGTCCTTACTTTTCATTTAAACCTGATAAATGGATCATCAGCAGAGTTGGAGGCTGTTCAATCACTTAAAAAGCAATACTAGCATAAAAGTTATAGGCAAAATTACTTCTAATTTATGATGATAAGGCAGACGATAAATCGGAATTATTTATCACTGATGATGGTAATGGATACTAAGTGTACATCCCTGTGATTATGATAAGACCTAATGAGGCTAAGATTTTGTATGATAAATTGGCAGAAGATCAACCTGGAAGTTCATTAAATGCCCATATTAAATTTGACTAAATCATTCAAACTTAAAAACCTAAAGTTTTAATTGGATTAGATATTAGTAATAGAGACACTTTCAAATTAATTAAGAATTTTAAGAACTATTATGATGAATTGAAAGACTTTATTGATTTTGATATTTTCTACCATTTGTTGTAATGTGCAAAATGCAGAGAATAAAATTACTCAAAATAATAAATCGATTGTATAAGCAATGGTAGGTATTGTTAATTAGACTCAAGTGATTATGAATTTGGTAATGGTGCAGATATTGTCATGGAATAGTATCGACAATTGTGTTTATGGCAATTAAACCATAAATATTGGTGGAGATATATGGTAATAAACTATTTTATTATTCAAATAGAATTATTTCAGTTCTTAATGTAGTAGACCTAATCAATTTAAAAATTGCTTCTAATTTTATATCTCTGAAGACATTTAAGCAAATATTAGTACATGTCTCTCTTAAACTAATGGGCAGATTGAATTATTGGAAAGATAGTTCATACTCTAAATGAAATCTGGAGTTGTGTATTTTCCTGGTTTGACTATAAATGGGAAAATATTTAGAGGAAATATGGATGTTGAGATCATTAAGAATGCTCTTTGTTCATCATTCAAAGATACCACTAATATTACTGTTTGCAATACTCAATAATTATTAATAGATGATGGAACATCATATAAATGGTTAATCATCCTGGTTATATGTATGATAATTATGTTTTTATTGTTTATGTTTTTTATTTTTAGATAAATGTTGAAAAATCAAATGAAAAAATAAATGAAAAGTTAAATTGAATAAGCACTCAATGAATACATTTAATATTATGAAAATTGATAAGTATTTATATACATCTATCTATTGTAATATCATTTTCAATCTTTTGATGATTGTTTCTGTCTAAAAAGAATCAAAAATATTCATTCATAATTATTATTAATCAATTTTACGTCATTCTTGATCTTAAACAATTAAACTTATGGCAAGAATTTGAGAACTAGTAAAGAAATAATATGATTAGGATTACACAAATTAAAAAACACGAATGCAAGTAAAATAGAATAAATAATTATTGTTTTTAATATTCATTTTTTTCTAATATTTTTGAATTTACAAGAATGGAATTGAGAGGTTTTGATATCCTTCAAATAATTATTGAATTGATGAGAAATGATTTCAGAAATTCTTTCATTTATAGGTTCAAATAATGAAAGATAGAATAGTAGATAATTATTATTGCTGAAAAATAACAAATCCAAATATACATATTATAATCATAGTTTTGGACCTGCATTAATAACTTCAATAGTTGCTTTGTCTTCATACTTTTTGAAATTGGTCTAAAACTTTTAAGCTAATTCTAATAATTGTTTATCGAATTCATCTGGATTTCTAAATATAGATAATAAATATGATACGCCCATGTATTTCTTGGGTTAAGAATTTCTGATGGAATATTCTTGGCAGCCTTAGGTATCTTAAAATTGAAAATAGGGAAGTTTTGATATTCAGCGTCCTTCAATTCTCCACTATGGATAAGGTCTATAATAGCTCTTGTGTATTTCAATGACATTCTCTATCCAACTCCATATTTTCCACCTGACCATCCAGTGTTGATTAACCAGACCTTAGTATCAAATTTCTTAATTTTTTCAGCTAGCATGTTAGCATAAAGAGTTGGGTGCAATGCTAGGAAGGCTTCTCCAAAACAAGCAGAGAATGTTGCTTAGGGTTCTTTGACTCCAACTTCAGTTCCTGCAACTTTGGCTGTGTAGCCAGAGATGAAATGATACATAGCTTATTCAGGTGTCAACATAGAGACTGGAGGTAAGACACCATAAGCATCGCAAGTCAAAAAGAATATATTTTTTGGATGTCCACCTTAAGCTGGAAACTTAGCTCCTGGTATGAATTCTAAGGGATAACTCACTCTAGTATTTTCAGTGATTGAGATATTTGAGAAATCTACTTCTCTGGTTTCATTAGAAAAATATTCAATGTTTTCCAGAACAGCTCCAAATTTAACTGCATTATAAATTTCAGGTTCTTTTTCTTTAGAGAGATCAACACATTTAGCATAGCAACCACCTTCAATATTGAATATTCCGTGATCAGACCAAGCATGTTCATCATCTCCTATAAGTTTTCTCTTGGGATCAGCACTCAAAGTAGTTTTGCCTGTACCACTTAAGCCAAATAACAAAGTAACATCTCCATTTTCTCCTTCATTCGCAGAACTATGTAAAGTAAGAATGCCTTATTTTGGAAGTAGATAATGAGTAACTCCAAATACTCCCTTCTTCATTTCCCCAGCATACTAGGTACCCAATATCACCATCTTCCTCTCAGTTAGATTGACAGCAACACATCCTTCAGAGGTGACTCCATCAATTGGCTTTTGGATTGTTTGAGGTCCAGCATTGAATATATAAAAATCAACGTCACCGTTAAAGTCTTTCTTCAATTCCTCTTCAGTGGGCCTGATTAACATATTCTTCATAAACAGAGCATGATATGGTCTAGTACAGAATACTCGAATTCTTAATCTATGGTTAGGATCCCAACCAGCATACCCGTCTATTATAAACAACTAAAGTATATTTGATAGTATTGTTTACTCTTTCTCGGCTTCCCAAATAATCCAAAGCAATCTTCTCAACTTCACTATACGATTCTCTACTCAAAGCAATGTTCACATCACCCCACCACACATCCTACTCAGTTACTTGGTCTTTGATGATCCTTTTATCCTTTGGTACTCGACTTTATGATTATAAACAAACAATTACCCACATTTCTTCCCAGAGTAAGCCACTAATGCACCAGTGTTATTTATAGAATCTGGTCTAGTAGATGATCCGTCAGCTTGTTACATTGACAGTTAATAAATAAGGGGGGCACTTGGATTTCTGAATACAGTTGTGTTATGAAGTCCCCATTTCTGTAATAGTTCATGTGTTGGTAAGTTTTAAATCTGCATTATTAGTGATTTTATTTATGACGATCATTTCAACTTATTTAATCCCTTTATATTACGTATTTTGTTAGTAATCTAATAAAAACTTTTATTACGTAATTAAAGATATTTATCAAACCCATATTTTAAAATTTCTATGTTATTATTTTATTTACACTATCCACCTTTTCTTAGATTCTCATTTTTAACATTTCACGCTAATTCTCCCCATAATCACTTCAAATCAGTATTCAAATATCAAATTTGCATCTCATTTTTTCATAATATTATGATGATGATTGATGTTAAATTAACTAAAACAGTAAGAAATTATGCTACTAAGTATTGTATAATTTATATAACAATGCATGCATAAATACTAATTATATACAAATTTGAGTTGTAGAGAAACGATTATAAGTAATTATAATACTAAATACAATCATTTAAAGTAATCTTATGAGAGTTTCATATCTCTTTTAGTTTTAGTCTAACATTTAGTTTACAATTGATAAATTAAATGCCTATTTTAGACAATATTATTAGGAATCAATAACAAGCAAATGCAAAAAAAAGAAATAATGATTATGATATTCCTATACTCAATTTTGATAACTTTAAATACTTTTTCAATTTAAATTTTTCAGAATTTAGAACAATATTTATGTCTGTATACTGAGTTCAGAGATAAATGTACTTCAAGATTATTCTATAATTCATAATGAAATTTCAGGTTATTTTAACTAGAAAGCTTTGCTAAATTTCCCTTGTTAGGTGCTACTTCTGTTAAGATCAGTTTTCATACATTGAATTATCAATATTTGAATATTCTATTAAGAACAATATAAAAACATAATTTAATAATTTAATGATATATCATTATCTCATTAGCTGTATAAATAGATTGTTTCGTTAATCCTATGGGCAAATTCTGCTATACTGAAATATGCCTCTTAGGACCTAAGAAATTCTTCAAACGTTAAAGGATTCTCATTCTCTTTAACATGCTGTAAATAAGCATTTTTAACTATCTAATCCGACTTATCAGGACTTAAGTGGATCTTATTTAATAGGTACATAGGTAAAAGTTCTTCGCTGTTCCTATAATCAATAATTGTTATTAATTCCGAAATAAACTTCTCATCAAGCATGTAGCTCAATTAGATTAATTTTTCAGCTCTCACCTCTTTCAATTGTTCCAAAAGCTGAGCTATTAATTAGTGATTGTATTGATCTGCTAATTATTGCTCGGTTTTAAAAAATAACACAATAGCTTTATCTGGATGGACATTTATTCCAAGTAACCTTGATGCTGCCAAAACGCGACTCTTCTTCTTTTCCTCCTCTAGACTCAATGATTCACCTTTGCGTGAACAATAAGAGAAGGAATGCGTTCCTTCTTAGAGTAATAAATATAATTCTTTGCATCCCTCATTATTGAGCCAGATATCAAGGTTTGTTTAAATCACTTACAATTAACTTGGTTTGCCTCTCCTTTGAGTTTTGTTTTGTTACATCTTAATTTAATTATTATTTCTTGCCAATGAAAGGTTGCATTTAAATAAAGAAGTAGATAGAAAATTATACTATATTTTTTACTATCCAATAAATTTATACATTTTTTCGAACATAAATTTGTTAATAAAAAAGTTAGTTTTTCGTTATTATAATGAAATCAATGAATTAATGATTTAGATAAAAACTTGAATTTATCTATCAATCACCATCCTTTAATTAAAAATTGCGATAATTAAGATTAATTCAGTCTTTGTAACATCATTTTGACTATGGTATATTTTAAATATAAGAATTCTCTTCTTCAAGAAACGTACCCATAATATGTGGTATTTACAAAAGAATACCTCATGTAAGGTTGATATAGATTAAAATTGATATGCTTTGGGGATTCAAAATTAGAAAGAATTTTAATTGGTAATATAAAATAGTTCATTAATTAAAATCTGTTAAAGTAACTCATTCAATATGAATTCTTATCGACAAAATGAATAAAAGAAATTACGCAATTCTTATCTAACTAATAATCTTGAAAACTCTATGATATCAAATAAATCGAAGAATTCATTCAAAGATCTAAATGAATATAGAAGTATATTGCATATATTTATTAAACTCTCAGATCATACTCCTCAAGAGAGGACAGGTCATCGCAATTAATAAAGTGCCTCAAAGATTAAATAAATACTTTCAAATTTAGTATAGACAGATCAAATTTCACCGAAATCATCATTTGGATAGAGTCTAAGAGAGAAATAGGATATGAAGTTGACAGATAACACTTGTAAATAATTCTTAATATTAAGACTCTAAAACACCAAAGGCAAATGATTCGTATTTCAAATAGTAGTTAGTAGCACCTTAATCTACTAGAGAAGCAAATCAGAATAACGAAAACCTTCAAAACTTATATTACATGTTTCAAAATAAATAGTCAGATTCCCAGATTAAATAGAATGTGTTAACGTTATCTTAATTGGCAAAGCAACATCAGCAATAAAGAAACAATAACAACTAAATAACATAAAAGAATTGGCTTAATAACAATTAGAACAAAGATAGTTATCATTCCTCGATCTACATAAGTTAGATCTAATAATTGAAACAAAAAATCGACAATAGTCTATAAAGGAAAACTTCATAAAAAACTGAAAAATACTAAAATTAGAATGAGACATCAACTGTCAAAAATAATGGAATTTCTACTATTTCTAAAAGACCCTAATAAGACTTAAATTGTTTCGCTAAGACTGAAGAAATCTCTGATCAACTTATTTAGTTGGTACTCTAGAAGGAATTATAATGGAATCAACTGAATTAAAATTTAGAAAAATTAAATTATTCATCATTGGTCAATCATTGCATGGAACTTCATTAATGTATAAGTGAATTGTCAGAAAGAAAGAATGTATAATAATTATTAATTATAGAGTGAATATCTATATGATATCGACATAAATATAATTGACACATTTTTATTAGAATCATTTACTGTTTTGATCATGTTAATGGAATAATCAAGAGGATAATAGATTTTGGATTAAAACTTTAAAAACTTAATCGTATACATCACATAAAGTAATTTTTACTTAATTTAAACTATCAATTCTGCTGTGGTTCATGTATCAAATAAGTAATTATAAAATTAGTCTTTGTTAAAGTAAAGGATAGAATTAAGGCAATTTTAGTAAAAAAAACAACAGAGCAAGGCCAAATAGACCTTATAGAAAAATAATTTTATTATAAGATCTATTTTAGAATTGATGTAAGTAATTAATCAATATTAGGTATTGACGACACGACTCATCCAGAGGTATATTAGTCACTTGATTTCAAATAACAAAGTTTAGAATCTTATTTTGTTTAGCAAAACAAAATATTAAATCAAATTTCTAAGTAGTTATAAAAAGATAACAGTCTAAAGAGTTAAAGTGCTAATAAAAGTACAAGTGCTGTAGACAAAAAGAAATAGCCCATACTTCCTACTAAATAAACCAAAAATTATACATTAGTGTTGGATCTAGATGAAACATTAGTTCATTATTAAGAAGTACACATAAATAGCAATAATTAGTTTCCAAATGGTGGAGGGCAATTTTTAGTGAGACCTTACACAGAGGAGTTTTTAGAAAAGTTATCAAAATATTATGAAATAGTAATTTTTACAGCTGCCTAACCTGATTATGCTAATTTTATTATAGATATAATTGATAAATAATAGATTGTCAAAGCAAGATTATATAGAGAACATACATTACAAAAGGATAATGTGTATATAAAAGTAAGGTTACTTAGCAATGTATAGGATCTATCTATTCTTGGAAGGAACTTAAATAGAGTGATAATAGTGGATAATATGCCAGAGAACTTTTAGTTGCAACCTGAAAATGGGATATACATTTAGAGTTGGACAGGGGAGCAAAAGGACAGAGCTCTGAAAGATTTGATGCCTCTTTTAGAATGTAATAAATAATATTAGGAGTAGAAATAGCAATAAAAAAGTGTAAAGATGTCAGGGAGGCTTTAAATTAATTTCGAGAGTAGATGATTCAAAAAGTGTCATTAGGAATAAAGAATCCATATGAAAACCTTTAGTTAATATGAGAATAGAATATTTAATGAATTTTACCTAATTTTTATTAATGTTACTTAGTTTTTATAATTATAATTAATATTAAGAATGAAAGGCAATCATTTAGTTGAGATATAAATATTTAAATGTATGGAGGATTTAAATTTTAAACAATTACGAATGAACTTATTTATCATAAATTTTATTATGTCAGACGAGGAATTAAATTATGTAACAACAAAAACAACTTCGAGGTAAAATAAAAAGAGAAGACAATAATAATTACCACCGTAAACCCTCTATGATATGTTTCCATCATTTGATAAAGAATTAATCGAATAATGTTATAGGTCAGAAAAAGCAAACATTGAAAATACTGTATCAAAGTTGCTAGAATTATAAAGTGAGCCTGAAGTTCTGGAAGATGTAGTGGAAATATAAGAGGATGACCTCTAAAAGTATATAAAAGAGTTTGAGAAATTAGAAAACAATGAGAACGAAGAAGAATTAAATGAAGGCTTTATTTTTGAAGACAAGTCAGAAGACTATAATTCATTAAAAGCTGAAGTGTCAATGATTTGGCTGGATGAACCAGAACTAAAGGATGTCCTCAATTCCTACGATAAGTTTTATGATGAAACAAAAAATGAGGATAATGTTAATAATAATATTTATCTTGATCTACTTGGGGTTGATGTCAATCAAATACCACCTGAATTTATAAGCAACATCCAATCCTATATGCACAAGCTGATAAACTAATAGCAGAACTAAATTTAGAATGATTACAATGAATTTCCCTTTTTGATTCCTCCAGATGAGGGTTAAAAAATGCAATTAAAAACCAACAAAGAAATTCTGTCTCAATAAATGCAAATCTCAAATTATGGTAATCTAAGAAAATTTGTGAACTCTTGGACATAACAATAGTAATAGTAATCGAAACCAGATTCAACTTCTCTTTTACAAAGATTATGTGAAGAATTCCCCTTCTTTTCTTATTCGAAAATCAAATTTGCATTTGAATAATTAGGAACCTATGAGTATTGCAAAGGCTTTCTTACTTAATATTACAATGACGAATATTATCCAAAAACTATACAAAGACCTAAAGTTGTAGTTTAATAAGATAATTCAATTCAAGTCTAATAATATACTGTGAGTGAAAAGTACAGAAATCTATCTGCAAATGAACTCAAATAACTATTTGCTAATAATAGGTAAAAAATAAAAGAAATAAGAAACAATTCTCAAGTTGTGAATAGATGTGCAGGTATTGAATATGACTAATATATACAGGTAAATATGGAAATGTGGCTATGGGGGTCAAATTAAATCATTTTTATGAAACTTAATATGAGAAAATTTAATAATTGGAATATGAAGGGATTAAGTTATTTGTTGCAATGATTGTCGCAGGATAATCATTTACAAAAATAGATTTGCATGGCATATATGGAGGAGAAGTAGAAGAGCTATTGGATGAATTGATAGAATAGATTAAAATATATAAAACAAGGTTGAAAAAAATGCATATAGATGTAGAGTTTATTGTAGGCAGAGGTAATCTGAATTGAAATGTTTAGGTTTACACTCTAAAAATAGAGTACCAGTCATAGGACCAATAGCACAATAGTATTTCAGATCATGCAATTATTAGATAGTTGGATAATATGAGGGAAGAATGATTGTTAAAATATGAAATTAAGTTTCATAATTTCTTTTTGTCATCATTAAGATCTCTTGTTAATATTTTAATAAATTGATCTTCTGACACTTCTATCTTGTACTCATCTTCCGGTTGTTTCTTCTCCTTTTTTCCGTCTTTATCCATCTCTTTCAATTCATTTGTGTTTGATTGGGCTCCCTTTAACAATTGCAGGATTTACTAATCAGTCATATCTTCATCTAAATCTTAGATTACTTTCTTTAAGGAATCAAATGTGATTATTTTCTAAATGAATATTCATTCAATACTTTTGGGTTGTTACTATCTTTGAAAAGATTAAATGCCTTTTTAATATCATCTAGAGAATCTTTCTGACTCATCTTGACCATCATAATTTCTAGAAATTCTTAAAAATCAATTCTCTAAGCATCATATTTAACATCTCCTTTGCCGAGATCTTTAATAAGTTTTCCAATTTCTTCTTGTGTTGGATCAAAGCCCAAAGCTCTCAACACTACTTTTAAGTTTGTTGCCTCAATTGTGCCTGATCCTGCAGTATCGAAATAATCAAAAGCTTTTTTGATTTCATTTTTTTAGCTTTCAGATAAAACTTATTAATTATTGAGCAGCTTCTTTCTTATCTAAGCAGCATTAGTATTGCCTGATGATTATTGCTATTGATTTTTCATCGTAAGTTTTAATTTTTTTAATAAATATTTCAAATTGATTCACATTAATTACAGTTGTAATATATAATACCCCTAGATAACTAATTAGAAGTGATCAAAACGAGTATGTAAATGCAGGATTAACGAGATGATGATTCTTAAAATATATACTACCTTGATAGTGTCATTTTGAAAAGAGATGTATAATATTATAGAATAATTGGACTTAAAAGTCATATTCGAAATAGATTAAAATATAATTCTCAATACAATCATATTGAATAGGAGAACAACAACTTGTTCATGAGCAATATTGTTTATCCCTTATGTGTTTTATAGGTCATATTAATATATAGATATTCTATGTATGTATTTGTTTAGATAGTCTAATGACAATATCATAAATTAAAATAGAATTATTGAATAAATAATTATATGTTATTAACTGATTAATTATTTATTGTTCCTATTATGTAGCAAATAAAATTGAAAGTGAATTATAAATTGCGCAAAAATATAATTAAATGAATGCGAATTTTAATTAATTATTATAATGACTGATTAGACTCCAAATGATTTTCATTCTGAACTGGAATCCTCTCCTCTAAACCTTCGTCAATCCAACATGATTCTGTTTTAGCCTTACAGTCCTATTTTATTTCGTGCTCACCTAAGTCCTAATAACATGGTCTTGCAAGATTATTACATTGCATAACCCATACAAAATGGAGATGATATTTTTCCTTTTGATCAATAACCATTATAAAAAATGTTTGATCTGTAAACATCAAATAATCAATCTCCCCAATTAAAATAAGTTGTGATCAAATAATCACAAAATAAGTAATAGGGATTTTAAATTGTTTAAATTAACACTACAGAAATGACACCACAGAAACGTAGAAGTGAATAAACAAGGAGGTATTATTCTGAGAAGAATGAAAAGAAGTCAATAAATTTAGCATTCTATTAAGATTAGACGCCTCAGAGAAGTTAGAAAGGTATACAGTGATAGTATTACAGGACTACGTAATTTGAGTGTTAAAGTGAGAGATATAGTATTGGAATTGAAATCCACATCTTATAAGGATGTTGCATAAAGATTGATTTAAGATTTAGGTTCTGATGGATAAATAGTTGAATTAGATAATGTATGAATTAAAATTGAGTTACAAGCCTAAAGATGAATAAAATATCAAAAGAAGAGTTTATGATGCTTTAAATGTTATGATCGCTTCAAAGGTGTTAAGGAAGGATGGTAAACGAGTCATTTCTGATGTCTCTTGCAAACACAGGATGAGAAGAAATGAAACTGACATGTTTAAAGAGTAATTGGTATAATATTAATGTAATTTCTTTATAGATCAATTAAAAGAACTTGATAAAGGACAAAAAGAAAAGACTACAAGAGTTATTCATTAAGGTTGCTGCTCTAAAGAATCTAGTACACAGAAACTAGAACAATTAGAGTGAAAATAAGATGATGTTTCCGATTCTGGCATTTTAAGCTTAATAATCATAAATTAAACTTAAAATGGAATCGAAAGTATTAAAAATTATGAGTTAATAAAAACTAAAATTATCTGCAGATTTAGATATATTAGTTTAACTCAAAATGTACAAATTATATAAAAATATGGATGAATTGTAATTATAATTAACATAAAAATAGAATGCCCAAAAACTTAATTGAAATAGTGTAAATAAATGATCTCTGTTCCTGAATTGATTTAATTTGTTTTTTGCAAATAATTAATTAATAACATTAATGACAGATTTATTAGAAAGAAGCATTCATTTGATCAACAACTTCGTAAGTCAATGGACTAAGAAGTATTTATATTACACAAGCTATATTGAAGAAACCACTTCAGGACATACGTAAGTTATTCAATTTATATATAGTTTCATGACAGTTTTCTCATTACCCACTCCATCAAATCCCATCCCTGTTGCAACAGTGAAAGTGTATTTCTACATTCCAGATTTGACAGATCCGTCTGAAAAAACAATGTCATTCAGATTTGAAAATGATTCACTTATACATTTAGTCAATCGAACTATTCGAATTTCATAAATGGAAGTAAGCAAATCCTATAATTTTCAAGAAATGGATTGAAACAATTTTGGCACGCAAAGATAGAACTTGTAGAATCATGTTTCTAGGAACAGAATTTGAACAAACTAGAATTACTAATAAGAGAATGGATGAAGTATTATATGAAAAATAACCAGAATAAGAAAAGGAGAATTTAGTCATTTAGCCAGAATTATTGGAACACGATTAAGAATTAGTAAATTAATTCACAATCACAGAAGAAGAAAAAATTAGGGAAATCAAAATGCTAACCGAACTCCTCTATTAATGTTTTAGATAAATAGATAAAGATGACATGGGAGTGATCTCCCATGAAGAAGGAGGCTAATTATTTTAATTGATGGGATTACATCTAGGTAAACATTAATTAGAGGATACACTCAATAGATTGGATGTATCAAGAACAGGAATTCTGCAATTCAAAGACATTTCCTCTTTTGGAATTGAAACTCTGCATTCAATCTATTGTCAGAATTAGGCACTTAAGGAATTGAGAGAGAAGGAAGAGGAAAGCAGATTTGAAGCATAATGGATGCTCTCTACTGATCTTAGAAATGTTTATAAAAAAATAGTAGAGTAATGTAAAATTAAGGACGAGGATGAAATTCATTCTGTTCCTTCCAATGTTTTTCAATAGATTCTGGAAGAAGTATTTTTATATTGTTATCATCTAGTAATAATTCTTTACAGAGGATGAAATCAAATAAATAATGGACATCATTGGAGTTAAACAAATTGAATACGAAATTAGTGATAAGGTATTAGAAGAAACTATCTTTGAAAATTTAGTCAAAGGTTTATTAGAAGCTTAGAGAAGTAAAATGGAAGTGTTTTTACTTGAACATTTTAAAAGATAAGACAAAGAGAATAATGGAATCATTAAGATCAATGAATTAATGATTGCTTTAAAGAATTGTGAGAAGATTAAACTATCCAAAGTCCAAGTATTACTATTCAACTTAGTATTAGTTGTATTCATTACAAAGTTACATTAAAAGAAATGATAAGGACTAAGTGAATTACAAATAAGAAGCTAGAAAGATCGGAGCCATCATTAAAAAGTACTTCAATGTTGATCTAATGGAATAAAGGGTATTCATTTGATATAATATTTACAGTCACGCTTGCCTCAACATACAAAAATTGATGCCTACATTCCATTAAAAACACCTGAATAAATTTAAGAGTAGATTAAAAAGGTTGGATCATGATTTATTATTAAATAATTATGTTTAATTATTATAACTAAAAAGAAAAAAATGCAGTGGAATCTTTATTGAATTTGGGTATTACTGAGGAATCACTGCATGAAATTGATTACGACAAGGAAATTAAAAAACTATTAAGAAGAACTTAATCGAATTCATTAGCTGATGCCAGAAAAATAATTATAAATTTAACTCAGTCTAACTTATCTCCTCCACACAATCCTTTAAGCAAATTAAATAGTCCAATTAACGATTCTAGATGTAGAACTGAATTGAGAACCATCTCACTTTACAAGCCTTAAGATAAAATCCTTAATCCATTAATTTAGTAACATAAATTTGTAATTACATAAGTCAAAACCAACAGAATTAGACATTCATCTGAATATAAGACTGTCTAAGTTTAAACTGTGTAAGTTGCTTAAACTATGCAAGAATTTAACTTTAATTTCGTTGAAAAGAATTCTAATTTGGAATCCAAAAAATTTACGAAATCATTGCCTAAATATTTCTTAAGATTTAAAAAAAGATAACATTGATTATAAATATGATTATATACATTATATGTGAAAGTAAAAATAATAAATTTTGCTCACCAAGAGTTTTTGCATCTTTAAATTATTATTGCATTTAATCTTTAATTGTCTTAACTTAGATTATTCACTTTTCTTTCCAATTCTTACACATAATTAACCAATTATTCTGTCTATATTTTCTTTGAGGACAAAAATTCAATTTGATCGCTTTTCTGCATTACAATGCTCTTTAATTTTTCTATTTCCACACAAAAGTTACGAATTTATTATTCTAATATCAAAATTTATTTTGAATGATTCTAATTTTCAATTAATTATTCTCTTAATTAATCATTCTCAATATTTAATTAACTAATTTTTGTAACGTATAATTCAATAGAATTTTATATTCCATTCAATTGATCTTCTACAGCCCATAATTGATTTTCTAATTGGACCTTTTCAGCTGAATATTTTAATGCCATCTAACTTTCAATTTGAATTCTAAATTAATCATAAGTTTGATTTTATTAAACTTCAACTTAACTTGACAAGTGTTAGATTTAACTGACTAATTTGGATTTTTCTAAATGCCATTCAGTTTGTTAATCTAATTATGACTTTGAATTTATCTATTTCAATATATATTATACATTTACTTCATTTAACTTGCTTTCTTGAATGGATTTATAATTTTCAAATTCAGTTTTTATTAATTTTAATTATTATTTAGTTTCAATCAATTCTTCATTGTTATTACTTTGTAACTCCAATTGTCTTTTCAATTATTCTATTTATTGTTATTAGTATTTAGCTATTTTTTAATTTTCAAATTGCATCTCCTCAAAAGCAAATTAAGATTTTTCTAATTAATCCTATAAAATATTATTATTATCATTCCAATTTTATAGTCTTTATAATTATTTTTCCAATTTCTTTATTTGATCTTATTTTTCATTCAGTATTTATTGGAATTAAGAAGTATTCTCATATGATAATCTCAATTTGGCTTCAAGTTCAGCAATCCTCTCATTCTATTAATATTGTTTTTCTATATTTTTAGGGTCAGAGTGTTGGCATTGAGATTTCAACTAGTCATTTTAAGTTTTGTAAACATCTAATTAAGAAACTAAGATCTCATTCTTAGATTCTAATTCATAAGCCTTTTCCTCTAGTTTGGAATATGAAAATTATAATTATTAGAATGAATTACTGAGAGTACTTAATTCCTAGGTAAGTTCCATATTGGCCAATTATTATTATTTCAATTATAATTCAATTTCTTAAAATTACGATTAATATTGATATTTTTCTTTTCTTAATAAATCAATTTATGTTTTGATTGCTGATTTTTCTGATTCTGCATCAAGTTAGATATTTGATTATTAGAGTTCTAAAGCTTATTTAGCTTATCTTTCAAAGTCTAAAGTAGATTGAGTTTCTTAGAGCAAATTCGATAATGTTTCTATTTGATTTTATTACGAATTGCATTTATTTTAAATGGATTTAATCATTTATTCATATTAATTAACTTAATTTCTCAATTAGTGATTTTCTGTTTGAATGGTATCAAATTTAATTTCCATCAAATGCGAATGTGCAGGTGGATTGTATTATTACATTTAGGCAATTTCTTACTCTTTTTCCTGCAGTTATCTTTACAATTAATTAACTCGAGAATTCACAAAGGTTTCTAGTTCTCGATTGCTAACTTTTACTGTTTTAAAGGCTTGACAAACATTTTCTTTATTCATTCCGTTAAATTATTAATTATGTAAATAAAATTTAATCAAATAAGGTTGTTAATAGAAATAATTCTATAATTTATAAGCATTCATGAAATTCTAATGAAGATGATGGCAAATATAAAGAAAAAAATGGAAGTAGTAAGCATCAAAAATAGGGTGGAACAGCTTAAACTTTTTGATTTCATAAAATTGGTTAATTTGTTTTCTTCCAAATTCAATTTGTTCTTATTTGCATCTTGTTTATGGAGTATTTTATCGATTACTTTGTTGTCAAACTTTAATTGATCTGAAATATTAACAGCCATTCCTTTCATTCTCTTTGTAATATTGAAGATTTCCTCTTGCAATTCATCATCAAGATTTTCACTATTTAACTACGTGTCAAATAACTTAGCTTTATTGCGTGTTTATTATTAAATTGGATTTGGTGCAATAATCTAAGAATTTGTCATGACTACTGTTTTTTGTTGCTCTTCTTGTTAAGCCAACTTTTTTTTCAAAGAAGCAAAAGCACTCGTAATTTTTCTGTGTCCTTAAACTACAGCATCTGAATCCAAAACATTCTAAATAAATTTATCTAAGGTTAATTTAGTTGCCTAGTAATTCAATCTGACAATTTTACATCTATGTGTCCAGACAAATCAAAATCATATTGTATACCCTCTATTATCAACCCATTTTCAAATAGATCCTACAAATTGGCAGATCTATTATACAATTCCATTATGTTTTTGTAATTCTAAGTACCCTATAATTCATTGCAAATCAGTTGAAAACCATCCAATATTTCTTAAAATTCCATAATATTATAATGAATTAATAATAATCAGATGTCCCACCCTCAAAGAAAACACAATTTACTGGAACCATAGATAATCTGATTCATTAAACAATCTCTAAAAAACCAAATATGTCTGAATTTCTGATATAGGAAATTTTGGAAGCCAGCGGATTTTAGACAAATGATTAAAATTGCTATAAGCTAATAGGTTTGAGTGCTCTTAAATTAAAGCTCATCTCACTGATAAATGGATGATCGAAATGACGGATTCCATGGTTTAAAAATTAATCTAAGATAGAATGAGGAAAAAAGAAAAAGACCCTGATGAAAAGTTATAATTAACTACTAATGACATAGTTAATGAATTAGATTAAAGAGGATTGAAATTGTAAAACCCATTTCAATACCCAGAAATCGATGCTAATAACTTATAAAAAGTTAAAAATGAGGCCTAATAATGAATCGCTGAAATATATATGTATTATATATTAAAATAGATGATAAATTGTAGAAAGCCACAATTTTTATTTAGAGTATACTAATAATAATGTCAAATTATAATTTAAATTCTCTTTTATGATTCAAATAAAATATGACAAGAGGGTGACAAATAAGCAGCAATTATTTATTAGTTGAAAATTAATCGTTGTCTCTTGCATTCAAGCTAATTGTTTCAGTGTTTTAATATAGACTAAATGGCCATATTCAATCATTAATTATTTTACATATTTTAAAGTAATTTATGTTTTAAGCAGAAGAAAAAAGCTTATCAGAGCAAGTATGTTTTAAATGTTAATAAGCAATTAATTCTGCACATGATCCATTAAAATGACTATGATACTCTAAAGGATTTTGGTATAAATAAAGGTATTGATGGTTAAGTTCCAATTAGCGAATATTAATTTTTTGGAATCATTTAGCGAGATTGAAGTGGATTAAAAAATATCTCCTTTGATTTGTGCATGCTACTTGGGAAGACTTGAAATAGTGAAATTATTGCTTTCTAATTAGCAAGTTGATGTTGATTTAGCAAGTCTTGATTCAGGATAAACTCCATTATCAATTGCAGCAATGACAGGAAATTATGAAATCCTTAAAATACTCTTAGATGCTGGAGCTGAAGTTAATAAGCCAAATACATTTAATTAGACTGCTTTTATAATGTGTTTTGCAAGATTAGAAGAAGTATTTTAACATATTACCATATATTTCAAAAGGAAAAAAATGTGTTTGAAAATAGAAAAATTTGTTTCAAGATGGCAGAACTTTTACTTCATTATGGAGCAGACATAAATTGGATTGTTGATAAGACACATGGATTTAATCTTTTAATGCAGTTATGTTCGATTAGAATGGAATTGAATTAGAAAGAGGCTGACATTAACTATCAGATCATCAAATTCCTGATTGAAAATGGAGTATCTTATGTATATTATATAATGAGGCTTAAAAAGAATTGTAATCATTGAAAGGAAAAAAAGCATCAGACTTACTCAAGAAACATTCTAATAGAGAGAAATTAATGGAATTGCTTATGAGTACATAGTAGTTATACTTTTATGGGAAACAGAAAAACAGTAGCAGATATTCAAATTAATAATAACAACTTCTTATCAGTAATGTACCTAGACAATAAAAAGTCTGATATTAATTTATTTATATAATGATTTCCTCATTTTAGGATTAAATAAATATCAAACAGTCTCATGGTTATTTATTTTAGAATCTTATTCCTATATTTATTGATATGAATGATTTATTTTAATAATTATTAATAATATTATGGATCAATCCTACTCTTCTATTAAACCCAATCAAGAAATTCTCACTTATGAACCAACTGCTGATGAGAAAAAAACGAAGATTGGAAAATATACTATTAGAAGATTATTTGAAGGAGAACTCGATGAATAAGATAATGCAGCCATAAATAAATTTCTTGAAGAAGCAGGACCTTTCCAAAATCCCATTTGGACAAGACCATAAATTTTAAGATTCTTATAAGCTAACAATTTTAAGAAGGATTAAACAATTTAAACCATGTAGTAATATGAAGAATGGGTAAAAACCTTACCAATCAGTTTCGATTAACAAGTTGAATAATTTCTCGTATGTTTTTAATCATAATAATAATTAGAAAGCTGGAATTATTTACATATAGGGAAGAGATCATTCCTATAGACCTATTATTGTACTTAATGCATATAAAGTTAATTTTAATGAAATGAGTCTTGAATAATATTTAAAGGGATTGACTTATTTCTTACAAGTAGTCGTTAATGATATGATGGTACCAGGCAGAGTTGAAAATTGGGTCATCTTAATAGATCTCGATTATAAAGGTATGATTGGACTGTAAATTAATGTAAAACTAATTAGTAATATTACAAGGCCTTAAAATAAGTGATGTCATATCTATAAAATAACTATAGATCTAGATTGTATAGAATGTTCATTTTTAATACAACTATGATGTTAAATGTGACTTGGAATATGGCTAAGTTATTTTTGGAAGAGATAACCTAATAAAAAATAATATTTGTTAAAGGAGATGTATGAAAAATTCATTTACTTAGGTTAAATAACTGTTTTAATCTGTGAATTAAGAGTAAATTGAGTAGAGGTTTGGAGGAACATAAACAAATAGAGTTGAGTTTTGGCCTCCATCAATTGTTAGTGCAAACTTCAGAAAGAATGCTTGATTCTTGTGTTTTATATTGAGATTTAATAAAGAATTAAAAAAATTTAAATCTTTTTTAATGCCTCCCAAAGTCGACCCAAATGAAGTCAGATTGATCAACATCAAAGTTTTCGGAGGAGAAGGAGGTCCTGCTTCCACTCTTGCTCCCAAGTTGGGACCCCTCGGTCTTGTAATTATTATTGCTTATCAAACAGAATCCAAAATAAGTTGGTGATAAGATTATTGCTGAAAGTGGTAAATGGAAGGGTATCAGAGTCATGGTTAATTTGAGATGTTAAAACAGAAATGCTGACGTCACAGTCATTCCAACATCAAGTGCATTACTTATTAAGGAAATCGGAGTAAATCATCTAATTTATCTATTATAGGGATACGAAAGAGATAGAAAGAAGACCAAGAATGTTAAACACAATGGAAATTTGACACTTGAATAAGTCATCAAAGTTGCCAGAGCTGTTGAAGAAAAGTCTTTAGCCAAAACCTTCACCGGAACTGTCAAATAAGTCTTAGGAACTGCATAATCCTTGGGAGCTACAGTAGATGGTTAACCAGTTAAGGCAATCATCGGAAAAATCAATTCTGGAGAACTTAAAGTTGAAAAATGAAAAATACAAAATATTATACACATAAGTACATTAACTTTTAATTATGATCAATCTTATAGAACAATAAGTCGACAAACAACCAATTCTTTAACAGATATCCAAATTGAAGGACTTTCTCCTTAATCATGTCAACTAGAAAGTAGTATTTCTTACATCAGGTGGAACCTCAGTTCCTCTGGAATAGAACACTGTTAGATCTATCGAAAACTTCTCATCTGGATTGAGAGGAGCTGCCTCTGCTGAATACTTCTTGAGAGAAGGCTTCATTGTCGTATACTATTACAGAGACAAGTGCTTAAGACCATTTGCAAGGCATTTAAATGTTTAAAAGCTAATTAATGCTGATCAGTATTTATGCTATCATTAAATTTTTAAGAGAAGAATTAGAAAAACTTAAGCAACTTTAACAAGTTGATAAAACTAAACTCTATGAAGTATCTTATGTTTCTGTGATGGAATACTTGTATTTTGTTATAAAAGCTATGGAAATCTTCAAAGAATTGAAATTGAACATACTAGTTTATTTAGCCAGTGCTGTCAGTGATTATTACATTCCAAAAAACATGATGGCATAACATAAGATCTAAGCTTAAGACAAATTAGAATTAGAGTTAATGCCGGTTCCTAAAATTTTGGGTTTAATAAGGGAAATTTATCAGGAAGCTATAATAATTTCATTTAAATTAGAAACCGATAATGATATCCTCTATAAGAAAATTTAAGAGTCGATGAAGAAATACAATTTAGAATATGTATGAAGTTTTATTGAGTTTTTAGTGTATAGGAAATTTATTGCAAAGTAGAAGAGATCAAATTGTTATATATAATAAGGGAGAGTTTATCAAAATGGAAAGAAATAAGGATGAAATAGAAGAGCAAATTATTGAATATTTTAAATAAAACATCAAATGAAATTAGTTTAAATTATTATTTTAATGCCAATAATACATTATTATTTGAAAAACAGTAATAAATTAAGATCATTAAATTAATTCATTATCTCGTGGGGTGAGACCCCATATTAATTTATATGACTTTCTTAGTGCAAAATTGTATGTATAATAATATTAACTTAATAAAAGTAATATATGACTAGAATTGGAGATTATTTACTATAAATATATAAATTATTTATTAATACTATAAAATCATTTTAAATTCTCATATTAAGATTTTCTTAGATATTCTTATACCTAAAACTCAAAAACTCGTTTGATTTCAGTTAATTGCTATTCCTAATGCATCCCAAAATTTTGAGGAGTCTAAGTGCACGTTTTTTTTTAAGGCAGGTTTTCTCTTTATTTAAATAAATTTGAAATAGTTTTCACATCAATATAAGAATTAGGCTCAAATTAGTAATTCCTTCTTTAGGGTATATTGATAATTTCTTTTTCTTTAATCCCATTTTTCAATATACTTTCCAAAGATTCGTCAAAATTCCTTTTTGATTGTAAATTGCTCAAATTGTTTCTTATTTCATTTTCTGCTTTCTGTAACGTTATATTGACTATATCATTTGAGGTTTCCATAAATTTTTCGTGACTTCTTAAAATGACCTCCTTCTTCGTCTGCTATTTGACGATAAACTTTAAATATCTTGTCCTAAATAATAATGAATATTGTATATACTCTTCATCCACTATAAATACTGCTACATTTTTTTAGGCATGGAGTTCGCGATCCCTTTTTTATTTTTTATCTATTCTTCCTTCATTTCTATAAACTCGAAAAATTGCCTTTATTGTTGAGAGGTTGTACCCTGTGATTTAAGCAATCTTTGAATATTCGTTTAAAATATACTTAGGATGCTGATAGTGATCCTTCAATAAAATATTTTATTATTTTTAGTCTTTCCTCTGAATTCACAGATTGATACTTTTGCTTCTTTTCTGGTTTCATATTAATCATTTTGGTTCTGTGTTGTAAAAAAAAGATTTAATGATTATGTATTTAATGAAATTTCTTATTGTTTAATAAAAAGAAATACTAATATGATTTTTTTATAACTGATTCACGTTATAATAAACATCTCAGAGAGATTACTACAAAATGTTGTCACCAATGCAATCAGCAAAATTTAAATTCACTAAGTATCATAATTGGTATTATAGTAAATTGGTCATTCTTTCCTCAGTAAATTAAGCAGGTAACAATGATATTAGGATCATGCTTAATTCGAGATAGCTGAAAAGAATTTTAAATTTCTATATTTTAATTTACACAAGCTTACACTTCCAATACAAATTATGTTTATAAATTAATTAATTAAAGAGTTAGAAAACTAAGATTGCTAAAAAACAAATTTATGCAGTTTTTCTTAAGCAACCTAATATATAAATTGCTCTATTATGAATGTCTTAAGGTAGTTCCATCATTTAGAATAGACACTTGAAACTTAAAGTAAAATTTATTTAAACTTAGAATATAATGGTTTATATATCTTAATTTAATTTCAGATCGTGAAATGGCAATCGATATTTACAAGAAACCTCAAAAGATCACTACATAGTCAATTTCTTGAATTTCTAAGGGAATATTATGTCTATCTATCTTGATTTTATGAGCTGGACTACTTGAATATCAATTGACAGTTATAAGTTAATAATTATAATTTCTAGTGATTAAAAACTAATTTTTTGTAATGTTATAGTATAAGATAAGTTGAACTAATTCATTGCGAATATATAATATTACTCCTAATAAAAATAATGTTTAGTCTAATTTGAGTTTAATCAGAGTACAAACAATATTAGATGCTTAATAGTGCATATTTTCTAATTTGAATATATTACTAGTTATCAATAACATCAGATCAATACTATATTATTATCAATCAAATACATGATTGGATGATGTGAAGACAAAACAAAATTATATTGTTATCTAAATTCTAAATAATGTATTAAAATTTACATTATTTTAAATACATCAACACCTTAATTTTCATTTAAACCTATAAAGATTCATCCTTTATTTTACTGATATAAGTTAAAAAGTGTTTGAAGTTACGATGAATATGTAGATTACAGACAAGAATATAAGATGGATGGTGAGGATATATAATATGATTAGAGAGTCAACGTGTTTTAAGGCTGGATTAGATTGAATAATTTATTGTTTGGAATGTGATTTAGCATTATTGAATTAATTAATTAAAAATGGACAACGTGTAATTCGAAGTCTAGAGTATTTTGCTTCGTATAAGAGATTACAAGAAGACAAATCAATTAGCAGTAGGGTCTTTTGGATAAATCTTCACTTAAGGCACTTTAAATGGACTTTTGATGTATGAAGACTCTGATGAGCAAGTTTCAATAGCTTTAATAAATTTTTATTCTAAAATCACTTATTTAGAAGGAAAACAAGTGTTAGAGAAAATGGTAGATGCCGTATAGAAGATAACTTCAGTGAATCAATTGTTGTTGGAAAAGAAACTAAAAGTAATGAATTATATACATTATTGAAAGTTTATAAGAAATGCATTTGAGCATCCAGAACTAGATGTTCCAATAATGAATAGTCTAATAAAAATGAATAGGCAAATAGAGTCAAGCGTGCCCAACCTATTAATCCGAGAATTGGCAAGAGATTCATTGAGTTAAGGATTAAAAAGAATGAGTTAGACCTGCAATGAAGAATTGCTGATAGCTGCATTGCTTGATTTAAGGAATGAAGTCTTATAGTAGATTGCAAATAGAAATAATGAAACTGTAAAACTCATAGAGTACCCTTATTCAATAATGATATTTATCTTGTAATTGAGGAAGCCTTAGTAATTTATAGTCCAATATTACATACCAATGTTATTATAATTAGTGAAATTTGATCACCCAGTGATATGGAATTATTTGAATTAGGCATTGTTATTTGTGTTGAATCTGAATATGCAAGAGAAATTGGGAGATGATTTATTTGAGACTCGAACTTTATTTGGACAGGTCGTATTAAAGGGCATATCAAATCATTTGAATAGACTATCCAATATGTCCATTACTGATATGGCATAACACTGTGAAATAGACACTCACTTTTTTGTTAAGTTTCTAATGGAGTTGTTTAGTTCCAAAGAAAAGATAAAGTTCATTTTCAAGAAATGTGATATGAATCCATTCTAGAAACCAGTATTTCAGGAAGTTGTACAGAAGTTATTTGAATTAAGCAGAGTATCAAAGCGATTGTAATGTGATGATGGCAGAACATTACAAAAATAAATTTATGAATTATAAGTGTAATTATTCAAAGCTAGTTTAACTAAGAAGAGTTAATAAGAAACAACGAAGTTAATTAAATTTTTGACAGACTTTACGAATGAACCCAGAAACACAATAAAAGGAATTCCACATGAATAGGTTGTTAATTTTCTTAAGTACTGTAATCTATTTAATGAAAAATTGATGATTGAAATATTAGGATGTCACAAAGAGGAGTGTGTTACTATAATGGAAAAATACGTAAACACATTCGATTACTCTTAACTGAGTTTAGTTGAAGGATTAAGATTTTTGACTTCTAACTTTTTGCTATTTGGAGAGAGTTAAATGATTGAAAGAGTCTTGAATTCATTTACCATTAGATATTTTGAGTAAAATAAGGATAGTACATATTTTAAACATCCCGATTACCTATTTACTTACACCTATGCCATTCTATTACTTAATACTGATCTCTTTAATAAAACTGTGACCAAACACATGTCATTAGATGATTTCAAAAAGACATGCAAAACAATCAATAATGGTGAAAGTCTTCCTAATGATGTTCTGGTTGCTGACTATAACAATATATAATAAGATGAAATTAAGTGCATCAGAGATTTTGCCACTACTGATGATCTAAGCTAATTTGTTTGGGATAAATATTTAGCCACAAAATGTGAGGCTAGATAAATCTATTAAAGTATGAATGAATACTTTGAAATCTAAACAGATGAAGAACACTATGGGGATTTAATTTTAACCGCTATGGTTCATAATATAGAAGAACTCATAGCATAAACTTAAGATGTTTAGGAATTGACCTCTTTTTTGTAATAAGTTATTGACATCTGTATTAGCAATGATAAATTGGATAATGCCTAATAAATCCTTATTAGTGTAATGAAAATGAGCAATGATTAGTATGACATGTCTATGTATGCTGGTTTCTACATTGCTGAATAATTATTACCTTATACATAATAGTTCTAACCCATCATATCATTAATCAATAATACTATTATGCAAAGACATCAATTAGCCACTGATAACATCAGCAAAGATTGTAGGAATGTTCTGAGTAGGATCAAATTAAATAATAAATTTACAAAGAAGAAAATGGGATCGAATGAAGGTGTGATTTAACTCTTCACTTAGTTTTTAAGATAAACCACTGATGAAGAAAGTGAGGATGATTTATTGAATGAATTGCCCAAATAGGAGGAGTAACAACAACCTTAAATTGGTATAAAATCTCCCTTTTTATTATCAAATCTAATTAATTAAACCAAATTTTTAGACAAAGAAAGATTGAATGAATTTTTAGGTCTTCTGTTGGATTCTATTTAAAATATCACTGATTTCAAAAAAGAGTACATCAAATTTGCTTAAATCATTTTTATATCAGTTGAAATCTTGAGAGTCAATACTGATAGACTATTGTAGTTTTGGCCTACAGTTGTCAATATTCTAACTTAAAAACAGAAATTCGAGAGCATAAAGAAGAATTCAATAAAGTAGTTATTATCCTCTTATTGTGGTTACACATTATTAAAATTAGTGATAGAGTTTCTGCATTAAGGAGAAAGTTTAGAAAACTATTATGATTGTTTTAAATAGGGATTGGAATATTTAGGTGATCAGTCACTCGAAATCTTGCAAGAATTTTTGATTGAAATACAGAAATTTTTGAAACAAAATAGCGAATTAGACTTTTCTATAATATTTCTTAACAATATAGTTTAACTACTGTTGACCATATTTACTGAATTGGAGAAGAAGACCTTGGATTAAACTGATGCTCAAATCATAATGAATTTGATTTAAGATATTTTTGAGTAGATTCAGCGATATCAATCTGAAAAAGAATTGGTCCAAATTTTAAGAAAACACTTAGAAATATTGAACACTCTGCTTAAATAGAGACAACTCAGAAGTGTGTCATCAGTAGATGGTTTCATTGCCAAACACACCTTACAAATAATGACGACTTATGAAAAATATATTCATGAATAGGATAATGCATTTCTGAATGATCTTTTATCATTGGCACTCAATCTGTCGAATGAACATTTACAAAAGATAATATAAATTATGATGTAGGTTATCTTGAATTACAAATACATTGATTTGAAAGAAAAAGAATTTTCTATTCTCTTCAATTAAGTTACTTCTAGATAACAATAGATTCTCTAAACAAATAATGATCAAATGCTGGTCAATTATTCACAAAATCTTTAGAAGATGTACTTCAACTGGATTCAAAAGGATAGATTTTCACTCTAATTATGGTTGGATATTCTGAAGAAGTTCGGAGAGATCTTGGCAAATCTAAAATAAAATAAGAGTCCCCTTTAGGAGAATGTCAGTTTGTCATTTTAGTGTGTTTGTCAAAACTAGTATTTCTAGGATATTTTGAAATGTAAATATTATTAATTAATTCAAGCACAAAGCAATGATGTTTAGGAAAAGACAAAGCAATTTGGGAAATAACACAATTTGGAGCTATTAACTTGATTTTTGTAATATATGTATATTTGTATACAAATAAATACGATTGATTATTTTGAATATTAATTATTAATCATACACATCAAAACATAAATCTACATTGAGGGAAATCGCAAGAAAACTTAACTTCGCAAAACACATAAACGATTATGCAATTTATTAGAGTAAAGACAGTGATTTGTTTTTTCAGAGTTTGTTCTGCAAATTAACAATGGTAATAGAAGAACAATAAGGGAATGCTGAAATATCTTGGCTCGATTAAAGGACTGAATATGAGAGACAACAATGTGAATATGAATAGTAAAATTAATTAGAAAGTCTATTCTTTACGAACTATTAAATTAGTATTACTTAATTACTGATTAAAATCCTGCTGAGAATCACAATGATCAAAGCATAAATGAAGCACAAGCCGTAACGATAGAACTCTTTTGAGAGGATCTTCCTCCAAATATAGAACACATAATGGCGATTATCACTTAAAATAAATGGATGGATGTAGGTCCAATCATGAACGATCTCCAAACATATTATCAGAATAACCAAATAAGTGAATTTGGCATTTCTAGATAAGAGTAATCTCTTAATGGATAATTAAGTGTATTGTAATAGTGTATTCCAGTTTATTGGAAAATAGATGAACAGAACTGGTAAAAAATACATGATTTGAGCAGCATGGAAAACTAGTTTATGGTTATCTTTATCTCCCAACACAACTCCCCCATTTGTATATAGGAATCCAATGAATAGGATTAAAATGAATATGTGATATTTGTATTTTCTTACAATGCCTTTTATGTCACTTAAAATCATGTTGAGCAAAGCATTGACATGAAATAGAATAGCTAAATTGGATACTAAATAAATACATAATCTGGGATCTTTGAATTATAACTTGGCTTAGTTTTGATCCAGGTAATCCTTTATGCAAATGTAAATTATCCATAGTATGTTGGTTTATCTACTCATCACGGAACATAATGAAAACTAAGAATAAATAGATCATACTTACAATTGAAGAGATGAAATAATACTTTGACTGCAATAATTGAAAAGATAAGGATAACAATGTGATTGATAAGGTATCTGTGTAAAACAGAAAGTTATAAAAATAAATTGTTGGGAGAATTGAAAATAATAATGCCTTTTGTGTATTTTAAAAGGATTTCGATAAAACTAAAAATGTAATAGAGGGATATATAAAACTATAATTAAATATAATATATACGTGTTGATTATTCTGCAGGCTATGAGTGTGCTGAAACCCAGTTTGGAGAGTAACACAATAAAGGGGTAATTAAGAAAGTATAGCATAGGTGGAGTTGTCAATTTGGGATTCCAATAAGCAAAATCTGAGTCTAGATAATGTTGCATTTGATCCAAATGGAATTCTTCATCCTATAAAGGGAGTAAATTAACATATTACCATGTAAGGGACTGTGACAACATAATTTATATAAAGGCTCAATGTGAGATTGAGTAGAAATGTAAAATATATCTCATAACCCATAGTAAATAATTAATTAATTTATTTACTCATTTATGAACATCATTTCAATTTCTAAGGGCTTGAGTTTTAGTCTAAGTTTATCTGTTACATTGTTAAATATATTAACTAATTGTAAAAGATCAATATTTTTTGGCAACTACAGTACAATTTTATCGGTCATTTGCAAACCTTTGGTTAGTAACTCTTATAAAGATGGCTTCATGTTGTTTAAATCATATGGTTTATGCAAGTAATTGAGTCCTCCCCTAGAGATATAGAACAATTAATACCAGGGTGGACACATAACAAGGATAAAGTCTTAGTTATTATGACAATACTCAAGAAAGTTCATTTAAATTACTCTGGCAATAGATTGATACACTTGTAAGTTTTTCGTGATATTGTTTATCTTTCTGTATGAATAGTGCAATTAATATACATAGGATCAATGTCTATGCAAATAACTGTCTTAAATAATTAGGCTAATTGGATGGCTAGTCCTCCTGACCCACAGAAGCCGTCTACTACATCTGATTCTGGAGAACTTATTTTTAGTTTATTCGCAATGTAGGAACTCATCACCTTAAAATGATAGTCAACTCAAACCTCAGGTATTACAGAGTACCAAGATTCTTCGTCTAAAAGTATACCCTCATTAAACTTTTTAAATAAGAAATGTCTTTTCTTATAGAACTTCTATAAGTGTTTAGGTATGTCATCAGATATTCCAGATACCATCTAACAAGTGAAACTTTTTTTTGTCACTCTCACTTTTTAATCTAATATCTCAAAAAACTCATTCTATGGATATTCTAATATAGATAGTTTCTGATGCAAAGTTTTTTAACTCTCAATCATTTTANTGGTTTATCTACTCATCACGGAACATAATGAAAACTAAGAATAAATAGATCATACTTACAATTGAAGAGATGAAATAATACTTTGACTGCAATAATTGAAAAGATAAGGATAACAATGTGATTGATAAGGTATCTGTGTAAAACAGAAAGTTATAAAAATAAATTGTTGGGAGAATTGAAAATAATAATGCCTTTTGTGTATTTTAAAAGGATTTCGATAAAACTAAAAATGTAATAGAGGGATATATAAAACTATAATTAAATATAATATATACGTGTTGATTATTCTGCAGGCTATGAGTGTGCTGAAACCCAGTTTGGAGAGTAACACAATAAAGGGGTAATTAAGAAAGTATAGCATAGGTGGAGTTGTCAATTTGGGATTCCAATAAGCAAAATCTGAGTCTAGATAATGTTGCATTTGATCCAAATGGAATTCTTCATCCTATAAAGGGAGTAAATTAACATATTACCATGTAAGGGACTGTGACAACATAATTTATATAAAGGCTCAATGTGAGATTGAGTAGAAATGTAAAATATATCTCATAACCCATAGTAAATAATTAATTAATTTATTTACTCATTTATGAACATCATTTCAATTTCTAAGGGCTTGAGTTTTAGTCTAAGTTTATCTGTTACATTGTTAAATATATTAACTAATTGTAAAAGATCAATATTTTTTGGCAACTACAGTACAATTTTATCGGTCATTTGCAAACCTTTGGTTAGTAACTCTTATAAAGATGGCTTCATGTTGTTTAAATCATATGGTTTATGCAAGTAATTGAGTCCTCCCCTAGAGATATAGAACAATTAATACCAGGGTGGACACATAACAAGGATAAAGTCTTAGTTATTATGACAATACTCAAGAAAGTTCATTTAAATTACTCTGGCAATAGATTGATACACTTGTAAGTTTTTCGTGATATTGTTTATCTTTCTGTATGAATAGTGCAATTAATATACATAGGATCAATGTCTATGCAAATAACTGTCTTAAATAATTAGGCTAATTGGATGGCTAGTCCTCCTGACCCACAGAAGCCGTCTACTACATCTGATTCTGGAGAACTTATTTTTAGTTTATTCGCAATGTAGGAACTCATCACCTTAAAATGATAGTCAACTCAAACCTCAGGTATTACAGAGTACCAAGATTCTTCGTCTAAAAGTATACCCTCATTAAACTTTTTAAATAAGAAATGTCTTTTCTTATAGAACTTCTATAAGTGTTTAGGTATGTCATCAGATATTCCAGATACCATCTAACAAGTGAAACTTTTTTTTGTCACTCTCACTTTTTAATCTAATATCTCAAAAAACTCATTCTATGGATATTCTAATATAGATAGTTTCTGATGCAAAGTTTTTTAACTCTCAATCATTTTATTATTAATATATCTTTAGTGTGTTAATTTCAATATTATAATCATTACACTTGATCAACAATTATAGAATAATGAACAAAATAACAAAACAAAATTTGATTTTTATTTATTAATATGATGTAAAAATTCGTCATCAGCCTTCTATTAATGAATGTTTTGGTAAATGCTTACAACCCTACAATTTATGAATTATCATTGAGACCTTGGCTTTATGAATTAACCAATAAATATGGAAGGAAGATTAGTAAATTAAATGATATTCCAATGGAAGAATTTTAGAATCTAAAAAATCTTGGAGTGGACTATGTCTGGCTGATGGGTGAGTGTTAATGTTTAACTTAGGTATTTGGCAACTTGGAAAATATGGTTTAGACTTTGATAAGGCTCATGCAAATGACTACAAGTCTAATTTGCCCGACTTTACTATGGATGATGTCATAGGTTCCCCTTACGCTATCACTGAATTTGTCTGCAATTCAGAACTAGGCACAGACCAAGACATAGTAAATCTGAGAAAAAAGCTTAATGACATGGGGCTAAAACTCATGCTCGATTTTGTTCCTAATCATTCTGCAATTGATAGTCCATATAGAACATCAAATATTGATTATTATATTAGAGCTCCTCCCAACACACCCAAGCCTTACGACTCAGAATACTATCTCCCCGATGGAGTTAGCTATGGTGGGGATCAATGGGATGGATTTTGGAAAGACACTGCTTAATGGAATTATTGGAACAATGATACTAGAAACTATCTTAAGTCCATAGTGAAGAAGATAGCTTCAATGTCAGATGGTATGAGATGTGATATGGCTATGGTGATATTGAATGATCTCTTTTACAACAAGTGGAAACCTTAATTAGATGCTTGGGGTTACAAGAGACCATCCACTGAGTTTTGGTCTGAAGCTATCAAGGAGACCAAATAACAATATCCAAATGTGATATTCTTGGCTGAAGTGTATTGGAGCAAGGAACAGGATCTCATAAATTTAGGATTTGATTATGTTTATGAGAAATGGTTATTGGATCAATAAGCTACTTTGGATGTAGGAAAGGTTAGGCCCATCTTATCTAATTTGAATTTGAATGTATTAACTGTAATTTTAAGGACTAGTATGCATCTCATTCAAATCATTTCGTTGAGAATCATGATGAACCAAGAGCCATCATAAAGTTTAGTGGCAAAGATTATATTTCTTGCGTTGCTGCATTAATGAGTTACTCTATTCCAGGTGCCAGATTTGTAAATCATGGTTAATTGGAGGGGTTGTCCAATAAATTGGATGTCCATTTAAGAAGAAGTTATAAAGAGAATGGATCAGCTTACGTTAAATCATTTTATGGAAAGATCATGGCCATCTTAAAAAGAGAGGTGTTTAAATCAGGAAATTGGACATAATTGACTGTTACAGGGGATTAATCTTGGAAATTCTTTGCTTTTAGAGTAATTAGATTGAAATTATTGATTAGTGGACTAATGCATCAGATAAAATAGTTGTAGTAATTAACTTCTCTGAAGGATCAGGATACGGACTGGTCAAACTGAGTGATGCCTCAAGTGGATAATAGACTATAACTGAAATGATTAGTGGATAAACTTATGTAAGAAGTGGAGATGATATGAGAAACAATGGGTTGGGTGTCATAGTTGATGGATGGAATGCTTAAATTTTTAAATATTTCTGAAGCAATAATAATATAATATTTTAAAATTTGGAAAATTACATTTAGTGTGATTATTTAATTATATCTCACTACTTTTTCTTTATTTTAGGTAGTTATTGATGTTCTTCAATTATCTTCATTAAAACAGTAGGTCTTTCTGCACTAGGTTACATGGACAGATCCTTTTTCAGTGGATCATTCTTTGATCTCTTTAAATGATTACTAGGGTTTCTCTCGTTGGAGGAATTCTTCCTTAAGATATGCTATTCCTCATCTTATCTTTAAGTTCCAGAGATGATTGGCAACTTCTATGAATAGTGTTATTTGTTGAGGGATTGGATGACATCTTTAGCATAATAATTAGCATTTATTTGAATCTGATGTTCTATTCGATCCTTCGAGATACATTTACTTTGATAATAATTCAATTCTTACGGTTAGACTGATTCGTACTTCTCATGTTTTTCGTGAGTAGAATTTGACACTCTCAATCTTCTATCTGGAGGCAAGACATTATCTTAAATGGTCTATTTTGAAGTAGATTTGTTTAGGTTCTATTTGAAATTAGGACTCTTCTCAATATCCTTCTATTCAAGTTAAGTGATTTGTTTCATTAATTGATGCAAAGCCTCGTTAGGTTAATTTAAAGAGATCGAATCATTAGTATCTTAAGATTTGATTCTATTAGATTGCTGATTCCTCCTCAAATGATTAGAATTATGTTGATTCAAGTAGTTGCTCCCAGGCAATTGGAAATTTAGATTGATGAGTTCTGACTTGTTGGCTTGCAATCCCTTCCTGGTGATTGGCCACTTGATTGTCTTTAGTAAATCATCCTCGATGTCCTCTGAGATCAAGGGTATCCCATATTGTTTGGCCTTCTTCTGCACATACTAATATTGGAGTAACTTATCTAATGTTTAAGTGTTAGATCGTTACCACAATCAGGTCTGTTTTGAGGATGCACTTGCATCATGGTCTTAATTAACTGAACCAACTCTTGAGAGTAGATCACTGGGATGGGTTAATATTGACCTCTTAGAACGGATTTGTAAAGTCCATCCATGTCTTTGGCTCTGAATGGTCTAATCTAATAGTAGGATCATATGTACGGTTTCAAAGCACAGGCCTCATAAATCACACACCCCAAGGACCATATATCAGCCTTATGATCATAGGGTTTGTCCTACCAAACCTCCGGACTAGCATAATAGGGTGTCCCAGTTTGAGTGTAGACCAAACCATTCTTGGCTAGTTTGGAAACGTTGAAGTCCCCAAGTTTGACTTAGTCATTTTCATATAGGAAGATATTTGCACATTTCAAATCTCGATGCAGTATTTTTTTATGATGTAGTGCTCTTAATCCCTATAAAACTTAAATTGCAACTTGCCATATCTCTTATTCAGGAATCATTTGCTATTTTTTTACAAACCTCTAAATCTTTTACAACAAATCTCCTCCTTCTGCGTACTCCATGATAATACTTAGATTACAACGATTATCCATACCATAGATTATTGTCCTCGATAAAACATTCCTTATAAGAAACCACATTCTCATGATGGATTGATGCAATAAACCGGACTTCATTAAGAGCATTCTACTTCTCCCTATCTCCAATGTCTACTAATTTAACCTTTATTATATTAGATAACATCAATTTACTTTCTTTAAAGCATAAATATTGCCATCAGACTTTCGTTACACTTTGTAAACAGACGAGTAGGCTCCAGAACCTAAAAAGATATTAATGCATTTAATAATACCCAGTTTATTCAGGATCTCAAAATTTTATAGTTTGCTTTCCATTTTAATTATAATTTATTATGTAATAATAGTTAACACTTGGCTAACACGAAGTATTCGTCCAAAAGACCCTTTATGAATAGTAACTCCCATACAAAACAGACTCATTGAAGGCCTTATTTTTATATTGTTGTGTCACTACCCTTAAATTATTGAAATCAGAATTTCAATCTGAACCAATCGTAAACTTCTTGAGACTTTTGGAAGTGAAGCCTCATCAATATAAGGCTTCAACATTCGATGATTCAGAACCATCGATAGTGAATTCTTATTGTGCAATATCTACATTGAGGGAACTTTAAGAAAACATTTAGGTCGATTAAGAATCAGCTTTGAGTTTTGTTCGATCTCTTGTGCAGGAGGATGGAAATGTACGTTCCTCTGCCAGTTCTTAGGATGCAGATATAAGAATGGTCTATAGTGCTTTGGCATATCTAGACTTGTTGAATATAGACACAAGCGAATTCTAATAGACTGTCGGAAAATTCGTACTAATGTGCTAGAATTAAGATGGAGCATTTGGATTGAGACCGCATTTGGAATCTCATAGTGGTGCATCCTATTGTGCAATAGCTAGTTTGAAGATTCTAAAGTTGGAAGTACCTTATAAAAGCAGTTTAATAGAATGGTTAGTTAATAGACAATGCAAAATGACTGGAGGCATGGCTGGGAGAGTAAATAAAGTTGCTGATTCTTGTTATTCTTTTTGGATTGGATGGACTCTGAAAATGTTGGGGCTTGATTTATTAGATAAGGAAAGATTGTTGGAATTCCTGTAGCATTGCTAATCTAATTATGGGGGATTCAGCAAACATCCTCAGTGTATGCCCGATCCAATTCATACGTTGCATTCATTATTAGGAATCATGGAGAATGAAAATTATGATTATGTACACGCCATAATATTGAATTGATGATTTTACATAATTATGCAATAATATATATCTATAGGGAATCAAATATTTGATAATTTATATTAATATAATGAAAATGAATTAATTAATAGTGGAGAGGGAAAGTGACAACATTCGGAAAATGAGTCGTCTGGCTATCTTTAATCAAAAAAGGTTTTGGCTAAAAGAAGAAGAAAAGTAATAAACAGAGGAAATAGAGATAGAATTCAATAAACTCAAACTCGAAGAACCCCCTTTAAAACTAGAATAATAAAACCTGCGAAAATTTTGCAAGAATTTTTAAAGTTTTGAATATTATAATGGGGAATCCATCTGTATAAATGACTACTTTATTCGCATCTTACCGGTTGGATAAAGGTGCATCGTTAGCAGTCACCAAGGAGTCACAGTTTTGAAAACAATCAATGGTCTAAAATATAGTTTCTCATCCTCGCTTCCTGGAGGTATTTGCTAAGACAATTAATTTAATAGGGAGTTAAAAGACTCTGATTGGCAGATGCATTCTGGACTGCTTCCTCAGTGCCAATACAGTTTATATTTATGATATTTTGTAATGGGGCAAAATGGATATGAGTGAATAAGTTGCAGAATTGAGGTACTTCTGGATTAAAGGACACATTCTCAGTCAATTACGTTAGGATCAAGAGTAATAGGACTACAACTTTGAATGGATTCCAGTTATACCATCCATCGCTGAATTGCAAAAAACTCTCTTCCCTTACACCAAGAATGGTTTACTTTTCATACGCAAAGACTCTTATTATTATGCTGGAGTCAATCCAGAATGTTTCATCTATCAAGATGAATTCACAGACGAAAACTTTAAAGAAGAATGCATCAAATACAAATTAGACAATTCAATTACCTTAACTCTCAGTCTCTTCCAAAATCAATTACTAACCAGAGATGGTTACAATATTGCCTCATCCAAAAGCACCAAAAACACAAAAGTGATTGTTGATGCCAAAATTAAAATTACTGATAACGAGTTGATCTTACTTGATATCAAAGATCCATCCAAATTTTTGGAAGATCCCTATTCTAAAATAATGTTCTGGAAGTTGTTACCTCGCTTAAGGATACAATGATATAAATAAATAATTGATACTAAATCAAACAAAGAATCTTTTTCTAAGTCCATTAGTTGAGAATTCTTTCAAAATTATCTACTTATTTGAAAAGTTCTAGGCGAAAGTAAAATCTAATCCTCTATATTAGCATTCCGATGTCTCCACTCTAGGTTTCACTTTTCTCTCAGGTCTAACATTCTATTGAGACAGAAGTTGTTTCTTAGCATCCTTAACTACCTACAGCACTCTTTGCGGTCGTAATTTTATAGATTCACTTTCAACTCTATGCAATTCAATCAATGAGGATCTCCGCCCCATTTTACATTATGCTCTATTTCCTAAAGATTAGTCTGGACTACATGAATCTTATTAGGTTATCAAAGGTGCCAATATATTTTTAATATGCTACTGAGAACCTGTTTTCTATGATTTTCGCATAATTATTAATTTAATAATGATTAAATAATCTTTTTTATCATCACACTCCCCACATTATATTTTGTGAATCAGAATTTTACCATTTCTGAAAAACCACTCCTCCTATTAAACTACTGAAGATCTTAAACATTCAAATAAATTAAGAAATTTAAGAAATTTAATCTTGAGATTTCGAAATTTATTATTTTGAGAAACAGGATGAAACACCCATTCTCATTTATAACTATTATCTTTGTTATAGATGATTAATAAAGGCTTGACATACAATAATCTTTTGATTGAATAAATATAAATGAAGATACTATTGCAATTGAAATTCAAAGAATTCATCTTGTTATTTTATAATGAAACGACTTCAGCTAAAGACCTAAAGCATTAGTATTTAAATTATGTTCTCTAATAAGTCTAACAAATTGGTAAAAATAATAATATGGGACAACCATGAATTTTGTAAAGTATCATATCAATAAAATCATTCAGGTTATTATTTTTTAATTTCCTATTTTTACTCCAGCACCTCCAATTATCTAGTCAGCCATCTCAACTTCTCTTTCTTTTTTATGAGCAGCATTATTAACCTAAATTATTTATATGTATCTTAATAGAAGGTCTAATTCAACCACATCCTAGCCAACCTTAAAAAAAAGAGTTCTGATCTATCATTATAATTCATTTATTGTTCCAAATAATCTGATTATTATAACTTCTCTTCATAAAATTCTAATAATTACATTCTTTTCTAAAGCGTATATTTGCTAAAATCAAGAAATATTAAATAACTTTTCAATTAAAATAACTCCTCTGGTATTATTTCAAATAGTTCTATTCCTTCACATTCTGCAACTTGCATCACTAATAAAGGATTATATGTTGGCATTTATTTTAAACCCCTATCATTTAACTTCATTAATTCTTTCGCACAAATTGATGATTTCTTTATCAACTTTTGTAAAATCTAATAATATAATACAGGAAGCTCCTCTTTCTCTTATTAAATTTCAATCTCTAATAATCGAATTGTATTTGATTGCTATTATCGATAGTTTAATAAATAATTGGTTATCATTTCTTTCATATAACTGTTCAACAATCTCAATTTCAAAACATCATGCAAATATAAAAATGGAAAGATATTTAAAAAGACTGAATAAGTTAATCTATCTTCTAAAATTCTCTTTGACAAATAATTCCTTTATTACTATATGAATAAATATAATTTTACAAATTTTATCTGCATCTCCACTAATTGTTTCCACAACAAGTTCAACTCTAGATTTTATCTCTTATTGTTCCTCTATAAATTCATTATTTCATCCATCTTAATTACAATAATTATAAGAAATTAATAACTAAGAAAAATCGATTCTTTTAGATATCCAAATAATGGCAATAAAATATAAATTTAGTTATAAAGAGGGTATATCAATTATATCCTTTTCAAAAAAGTATTATTTAGTGAAATAGAATTTGATGGCATAAAAATAAATATTATTATTAGCTACATAAATACAATGATAGTAAATTTATTTATGGATAGTAAATTTATTTATGGATATTATCGAAAATTTTAATTTCAAAAAATTAAATAGAATACTTTTTATTATTAACTTCTTCAAATTGATAAAAAATACAAAATTATTAATAAAAATGGGTGGTTCCTCTTCAAATAAAATTGTTGTTAGACAAGAAAGTTGGACAAAGTGTTTCGTTTAAAAAGACTATTTAGATAATTTTGATAATCAATATTCTAACCAGAAAAAATAGTAATAGAAATCTAAAAAGCCTGAAGATTCAAAATAATCAAAATCATCCTAATAGGCAAATCAATAACAACAACCTATAAAATAAATTTAACCAAAATAAACTAATACAAAATAAAATTTAAAATTAGCTGATTGGGTTTGGCCAGGTGGTATAATACCATATCTTATTGATGAATCCTTTACCTAACAAATGAGAGAATATTTATCATAAGCAATCTAAGAATTCGAAGAGAAAACACCTCTTCGATTTTTATAAATAAGTGATTATTAAGAGTACGATCAATATGTAAAATATTACAGAAACGAAGAATCTTCAAGCTATGTTAAGTGGATTGGCCGATCAACATCACATTAAGAGCATGCAGTGTTCATAAATGAGACTTATCCTTATGGAACATATCTTCATGAAACTATGCATATTTTAGGTTTTGCTCATGAATAATGCAGATAAGATAGAGATCAATACGTCTCAGTATAGTTTTCAGAAAAAGATTCTAAAAAATTAAAGCATTAATATGAGAAGATATAGGGACTCATGCTTGGTGAGTATGACCCTGATTCAATCATGCATTACCGTTTAAATAAAAACATGACCTCTAAAGATTAATATAAGAATCTATAATTTGGACAGAGAAAATTCTTAAGCGATGGAGACATAAAAGGAATTTAATTAATCTATGGAAAAAGTTAATGTACATTTGATATCTACGGCGATAAATATATGGAATAAGATTTCTTTGAATGTATCACATGTTGGGGACAGGGTTCAGTATTTGGAGCTTGTAGGGCATGTGGCATTACTTGTCATTCGGGACATGAATTGATATTAAAAAAAGCGAAATCCTTTTATTGTGATTGCGGTAAGTATAAACATACAACCCAATTGTGTACAAGAAAAACTACAAGCTTTAAAAGGGTAATAATAAATGTATATATGTTATGATTGCTTTGATATTAAAAAGTATTAGTAAACTCATGATGGTGCTACTCCAGGAGTTTGTTACCCTTGCGCTATGAAGTGTCACAAACAGCATAACCTGAAATTGTAAGGGGTGGCCTCAGGCTTTTATTGTGATTGTGGTTTAAACGCTTGCAAAACAGCATGCAAAGCAAAATGAAACATATCTATAAATTATCATTGAATTAGATATAATAATTTAGATTTGAATGGTATTCTTAAGATATCATTTTTAATATAAATGGATTTCGATATTAAAAAACCTAGTTTTTAATTTATCTTCTCTACTCGATTATGTAAAAAATTCTAAATTGTAATATACTAATTAATATAAAATTAATAATAAAAACAGTTTAAACAACTTTGATGAATTCTCCTAGTGATTCAATTGATGACATTATTAGTTTATTAAACAAACACTATCATCCAAATAGTAATTAAGAACAATAATGTAAAGTTTTTGAATAATTAGTAAATCAGCTTAACAAAATTCAAGACCCAAAGCAGGTATTGGAAATGTTATGCTTCCTCAAATAAAAGTAATTCTTTATTAACTAATTCAGTAATAATTGAACGTATTGAGTGCAATTCCGAATACTTATAATAATAATTCAGACAAATTCAAAAGAAAGGCAGCAAGTTTAAATCGATAGCAACAACCGAAATCATAAGCCAAAGACACTAATTCCTTTTTAACTCCAATGACCAGATATTTAACTTTTAAGCCCTATTCTGGAAGCACTGACATAATAATAAATGTATGAATGTTAATAAAAAGGATGTTGGTTACTATTATAAATTTGGAAGCAGTCCAATAAAATTGGTAAAAGGATTATTGGAAGAGAACGGCTTCAAAGAAAACAATGATAAAAATTGGACTTTGTATTGGTCTTCATGTGCAATAAGATCAGAAATTTATACAAATTTATTTGCTTATTAAAAAGTATGTCATTTTCCAAAATCTTATGAAATGACTCGAAAAGATTTAATGCACCGTAACATTTCAAAAATGTAAATAAATCATGGATTTATCAATTTTAATTTTATCCCAAAGACATACATATTGCCAGCAGAGATGAGTTATTTTTTAGAGGAACATGAGAAAATTAAAAATAACAATCCTGTCTACATATGCAAACCACATGCTAGTTCTCAAGGCAAAGGCATATTCATTACCGATAAGATACAAGATGTAAATTCATATTCTGAACTATTTTAAGATATTAAATAAATAGAATTCCAATAATTCATATGTCGTTTCACATTATATTGATAAACCACTATTGATAAATAATCTAAAATTTGATTTGAGAATTTATGTAGCTATTACTTGTATAAATCCATTGAGAATATATGTGTATTAAGACGGATTGGCAAGATTCGCAACCGAAGCCTATAATCCTGATTCTGTAAAGTAGAATAGATTCGTACACTTGACTAATTATTCTGTGAATAAAGATTCACCTAATTTTGTAGCCAATTAGGATCCAACTTTAGATTATTTAGGTAGTAAGTGGAGTTTGTTGGCATTACGCGAATATTTAAAATTAAACAAAATAAATGAAGTATTTAATTAAAATGATTTAGTAACAAATCTTTGAAAGAATAGAGGATCTAATAATTAAGACAATCATTAGCGTTGAGAGTGCCATATTTTAGGCATGCGAAATGAATGTGCCATTCAGATCTAATTGCTTTTCCTTATTTGGATTTGATGTTTTGGTGGATTAGTTTTTGAAACCTTGGCTTTTGGAAGTCAATTTTTCACCTTCACTGAATATTGATGCTCCTTTGGATCTCAAAATAAAAGGAGAAATGCTAGCAGATCTATTCACGCTTATAGGAATAGTACCATTAGTAATCTTCATTATGATTAAAGGACTAAAGATTTTCATAAGATTTATCGTATGTTAGAAACTAAAGCAATTATGATGTTAAGAAACATCAATAGGAATTTGAAAAATATATCATAAAAGAGACAGAAGAAGAAATGAAACGAAGTAGAGGTTGGAAAAGACTATATCCATCTGATTAAAGTTCTAGATATAGTAAATATTTTGAATCTGATAGACCTTTAAATGCATTACTAAGGAATCATTATAAATGAAATATAATCAATTTTTATTATCTATTTCAAAAAAATTATAATAATCTTCATTAAATGATTGACAAAAATGATTAAAAATCGTATAAGTTTGAAATTAATCACCTCCTTTCTTTATATGAAAAAAAAAAAAAAAATTCATTATCTAATAGATATTAAGTTAGGCAAATTTAACCCTTTTTCCATATAAATTGAATAAAGATAAGAATCATCACTAGATACATTTCAAATTCAATTATAAAAAGAAGATAGATACATGGAGATATACAAGCTTTATGATACATAACAGTTTAATGCTTATTATATAATTCGTGATTCTAATAATTTATCGATAAATCTACAATCTAAAAGAATAATAGAAAATTGGTTATCAAGATTTAAAGAATTCAAGAAATTCCAACAACTTAAGGATAGTGATAGATAATAAGAGTATGATGAAGATGAATGAAATTTTGATATAAAATAGGGAAAATAAATCCATAAATTTATAAATCTTAATTGAACATAAGAAGTGATATTCAATATGATTTACCCAAACTACTATAATAAGAATCATAACTAGAGATCAATTAAGCATATTGCGCTTCTTTAAGACAAAGATGAATGAAAATAAAGTATTTTAAAGGAATTGTGATATTATCTTTATAGAGTATAATTATTATAGAACTGGCAATTATTATTATATTTATAATTTGATGCTGAAACCTGATTTGGAATTTTTATATATAAAGGGCAATTAGAAATTTCAAGATGTTGCCTTTTAATAACCTATTCGATAACATCAGCCGAAAGTGAATGCAATAAAACTCAAAGGGTTTCAACAATTTGTCGAACTCATTAATAAATAATAAGAATAACAACAATAATTGAAAACCTGTTCTTAATGCACTCCTTAATTTCTACCAACTGTTATTTCCTATCCCCCAAAAATAGAAGTTTAAACCAGAAAAGCAAGTGAGATGAAACTATTCGTAAAAAAAAGTTTTATCGATACACCTACTGAATCACATTCTTAGGAAAGAAGTAAGAAAGATATTAGACTGATTCCTTAAAAATAATTTTCAATTAAGAGAGCAATAACTTCTAAAAACGAGGATAGTAATGTAATATTTGAATAAAATGAATTTCCAATTCTTATAGCACTATCAAATAATTTAAGTGTTTAACCTCCCGATAGAGCCATCTATAAGGCATTTGTGACTAAGGGTAATAATGGAATATTGATCAGATAGAGTTTGAAATAAAGACCATGGTGGATACTGATTGATTAACCTAGTGAAGACATGAATTTCTATTGGACATAATTACGAAAATAAGCACATTATGAACAATTGTAAAAGTAGCAATTAGAGTTGGCTGTATTTAGTAAATTGTAGAAGAAATAAGTAAACGACAAATTGAAATATAAAATTGAAGACTCAGAATACTCGATATTTCATTAGAGTGCTAGTTTGAAAGTACATAATCATTTAGAATGTAATTTTTAAGTGTGCAATAAAAAGGCCCTCTTTTATAATATGAAAAATTACTATATTTCTCGAAATGAGGATCCCTTTTAATTTATACCTCTTACGTATCATGTCTAAACAGGTCCAAATGATCCTGCTTACTTAGAATTTGAATAGTATGCTTAAACATAGAATGTAAATCTATGGATAGTAAAACCAGGAGAATCATCGAATAGAGGGAACGGTATTTAAGTTGCAAATTCAATCCAAAAGGTAAAATCAATTATTTCTCAATCCACTAATCATCATAATGGAATGAAAAAGACTTTTATTGTTCAAAAGTACATGGAGAAACCTCTTCTCTACAATAAAAGAAAGTTTGATATTAGATGCTATATATTGATGACCAGCATCAATAATAAATTCAAAGCCTATTGGTATCAAGAGGGGTATATCAGAACCAGTTGTAAAGAGTTCTCATTGGATGATGTGGAAGACAAATTTACTCATTTAACCAATGATGCAGTTTAGAAGAAGAATTAAAATTATGGAAGATATGAAACTGGCAACAAAGTAATTAAATATTATCTAATTTAGGTGTCTTTTAATGAATTTTAAAAATACTTACAGGATAATCATAATTACAATTTTTCAATAATAATTGAATAACTTAAAAAATTAAGTACTGATATTGTAAAAGCCACATATCAACACTTAGATCCAAATCGCCATTTTTACACTTTTGAGTTATTTGGATTAGATTATATGATTGATTAAGATATGAAACCTTGGCTTATCGAAGTGAATACTAATCCTTGTTTGGAAACATGTTGTCCACTTTTAGCTAGACTGATTTCACATCTAATTGAAAATTCAATCCGAATTGCTATTGATCCTATGTTCCCACCTCCTCTCAACAAAAAGAAGCATATTTAAGATTAAAAAAATTTATTTGAATTAATCTTCTCTACTACTTTAATTACTGATCCAGTTACATAGCCCATCATAAAAGAAGATGATGAGGAACATGATGATGTTGAAGATGATAATTGATTATTATTTTATAATTAAACAAATTATCTTTTTATCAACTTTAATTAAATTTAATTAAACTTTATATAAAAGTCATAAGAAATATTGACAATAATATATCACTTAATTTCACCCATTGAAAGTGCAAATAATCAGAGACTAAAAGGGTAGAGACAAATTCCTAATTATATATTTGTATAAATTGGATTATAATTGTTGAAACAGTTTGTGAATAATGAAATAAATATTAAAAAATTTCATGAGTATGACTTTTTTTTTTATTTTTTTTTATCAGAGTCTACTAATTATTTTATAAATTCAGGAACTCTCTATCTTTCTTTTTCTAAATTCCTAAGTAATGATCATGAATAAAAACCTTTTAAATTCAATTATCTACTTCTGACCTTTCAATATTTCTTTGAGTGCTTCTGTCCTCTCTTTGTAACCAATCTTTTTGATAAGATCATCAGGTAGCTTTTGATCGAATGGATTATACTGTACATACATATTATGCATATTTTTATAAAAGTGCAATTCATCTAATAGTTGATGATAGACATAGATACCTTAATACTACTATTCCACTACATCAGGCTTTTGAAGATACCTCTAATCATAAGGTATGTACCATTTATTATAAAATTCTTTTTGTTTTTTGGGCAAGTATGGCAATGAGGGTTACTTAGTTTTAATTATTTTATTGATTTCTTCTTTCTATTTAGATGTATGTTCCTAATTTTATGAATGATTTACTGCGGATGTCACTGTAGATGGGTTCGGTTTTGTGGGGATCATTTGATTTCTTTCTCCTCATTACTGAGATTTATGCAAGCTAGTCCAATTAGTCCAAATTAGGAGTTCTGTTGTGATGCATTGATCCGAATACAGGAGGGGAGACTTATCGCAAAATCAAAAGGCTTTGTTATATTTTAGATTCTGTTTCCATTAATATTTATATGATAATAAGAATATCGAAGAAATAATTAAGTAATTTTGGATCGAGATTGTTTGGAGGTGGTTTGCAATAATGCTAATAAATAATATTACTTAGTAAATACTATAAATAAAATTATATTAATAATGGGACCATGTTCATCGTAATAAAGGAAGCCTGTGAGCAATAGCTAGGCCTTGGTGTCTGTCACTAAACCAACGAATGCAGAGGAGTTTTAGGTACGCCCCAATATCTTTGCGACTCTAAAATAAGGTTCTATTAGTAGCTTTTATAAGATTGAGAAAAGTTTGGGTTAAGGTAGTTAGATTATGTTAAATTAGGGGCTTTTGGGGATGTAAGGTTGGTTATACATAAAAGTTCAGGATTTAAGAGAGCAATGAAGCAAATTAGAAAGGATAAAATAATAAAAGAAGATGAGGAGAATATGCTTTCGGAAGTAAATACTTTAAAGGAGTTGGATCATCCGAATATTGTGAAATTACACGAACTGTTTTAAGATGCGAAAAGTTATTATCTAGTAACTGAGTAAGAGTAAAGAATATATCTAGATATTTAGAAGGAGGGGAGTTATTTTAGAAGATTACCGATATGAAACATTTTTCAGAAAAAATGGCTGCAGACATTATGAAATAAATTTTGGCTGGGGTTGTTCATTGTCATGAAAAGAAAGTAGTTCATAGAGATTTGAAACCTGAAAACATTATATTCGAAAATAAAAAACCAAATTCAAATCTCAAAATTATCGATTTTGGAACTTCAAGAAAGATGGAAACTAACTAAAATCTAACCAAAAGACTGGGAACTGTAATATTCCCTAGTATTTTAGCCATATTACATTGCACCTGAAGTCCTAAAGAGGAATTATAATGAGAAATGCGATGTATGGAGTTGTGGAGTTATCTTATATATTATGCTTTGCGGTTATCCTCCATTTGGTGGTTAGGATCAAGAGATATTGTAAAACATTGAATTAGGAAAATATGAATTTGATCGTAAGATTTTGTCAATATGTTTTTAAAGCTGAGGATTGGAATAAAATATCAGATGAAGCTAAGAATTTAATCAAGAGAATGTTAACCAAGGATTATCAATAGAGAATTTCTGCGTAAGAAGCTTATAATGATCCTTGGATTCAAAAAAATGCACCAAACGGACCAATAGATATGAAAGCAATCAAAAATTTGTCATCATTTTTTGTATTTTTAAATATTATTCTAGGGTAAAAATAAAGTCAGGGCTGCCCTCATGCAATTTATTACGACTAATTTAATGACCAATACAGAAAAAGAGGGTTTATTAAATGAATTTAAGAAAATTGACAAGGATGGTAATGGATAAATAAGCAAGGATGAATTGCTATAAGGTAAATTTCTGTTTTTTCTATGTTAGTTTATATGAAATAATATGATGAAATCAAAGCAAAATAAATGGTAGATGACATTTTTGAAAAAGTCGATATCAATAGATCTGGCTTTGTAGATTTCACAGAATTTATGATGTCAGCAGCCTCTGAAGAGAAACTATTGAGCAAGATTAAATTATAATAAGCTTTCAATATGTTTGATACTGTAATATTATATATTGATTATCAAGAATGGAGATGGATAAATCAGTAGAGATGAACTTTAAGAGATTATGGGAGGAGTGGATGATAATTTATGGACAGAAATTCTCAATATGTGTGATGCGAATGGAGATGGTTAGATTTCATAATAAGAATTTATTGATTTCTTAGTGAAAAAATATTAACAATGATATTAATGATAACATCAAATTCATAATAATGAGTAAATAAGATAATACACTCTTTTGTGATCTTTTATGCAAAGTTCTGTTCATAACCATGGGATACCTTTATATTGGTTATGCTCTCACATATTACGCAATTACTTAGGATTCTATTGCATATGTGTTGGAATATAAGAATTCCCCCAACAAGAGTGTCATCGAAGGTTTCATAAATGCATCCCTTCCAATCGGGGCAGCAGTTGCAGCCTTAGTGTCATGTAAAATAATAATGCCATAAATTTGTAGCGATGATAGTAAACAGGCTCAATTATCGAAATACCTTCATTCTCTTTGACATAATTGGAATCTGCATAGGATTGTTATTCACAATACAAAGCTTAAGTGTTTTAATACTATGTAGAACCTTATAAGGATTTTTGACAGGGTTGAATAGCGCTTTAGTCATTCAATACATCTATCATTTTGTGCCTCTAAACAACGTGGGAATATTTGTTGGACTGGGTCCATGCCTAATGATGGTAGGTTTAACATTAGGTTTTGCAGTCTAATGGATATTTATCGGATAGCCAGCCTCTGAATATAATGTGGATTAAGATTATGGATATTTAGGATTTAACAATTGGAAAATTATTTTCATGTTTACAGCTATTCCCTGCATTATTCGCCTTTTTGGCATGCTTTCCATTTTGAGATCAAATTTGCCATTTGAATAAGTGAAAAATGGAAATGATGAAAAAGCAATATTATAAATTTAAAGTTCCTATCCAAGTACGACTACAGATCAAGAAATCCAAGAATTACTACTCTAAATCAAACAGAACATGTAGGACGAGAATCAAAGCATTAAAGACCTATTTAGTAAATGGTATAGAAAAAGCATGATTCTCTGTATGATCTTCGGAGTGTTATAATAATTTGCTGGAATTAATGCTGTAAACTTTTATGCTGGTGCTATTATTGGTGCCATGACAAATGATAACACTACATTAATAAATTTAGCAAATGTTACAAATGGTTTAGTAAGTATTACAGCTTCTATATTCAGCAGTATTATGATTAATAGAGCAGGGAGAAGAATTGTCTTATTAATTGGTAATGCATTCTGTTTAATATCATTAACATTCATTTGTGTAATCATCTCGATCTAGTCATCAGGTGAAAATTAGGAACAATACTATTAGATATTCAATCTAGTGTTTCTAGTTATCTATGTCATTTCGTATAGTCTTTCTTTGGGCCCTGTGTTTTGGGTCTATCTATCAGAAGTCCTACCAACCAAAGGAATATCATTAGTCACTTTTATTAATTGGCTTAGTTGTGCAGCTTTGGCCCAAATCTTTCCCATCATTGTTGAATAATTGAGTCTACAATTCAATTTTGGGATATTTGCAGCGGTATGCTTATTATTGGAAATTATGTTTTATTTCTTTTTTTTTGAAACAAAAGGTTTAACAAAAAATGAAATACAAAATCTATTTTAAAGCAAAAAGAATTATGTTGATTTAAAAGATTGAGAAAATAATCAAAAATTATTTAAAAAATAATGTTATAATTAAAATTTTTCATATATGATAATATATAAGTACTTTTACGAAAGGTTATCTAAAAGACAATCTATATATATAGTTTTCATGTATTATACTGGATGTTTAATTAGGTTAAATTAAATTCATAATATAACTTAAATTTTGAATTCTAGAAAATTCGAATGAAGTTTTATAATAAAAATATGGCATTCTAATATTTTTTTATTTAAGGAAATGATACAAAAAGAGTGTTATTATGTGACACTTGGAATAAGTAGAACAGCTACTCCGGATGAAATCAAAAAATAATACAGAAAATTAGCATTGCAATGGCATCCTGTATTGTTTATATAATATTATAGGATAAAAATCCAGAAAATAAAGAGAAGGCTCAAGAAATGTTCAAACAAATAGGAGAGGCTTATTCTATTCTATCGGATATAGAAAAGAGAAAATTTTATGATCAATATGGTCATTAAGGGTAGAATATTATTTCTAGTATTTATAGAATGGAGGAATAAATCCATTAACATGAAGAGGAAGGTGATTTTGCGTTTTTTACATTTGATCCTTTTGAGATATTTAATAATTTCTTTTGTTCTGGAGATCTTCTGTTCGGATCAGATGATGATGAATTTTTCATATTAGAGAATAGAAGAAGAAAGAAGTAGAAGAAGAAGAACACTTACTCTATTTTTGGATCTATGGTAAACAATTTCATCGACCCTCCCTTTTTTGATAATAATTAGGGTGGTTATTCAAAATCAATATCAACAACCACATAATTTATGTAGAAATATTAATTTATTTAAGCAATGGCAAATAAGTTACAGTAACTAAAGAGACTATCAAAAATGGAGGTAAAACTACTGTAATCGAAAAAAGAAATGAAAATGGTAAAATCACTTAGAAAAAATACGAAATATAAGATAATTAAAGAAGACCTGAATTATAATATGAAGGATAAAAAAAAAAGAAAAAAAAATAATAACATTGATTGTGTGTGTATATTCTTTTAAATATCAATAATTTTATTACATTTAATTTTTGAGGAATTGTTATTTTTTTTTGAAAAGTTTATCTGCCATTTATTAACGAAATATTTTTTAAAATTATTTGGCTGGACAATTTTTATCCTCTTATTGGATGTAATCATGCATTTCTGTTGATATAAATTATCCTTCAAAAGTAGGTATCTTTTCGTAAACCTAAATTGTTCAATATTCAATACGTGTTGTCGATCAATCTATGATTTATGAGATGTTGAGTATGGAATGAAACTAGTTTTATGTGTAGTTTATCCTTCAAATTATCCAGTTGGTATAGGTGTTCTATAATATGGAGAAATTGTTTACAAAGAAGTCTTGAAATAATGTGCATTATTAATGCTCCATCTGTTTGGAGACATATACGAGTCTTTGTATTGGGAGGTGCCAATAAATTTAATGTCAGGACTAGTGCTTATATGAGGGAAAGGAGTAAATTTATGATAATTAGTGCCCCAATCATTGTAATTAGACTAAGTTAGAATTAGAAAAATACTCTGTAACTTGTTAGATTGGACACAGATCCAATTTATTGATTAGAATGTTTTTTAAGATTTGGTTAAAATTCAAGAGGTTATTATTGATAATCTTATTAATAGAGAGATTTCAAATTTATAGATTTTTGATCCATAAAATTGGTATCGTATGTTTTTTAATTGAGTGGATTTGTTACACTTTTTTGTGATTTGTGATTGGTTACAAAATCTTTATCATAATTTGTTAAGAAAACTCCATTGAGTTTGAGTTTGACTTAAGTACTAGCATCACATTTGCATCTTCCACAAGTGCATTTGAAACAAGCACACAACTTTAAGTTATGATAAAAATAATCTGTATTTTCATCGAGTAATTGTATGAGTTGTTTCTCATTCAGAGTCAGATTGTCTGGAAGAATTCGTTTCCAAATGGGATCATCTATACTTATTTCCGATAATAGTTAGGGAGTGATTTCATAACAATTGTGATCTTCATGTTATTACTGCTGGAATTGAGTATGAGACTACCTATTCATCATCAGATTGTTCTTTTTGTGAATAAATTACTTATGTTTTACAGCTCCACTAACACTCTGAAGTTACGATGATGGGGGACGCAATTAAGATTATTGTTGATTACAGTATTTATATTAACTCTTTGGACGATATGATCCTTTTTAATTATTGTATTAAAGAAGGCTTTAAGGTTTTTGTTTTAAGAAATCCACAACACCTTCTTAATTCATCTTATAATAAAATATATTTAATTTTTCAATTACATTATTTTAAGAAATGTGTTAAAAATTATATTAATGCTATCTTAATATATAATTTTAAATGTAATTGATATAATCAAATTCTCACAAATCCATTAGGCTCATACGTTTATTCTTAGTATTTTATTTTTTTAAAAGCTTTTAGGTTTCTTTTCCCCTACCTTTTTTTTCTCTTCTCTAATCATAATAGTTTAATATATATACATATAAAGTTTCCTGTTCCAGCCTTATAAATTTAAAATTTTTTATTGCTAATATATGCTTAATTTGTTGACGATAAAGCTAAGGATTTATTCAAACTTTTAGGATCAGCAAAATACTTCTATCCCTTTCTATTTCTTACATCTAGAATGACTCCAACTTGATGTTCATTGAAGTAGTAAAGAATTTTTGGGATTTAAATGGCTGGTTGAATCCAAACAGTTCTTTCGAGTCTGCTTTCCTAGATTAAACTTAACTTATAGAACAAATCTATTCTAACATTTTGAATTTAACTCATCATATCCTTCCTTCAAACAATACAAACCATAATCAGTAATGGAATTATTCATGATAAAGGTCTCTTTTAAGGTTGTTCTCTTGATCAAATTTAATATGGCATCCTCAGATAAGAAATTAAATCTTAAACCAAAAGTAGACATCTTTGATTATTTGTTCTCACTTAATCCCTCAGTAATCAAAAATAACCCCTTGTTTCTAATTCTATTATTGCCCTAAATCCACAAATTCTAGAGTCTAATTGATACTGAATGTTGTTCCGAATTTTTTGGCTCCATCGAATCCAATTAGATTATCGACGAGATTCAATTGCTTAAGTGTTTCATTCTTTCTTAATGCTTTTCGATTCATTTTCGTTAAATTCAGGCCACAAGGATAATTTTCCACAATGTTTACAACCAGGACATTTAAAATTATTGGCAGTCAGGACGGCCTGTTTGATATCAGCGAGTAAAATAAATTAGGATGAGGTATTTTAGTAAAAGTTGTTACTCTGGGTGGTTAATATGGATAATTTTAGGGTATTATTATTTCAAGGTGAAATATACCACCTTCAAAAGCAGTTCGAACTGGGCCTTTAATGTTCGCATGCCAAGTGTATAGCTGGTTTTATAGGGGTCTAGTAGTAACTCCAACTGTAGGAAGAGTCTCCTAATTAAAGATACTGAGATCTCTCAGCATTCTCTTAGTAGCAAAACTTTATGTTTGAGTGTTAAGGAGCGTCTTCTAAAGTGCAGCATCTTTTTATCTACTGTAATTGTTCATTCATCAAAAATTTATCCTGTCTAACCAATTTCTACATATTAATTATCAAAAATATTCTACCTCTATAAAATTGTTCTATTTATTTTTATAATTAATGGATTAAAAATCAAATGAAATGGAAATGGAAATGGCTATGGTTCATTTGGCCAAACCAGAAATCAATGAATAAATTGAAGAATATAAAGTCTACACAAGGAGATATATAATGGCATCCTTTTTTGCATTCTCCACTGTATTTGAATTTTTAATTTAAAGATCTGTTCATCTATGATGTTTTCAACTTGCAATCCAATCGCATCAGTTTTGGCAGCAGTTTATGATATCCCAACATTTGTTGTTTCATTAGCTGCCAATGGATTTCTATTAATGCACCCACTGTTGACTTTTGTCTGTAATTCAATCAATCTTAAAATCAGAAACATTTATTGTCAATCAAACAGATATTTCGGTTAGTCTCAAAATTGGATGTGCATTAACATTGCTAGGCGCATTAATAAGAACAGCCACCATTATCACTGAGAGGTTGTATAGTTTCACTATAATATAGATTTTACACTGTTATTTTGGGATCCCTTATTGCAGGAATGGGGAGACCCTTCATTATCAACATTTAAGCCAATGTTGCAAAAGAATGGTTCAGACCCGAGGATAAGACTACCGTTATGATCGCCTTCTCATTCATCATCACATGTTCAAGTGTTTTTGGGTACATCATACAACATATTTCTCATAAAGTGTGATAGTGCCAGGCTAAATATTCAAGGGTTATCAATATGAAACGGATCCTGATAACGGTAAATGGCTAACAGGAGAACTGATGGTTATTGAATTAGAAATCTTTAGTGCTATTTTAATTCCTGCCATTCTATTCTTTAGACCAAGTCCCCCTACTCCACCTGGTCCAATCAATAAATATAGAGATGAGTTTACATACATGTAATCCTTGAAGATCACAGCAAAGAATAAAAATTTTGTATTTCATATATTATATCATTATAGCTCTTGCTTTTCGTCTGTTATAGTCTATTGATGGGTGGATTTCATGCTTTGGCTGTTGTTATTTCATACCTTTTTAATCCCTTTGGTTTCACTCCCTCATAAACCAGCTTCATATGTAAATTATGTACCTTTTTACGTTTCAGAAAGTTCTCCCATCGTATGTGGATTTGTTAGTTCAGTCATGTACTCCATATTAATCAGAAAATATCACTTGAATCATAAGAAAATAGTTTTGTTCAATTTGATCCCTGTTTTAGCTAGTTTGGGTTTGAGTTACTTTGCCTTGATGACTGAAAGTCTGCCTCTTGTGTTGATATGCTATTCAGTATTCTAATTTAGTTTTATAGGTTCTTGGCTTTTTTGTGATCCCTTGCATACCATTACAACTTGAATTAGCATGCAAAGTCCTGCATCCTATTAATCAAACTATAGCAGTAGGCTTTTTACTGGCTGGTGTGCATATATGGAGTTTCGTTTTCGGTGAGATTCTTTCAGTAATAACTCATGACCAAAATAAGTAAAAATGACATCTCCTAATCATCATTAGAACTCAAGCCTTCTATGGATGTTTATTGCTCTTTCTGTCATTTTTGGCTGCGGCAATCTGCTTCTCTAGAGTGAAATTACCCAAGGAAGAAGAGGAAGAAGAAGCTACTTAGGTTAACCAATCTACTCAGGATGGAATATGAAGATTTAGAATATTTATTTATTTTGATTTAATTGGAGATCATTTTAATTCTACATTATATATCTACATAAGATCGAGTTGCCATTGATCATAGCATTTTAAATGAACATTTAATCAATAATTAATTAAATATTTAATACTCAAGAATGCAGCAATTGTATCAACTCCTCCTTACATAATAAGAATCTCTTCCTGAATTAACTTATTCTGTTGTATATAGACATTAACACGGATTAGATGGATTGGATAATACATTCACTCACTCAACACAAATATCCGATCAACCTAATATCAAATGTATGGCCGTCTCAAAATATAGTATTGTGGTATTTCATCTATTAAAAAGTAGTTTGGAGGAGATTTCGGCATTGAACACTGGGGTAACAGCAAGTTTAATATTCAAATGAAAGTTTAGGCAATATAATTTTCTCCAGACTATGAATACATTATATTATAAGCCAAGGAAACCATGTTGTTTTCTACAAAAACATAGAATTTTGTGAAGGCATTTCCGCATGATGTTAAATTTGATTCAACAGGATCACTTTGCTTTTGTAAAGGAATAGTTTACGAAACAGCAACTTTCTAATAGCTGAAATAATTTAAATGCCCTGAGTATGGCGATTTTACGATTTCCACCCAAAGGGATTCATTATACTTATCATCTGTTACATTAATAAAACATTTGGAAGATTTAAAAGATTGCCAACTTCTTATTGATCACTATGATTAGAATAAGCATTTCGAACATTAAATTCCCCCCTCGAATGAAGTTAAATAGTTGTGGTCAGACGATGGAAAAATCCTATTAATATGGTCATAGACATTGGACGACCACACCAATCAGAGTTATTTTGGTACTCATCACCTAAATCATTGGACTGAAGATAAATTGTAGAATATCGAATTGTTTGAAGGGCCTATTCATGATGTCCAATGGGTTTAGAATGGATTTATAGTAATTAGTGGATATATGCCAGCAGGTGCAATTCTATTTAATAAACAAGGAGAAAAAGAATATTTAATACTTCAAGCTCATATAAATTCGATTTTTCCTAAGAATAATTTAGTTGCTCTGTGTGGTTTTGGGAATCTGACTGGAGACATATATATTTATGAGATGGACAGTCTCAAGAAGGTTGGCTAAACGAGACAAGACAAAGTAGTATAGTTTGAATGGAGTCCGAATGGAGAACACTTTTTATTGGCTACAACTTTTCCAAGATTACGAGTTGATAACTAATTTATCATATGTTCTAAGTACGGTGACTTATTACGTAAGGAAAAGTTTGAAGAACTGTATGAGATTAAATGGGTCAATGATACTAATCTGAATATCTCAATTAATATTGTAGAGGAAGTCAAATAATCAAAGCAGATTAATCTAACAACAGGAGTTGGTATTGCATTTCATTTAACATCTAGACTTTATCAAATAAATGAAGGAAGCCAAGGTTAATGATCAACCTAGGAAGTTGCAGAAAGATGAAAAATTATCGGCTTTAAGATCTTCACCCCAAAATTAATAACAAGTTTAATTGGTCTAAACCGCTGTGCCTCTTAAACCAGCACCCCAGAAACAAATCTTCATGAGGAGGTAAGAACCTATCATTCAATAACCTACTGCAGAAGAATTAGAGTAATAACATTAGCAACATCTATAATAACAATAGATGAAATTAGAAAAAAAATAAAAACAAAAGTAGAATAGACATATGAATCATCAAAACAATAAATAAAAATAAAAGCAAGGTCCTCCAAATGACTTTCAATATGAGCCTAATCAAGATATAGGATAGAATTGTTATCCTATATGGCAGGATTGATTAAATATATCGAAATACAAATAAAATTGATCAAAATATATCCATTACTTCGTGTTTCTCTGTCCAATAGTTCCCCTTAAAGACATATCCTTTGGTTTTAGTGTCAAAATCTTCTTTTATCTCAAAGAACTTAGGAACATGAACTTCATTTCTTTATTCCATGATTCTTCTCTTCTCTCTTTACTTCTCCTCCATTCTTACTTTTTCATCTTGTCCAATCTCTTTCCAACCATGTTCCAAGGCTGCGATGTCAGGTCTCAAACGTGAATCTGTGCAAGGTATTTGCTTAAATTAATGTGTCTAAATTACAAGTAGAATTTCTGTATTGAGATAGTTCGCTTGCATTTGCAGAGGAATATAATTATAATAGTAATAAGCTTCCTTGGTTGGCATAATCCTCTACCAAAGCAATTCATTACCAACATATAAGGCTGAATTGTAAAAGCCAGTAATCTAGTACCTTAGATTGTGATTGGAATCTCTTACTTCAGCTTAGACTTGAGAAAAGTTCTTTAAATTTAGTCATATAGATTACTTTGCCTTCTCCATACTCTCTTAAATCAACTATACCAACATCTCCTGTCTGATGATTGATATATTTCAACTTTCCGACATGTTCAAAATACTTTTCACCAAATACCAGATTTTTAATATGCATATTAGGCATATCGAAAGTATAATGCTCATTATATCGTTTTAGATAGATGTGAGATTTACCTACTATCTATATTTTGATATGCGTTCCCCCAAATCCTATAGAGGCATCATTCTAGGACCAAAACTTGAAGTCCTTTCCTTCACAATGCATAACTGACACTGGTGGATGATGGGACACTTACTCACAAACAATACTGTAATCAGGAGTCAAGAACTCAAAAGTTTCACCTAGAAGTGGATTAAATGGTTTCTTTTGACCATCCAATGTGGATGAACATCGAGACAATGTAAATGCAATTATGTGACACATTCTTTTGCAAGAATCCTCGCATTAACTAGCTTTCTTAATTTAATCAAAATAAGCAAATTGTTGTACAATCAATTGTAAAACTGACATCGGCTAATGAAATATCACTTCAATTTAATTATTAAAATTTACAAGGAAATGGAATTCTGGTTAGATCCTTTCCGATGCAGGATTTAAGAAATGGCCAAACATTGAATTTCTCTTTTGGATCCTACTTATAAGGCAAACATGTTCTTTCTGGTTCATCTGTTATGTATATTTTAGTGAACACAGGACTGTTCACAAGATTTCTCTAGTTTATTAAGATGTATCTTACATATTTAATTGGTTGTGTATGTTTGATTGATTCTAGAATACTTTTGAATGAGTTCCCTCTTTGTGGCGATTCAAATTCTTGCACTTTGATTTATATTTGTTTAGGAATTCCGTTATTCGGGATTACACTCTGCATTTCATTAAAACTTTCATATACACTATTGGCGTCATTCTCGAATCTCTCCTTTTCCTACTCTATTAAAGTAAATCCCAAAGTAAGAAATGTCTTTAAATTCTAACCCAGAGTATGCAGTTTAGTAATTAATTCATACTAAAATTTTGAACAATTTATCTGGAGAGTATTTAGAGTTTCATCAAAGGCAGCAAAGGTAACCCAAATTGTTGAAAGGAGATCATTGATTTGGCTTTCAAAATTCTAAACCTTGTTTTTTTGTGATTTCTCTTATGCAATTTATAATGCTTTAAACCAATCTACAAATTAAGATTGAGCATTGGCCTTTAATTTTAATTCATTAGTTCCTGTCTGTATCAAAATTTCCAAGGGATCATCTTGCACTGTGAAAATTCCAGATATCTTCAAACTTACTCGACCTTCCACAGAACTACCCTTCTACTCACAATAGGTCAGGATGTCATCGTAAAGAATAAAATACCGTGGTTACCATCTTTGAAAAATGTTAGTCCACTTCAATAGGTATCCTTCCATTAATAAATTATATATTTATATATATTATAAGTTTATTCATTCCAATTAATTTTCAATTTTACTTTTAAAATCTAATCGCCATATCTTCCTTATAAATAAATTAAAATATTTTATACTAAAAGATGCATTTCTTATAGTCCAAAAATTATTCCCTTCATATCTAAAATCATACATCTACAATTGATAGTATATAGGATTAATTTGAAGACTTTTAAAATATTAGAGAAATATAAAATAAAATTTATCTTCAGTTCAATGCTTAATCTACCTTTTGATAAATGGAGTTTAAAGTTTCACGATCCAGAATTCGAATCTTCGTATGAGGATCACTTGAATAAGATTAGATTGTTATCCCTTCGCATTCTGAACCTTACAATAAGTATAGCTGCCTTAATATGCCTTATAACTTTCGTTATTCAACAATAAACACTTTTGTTATCCATAATGTTGACCTTGACATTGTTGGGAAGTGTCACCCTATTGATATTAAGCAGAAAGATCTTACCATACTTAAAATCCATATTTTCATTTTATTATGTTTGGGCCATAACCACTAACATTCTTATTGCTTTTGCTGGCTTCTCAATGTAAATCACCTCTATAATTTAGACCTAATTTTATATTCGGCTTCAACACTTGTTCTCTCGCTATTGTTACTATGCAATATAGTGATAACAAGCTTAAAATAGTATATACTATGATTACTCCCTTTGTGTTGATGGGGATTTTCGATGTTTACAAGGTAGAAACTCTAGCATTTGTCTTCTTGACTATTTCGTGTACCATTTTTATTGGAATTTGGGGGTACATGAATGAGTATACATCTCGATTAGCTTTTTCTCTTAATCTGATTTCTAATAAGCAAAAGTATTGATTCATTGTAATATAGAGATTTGATCAATGAATTTGTTAATGATGCTATGTTTGCAGTAAGCTTAGACCATAGAAGTCGGCAGTTTGTTCTAGAATTTCAGAATAATAGATTTGTAGAACTTATGAACATCAAGGAAACAGAATAGATAAAAACATTTTTGAGATCGACATTTATTCTGCTGAAGTAGAACGAGCATTAAAATAAATAGAGAGATAGGAATTCAACAAAAGTGTTGAATTTGGAAGAAGTTTTATTTCAAAGGATTCAGAGTTTTGAAAAATCTTTCAATTACAAAGAGCAAAAAGAAGGCTTGTTGGAAATTTATTAACAAGATTTGATCAACAATGAAACAAAGAAAATGTGCTTACAAATCAGATTTCTTAATTTGGGCAAACCCATTATTATTGCCATTATAAAATCAGAATAAGTTCCCAAATTGATTCATAAGTACGAAGGCTAAATCAAAGAATATCAAAAGGTCATAATAAATATGTCTAATCAAGTAATAAGAAAATAATCCAATCTTTATGAAGAAATGAAAAAAATGAGATTTGAAAATTAAAAGGAATAATAATAAATTCTTTAATTATAATGTCTTAATTTATCAATTATGAATTACATTAGAAATTATATTTTATTTTTTTAGAAAAATAAAATTACTGAGATGAAGTTAAGTCTTTAAAATTGCAAATTTCATCAATATATCGCGATAATTCATTAATATTTTCAAGCACTATCCTCTCATTATTCAATGAAATTCGCACTTCACAATTATGTAGACCAAAACTCCTCCATTAATATTAATATTAAATATCTCACTCAAATCTTAATCAATATATTTGATGAATTGATCAAGAAGGATATCAAAAATAATCTGATAAATCTTAGAATAATCGAGTAATTCTAACAACATGATAATGAGAAAAAATAGCCCCCCCAAGAAACGGAAAATAACTAATAAAATGAACAACCTGTAAAAGAGTTCAAATTAGTTCAATTCACATTCTTCTTTTTAAGCGATGAACCCCTTAATTTAAAGAATCTCAACTTTAATAAGAGTACTAATAAATATGATAACAATAATACGTTTGAGGATGCATAAATAATTTCTGAAATTACACATTTGCTTTTAGATAACATCGGTCCACATAGTAACATATCTATCAATCGATGTCAAGTTACGTAGATGCCAACATTTTAAAATACTATATAGTTTTTAATATATTCAGACTCATCCTCATTGGAGCCATCATATTATAAAGTTCGTGAGCAAATTTTATTTGATTGAAATCAATATAATAAATTAACTTAGAAATCCGACATTAATCTTTTTGTTAAATAATTAAATACAGAGTTGTTTATTATCCAGGATGGATCAAATCTCAATATCATTATAATAAAGTGACTTAATTAATGAAAATTCATTGAAGCTACCTGTTAAAATCTAGTTTTCTCTTAATTCTAAAGAATTCCTCTATCTTCAATATGAAATTATAATTCTATTTCTATGTTAATAAATTCTAATATTAAATCCTTTTTAAGTTTATCATATTATTGCTTTTATTATTTATAAAATCAAATAAATTATATAATTTATATTTTTGTTTTATTTAGTGACAGAATAATAGAAAATATTTATTATTTAATAGATATGCTTATAGATTTGAGAACAAATGTCAAATATTTTTTAGTAAATTAATTCAAGAATATTTATAATAGATATATGTTAATAAAATAAAATATTAGTAAATACTTTTTACTAGTGAATTCTAGTAAAAATATGAATTAGTTTGTGATTAGAAATTAATTATAAATGATTGGATATCTATAATGAAAGCAGTTTATATAAGTATGTAAAGTAAAATTATCAAGTTGGTGAATAATTATCCCAAGGTGATATGTCATAATTGATGGAATTTTCATTTTGCAAGGTTTGATGGCGTGTGTTGGTTTTACTGACATATTTTGGTTTAGATTTGATTAGGAACGAATTCAATCGACTGGTTTCACCCATACAAAATATGATGCTTTTTCTGCATTTGGGCATTTATGATACAGTTCTCTATTAGAGTTATTTGATTCTTTCGCAGTAAGATGAAGATCTCGGTTTGAATTTAACGGCTGTGTTCTAATCGATTGGGAAAAGAGGCTAAAGTTATTATCTGACAGTTGAAAACTTTTACATATATTTTAATTAATGGAAGATAGTGAATTACAATAAACGATAGCAGGATAAAGAAAAAATTCACATATTGATGAAATATAGCAGACTCGAACAACAGTAAAAAATTGATATAGGGCTAGTGGCAAAGATTAAATAAACATGTTCTTTGTTTGATTTTATTTTTAAATATAGTTGGAATAGTCCTATTGATCGTGGGGTATTATGATGAAATGATAATTGAGTAGAGGGTGTTTGTATTCGTAGGGGATATAAGGAGTCATTGCAATGTTCGTATTGGGGGGGATATGTCTTCTCCCCGGTATCTATGCTATGCATCATATCATAAAGGCTTGCAGAGCCAAAAACATAGACGAACGAGATCGAGCTTTGGAGGATGTTCCAGAATGATATATATTCAATTAAAATCCAATATTACTTTTAATATTTATAACTTATGTTCATCTTGACTGTGCTAGAGGGAATGATCTTACTGTTTTATGTAGGGTACTTGGTTCGAGAGTACTCGCAATAGCAAGTGCCTTTCTATGTAAAATTATTAACATACATCTCATGGATCCTTTCTTTTGGGATTGTGTTCATCATCCCCCACGATATCTACTATACTATGAATGATTATGGCGATGGCTATGATTATACGGTGCTATTATGGAAATGGATATATTGGGGCAATTTCATATTGTGTTGGTGAGAATGATTCATTTATTCGTTTTAGGCTAATATTACCAATTTGTTAGGAATATGAAGATGCCGGAGAATTCAGTTGCAAAGACAAATTGATAAGATCTATTAAGAACAATTTAATTATCTATGCTTATTTTTTATTGTTTGGTTTAATCTTTATTGCCTACTTGGCCATATTCAACAAACTGGACTTTGACTCAATTTTAAAAGTCTTGGTTGCTTTAGCTTATGCTTTGTATATATTCATTTTATACTAAGTGGCATCCTCCTAGTCGTTATACTACTGGGACATGGTTTAGTAGCTATCCCAAGGGAATATTGGAGGAAAGCACAATATCAAAAATGCTTAAAGGCCCTCTATTTGGAAGCTGCCCAAATTAATCATGCTATCTAAGAACTATATATGTAGTTATTCAATATGACTATTGAATTGATACAAAATAAACAAAGCAATCCTAACCAACAATGTCTGGACTATATATTGAATGAAGTAAATAAATTTGTATTATTCAAGATTCCATATGAAATAATTGAAGACGCTTCTCATAAGATCTTGGACATCAGTGAAGTTAAATAATTATCATCCTTTTGTGAGATTAATAGGAAAGCCAAAAAGAAGGCTGCTGAATACAAGAGAGCTTAAACTAAATGGGAACATATTTGCACTGAATGTTTTCTCTTAGAAGATATGATTGATAATGAATTCAGTGTGCACTACAAAATTAGGTCAACTCTTCGATATCCAAAATCTGGGCAATTTGGACACTACATCGATATATTATAGTGGTTATGGTACACAAAGATAAAGAAGGCCTATCTATTATCTTTGTGTGTGATTTTCTCAATATTATCTAGCATAGTAATATTGTCAGAGATATCATGCTTTACTGAATTTGACTTCAACATTTTGAGTAGAATTATCAATATCAATGGATTCATGCATACGTAAATATCAATCTTAATACCTTTGATGTACATATCTTTTTGTGCTTTTTATGGACTATTTCACATTAATTTTGCTGGAATGTATGGGTTTTATAATCACTAATAAACTGATGCTCCGAGCTTGATGTTTGGTTCAATGTAATTATTATGTTATTAATTTTACTAGTAATTTTTCAAGAGTATCTTTTCCGTTGACTTTTAATTTCCTACAGATGATACACATTCAAGGCACTCCTTTTGAAGATGTGGTTGGCAATATGGATACTAGTTCGGTATTGGGGATGTCATTCTCTTATTCTTTGCCTATTCTGTTGATTATGGTTTCGATTTTCAATTTCTTTGAAGTCTACGATAAAATCCTTTAAGTGGTAGGATTACCTTAATTCAAATTCTCGTAAGCTTAGTTTAACAGTGAAGAGGGAGAGCGCTTGATTTGCAAGGCGAGAGTAAAGAGAGAGAGGGATATATTGAATAAAGTTGGCATAAAATTTTTGGATTAATGTGAAATGCGGGAATTGGATAGCAGAATGATTTAATTTGTATGATAATTATTAAATGTCTCAATAATTTGTCGGAATAAATGGAGAATAGACAGGTCTTGGATTTACGAATAGGGATTAAGGAGCCAAGGTTGAAGAAGATCAAGGTTTGATTGACTTCAAAATTATAACAAATAATGGTAATCACGAGAGAATGAAGATGTTAATTGACTTAAAAAATATATTCGCTCGTTAACTTCCTAAAATGCCTAAGGAATATATTGTTAGACTCGTTTTTGATAGAAATCATGAATCTATGTGCATAGTCAAAGTATGTGATTATTTATTATTAAGGATGATACAAAAGTGATAGGAGGAATCTGTTACAGAAAGTATCCCACTTAAAGATTTGCTGAAATAGCATTTTTGGCAATTACAGCTAACTTGTAAGTCAAAGGATATGGAACAAGATTGATGAACAAATTCAAGGAACACATTCAAAAGTAGGATGTAGAATATTTGCTGACTTATGCAGACAATTACGCTATTGGATATTTCAGAAAATAAGGATTCTATTAGGAAATAAAGATGAATCCAGACAGATGGAAAGGATTCATCAAGGATTATGATGGAGGAACATTGATGGAATGTTATGTGCATCCTAGTATTGATTACGGAAACATCAGTGATCTGATTAGAGAATAAAAGTAGGTATTACATTTCATAATATTAAGCTTATGATAGACATCATAAAGAAATTAACATTGAATGATCGAGTATATCCGGGCATTGAGTAATAGAACTATAAGGTTGAATCTTCCAATGTTGACAGACCTGCAGTCAAACCAGAAAGTGTGTAAGGCATAATGGAGAGTGGCTGGACAATTGAAGATTACAATGAATTGAAAAAGCAAAAGGAAAAGACTTTTATGATCTCATGCTAGTAGATTATAGACACCATGAGAAAGCATAAATCTGCTTGGCCTTTCCTTGAACCTGTCAATAAGGACGATGTACCCGATTATTATGATGTGATTACTGATCCAATTGATATTAAGACTATTGAAAAGAAGTTACAGAACAATTAGTATACTTCCAAAGACCTCTTTATCAAGGATGTAAAGAGGATTTTCACTAATTGCAGAAATTACAATCAGCCTGATACGATATACTATAAATGTGCTAACGAATTGGAGAGAACCATTGATGATTATCTTAAAAAGTTGAAAGATGAAGCTTAAATACCAGGAGTCAGCAAGAAGATAAAGAAGACAAATAATAAATGAATGTTGTTATTTATTTATTATATTTTTGGAAACAAATAATCAAATTTAATTGAAGTGTTAATTTAGCAAAGCTATCACTTTATTGCAAAAATCCATGAAAACAACAGGATGTCCTCTGCATAATTAAAAGTCAATCATATGATCGTTATTATTAGTTGGCATCTATGTTTATATTGATCATTTAATACCTTATAAATTTAGATATTAAATATAATCTCCTTGGCTGAATATTTATTTTCCTTAATTTTTGGTTTCTTGCCATCATCCTTAAAAGTCAGAGAGGCCAAATCATTTTTTGATCCTGTTTCTTCCACTTCTTTTTGGAATTCATTGAACAACTCCATACTCGAATTATATTTTGTCATCTTTATGAGATTCTTATGATAACATTTCAACTTGTAATCAGGACTCTTTATCTTAATAACAGTATTAAATTTCTCTAGACAAGTGTAAATAGCATTTACAATTTATCTGGCTTAATAAGGGTAAACAATTGCCATTATGTCTTTTGGTAATTCCTTTCCATAATCATAAGGCTAAGGCTTCTGAATTTCATTCAATAGACAATTATTAAATGATTGTCCTTCAATTTGTGGAATTTGAGGATTAAAGATTAGATCATGCATTGTTAAATTGTGTAGAGTCATGGGAGTAGAGGATTCGACTCCTAATTATCCCAAAAGCAAATCGTAAATGACCACGAATGATTTGTCTTCCCTTTTTCTGATACTCTTCTGAATTTGGGTTTGTGTCATACCTCTGAAATTAACTGTTTACAATTGCATTAATTTCTCAAAGACGTCTTCATTGATTTATCTACGACCTTCATCTAATTTGAATGGTATTTGGAGATAAAAGGGAACTTAAGTACTTCTCATATATGGATGTAGATGAATCTCATGGAATTTGATTCTCTTCAATGGATCTGGAGTGAGCATTCTATTAATGAGGTCTCTCACTTGAGGACTGAAACTACTTGGGATAGTATAATCAGCACTTTTGATTTTTTTAAAGAGAGCTTGAGTAGTTTCTTCATCAAATGGTAAGAACCCTGCAAGTAATGCGTACAAGATGACTCCACAACTCCACACATCTGCATCAGAACCACAATACGTCTTGCCTGATATAACTTCAGGTGCTGCATAATTTGGAGAACCACAAGAAGTCTTTAAATACTTTCCATCCTTCATTAGGTTACTCAATCCAAAGTCTGCTATTTTGACAACGTAATTATGAGTCATCAAGATGTTTTCAGGTTTAAGATCTCGGTGAGCTACCAAATTATTATGGCAATATTCCACTCCGCTTAAGATTTACAGGAAAAAATTGCGAGCTTCACTCTCTGGCAATTTGCCTCTTTATGCGATCAAATCAAATAACTCTCCTCTTTCTGCATATTCCATTACTACAAATATATCTCCTGGAGTGTCCAATACTTCGTATAGTTTAATCACATTAGGGTGATTGAAATATCTAAGCAACCTTATTTCTCTTCTTATCTTAGTACCCATTCTTGAATTTTTCATCTTCCTTTTATTGATGATCTTGATGGCCACTTATGTATTAGTAATATTATGTTTAGCCACTAACCTATTAATTAATTCTTACATTTGACTTTTCCGAATGCACCCACACCCAATGTTTTACCTATTATGTAATGTTCTATTTATAATGGAGCCTATCCTTATGATTACATGCTATTATTATATTAATTTAAATGAAATTAGATATTAATTGTTGTGAAGATGATGATATTCTGAATCTATTGTATGTTTATCTCATTATTTATCATCAGCTCCGAAAATTAATCACCGATCTTCCAGGGTTTTAGATTAAGTGAAAAAGGAATCAAATATCATAAGCAATGCAAGAAAGGTTAAAAATAATAAACCATAACTCATAATGATTTTTAACTCTTCACCAAATTAAAATAGGAAGGTTTAGGCAATGTCAAGAAGGTCTATCTTAAAGGAACTCAAGAGATGTATGCATTGAAAGTAATTGTATTCATTATTATTAGAAAATTAAATTTCTCTCTGGCGCTAATCAAGAAAATAATTGATTAGAGAATTGGATGCTTTAATCTCTTTTGAATCCGATTTCATAGTATAATGTTATGGAGCTTTATATTCTCAAGGATATATTTGCATTTGGCTTGAATATATGAATTTAGGAACCTTGGATTGGTTACTGCAAAAGGATGGAATCATCATAGAACAAATGATGATGATGATCACTTATAAAATATTATAAGGATTGGATTACTTACATTATAAACACAAAATTATCCATAGAGACATCAAATCACATAATATATTAATTCTGAAGGAAACTTAAAAATTACTGATTTTGGTCCAGGAAATTTAAATACTTAATTTATTTATGGAAAAATATTATAATTTAGACTGTATTTGCTAAACCGTATCAACTGGATAATATTTGAATACTTATGTTGGCGAAGTTTTATGTATGTCATCTGAAAGGTTACAGTCTATGAATTATGGAATGGATGCCGATGGTTGGAGTTTAGGTATCATGCTTTTAAAATATTTTAAGTGGAAAGCATCCCTTTAAATATTGCAAAAAAATAAATTAGAAAAAGTATTACTCGTAGATTTAATAACTAAAACAAATCCCGGAGTTTGATGGTAAATAATATCTTTAAGAATATAATTGGTTACCTGAAGCCAAGGAGATTATTTAGAATGTTTACAGTTGCTCTTAAATAAAGACAAAATGTAAAGGAATTATTGTTAAGTAAGCTATTGTAAATGGCTAAAAATATTAATGAGTAAATAATTCATTAATGATTAAGGTTAAAGTAAAGTTCAAATAATGATTAATTAAATATCTTCATTGCAATCATTTTTTTATATTAATTAAAAATCTTTAAATTTATTTGAATTCATTTTATTAAGTGATTATTTTTAAATAGATGATGGACTTTTGACAACATATTCTATCTTATGTAATAATCTATAAAAGAATTCAAAATAGAAAGTTATAATGATAACCATTCTTATGTTACAATATTTCAATAGATTACACTGCGTCTAATTATTAATAACTTAACGTTAAAATTGGGATTAGATTCTCAAAGCAAATATCAATTTAATATCAATGACTTTGTAATCTTTGTTAATAGCAATTAAATGAATCGAAAAAAATTGATTTGTGAAGATGTTTTCTGTGTGACCTATATTCTTTTAGGATTGTAAATCTATGAAACAAATACTCATTAATAGAATTAAATAAAACTTAAAAATATTATAAACACTAGACTAATTAAACATGAGATTTAGGTTTGGATTATTCTCTTTGGGAATGTGATGTGCCACTAAATATATAATTAGTCGTTAATTTTTAAATAATATTATGGATTGGAAGACTGAGAAGGCTCTTTTAGAGTAGGAAAACGAACTGTTGGAAATGTAGTTAAAAGAGCTACGAGAAAGAGAAGATTCTTATAAGATATTTAACGAATCGATGCTAAATGCTTACAATTCAATGCAGAATGATGTTCAGAAATAAAATGTAAAGGTTTTTTATTATGTTAATTCAGAGCAACATTCATAAGCAATTACAACAAACTTTGGAACAATTTTCTCAAGATTTAATTGAATCCAGAAATAGAAATAACACTATGCTGCAATAAATGGAGAAAGAAAATCGAAACTTAAAGGATTACTTAGAATTATTAGAATTTCAAATTTCTGAATAGAAGTAGGAGCAAATGAGAGAACTAGAAGAGTTTAAATAANATTTATTTGCTAAACCGTATCAACTGGATAATATTTGAATACTTATGTTGGCGAAGTTTTATGTATGTCATCTGAAAGGTTACAGTCTATGAATTATGGAATGGATGCCGATGGTTGGAGTTTAGGTATCATGCTTTTAAAATATTTTAAGTGGAAAGCATCCCTTTAAATATTGCAAAAAAATAAATTAGAAAAAGTATTACTCGTAGATTTAATAACTAAAACAAATCCCGGAGTTTGATGGTAAATAATATCTTTAAGAATATAATTGGTTACCTGAAGCCAAGGAGATTATTTAGAATGTTTACAGTTGCTCTTAAATAAAGACAAAATGTAAAGGAATTATTGTTAAGTAAGCTATTGTAAATGGCTAAAAATATTAATGAGTAAATAATTCATTAATGATTAAGGTTAAAGTAAAGTTCAAATAATGATTAATTAAATATCTTCATTGCAATCATTTTTTTATATTAATTAAAAATCTTTAAATTTATTTGAATTCATTTTATTAAGTGATTATTTTTAAATAGATGATGGACTTTTGACAACATATTCTATCTTATGTAATAATCTATAAAAGAATTCAAAATAGAAAGTTATAATGATAACCATTCTTATGTTACAATATTTCAATAGATTACACTGCGTCTAATTATTAATAACTTAACGTTAAAATTGGGATTAGATTCTCAAAGCAAATATCAATTTAATATCAATGACTTTGTAATCTTTGTTAATAGCAATTAAATGAATCGAAAAAAATTGATTTGTGAAGATGTTTTCTGTGTGACCTATATTCTTTTAGGATTGTAAATCTATGAAACAAATACTCATTAATAGAATTAAATAAAACTTAAAAATATTATAAACACTAGACTAATTAAACATGAGATTTAGGTTTGGATTATTCTCTTTGGGAATGTGATGTGCCACTAAATATATAATTAGTCGTTAATTTTTAAATAATATTATGGATTGGAAGACTGAGAAGGCTCTTTTAGAGTAGGAAAACGAACTGTTGGAAATGTAGTTAAAAGAGCTACGAGAAAGAGAAGATTCTTATAAGATATTTAACGAATCGATGCTAAATGCTTACAATTCAATGCAGAATGATGTTCAGAAATAAAATGTAAAGGTTTTTTATTATGTTAATTCAGAGCAACATTCATAAGCAATTACAACAAACTTTGGAACAATTTTCTCAAGATTTAATTGAATCCAGAAATAGAAATAACACTATGCTGCAATAAATGGAGAAAGAAAATCGAAACTTAAAGGATTACTTAGAATTATTAGAATTTCAAATTTCTGAATAGAAGTAGGAGCAAATGAGAGAACTAGAAGAGTTTAAATAACTATTTCCCATTTCTCAAGAATAAAATGAGTCAGCAAAAAAGATGGAATAAAAAAAGAAAAAAAAGGAAGATAAAGAAAATTGTAAACCAGAACGAGGAGGAGGATGTATAATATCACGCAAGGCAAGAAATGAAGCAGTTTTAGAAAAAGAATTGAATGTAAGCAATGTATTGAACTGTAAAAATTCTAATTTATTGGAAATCTCCTAAATGGATTGGTTAGATTAATCATCTCCAATCGATCTATTTAAATAATACTAGTTAAATTTAAGAGGCAGAGATAATTCAAATCATTCCCAAAGAATGCAGCCTTAGCTTTCAAAACGAGAAATTGTACACTAAAGGAAAAGTGATGATTCAATTAGCCCTTCCTATATTAATGAGCGAAAATCAAGTAACAATGTAACAACAAATGGGAAAAGAGGGAACTATGAATTTAAATTAATAACTTCAAGTTAATTAATGTAAAAGGATAACATAAAGAAAGAAAATCAAACGAAATTTGAGAAGAAATCTCTAGATGAATTTACGAGATAATTAAATTCATTTAAATCAGCTGAGAGTCTTTCTTAGGTCTACAGGAGAAGTTAATTATCTTGAATATTATTTTAATTTAAGTAAATGAATATTATATTACGGCAATATATAGTTTTTGATTCTATTTGTTCGGGAGCTCAGTAATAATCTCTTAAGGTGAATGTGATTAGTCTTTGTGACTAAGAGAATATAATCTTATTATTATATCGAGAAATTCATTATTAAAATATAATTTCAATGATTGAAAGATGGGATTTTGAAAGATTTTAAGCGGACCATCCTGATAGTTTTGATAAATTAGGTTAGTAATTCATCGACGAAATCCAGATAAACATAAGGGAAATAAATGATCTATTCTGTTAAAAATAGTTTTCTAAATCACTATGCAATTTTACTGATATCACTTGCTCTAGCATGTATTATTTTATTATTATAATAGAAAAGTCTCTGCGTTATCATTAGGTGAGGCTGCAAAAAATTTAAAAACCTTATTAGATTAATATATGGAAGAGGTAGAAGGAATTATTAAATCAGGAGATAATTTTAATTACGAACAACAGAGAGAGGCAGCTTTTTAATTTATTAAAATTATGGAGATTGCAAGAGAAACTATTAATGATTGGTTACAATTTAGGAATTAAACTAGATTGCCAGATCTATTTGAAAAAGAAAGTAATAAATTACATAAATTAATTAGTCGAATAATTAAGTGACACTTATAGAGACCAACCGAATCAAAATTGTTCTATTTTTTAAGATTGTTCTATTTGTTAACATTGTTCTCTTTGTTAACTTATATGATGAGTTAATTTCATTTAATAAATTTCTTCCTTTACAAAATATCATGCCCTAATCTTTGTATAAATAAAGATATTATAGAATAAATTTTATTACATCAGTTATTATTTAAATCTTTATTAAGATAAATTGGTACTATATGTACGTTTATAAACATTCTTATGAATATTCCATTTTCATGATAGTAAATCCATACTAATTTCTAATAATAATAAAAACATATGAAAATTGACTTTAAAATTGAGAACTAAAACGATTATTAAGGATATTAATCATAGATTTGAGGAAATTACTAATAATGTATTGTCTGCAGAATTACAATTATATTATGTTAATTAAAAAAAAAAAAAAAAAGAGATAATTTTATTAATTATTAATGGAATTACTACCTTTATGTACTTACTATATTTTATTTGAAATTCGGAGATAAAGTTAGGACAAAGTGATTGGTTATTAATTTTGTTATTTATTGATACAAAACGATTATATTATTATTTTATTGATATTTAAAGCTTGATGAACGACTTTATTAGAATCGTAGAAAAAGAAGTAAAATCGGCTACAGATTAGATAGAAATAGAATCATTCATAAGAAAATTTATTTATAACTATTATCAAACAAACTAATTGGCTGATTAATTAGCAAGAGATTGCGTATATGAAAAAATCAATTCGGATAATTCAATAGCATTATAAGAAGGAATCTATTTCATAATTGCTGGCTAATATTAATTACCAAAAAGATATATCAAACTACCAAATTTCTTAGTCATTCCAGCTCATGAAAAAGCAATTATTTTTGCTCTTTCTGATATTCATTTTTTATCTATCAAAACAAATTTTAGTTAATATCTAAGTCAACTAAAGGAGTCAAGAGCTGATATAATTATTGATTTTTTAAGAAAAACCCTCTTTCCGAATTTTCCTCGGAATAGCATTGAAAGAATTTCAAAACATTTTTTTTTAATATCACTTCCTTTTAAACATGTGATCTATAGGGAAAATGAAGAGAGCAAGTTTGTGTACTTGGTTAGAGAAGGAGAAATCAAAGTAATTTGATATTGTAAATTCATAGCTTCTAAGAGATAAAAAATAGTTAAAAATATTAATTGAAAATTAAATATTTGGAGAATATGAAGTTTTTTTTAATAAAGTAAGATTTACAAAAGCAGTGACTAATTCTACAGTGTCACTCTTAGTGATAAAAGCAGAAATAGTACATAATCATATAATATAAAGAGTTTTTAATTTTGTTAAAAGAATATCCAATTTTAAAGTAGCGGTTGTTATGCTAAAGTGTTCTGAGATATGAACAGATATATTCTTAACCAAACCAAATTGAAAAAAGCAAGAACAGAAAATAAAATAATAGTTTATTAAAGAGATAGAAAAAAGCATTAAGAAGTCTTTCTCCAAAATAAGATTGTATATAGATGTTTGAGATGTCATAATAAATTTAAAAAGAAAGAGTGCGAACTGGATATAAAGCCGTTCCTTTATTTTTTAATAATAGAGTATCATTAGTTGAGAAATACACGACTACTGTATAATCTCCTCAAAATTCAACAGTAAAAATTTCTCTTTATTTTTTAAAGAGAAGAAAATTAGAGACTAATAATAGTGAAGTACAATTTCGATCATAGAGTCCAGCAACCAGCCAGAAAGTCTCAAAAATAATCTCAAGTAAACATAATATGTTCAGATAACTACCAAGCAGAGAATTCTTATTATAAAATTTTGTAATTTAATCGAAACCATAATTTTGATTCTATAAAATTAATTTTATATATATTATTAATTTTATATTGACTAATACGTTTTAATTTTTTTTATTATAATAATTATTAGTTAAGATACATTTTAGATAGTAAAATATAGAATAAGATTCAAATCAATAATTCTAACTTGATTTAATTGTAAAGAATTGATCCTTTCGTATCGTAAATTGGTTATATCTCTTTTTCTTAAAGTGTCATCCCCTCTAACTTCATTAACTTTATGCTCAACTTGATTAAAAGGAGTATAAAGTTTAAGAATGGAGTTATCCTTCCTTCCTAAACCACCTTAGGGAAGATGTTGAACCTATTCGTGATTAATTTTTCCAGAGAATAAAATGTCTACTAATTCCACCATTCCTTCCCATTATTTTTGATTGTTTTCATAGCCAGATAGAGTTGGATTATGAATTTAAGATTTAGATTCTCAAAATAATACAGGTTTTCACTTTTGATGTTGGAAACTACAATCCTGTAATAGTTATTGTAGTAATTTTAGAGATAAGTATTCAGTAGACTCAATTCCTCTGTTTATTTTGAATAGAAATCGTATTCAGTCTAACCAATATTTCGACTGATAACTTTGTTATTTAACAGATTTTCAAATACAGTTTAAGTCTAGCCTATTAAAGTCATATAAGCTTCATTGACTGAAGATTCTTTTGTAAGACCTTCCAAAATCAAACCAACTTCAGCTTTTCTTATTTTTCTTGATGATTCCTTCTGAGTTAATGCACAAACCCCCATAATTTAATTTATTAATGTATATTTTAATTGTATTACTTATAAATCAAAAAAAAACATCTTATTCGAAAAGTAAGAATTAAACAGTATTAGCCATTCAGATCCTTTTAAATTAATAATATAAATGTTTGGCATACATATTATCAATTGATTTCAATTGTATTAAATTAGGATTATACTTTATAATACTTTAATGAAAAATATATTCAATTAAATCAATTTGCCTCTGAAAAGTCAAGAAGAAAGATTATAATAAGTCTCATCCTAAGCTACATTGATTGAATTTACTAAAATTAACAAGTTGAAAGAATAAAAAACTGGAAGATGATTCACTTAATATTATACTATTATTCTTCCATTTATCTATAGTATCCTTAGGCAATCATCCGAATTACCTTTGTTTTATTGATCTCGTTCATTATTCACAAATTCAAATCAAGGGGTCCTTCTTCTTCTAACAATCGGAACTTTTATAAATAAATTTTATAAAATAAACAATTTATACGATATTATTTTAGAGATTAATTTATTTAGTAAAATTTATCAAAATTATGATTTATTTCTGGATTATTAAAATATTCTCAATACATTATATGAAGTACTTGTCGACTCTTTAGAATAGTCTTAAATTTCCTTATATTATTTTACTTCTTGACTTAAATTGCAAATTTCTTAATTTATTGCAAATTATTAATATACTTAGAAATTTATTTATCATTATCCTTTTCAATTATTAAATAATAATGGTATTTGCAGTATTTGCTCATATAGTTAATTTCAACAATTATGTTTTCTGAATCTCAATCTTGAAATTACATTACATAATTATATTCTCTAAAATCAAATTGAGCAATAATTTAACCATAAGAGATATAAGGCAATTTTCATAATTATTGTTAATAAGCAGCTAATTTATTACTTAATCAAAGAGGGCTAAAACTTTGTGAATAATGAAAATTGTAATTTAATTAAGAAGTGCAATAAATAAATAAAATTTTCTTTTTAGAATTATTTTAAATAAAATAAGAGTTAATTAAAATGGCTTTAGGTCAAGTGTTTTCTTTTTTTTCTCAGCAAGTAATGTTTATTTGGCTTTTGGTGTTTATCACACCTCTTTATGTATTTTTGGCTAGCGTAATGGCAAAAGGACTGCAAATTCTTCATCAAATGGCGATAAATAGATAATCATTAATTTATAAGTACTTGGGAGATGTAAGTTGGTTGTTCCCATTTAAGGTAAGAAATAGTTTATAGTGATGTAGCAAAATGAATAAGAATTTAAATTAGTACACATTGTATTATTGGCAGTGCTAATTGGTTTAGTTTCATTAATTATTCTTGGAGGAGTAATGTTATAAAATTAGGTTGAAAAACAGAAAATAATTGAAAAAAAGGAAAGAAGAGAAGAAAAAACTAAAAACAAAGTGGTAAACGAATGAAGAATTTGTATATTTATTTGTATAGAAATAAGTAATTTAATATAAAAGAAATGGTTTATCAAATAAATATTAAGTAATTATTAATATTTAACAATTGATTCTATTCAAGCATATGTCTTAAAATCCACCTAAATTAGATTTGATAATTTAGAAACACCAATTAGGTAAGTACACAATTTAAAAATGATAAATTACAGAAAGATGATTTATTCCTCTAGTATATAATGAAGATACAAATGTTGGATTAAATAATGTTATGTTGATAATTTATTTGTTTTAACGAACTTCCAAGATTCATAATTTTCATTTTTTTAAGATTCTTTCAAATAATCATCTTAAGCTAAATGAAGGTGAATCTAAAAAAATTAAAATAAATGAATTAATTACAATAATTATAATAATCAATTTATTTGTCGCCCTACTAATTTTATGTTGATTGGCTTATATTTAACCATATAAGTAATCCAGGTTTTTCTATTGAACTCTATTTATTTTTTGTACACTTATCCCTCTGCAACATTTTATTTCTACATTTTTCTTACTTCTATCCTTAATTGCTCTGAAATTTTATTGCTTTTTAAACTATCAATATTATGAGAATATATTGGAATATCTTATAATACATCTAATCCTAGTTCCTAAGGGTGCAACATAACAATCCCATCCACTATGATCACTGCTATTGAAACTTTAGCCTCTATTGTTTTCTCATACAGTTATTTAGTTTTCATATATGGTTGACTCATTTTCATAAACACAGCATTTTAAGGTCTGAATTATATGTCATACTAATAATACATCCTATTTATGCCTGTATCATTAGGATAATCTTAAACTATTATTTCCAAACAAGACTTTATAAAATTATCAATGGCAATCCAATCTGGATTCTCAATAAATAATCCATATTATAAGCTATCATTTTTTTCTAATTAAAATTAAACACTTTTTCTTAGCATCATTTGAGAATTTTCCTCTATTGCAGCTATGACTCTCTTAGATTACTCCTTTAAAAAATTGTCTTCTATATTCCTATGTGTTTCCTTATATTATGATAGACTTTCAATTAGTTAATCATCTTCTGATTTCAGTGCGGTATAAAAATCTTGTTCAACTAGTTCACTGTAAAGATCATCTGTTTCTTTGGATTCTGGCATAAAGCGACAATATACTTTGTGATCTGTTTGAAAATTAGTTAATTTATAATTTTAAAATTCCTTCAGTTGATTTATGACTTATCTCACTGCATTCTTATCATCAAGAACAGAAAGCAAGCAAAACATAATAAAATTGAAAGAAAAAGGAAATTTGAATTATGAATTCTTTTGATGATATGGGAAATTGCATTCTGGTAAAAGAGCAATTGTTTTTAAAGCATATGGCAATGATTTAAACTATTTATTGATCTGTTCTAATTCTTTTGGATTGCATACCTTCTCATAAAAATACAATTAATTTTTGTCATTAATATAATCTGGCTTACTAATTATTTATACTCTTTAACCTGCTTTTAATATAAATGAACACAACTTTTCATATCCAATACCTGAAATTCCTACTGGGATTACAACAATAATTGTTGGAGTAAAAATATTATTTTATTATTGTTATTGATAATATACATTTTACTGAATAGATTTTAAGATTTAAAAGGATAATTGGGAAAAATGATTTCTATCTTTAATAGTTTCTGGGTTTTTCAACATCAAATCTGTGTATGTTTTGTAAAATTCAAAATCCTAATCATTTAAATTGAATTGAATTAAATATTTATAAGGTTCGTCTTTGTTAGTTTACTTTTCTTTATTGAATAATATTGATTTGAATTGATTTAGAATTGAGTATTATCTATATGGAATGAAACAACATCCAAGAAATGTATTTTCTCTCCAAAAATATAAGGTTTTACCTTTATAATAGATATGAAACTATTCTATGGGTTGATTATAAATTTAATAAAAATGTTATTGTAATTTAATAGATGTGTATGAAGTAAATTAAACTTTAGCAGCCACTAATTTGTAATGATTTAGAAAGTTCTTAACTGTAATTGGATCGATCATTCTCTAATTTGAATAATGCTCAACTATAGCAAACCACTCAATCTATTTTTTAAGGTTGTAGCTACCTATCAAGCTTCTATTCTTCAAATCTTGAATAAAATTATTCTACTATTTTATTGGCATCCTATTAAAAAGGCTAAAAAATTAATAGGCTGCTTGCCTTGGTCTCTCATGCATTGGTTCTTAATATAAATCAATATCCTTATGATTATAACAAACAATAGTTTGTGTTCCAGAGGCGATGCAAAATGAATCTAATTCAGGACAAAAGCTAATGCAAATTGTATTTGAATTGTGTTGTATTTCATATATGGTGAAGGAATCTTTGAGATTTTCAGTTATAAAATTATAAACCTGATCTTCATTTTTTAAATTAATTTCATTCAATTCTGGAGCGAAAGGCACTCCCATAGTAGCTAAATAATTTTGAATAATACCAATTGCAGTTTAGACATATTAATTTTAGACTGTTTAAATAAAGGAATTGCATGTATGCAGATGTTTGGATAGGAAGCTATTATCAAGGACTCTTTTTTAAGTGAAATTAGAAAATACAGGATCAATTTCCAAAACATTAATATTCTATAAAAAATTCACTTTATACGATAGTATTTCAACTTCGTTTTGTTTCGAAAATTCTTCTAGGCTTATTATTATGATAACTATATTTACAGATTATAAGCACTTAATTATGACATTAAAATTATGTGTTAAATATATTAATAATAAATGAAAGTATTTAAATAATAATTGATTATACTGTTTATAGGATAATTTCAATAATCCATTACAATTTACACTTTTTTATAAAGGTATTAATCATAATCAATTTTCATCATCTGAACATCCAGGAACTGTAATTCTATCTTTGAAATTTTGAGCACCATACCACTCAGTTATGCATTATGAAAGTCTACAGCAATTTTACCATGCTTACCCAAAGCTGATTCCATCATTTTGCTTAAGATTTTGAAGTGCATAGCATCACAATTCCAATATCCTGTGTGTTTGGTATTTGTACTAGATAGAGGGTGCTTAGAGATATTAGACAGATGATTTTAAATAAGAAAACTATATTAAATTTCATTTATGTTATTAAAATAAGCTAACATAAAAAGTATTAAACTAAATTTGGAATCAAAAATTGTGGTTTTCATCGTGAAATCCAGAAGATTAAACAGAGAATATCATAGGATTCTATTCTTTATCTAAATATTCTAGGTCTTTTCGTGCATCATCAATATGAGGAGCAACAAACAAATTTAAGTCACTCTTTTCTTCGAAGACTTTGAATTGCGATAAATTTGATTCTCCTTTAGAAGGCTTCTTATTGAAATTTATAATGAAGGGATGTTTCAGTAATTTTCGTGCTTACCAACGCTTTTTATGATCAAACTATAGACATTTATTTAAAAAATCCTTAAGTTGATCAGAAATATTATTGGGAATGGGAGGCGAACATTGTTTCGAGGAAATAGTTAATAAAGCCTACATGGGGGATTAGAATTTCCCCCAAGGAGGTTCATTTGTTAGCATTTCGATGATTGTACATCCTAGACTCCAAATGTCTGAGTATCTTCCAGTCTCTTATTAATTAATTACTTCAGGAGCCATCCAATTTGGAGTTCCCTTCAGAGAATATGCACTTTGGCCTATGATACTACAACCGAAATCTGCCAATTTGCATACTCCTTTGGTATCCACAATTATATTGGCTCCTTTGATATCTCTGTGAATGATTCCTTTGTGGTGCAAATAGAATAAACCGTGCAGGATGTCAGTGACATATTTCTGGATGATCGATTCTGAGAGTTTGGATTTGAATTTGCGCATCATTTGAGCAATCGAGCCTCCTTGGAATAGAATAGAAGACATAGTTACCTCCGACGAATTCAAGGAGAATACTTAGATTCTTGTCATCTTCTTCGCAACCATAATATTCAACTATATTCTTGTGCTTTAATTGGCTAAGTATTTAAATTTCTTAACGAAAGGACTCTAAACTCTCTTTGTCTACATAGCCTAAGGCAATTTGTTTTACAGCTAAAATTCTGCCGGAATTGATGTCCATGCATTTGAAGACTCTTCCGAATGAGCCTTGTCCTATCAATTCCCCCTTTTTCCATTTGATTGTCTTGGATTATCGCACATGATGTATTGGCTATTCAGATTCTGAGCCATAGCCATCGGAGTTATTTTGCACTAAAATCTTTGATCTATGTTATGAGAGAGATCCTGAGTTTTATTGTTGATAGACTTTGGAATCTTTGCTTCTGAAATATTTGCACAACCTTGATATTTATTATCCCATATTAATTAAAATGAGCAAAGCCGAAGACGACTATGATTATTTATTTAAAGTAGTGCTTTCAGGTAGAAAGACTTCATTAATTTGACAATAGGGGACTCTGGAGTTGGGAAATCCAACCTGCTGCTTCGATTTACAAAAAACAAATTTAATCCAGATTCCAAAACTACTATCGGCGTTGAATTTGCAACTCGATCGATTTCAATCTCTGGGAAGATCATCAAGGCCCAGATTTGGGATACAGCAGGACAGGTAAAGTGCCTTAAAGAGAATTTAGGAACGCTACCGAGCCATTACTTCTGCGTATTACAGAGGAGCAATCGGGGCTGTACTAGTATATGATATAACAAACAAACAAAGTTTCGAATCTGTGGAACGTTGGATAAAGGAAGTGAGGGAGAATGCAGACAAAGATATTGTGATAATGATCATTGGAAACAAATCCGATTTAAAACATCTGAGAGCAATAAGAACAGAGTCTGGCTAAGATTTGGCTCAAATGTACAAGGTCGCATTTATGGAAGCAAGTGCTCAAGATGGTACCAATGTAGACTAAGCATTTACACAAATCATACAATGTTTTAAATTCTATATAAATTAGAAATTTATCAGAATCTAACAAAACAGTTGTAAAAGTATGATTAGATGTCACATTTACAAGGCGAGAAACTAGATTTAGAAATAACAAGTTCTGGTAATAAAAAGTAAGGATGTTGTTGAAATATAATATATTTTTGTTTTGTTTTAATATTATGAATTCCTTGCTCCAAGTATACATTCACATAGACATGGATGCTTATTATGCATAGGCAGAATAAAAACTCTTGAACATCCCTGAAGATCAACCCGTTTGTGCCAGATAATGGAATAGTTTAATAGCAATTAATTATCCCGCCAGGGATGCAGGGATCAAAAGGGGAATGTTGAGTGAAGAGGCCATTAAACTATGTCCCAATGTGATGTTGCCTCATGTGGAAACATTCAAAGTGATCGACGGCAAGATGGTATTCTCGACTCTCAAAGACAAATACATTCAACATAATCAATATGAGGAGAAAGTGAGTCTCAGATACTATAGACAAGAAAGCAAACTCATCTTCACGACCATTAAAAGGTTTTGCAATTGCGTTGAAAAGGGAGGAACAGATGAAGGTTACATCTAGGTTAGTGAGAAAGAACTTGAAGACATAGAGGCTCAGCAATTCTATGGTCATTTAATGAAAGAGTTGCCTCAAGACTATCAATTAACAGAATAGGATCATCTCTTAAGGAGAGCTTCCTTATTGTGTCAGAACATAAGAGATGCCATCTATACAGAAACCAAGTATAAATGTAGTGCAGGAATTTCTTTCAATAAAATGTTAGCCAAATTAGCATCAGCCACCAACAAACCCAACAAATAGACTATCATCTTGGAATGTATGCTCCCAGAATGTATATCTAATATCGGCATCAAGAAAATTAGAGGGTTCGGAGGGAAAGTACAAGAAGCACTTCTTGAAAGTGGACTAAAAACTGTTGGATAGGCTTAGTCCCTATCCATTTATGAACTTTAATCTTTGTTCGGTGATAAGGCTTAGTATATCTATGATAAATTGAGAGGTTACGATGATGAACCGGTCAAAAAAGAAGTAGATCTGAAAAACAAGTCTATCTTATCCTTAAAAAATATTAAGAAGACCTCCTCAAGAGAAGTCATTGTCCAATCTCTAGAACTCATTATTCACGATATTACTATGAGAGTAACTGATTATTATGAGGATTCCAATCTAGTGCCTTCAGTTCTGGTTATACATTATCACAATGTTGAAAAGGGATCACATTAAAAAAGTGAACCCATTTATCTTACTCTGCCCATCGAAAGTTTCAGGTTGACCATAGAGGAAAGAGTTCATTCTATCTTGAATCAAATCCAGGACAATGAAATGTTCCCCTTGATTCATATTGGCATCAGTTGTAGATACTTTAAACCTATGATTCAGGGCATTCAGAATCCCATCACCATGTTCTTTAAGAAGACCTTAGAACAATAGGAGTATGAGAAGTAAACAAGGCTGGCAGAAATGCAAGAAAAAATGATCTCTCCTGATGATTACTATAGTTGTTCGATTTGTGGACAAGAGATAATGAAGAAGGACAAGGAGTCTCATGATGATTTTCATATTGCTGAGAACTTGGATAAGGAAATGAATCCCAAGAAAAGAAAATACAAGAGTTTACAATAAACTAATAGTAATTCATAAAGTAATGTAAATTCCAAATCAAAAAGTAAATAACAAGGTTTAACGTCAATTTTATAATTCTTAAAAAAATAATGATACTTTTTTTTAATGATATTTATTATGTATGCTAAAATTTGATAATCATCACCATCCTAAATAATTACTCAATTATTAAAATATGGACAATAACGAAGAACATTATGAAGTAGAATATGTCTTCGGTAAGAGATTGGATAAAGGGAATGTGGTCGATTATGCAGTCAAATGGCTTGGATACGACAAAAAACATCATACTTGGGAACCCATTTCTAGTTTCAGTGCAGCCTCTTTGCTTTTGATTGGGTAAACATTACGTTATCTATATTTTCTATAGTCGATTCGAAAGATATTTGGCATATAAAAATTATTACAAATTGATAGCAAAGAAAGTAGAGAAGGCCAAACAACCTAAAAAACCAGATGAACCCATCAGAGTACATATTAGAAATAGATTCACTCAAGTCTTAATCAAAGAGGCTGAAATTATAAACATCGAGTTAGATACTGATGAAATTGTTTAAAAAAAGGAAACCTTCCAAATCAATGATGATGATCCCGATGTTCAAATAGTAAGTGTGAGTTTCAAACCTATTAAACAAAGTGAGTCCAAGGATCTAAACAAGTTTAAAGTGTAGAAAGTATCGCAGACTCTTGATTTCAATCGAATGATGCATATTAGACAATAACAGCTAAACCCAATTAAAATAAACACCTATAAAAGTAAATACAAAGTAGAAAAGGATTATTTAAATGAGATCATCTTTGAGTAAAGATAAAAGGAGAAAGAAGTTAGTATGTTAAAATTTACAGAAATTAACGATAAGTTTGAACCTTCTCAACCTATTAAAGTAGTATCAGAATATTCTTAAACTGAAGGATTCTCAACATTATAGAACGTATATCGTAACCAATAATTCTAACACAGAGTTTTTAATTAGAAAGTTCCCTTTGAATTTATCCTATCTCACCATCAGGTTTAAAATGAGTTATGGTTTAAATGTCAAAGTGATGAATAAGAACTCTTATTTTTAGATCTTTAAACACTCTAACAAAATTATTCAACTTTGTTATTAGATTATTTGGCTGCATTTAGTGTGATGATTTGATTTAATGAATTTAATTATTTAATAGTTATATCCAATCTTAAATTTAAATCCTAAATTATTTAAAATAATAGTAGTATTGTTCTCTCTTAACTTTTATAAGATAGATTATTAATTATTTATTATTTATTATTTATTTTGAAATATAAGATAGAAATGCAATTAGAAGGATAGATTAAATAAAATATGTGAAAATTTTCTGAATATAAAATTATTAAATCAATATTCTAATTCCATACTACTACTATCATCGGAATCTGGTATCCTTATCTATTATTTAGTGTTCTTTTTAGGAGGTCTATATTGAGTTTGAATCTTTTTGGGTTTGGTTACTTATTACTAATTAGATTATGATGGTTGATTATGTGATACTGAGTGAAGTCTTTCTAATTAAGGATCTACTGAATCTAAGTTTGTTTTAAATATGGTCAATAACTAAGAGAATTCGTGTGATTATTAGATGGCCTCGGTTTTTCTGGCATTCATTTTACAAGATGAGGCTGCCTTTCTACATTTTTGATAAATCTATTTAAACTATTCTAATATGATTGGGTTCTTGAGTACTTTTTTATACTATGGGAAATTGGTTACAAGTAATCTAAGATTTTCAAGATGAAATTTCAGATAAAGTAAACAAAAGGACAAGTAGACACATTCCCTTTCAGCCGTGAGCTATACGGGATTATAGGGGATAATATCTTCTTTGGCTTCTTAGACTCTCTGCATAATGCTTCTATTTTTAAGAGATGCCTCTCTATCAAAGATATCAAATCTGTTCAAGAATTTCTCGAGTATCTATTCTTAAAGTTTATCCTTTTGGACTAAAGGGATGATTTCTTTGGCAAATATCTTGAAATCCTCTTCTGAGACTTGATAATTATGAGCCATTGAAGTAATTAGATCAGGTAGGACCTAATAAAATTTCTGACTATCCTTTTTGTATAATTCAACGAAGAAGATTTTGGCATGTTTTTTAATGGTTTAATCCTAATCATTGATGTGTTTGGCAATTTAAGAGGCATCAATTCTTAGTAATTCCATTAGCATCAGATGGGATACAATGATGATGGCAGTCCTTCTGACTTTGAGAACTTTGTCATCCATCTTCTGTAAGACTTTATTGATATCAATTAGATCTGAGTATCTGTAATAGATGTCACTAAGCATTGTAATGATGTTGCATTTAATAATGGATTAGACTTGTTAGCAATCTAAGATTTCCATTATGGTTTTGATATTCCTGACTGTGCATGATTTAGAGATGATCATGAATTGCAACAAAGACATGACACTGATTTGGTCTATCATTAGATTTCTTTCTTTATATGAATCAGTTATCATATTCTTGCAAATGGCTTCAGCACTAGAACTGTATTCACTGAGATCTCCCATTTTCTCAAACAGATCCTGCAATTCTTTGATTTTTCCATCCATATGTTCTTGTATACTATTATCCATTTGATCCATCTCGTCTAAAGGTTAGGTCTTCTCTTTCCTATATTGTTTGATCATCTTCTCACTATACACATATAGTTTTAATCCTATAGTACTACTTGCGAACATCAATTGAGGTATATTAGCAATAGGAATTGAGTTCAAGAATTCTAACAAGGTGATTTCTGGTTTTTGAATTTTTTCGACTGTGAATCTAATGAAGGTGTCACATGCTCTGAACCACTCTAGATCACTTCCATCATAATTTTATAAGGATTTGATAATTTCCTTAATATAAATTTGATGGACATCTTCAACAGGGATTTCTTAAATAATGAGTATGATTTCTGTTATTTCACTGAATTGTTTTGTGTCTTTGAGGTGTCTTAGTAAGTAGCATAACTTATCATATAATTAGGCATCATCCATGATCCCAATGAATCTAATCAATCTCAAATTAGGCAATATATATTTCTATTATTTTAAGTAATCCCATGCTTTATCCCAGACATCTGCAGTTTTGAGTTGTAGATTCTTCTATTTAAAAGATTTGAATAACTGTTCCAAACAAGTGATTTCTAACATATCGCAAATTTCTATTAGCTTGATCAACTTGGAGTAATTTCTAACAAAAGAATTGAAAATGAGTTTATTCAGATCTTCCTATAATTCTGCTTGATAAACCAACACTAAGATTTATTTGACATATTCAATCATTCCTTCTTGATGGTTGATCATCAAAGTAGTGAACACTTGTAGAACACACTTACTTTCTGTATGGATATTACTGAGCGCAATCTTAATAAGATCAGGCATGGCAATAGATATCTAATTCTGGAATACTTGTTGTGCCTTCAATTTTTATTCTCGATCTCTGCAGGAATTCAATTGGGATTCCAAATTATCTAAATAGTATTTGATATCGATCTAATTCCTGTTCAATTATTCTTACAGGTTTTGACAATCCTCAATTAGTTTCTGTTTCTCCAACTCCAACAATTTCCTATTCTTCTCCAATTGAGACGATTTGAATGTCATAATTCCATACTATTTTGAATATGCCTTGATGATTGAGTCCAACAAGGATATGGCTGCTCTTCTTGCTGAACTACTCTTATCCTTCAATCTCTCAACTGCTTTGTACAATATCTCAGCATTCAATTTGACTGATCTTGAACTTATCAACTCCTTTAATGCATACAATACACAAGATCTTCCATGAACATGTGAATCATGAGTTCTCAATAATAATAATTACAATAGTTTCTCCTCGACATCTTCCATAAATACTGATTAACGTAATAGTTCTCCCAAGGTCATTGTCACTGTATTTCGTATCATCCATTATTCCTTATCATATAGTTTCAACAACGTATGCAGAATATTATTCTAGGTAAAAAAGTCTGGTAGAAATCTCACCAACTAGAGTAATACTTCTCTGCTTGTTTTTGCATACAGAGGCTTGATTGTAGTTAGATATTCCAATATTACACATTCAATAAATGTCGAATTGGATGTGGGTAACAATTCCTAGAATCTAATCTAAGTGTCTTCATCTTCATTCTCTAATTTCTATCTATTCAATCTTCTCAACAATGGTACACAATTGATGTTCTATGCAGAAAAGGCAACAACCAAATTGTTAAAGTAATGTTCGTTGTTTTGACTTAATAGAAATGCCACTATTTGGTGTGCTATTACACTCTGACAATTTGATGTTGCCACTGACATCACCATAGAAAAACATTCCTGTATTAATTTGCTTATTTTTATGTATTTTACAAAACTTTTTAAGACTTTTATATGTTCCTATTATTCAATCTAATTATGCCAACACAAATAGCAACAGGCCAAAAAGACTGTTATTCTCTCAGATCCCAATTTCAGAGTTCCCAAATATGCCTTATCTAATTGATTCTTCAATATGTCTGATAGAACATTGTTTATTTGTTAAGTGGTGTTTCCATTCTTGATTGAAAAATACACAAAGTCCAACCATGTTGTACACTCATTCAATTTTTCAGGTTCATCAATTAGATTTGTACTCACAGTTGTCAAATACTTGTAGATTTATGCGGGTGTCTTATTCTTGGTTTGATCTTCTCCTTTGTAATCTCCCAAAGAAGTTGGAAATTCGAAATCTGCCATTTTTATAATACATTTTTATATAATTTAATTAAATAAATTTATAAACAAAAAATTCTTGCTAATATTTATAATCAGTATTGAGCTTCTTCATCCCAAACCAAACCAAAGAGCTCTAATTGAAATTCCTCCTCTTGATAAGACTCTTCAATCATTTCCATTATGCATTATTGCATATCAGTCGAATGAATCTCTTATCTGATAGGTTAATGAGGCTCTTTAGTAACTATCTCTCGATCTTACTTCTCGAATTGCACTTCCTTCCAATATTGATCCATCTCGAATCTCAACTTTGACAGATTCTGCTCCAAAATCAAAAGGGCCGTATTACTATTAAAATGCTCAGCTATCCTACTACCCACATATTTCAAACCATCAGGATAATGAAATGCGTTCATTTTGAACCTCTACAAATATTAAATAACTTTACTGAAAATGTCAAACTGTTCAACTTATTAAACGCCTCCTTCGTTTCTTAAAAGTCCTTCAAAATCAAACATACTATATTATTCTACAATTGTATTCTTTCATCAAGAGGCTCGAATTGAATGCCTAAATGCAAGTTCAAGAATTCAACCAAATATTTCACATTTGAAAATTTAGATAAATTATTAATGTAGAGTAATTTCTTATGATCGGCATCATCAATCCTTAATTGTAAGTCCTTGAATTTGATGCCAAATATCCTCAAGTCCTGATACAGAGCATTCTACTTGGATTCCTTGTTTTTAAAGTTGATCACCGCATATGACTTATACAATTTCTTATTCTTATTCACCTTTACTCTCTCCAATAATTTCTTTGTTGAACTCAATTAATCCAAACTCTAATAGAAGTCCTTGTTCTCATTAGCCTTGTTTGTGGCTATCTGATCAATTTGCTTCTTGAAATTGGAATACTCGAAGTATTCAATGGACTCTATCTCACCGAATCTTGACTCAAAGTACTCTCTGCACTCCTATTTAAATTTCTCATCCAAGATGTAGGGTAGGTTATATAAACACACCTCGTTGGTTTCCTTGACTTCCCCAACACTGTCGATCTATTTCAATTGTAATGGGGTTCTGAGTTCACTCTCATCCTTCGGCCTTATATGTTTGTTCATCAGTCTAGAATTCCTGGCCAATACCAATTAATTCTTAACGACCTCTTTGCTACTTGTATCGTAGGACTCGGTCTCCTCCTATTTTGGTAATAAAGTATTAATCAAACTATCGTCAATTATTTACGAAAAAGCAGGAGCTTTCTCGTCTTGTTCAATTTTCAATTTATGATGTTTACGTTTATATTAAATGAAATCAGTTAGACTTTTATTCTATGGCTAAAATAGACTTGCTCGATTCTGAACAAAACAAGTATATTCACTTTTGATCTCGGTTTCTATTCTGTCAAAATCATCATAAAAATGCTCAGGCTGCAATTCTTACAGATCGATTCTCAAGGCCAATGGTACGAGATCTAGAACTTGGTCTGCAATAACTATAATATCATACACTAATTAAAAAGTCTGAATATACTAGATTTCAATTGTAAAGTGTTAGTATACTCCTAAACAAACATTAAGACACATCAATACCTTCTCCTTTATCAATTAGACATCCCTCACGAAGTCCATCAATTAACTGTCATGCAATCGATCCTATAGATAACATGTAAGAGTTCTTATATTTTTGTATCGTTCCTCTGACACTTTTGGTATGTCAAATTTCATTGCTTCCAACACTAAATCACTTTGATCAAACTATTACATTTAATCGGAACTCCATGGATTTAAGTAGTAAATTTCTATGCACACAATCTAGATAGCATAAATAAATTTTTAATATGCTTGACAAAAGTTAAAACATTAACAACTCACAAATAAAGCAAATCAAACCCAACCAATTAAACCAAATTTATTAAATTACCATTCCAGGTCCATGACCTAAAGAATCAAACAAAAATATTTAGAAAAAATATTTGAAAATTTTTGTATTCTAACACACTGAGACATATATATTTTTATATTCCTAGATCATAAAGCAATATTTTTAATTCATTCAGGGATTACTATGATATATAGTGATTGGATTTGAAAAGTGAATTAGATATACATTTTTGTTATCAAACTTACTTTTATCATTATACTTCATTATTATTTTTATAAGTATATGAATTCAGAATAATAAGACAGTAATAGATTAGCAAAAGCCAATTTTGAATAATTTATTAGAGTCTGGTGGCAATCACTTTTATTTGGTACCAAACTAGTAATTGGAATTTCCTGGTTATTTGGTTTTATTGATTTATTGAGCAATTATGCCTTTGACTTATTCAGCAATTCTCCAGAGCAAACAATACCATTTTAAATTTAGAGATTATTCTTTTCACAATTTGTTCACTGTAAATCAATTTTAGGATTATGATAGATTATACCATTGATTTATTGCTTGCCATTATTTGCGTGTATAAAAAATTAGAAGAGTTAGAATTAAAATATTCCTCTGCTCTTTTCATACTTTTAATTGTTGTTATAGGATGTCTCACTCAAGTAAATATTACGTTTGATTCCTTTAGTTTACATGTGTTTTACTTTAATGGATATTATCATTTATTTACTCTCCATTTTATTCAATTAAAGCATATGGATTATGGAATTACTATATTTTCTGTGTCATCTAAGAGTACGCTTATAATTAATATATTTAGATGTTTGACTGCTCCAAAAGGATAAAGTTTATTTTTAATATTTCCAATGTAATTGAAAAATCATTACTACCCTATAGTTTTAGTTATCTTTTTTACACTTATTCAATAATCATTGACATTCATTTCAACAGCCTTCTTAGGAATTTTATTCTTTTTATTATAGAATCATTTCACTTTAATTAACCATTCAGTAATATCTTTATTTATTTATAGACTATTGAAAGATTTGAAAAATGCATAATTTTGAAGTTCTTTACAGAGAGATCCGATTTCAAGAAAATCTCAAATTATTAAGATTAATTGGAACCCAGTGTGGATGCAAGGGAACTCTAATCAGTGGAAACACCACCTGCAAAGTTTTTGATATAATACATTTTAGATTAACACTATAAGGTAGTCCTTAATAATTCAGGTCATCTTTAGTGCTTTCTGAACTACAAAAAGAAATGAATTAAAAAGAGGGTGATAACGAACAGCCTATATAAGAAGAGGATGAAGAAAAAAAATAAAATGAATCAAATCCATCTGCATAATTTTGATGAACCCATTATGTTGATTGTTTTTATATCATTATTGTAATTGCTAGTTAATCAAATTATAATAATTGATAAGTTTGAATTCATTATTGGTGGAATTTAGTTTTCGCAATAGAATTTGAATTACATATGAAAATCTTTGATTTATCTCCTTTAATTTGAGATTATTAAAGGAATTTTCTAAAATTAAAGTTTCTTCTATAGAAGTAATTATTATTCTAATATCCTCAATTAATATATGAAGTATCTTAATTATTTATAATTCATTTAAAATCTATAATTTTATTTATTCTTTTAATTTTAATATGTTCATATTGATAGAATAATTTAATCTGATTTATCTGGATATAAGAAGGTATTTCACACTATTAGAATATAAATTTATTATTTTTATTGTGTAATGATCCATTTTATTAAAAAAAGAATTCTAACAGATTTTTATAGCCAATTCTTAGAGCTTTTATTAATAAACATAAACTAGAATTTGAATAGCAATAATTCTTTCACTATCAAGTTTAATTATTATTTTCATTCAACATTATATTTTATCAAGATTAATAAATAATATAGAAATTATATGATTTTCTATCTTTTTAGATGTATATTATATAATTTGAACATATGTGTTATTAAAGAAGAATTTTAATATATCAAACAATTAGAGGAATATAAATAATTTAAATAAAATAATGGAATGTCCAATGTGTTGGGAATTGTATGCCCAAAATAGAGTGGCAAGAAATCTACTTTGTGGTCATACATACTGTTCCATATGTCTTGAATCAATCTATAATGTAAATAAGAGAATAGAATGTCCTCTTTGCAGAACAAAGCATGAACCGCATGTAAAACCACATTTATTGAGCAAAAATTATGTGGCTATGGATTTGGCTTCCAAGCATTTGGAAGTATAGTAAATTAATAGCATAATAATTAGAAAAAAATTCGAATTATGTCCAATTCATACAAAACTTCCTTTATAATTTTTTTGCGAGGATGATTAAACGAATATGTGCACTGAATGTATTGCAGAACATTATGGTCATAAGTTTTTCAAATATGAGCATTCGGGTATCAAAGTATTCTATTGATTAGTTTCTTTATAATAAAATCGATTAGGAAAGATCTAATCGAAATTAAAAACCCAATTTGAGATTTTGGAAAAGCAGGTAAAAGGGTTTGATAATTGCAAAGAACAATTGCAATTGGAAAACGTGAAATTGGTATTGAATTCATCAAATATTTAGATGCAATAATTAGATGAACAATTCGATCGATTAATCAAAAAGGTCGAACAAAGAAAGTAAGAATTGAGGGATTAGCAACTCAAAATATTTAATACCGAGTGTGAATAGATAGATTAAGAACTAGCATTTAATTAATCTTTACTGACAAATATGGCAAGTTTAACAACAAAATTAGATTAAAAATAAGGAGAACTAAGTATATTTAATAATTTAATTGAATAGAGGGAGTTAAAGCTCTAAAAAGTAATGATCTCATAAAAGAAATTGATGATCTAGAAGAGTAAGTAGATAGAGATGTTGCTCAACAAAAGTAATTAAAGATTAGTGAGATAAAGAAGTTGCCTAAATTGGTTTTTGATTAAAAATTAATTAACGAAATCTCAAAGTTTGGATAATTCAAAAAAGATGTCTCTAACCCATAAATATGTTTCTTTGGAGATAAACACAAAATATTAATTTACAACATTGAAAATAATGAATGGGCTTTTAAGCAAATGCCAAATGTATACTAAACATATAAAATAGAATACATTAGAATATAATTATTATGCTGCAGCTGTCAGTCTGCCAAGTGGTGATATCATCATAACAGGAGGTGGAGTCAGTAGAAATACAATGTTAATATCTCCATCTAAAGGATTTCAATCATAAGCATTAAAAAGTATGTACTTCCCAAGAAAAGAACATGCTTGTGTGTATCTTGATGGTTTTGTATATGCTATAGGAGGGTATTTCTTATTGATTAAACATTGTTAGATATGATGGATCTGCTAAGCAAATGTTATCATGTTGTGAAAAGTATAGTTTGGCTTCAGATGAATGGAAAATAATAGATCCTTTGTAAAAATAAAAGTGTGCCTTTGCAGCAGCAGCAGCTATTAATAAATATATTTATGTATTCGGTGGTTTTGATGGAAGAGAGAGATTGAACACAATTGAAAGATATTCAGTGAAGGAAAATCAGTGGAAAGTTTTGGATGTTAAATTTAAATAAGGATTTAGTAATGCTGCTGCTATCTCATATGATGATAATAAGATTCTTATTTTAGGAGGAGGGTATATATTTCAAATATTCTTCATTTTTAGATCAAATCAAGGATTTTCATATGATTTATAAGTTTATGATGTTAATGAATAAGTAGTTAAGACTTTGAGTAGAATGAATGAGGGAAGAGATTTGAGGAACAAATTGGTTATTTTTGACAATAATCTATTTGCTTGTGGAGGCAATAACCAATCCATAGAAAAATACTCGTTAAGCTAATAAGTTTGGGTGAATTTAAAGTAAATTAATAATTAAATCCAATTTAGAAGTTACGATCAATTGGTTTAAGATAATTTGGATTCATGGTGCAGTGCTTTGACATTTGAAATAAATAGTTCTACCTCTGTTTCAAATCTATTGAAGCATAATTAATAAAAAGTATTGCTTATTTTGATTCTAGTAACAATAATACTAAAAATATAAATTTGAAGAATAAGTGTCTTTTGAACATGATTCATTCAATCAAGATGCTTAAAGTGAAGAACTAGAGGATTTAGAAGATTATGCATACAACTAATAATCTGGGGGATTATTTTAATTTTGAATTTATAATTAGATATAATTAATAATTAAACTTTTTAATCACATAGTCAATAATCTCATCAATTAGCAATAGTATCTCATTAAAATCAATTGCAATTTATGTGTAATAGGAATTTTTATTTTCTTGCTGCGATTTTTACTAGCTTATTATTCACATTAAGGTAATTAGTCATATAATATTTGTCTTCTGAAACAATATTTTATCAACTAAAATAAAATGATAAATATGATTCCCAAAGGCAATAACAGAGGAGCTAATTCCATTAAATTTTACTATGTCACTTAAGATTATATTATTCCATTCGTATAATTTTTTATCGAAGTTATTATGTTTTCGCAATTAACTCTGAATAGAAGCAATAAAAATATCCAGAATTTCATTAATATGAAATTTTACAATTATTATATTTTAAAATAATTTATAATTATGTATTAATAACACATCTAATAGAGTGAAATATATGATATGCCATTATTGTATCATTATTGTTATATTTCATCTTATTCAATCTACTCGTTCTCAGTTTCAAGCAAAAAATCACTTATTTTCAAATTTGGAAATATTTAGGATGCATTTTCAATTATGAATTAAATAAATTAATTTACCATTTTAATTCTAAATATACTTTATTGAATAATACTTCAAATATTATTCTTAAACATTTGATTAATCGTATTCTTATGGTCTACACAAACTTATACCAAATACGATGGCCAAATTGCTTGGACCCATCTTATTAATTTGAGAGTATGAAGCTACTGTTTATAAAAACAGTATAATTAAAGTAAATAAGTTTCTATTCAAATTTGGAAATTGCTAAATCAACACTTAAGCTTCTTCAATAGAATAATGCTTCATAGAATATATTTAATTATAATATTAATATGGAACAACTGAGTACTTTAATTTATCCAAAACTCTCTTAATAAAATTCGCTATAACTAGGACATTCTCAAAATCGAGTATTTCTGAATACTATTTCTGGATTAAATAATTTTCAAATTATTTGTCTTAAGTTTGGGCCGAGCATAACCTGAATATCCCTTCTAATTGAAGGTTTTGAGGATCCTATAATAATCTCGTAATGCATAGATCAAGAATGATTGGTATTCCTTTGTTTGTAAACTCATACTAATCCAATTCAAGATCGTAAAGTTAGTTTTGGCATTATTGGAAACAAGTTATTTAATGTTGATTTCCAATAAATGCTTATTAAAGTTATTGATAGGATGCATCCTTACAATATGAAGGCATTTTCTCAAATTGTTAATGTTTAAAAAATTGATAATTCAACAATTATGCAACTCTATTATTTTATGATTAAGATACTTTTCCAGATAAATGGTTTTTGATTTCAATACTTTTATTTAAACACTGCTTTGAAACCAAAACCATGATTTAATGAAAATATTCCCATGCAATATGAATATTTTTTATAGATTTTCAAAATAAATGCAAGGGAATTCTTTAAAGATTGAGTAAAATTTTGATAGATGCAAATATGTTTTCAATTCTGTGTTTATGTAGATGATAAAAAATTCTCTAAATAATATTATGGAATAGTTACTAATTTTTTTGATTCTACAATTAAGAGATCATATAATAAGTGATTGATCTTACGTTATTATCATTCTGCAATTTTCCTTATATGATAAAGACCGTTTGCTTTTATTCAGTGACACCTAAGTTTTTAATTCACAATTTAGACCTGCATGTATTAATAAAGGATCATCCCTGTTTTTGGAATCATATTTTGCAACTTGCATTTAGATGATAAAGTCATTTTGAATCTTTTTTTCATTTTAGACATACTTCTGATCGTTTGCAAACAGTTCTCGTATCTATTGTTTTTCGTTGTCAATAATCATAAAATTAATTAAAACTATATAATTTAATCAGAAGATTTAGCATGATTCACAACTTCTCCTTTACCTATATTCCTTATTTTTAAAGGACTTGATAGAATGGATATCTTCTTCAATGAATGTATTCACCTAATCTCCAGATTCTGAAGGCAAAACAAGATTTTAATTTTAAGGAACTTCAACCTAAATAATTTTAATATTATTTACAACTAAATTTTATTGACCAATAAAATGATCTTCTTTAGCTTCAATCTACTTCTCTTCAAATTGAGAGACTGTAGTCTGATTCTAAAGTTCATGTTTCTTATTTTCCAATAATTGAATCTCTTTTTGTAAGGATCCCAATAATTTTTTGTGACTGCTTTTATTTTATTGTTTTTATGATATTTAAGAAATAAGAGCTTATTCTTATAATCTTTTTTCTGATTCTAGTTTGGAGTCCTAATTATGCAATTGTACTTTATTATTATTTTCTTCTTCTAATTCTACTTCTGCTTCTTAGATATCATCTGCCTTTTTAATTTCCTTTATCTTTTGTTATAAAAGCGTCCCTTTTTCTTTTGATAGCAATAATTACATCTGGATACTTTATATTTGGCTATCCAAGACTTCTAATTTCTGTTCTGTTTATTTCTTTTCCTTTTTTGTTATAGATTGTTTTTCTTAGCAAAAAATCAATTCTGATTTTAATTCTTATATTTGATCATTTAATTCTTTATTTTTACATTCTCTCTAGATGTTGTCTTCCTTATATTGTAAAACAAGTTCTGAATGCCTATTTTTCATTTCCTCTACAAATCTTGCAGAGGTTTAACCTCCCAATGACAATCTGGTCCTTCTATCTCTGGGTGTAGAATATTGCAAGGGAGTTGTGACATAACTTCTTGATCTTTCACCATTTAGGCCTGATAATTTTGTATTCAATTAGAGAGGAGGAATTTCTATATTATTGTAAGTTGTTGAATGTATTTTTTTTTGATGCTCTTTTTCTTAAAGTAGAACTTCCAATTGATCAATAATCTCATGAGCCTTATCGAGTTGTTCCTAATAAAATCTCGTCTTAGAATTTGGAGACAATGAAGGAGATGGTGGTTAGAGATCAAATATCATAATTTAATTAATATGTACATATTATTTACTGTATGTGTGTATTTTACTTTTTCATAATCTTCTTCCTCTTCTACCTCCAGGTCTTCTTGTTGAGTCAGTGGGAATTGGAGTAACATCTTCAATTCTACCAATTTTAAGGCCAAGACGAGCCAATGCTCTCAAAGCAGCTTAAGCACCTGGTCCTGGTTATCTTGTGTCAACACCTAAACGTGTATAAATACAATTTAATACCTCCTCTTGCTCTTAATTTAATATGCAAAGCATTAATTTTGAGTGTTTTCAATTTCTCATAAACATCTTTGGCTGCTTGCATGGCTGCATATGGAGATGATTCTTCTCTGTCTGATTTAACTTTCATTCCACCAGTTACTCTGGCTAATGTTTCTCTGCCTGTCAAATCGGTGATATGAATAAAGGTGTCATTCCATGTAGATAAGATGTGAGCCACTCCAAATACTAATTCATTTCCAGCCACATTTGGTCCCAAAGTAGCTACGACTTATTAAGTAGTTTCTTCTCCAGTTTTCTTTCCCTTTTTGCCTTTTGGCTATTGAACAGGTTATTGTTTAGCGTCAGCCTTTATTTAATTGTTATAGTTACCATTGTCTAAAAATTAATTTAAATCTTTTTTTAATATACAAAATAGGAATCGTCGCCTAATTTAATTAATGACTACACTATATATACTTGACCATATTAGAGGTCCAGAACACCATACAATCCATTATATAAATATGATAACAATTTATTGATTATTGTACTAAATATGTAAATATCATTCAGCAGCAAATTTGTTTTAGGTTTTCTTGGTTCTTTGAGCCTTATTCTTTTCTCTTCTGTCATTTTATTCCTTCTCGATTTTATCAACTCTGACTTTTTCTTATTTAGTTTCATGAATTGCCTCGATAAGAACTTTTTTGTTTTTGTATTGATTACCTTTTGAAGCCAAATAAAATTCGTGATATCTAACTTATTAATGATTTTTTACTATTATCTGTCAATTTTCTTTGCGGCTCTATATTTTCTGAGCAATCTTCTTAAAACTCTTTGTCTTCTGATCCAAAGAACTTTGGTTGGCATTCTTGCCTCTCTTGTACCTCTTCTCTTACCAGTACCAGTGTGTCTGCCTCTTCTCTTTGCTTCAAGGAATCTTCTTGCTCTAGCTCTTGAGTGAATTGTTCTCAATCTTCTCATAATCAAACCATCTTTAATTAATTTTCTAATTGACATTCTTGAATTTGCAAGACTGATTTCACTTGCTTCATTTGGGTCTAACCAAACTCTGTTGACACCAACCTTCAATTATGTGGAAGCCAATCTTTTTTAGAGGCGGAGATTAACCATTAAAAAATAATATCTAAATTTTTAAATTTTTTTTCATTTAATCTAAGCATTTGCAATATTAGATTGCAAATAAAAAGAATTCAAAATTGTACTTTACTATATAGATTTGTTAAAAGAACATATGAAACTGAATACATTTTTGTGAATAAATATTCATATATTAAAATTATTAACTAAAATATAAATAATTAGACAGTTATTTCAGTTAATACACAATAAATTTTATTGAAATTTATATTAGTTAATCAATTATTCCATCATAAAAGTGACCCAACTTACAAGTGATGATCGCAGAGTATTGTGATTTTTATACCTTTTGAGCAAAGATTGAAACAAATTGTGAAAATAATTAAATTTAAAATCAAATAAAATGTAGCAGAATCAGAGTTACACAAAAATCAAATGTCTATTCAAAGGATATGCAGGCAAAGTATACCTGATCGAAAGAAGATCAGAAAATGATCCTCCCAATAAAAAACACACCCCTTTAGTCTTGAAAAGGTATTACAGAAAAGTAAGCATTAATTCGAATTTAACATAGCCTTCTGACCCTCAAGATCATACTTAGTTAAATGAATACAAGTTTTTGAGTACGTTACATCATCCCAATATTGTCAATTTCCTAGATGCTTTCACAGAAAAATTTGAATACAAAAAATACCTGTGTTTAACGATGGAATATATGGCACCACTTCATGAACTATTATTCTCCATTAACGATTGCCAACTCTATATATTCAGAGAGCTTTGTGAAGCCTTGAATTATTTACATTAATAAAATATCCTTCACAGAGATATTAAGCCAAGCAATGTCTTTGTGACAGCAGAAGGATAAGTTAAATTAGGAGACTTTGGCATTTCCACTCAGGTAAGAGATTTGATGACTCCTCAAACTTGCACCAAGAATTACAGGGCTCCCGAATTATTCTTCGGGTTAAAAGAATATGATGCATCAATTGATATTTGGTCCCTAGGCTGCACATTGATAGAATTATTAACAGGCAAAATTTTATTTGATGGAAGATCAGAAATTGAGATCATGTCTTAAATAGCTGAACTCTTGGGAAGCTTGAATGTAAAATTGTCCTCATATCCTAGGATTCGAATTGGAAGGGAGTCTCATCCTTACCCATGTATTTGGAATTTGTCAATGATAAACAACCGAAATTGCCAAAGATCTTGGCCACTCTACCTAAATATTTGTAGCCCTTAATTGAAAATATGCTCAGAATGAATCCCAAAGAAAGACCAAATATTAAATATGTTTTACAATATTTAAATGATATGAACATTAAGGATTGCTCAATTTAATTAGCGAGTATTGCTCAGAATGCCATGAGTGCGAGTAATAAAATTAAGTTTCAATAAGGGATATGATGTTATAAAAAAATAATTAAATGAATTTCGATTCCTATTTTGCTGAATTCAAAACTCCTTAAAAGCCATATTATGTCAGATCAAGTCATAAACATAACTCAAGTTAGCCTCAACTGTCCAATTACTTTGCAGAGGAACAGAAGTAAAATCTCTCTAGGGTAGGATAGGAATCCTTAAAAAAATGGGATTTCTTTTCTGACCCATTTAGTTTACCTGATAAGTATCTAAGTAACTCTCAAAAACACATAAAAACCGAAACCACAGACTTTGGATTTGATAGCATAGACCTCATTTTAGGAAAACAAACAGATCGAAATAGTTCAACATCTCTAAAGATGATTCATCAGAAAACTCAATCAGAAAAACTGATAGGCAAAAAAGTACAGTTTTCAGAATTGGTACAAGTAAAAAACGATGATGGAAGTGAATCTGAAGAACCCATTCAAGTATTTTCAAGAAAGGAAACAAGAAAAAGTAAGTTTTCAACATCAGGTCAGCGACCACTTAATTCAATTAGAAAATAATGTTGATATAATTTACTTCAATACCAATAATATATTAAAACATAGATTTTTTATATTGAACATTATCTGAATATCATCAATTTATTAATAAATCAATATTGAGATGTCAATCAACTTGTAATTACTGATTTGTTATTATAAATAATGCATAATATAAGCATATATTTAATAAATTATATTATTATGCATAAGCATGGGAAGAGGTTACATATGGGATCATAAAATCAATAATCTCTAACATCTCTAAATTCAAAGAATGCTAATTAGGAAACAGAAAAACCACAGGATCAATTTGAAATAGTGCAACAGAGTTTTGAGAATTCAATGTAAATGAATGTGAAAGATCACATTGATAAGTTATTTGTAATGGGTATTCATATTAAAATAGAATATTTTAAACAAAATCAAGGATGATTTAAAGGTTAGCAGAGATGATATGCATGTTATACGAGAAGAATTGCATAAAATGAAATCTAATTAATATAGAGAAGAGGATTAAATAACTAAAGCATTACTTTCCGATGTATAATCGAATCAATATCTAGATAAATAAACAAAATGGTGAGTTAAATAAATAAAAAATTGATACGTAAACAGTTTATGGAAGTCTAAATATGCAAATCTCAAGTTTATATTGCGACAAAGATTTTCTGAATGGAAATACTACTAAGGTTGAGTTGGATACCAATATGGTGGAGACTCACGTAGGTTTTAGAAGAGTGTATGATTGAATTATATAATTAGTATACATAGCAACTAAATTATTAATTAATATAATTTAACAGATATTAAATTAACAATGTCTCTAGAATAACTACAATGTATAGAAGATGATAGACAATATTATCAATCAATAAGTAAATCGACCAACCAACAATCACACTAATCTATGGCGACCTTGTAATCAGATCAGTCAATTGAATCATTGGAAAAATTGGTATCGCAAGATATTGCAAAGGATTCGAACTTGAAACTTGAATTGGATCAATTTATTGGGTTATTATAGAAAGTGAAGCCATCAAATTTGAAAAATGAGCTCTCTGTTGTTATGAGTACGGAGCAAGAGGAATATTATAGTTTTCAATAAAAATAGCCTTTGGATAAAAAGGAGATAATGTTTGAAGGATTTCAGAAATGCTACTTTGAGGCAATAAAATTAATTGGCAATCTAATAAGAGATTCAAAAGAGTAAAATTATATCATCTCTTATTTGGAGAAGATGCAAATGATTTATGTATACATAAAATTGCAATAATTAGATTATGCATATATAGAGCTATTAAGGCATGGAAAAATCCATGAATCTCTTAAATAGTTTAAAGCAAACTCTAATTGATGCTGATTAAGAAATCACTCTATTGCATAATCAAACAGCAGAACAGCAATCTATTCTGTAGAAGATGCAACAGCAACTCAAGCAAAATATGAGTGAACTCAATTAAGAACGTTTAAATTCATTGGATTTATAATAAAAGAATTAGCAATTAAAGCATATGATATTGGTAGCCAATAAATAGTTTGAGTCATTACAAGAGAAACTGTTATAAACAGAACAGGAATTGAATGAGATTGTTTCAACATAGAGTCAACAGATCAAATAATTAGTTTAAACCAATAAAAATTTGAGAGAGGCTATCGTGTTCAATGAGAAGAAATAAGAAAATCCAACTAAAGTTAGTTCTTCTCCATTGAATTCATAAAGGAGCACCTGCAATAGCAATTAAGAGAATCAATATAATCAACTTAATAATTAAATAACTATTCATTCATAAAGAACTTAAAATTTAGATAAAAACAACTCGAACACATCTCCTTAATTATCATATAGATGTGCATCCAATAAAAGGGAATGGAATAAATGTACGAAAATATTTAAATGAATGATGAAAATTTAAATATTACTTAATATAAAAAATAGAATTTCATTACACAAAACGATTAAAGTTCCAAATTCCTTAGATTACTTATCCTCCAATTGAAATGTACCTACCTTATCCTTAGACATTATCATCTTAAAAATTTCCTTCAAAACGATCACCATTCAAAAAATAGAGAGTTCCTTATCCATTTTTGTTGTCATCATAAAATTACCCAACATATTTGGTCCAAGCACTTTAAGAATAAAGAAATAAATTACTTTCCAATATCCTCTAGATTTCTGTAATTGATCTCTTCAATTTTTGGAGTATCATTATATAAGATGCCTTATCCTTAAAATTTATCATCAACCCATTCTCCATCATAGGCAGGTCTTCCACTTGCATAATATAAGACTCCTTAATTTAATATACATTTATATTATACCTTGCCCACTAATCCTGTCATTCTTCCAGTTTCCATCATAATAGCCTCCCTCTTTGTAGTATAATCTTCCTCTGCCTTCTTTTTTGCCATTGATCTTCTCCCCAACATATCTTTATCCATTTGGATAGGTTTCATTAACATAAGCTGACATATTCTATTTTGGGAGATAGGTGGATACTGCCTAGATAGGAGTGTAATTTGATTATTAAGTTAGTGGTTATTATTAAGCAGACATAAATCTACTCTATGGCTAAGCGGAGTAATATGAATACGACTCTCTACTTGGTTGATTGTAATCAATATGGTGAGTTTATTCAAATACTTTGATGTCATTGGGGGACGAGAAGTGGAATTTATCCATATAATCGTTGACTTTGAATGATTCTCTTTGAGGTTAATAGGATGTAACATATTGTTATATTTGGATATTGGATTTTTGCTGATCGTTGTTGTTATTGAATAGTAGACTTGATTGAGTATAAGCGTCTTATTTTTTGGGTTGTGCATAGTCTTTGTATAAACTAGTATTGGTTTGAGAATCATATTTGATATTTTATTTTGGTAGATCTGGAATTCTGTAAAGGTCTTAATTTAAGATATGAGTATTCTAAGCAAATGAGATTGGTTGAACTTGAATTTCTTAGATTTATGATTTTGGAATATATCCAATTGAGTTGTTTTACTTCATAGGAGCTACATTCTATATTATTATTTATACAGATAGAATTTCTGGTGATGTCAGCGTTGTGAATCAAGATATCATGGTCATTGTAACTAGCTGGTTTTGGATCTTTCAAGGGGGGATGTAACTCATCATAATTGTCTTCCAGTAATGGAAATGGCCCTTCATCCTGATAAGAAGGCTAGACTGATTGATTGACTTCAAATTAATTATCGCTATTCTTATAGAACATCATCTAGTATTCCTCATCCTATTAACGAGAATTCTGCTCTGCAAATTGAGGTTCCTATTTGTGGGTAGTTTGTTTTCTTTTGTTTCTCAACTAGATAAAATCAGGTCTATCGTTTTCACTCTGTTCTAGCATTTCTTCTATGATTTCAACTAATTCAGATGTGTAAATGGTCCTGGCTTATTCAATGTTGGTGAACAATTATTGCATGTTTATTTTCCCTTCAAAGTAATCATAACAATTATCCTAAGGTTATAGTAAACAAACTTAAAGGAATATCATTCCAAGAGTATACACATCTGATTTGAATAAGTTATGTTGAGGCATATGATTGCTCTCGTAGACTGCCTTAGTCAATATTGGAGAGAGATAGTTGCCTTGAGAAGCATCTCCATAATCTTGTAAAACAGCTGCAAAGGATGTGATATTGGCTAATAAGGGGATGTCACTCACCTTGATGTTTCCATTTTGATAGGATAAGGTTTGCACTCTCAGATTTTGATGGGCAATCTTAAACTCTTGTAATTTGGCCAAACCATCTATTGCTCCATTCAGCATTTATAAAATCTCTTATTCTCCATAATAGGCACCTGCTTGTTTCCTTTGCTCAATTGCATCCTTCAGAGTCTGAGGGATGTATTCAAATACGAGGTTCACCTTATAAAAGGTACTGCAAACTTGCTCTTCTTCCGATTAAATTGATTCTAATTCATAGGATTCGTTATGCATACCTTTCAACTCAATAATATTACTATGCTTTAAGGATTGTCTCATCTATAATTTATTCTTCCAAGCTTAATAACTAGCTTCATCTGGAACACTAATGTTCTTTAATACGATCATTTGGGACTTGTCATTCTTCTTACCGAACAATTTACCATCCCCGTACCCTACTTTATAATTATGATGATTAACTTGCATCATTCAGGTGTTTGATGAATTCGTACTACGAGTCAATCTTTCTTAAAAAATCCTTCTCTTATTTACTATCTGCCTAACCCATTAATTTATAACTGAATAAAATATATATCCCTTTTTATTCTTTTATAATTATAAATCAATCATTCTTAAAAGCATATGCACAACAAGACCACTCTACTGAGTGAAGGATCTTCGTCTAATGTGTTCCTTACCGAGGATCCTGATTATGTAATCAAGGAATATAAATCATTCTACTCTATACAGTCCAGAATGAAGGAAGTTCAAATTTTAGAACTCCTCAAAAGTAATCACATAGTAAAACTCATTACGTATACGGATAACTACTTGGTTTTGGAAAGACTTCAGACACATGATTTGTTTGAAGTACTCAAATCTCAAAAACTAAACACGCTCATGATAAAGGAAATATGCAAGACTTTGATCAAAATCATAAACTATGTTCATCAAAACCAAGTGGTTCATAGAGACATCAAATTGGAGAATATTTTGATTGACAAAGAAGGGGGATTAGTTTTATGTGATTTTGGCTTTGCAGAACTGCTAAGCAATTGCACAGCCAAGAGAACTGTGGGCACTCTCAATTATATGCCTCCTGAATTACACTAGGAAACACTCTTGGGAGGACACAACAGTGAGAACATAAATACTCAAGTACTTATAAAGAGTGATGTGTTTTCATTAGGAGTTACCTTATTTTAGTTAATTTTGGGTTTTTTGCCTTTCAAATCAACTAAACCGAGTGCAAATTGTAAGTTGTGGAAATTGATTCAATAAAAAAAATGGTAATAGTATTGGGCACTCGTTTAAAAATTGTCAAAATAATAAATAGATCTAATCACACAGAACTTTCTGGAGCAATTTCTTTAGCCAGATTCAACTACTAGAACTACTCTAGACATTATTTATGACCATCCCTACCTTTAAGAAGTGAAGGACGATGCCCATTTATTTTGATAAATTATTATTTATATATATATTAAATTAGTACAACCTCATATGATTTCCGAAATTATAGTAGATGACATAGTCAAATAAATAATACATAAGGCCCGAAAACTGATAAGAGAACATAAAATAGACGCAAAGATTCCGTCATTTTTGAAATGCGAATCTATGCATTAGATTAAGTAATAGTGACATAAATGAAAGATCAGCTATCAATATTTACCAAGTTGATTGCTAGAACTCTTCAATTTTATTGGATGACCAGGAATATAATATAAGACCAACCATAGACTCCTTTTAGGCCTTGACACTCAAACTAGTAGATAAACCAACAATAGATTTAGGAGAATTGAATTAAAATTTTTCTTTCTCCGATCACACCACAACTAATAAATCCCTCGTTAGAAAATTCTCTCATAAAAAGAAGATAGATGTTCAAGTTGTAAATGTGAAGGAACCTAAGCCAATTGAATAAAAATAATAAGATCACTAAGAAGTCTATAAAAAATAGATGAATACTAACAGTATTAATCGACATTCTCTGGCGATGAAACAATAAATCAGAGATTTGACAAGTAGTAAAGTATAAATTAAATAGAGCACATGTTCGTTGATAATTTCGATGCAAATGAATACAGAAAGAAAATATAATAATAGGCAGAAAACTTAGAGAAGGAAATGAAATAATGTGATAGATCATTTCAGATCAAAAAAGTATCTGAAAAATCCATAGATAATAGTAGTAATTTGAATCAGACTGTCAAGCCAACGACAGCTCCTTAAGGTTAGAGAAGACCTCAATATATTATAAATAAAAAAATGATAGATTTAAATGTCACTTTGCCTTAGTTCAAAAGATAGTTAACTCCAGTAGATCATAAACGAACCTCTAAAGTTCGAAATGTGTCTGTGGCCTGATAATATTTTATTTTTTATATATTATTATCCTTATATATATAGAGAAGCATGGAATAATCAATCAAAGATTCAACTATTGCTATGAATAAGGCTAGAGTTATTGGCAATTATATTTGCAACAATAAAAATTAACTAGGAGTAGGGTTGATGTGCACCGTACTTAAATTCCTTAATCTAGGTCTACGAAGCAAAACATCTCGAAACTAATAATTATGTTGCATTAAAATAGATATCAAAGAAGGCAATTAAAGAAAAAAAGTTGACTGCAGAAAGATTAAAAGAATCCTATGATTTAGAGATTAAAATATTATAGAAGTGTAAGAAAAGCAATAATAAGAATGTCATATCTCTCTTGGATCACTTTGAAACCTCAGAGCACTACAATATAGTTTTAGAACTATGTGATTGTAAATAGAATAACTTATTTTATAAGAAAATCTTAAAGAGTATATAGAATAAAAGGAGAACAAAAGGTTAACAGAAGAAGAAGCTGTTGATATACTAATATAAATAGTTGAAGGATAGAAATGGTATTTATTTAAATTAATTTTATAGTCTCCATGAAATAAACTATTGTCATAGAGACATAAAGCCAGAAAATATATTAGTTAAAGGGGGAGTGATCAAAATAACAGATGTTAATTTGGCAAAATATATAGAAAACATGTTAACTAAAACATGTTCATTTGTAGGCACTTAATTTTATATAGCACCAGAAGTTGATAAAAAATAATACTATTCACCTTACAAAGCGGATATTTATTCATTAGGCGTTGTCTTCTATGAGATGTTATATGGCTTATTATCGAAATAAGAAAAGAATGTTAATTTTAAAGAGAAAATTGAAAGGAGCACTCTATAAATTAGTGATATCTTAAAACAATTAATTCTTAAAATGATTCAAGAAGACCCTAATGATAGGGCAGATTGGTCATGGGTCTCTTCCTGTATCTACTAATACTTAATCAATAAATCAACTAATTCTCATTCAATTTAAGTGATTTCGTCATTCTATTTTAATGCTTGGCAAGAAAAGTATCAATTTTTGAAGCAAATAATAGAAGACTTGTGTTTATTGCAAATTAAGAATGAAAATATATTCTTGTATCAAAGTGGACTTTTGATTATCAAACTCATAATTTAGCTTGTAGAAGAAAAAGTAGTAGAATTATAAAATGCAACTAAAATAAGTGATGCTGAATTTTATAAAAGTGAATTGAAATTGCTGTCAATATATAGATATGAGTATTTGCGAGTAGTTTAGTACAACTTTTTTTTATTTTGAATAGGAATTGGTACTAATAATAAATGGATGAAAAGAAGAAGTTACTTTGTAATTCTGAACATTTGAAAGATGAATTTAAATACATAGAGAGATCTAAATAGTTTGATAGACATTTTTAGCGTTATTTAGTTGAGTTTTGCAATTAGTTGAATGACTTAGAATACAAAGAAGATAGATTGAAGCTCTAAAAGAAATTATTACAACTAAAATTAATTGTTGCTTGTGATCAAAAAAATGATTTTGTAAGAGACATATTCTAATTTTAGGAATTAGTACAGACACTTTTAAGTAGTAGGTTGTAATCATAAGGAAATTATATTTTAAGTTTCGTCTAACATTTATAGGATCTGAGGATAGTTGAAGAGTATATGAGAGAATTATAACCTGTAATAGATTAAATCCTTAATGAGGGATGAGATAATCGATTTTCTTTATAAAAATATATTTTTAAGCAATATCTTAATAATACATAATATTCAAATCGGATCTACATACATGATTATATTAGTATACAACAATAAAATCTCGGAAATCAGTAGAGTCCCTATAACATTTTAAACCGAATAGTATTCAGAGAACATTATCATTTTGAGTGTTAGAGCATCTAGGGATTTGAAGAATTTAAATTGATATTATAACCGTAGCTATAATAAAATGTCTATAATTTCTGACCTTCTTTCTATGACTTTTTTGTTTGAGATTATTTAATTTCAAGCATTAATGCTAATATCCAGAGAATGAACTCTTTCATAGATTTTATCTCAAAAATTAATATAAGACACTCTTATAATTAATAATTACGATGGCTGATTAACTACTATAAAATGAAAAAATTAAAGAAATTAGTACACATTTCCAATAAAAGTTAAGGGACAACATTTAGCATTTATAGAAGATATTCCACATATCATCAGAAGAATGTTCTTCACTTAAGGAATAGCTGTTAGCAATGAAATATTATATAGATTAAAGGTATACAAAATATCATTCAAAAGATGTCAGGAATATTCATAGTTAGTCATGGACATCAATGTTAAGGGTGAAAGTAGAGAACTCTTGAAAAAGTTGGCAGATTTAATAACCATCAGTGAATTACTAAATGAAGGTACTCAAATTTATAATATTAAATAAGACATCACATACTATAAAGAGACAATCTCTGCCTAAGATCAAAGGATTTTGTAATTGGAATCTGAACTATCAATTTAGAGACAATTAGTCTAATAACTTTAAAAAGACAATAAGGAAATTTATGATAAGATGAAGTAAGAAGCAAAAGAAGAGAGAAAAGAGTTAGAAGCAACTCTTGGAGCTGTAAAAGCATAATTCTCTAAACTTGAAGACGACTTCTACTAATAAATATTTAATTTGGAGAATTCAATTAAATAACTCAATGTAAAAATTGTTGAATTAGAAACAGGGAGAGCAAGTTTAATCAAAACAATACATTTAAAGGAGGATTTATTAAAAAAATAATCAATTCATTATGATACCAAGTTAACAGACTAGAAAGTCTATTGGTAAAATAAATTGAGTGAAAAAACTAATGAATTAGAATAGACTATTAAGGAGAGTGTTCAGTCTTGGGAAATTAAGTGTAAATGTATTTAAAATGACTTCGATATATATAAAAGGAATGTTTAAGAACAAATTGATTAATTAAACTAATTATAAAATTCAAAGGAGAAAGATTATGAAAGATTGAAAGAGAATTTTGATAAATTGTTGGAAGATTATAAATTAAAAGAGTCTTACATTTAAACACATAAGGATGAAAATGAGAAAATTACTGGCCAATTAATAAAATAAGTTGAAATACTTAAAGAGCTATAAATAAACTAAGAATAAAAAATTAATACTTAATAATATGAATATAATAAGTTACTTTAGTAATATAAGGATGGAGATTCAAGATCAAAAAAAGAGTAGTAACGTTAAATTGAATTATTGTAAGAGATTTCTGAATTAAAGATGTAAAATCAGGAGAACTAATTAACTATTCAAAACTATCATCAATTAATTAAAGAAATTTATACAAATGCAGCAACATTTTTGGGATTAGAAATAAAGACTCAATAGTACTAATAAATGCTATAATTCTCTTTAGAATATTTACTAGTTTTAATCAGATCTAGTCAAGAATAAAAGTTAGAATTTAATGAGATTTAGAATATGTATGAAACTTAAAATTTAGATTTAAAAAATAAACTGAATAAATAATGTTAAGTAAATTCATCTTAAGAAAAACTGATTGCATCATTAGAAAAAAGGATTTCAGAATTATAATTGAATTTATTAAAAAACAGTATTTAAGGATCGTAAGATTCATAAAAAAAGTTTAATTAAAAGTAAGTGTCTTACTCAATTCATAAATTAGAAGATCTTTAAGTCTTTCCAAGTATATTAGAATAATCAGATCTGATATAATAGTTAAGCGAGAACAATAGGCCAAATGAATAACAGAGTGATAAGGTAGAATAAATTAAGACTTAAATATCAGATCACATCATTAAAGAAGATAAATACACATAGACAGATGATTTAGTAATAGTGACAACAAAAACAGAAGAAAAATCAGATGACTAATTGTCTGAAAATAGTTAGGATATATCAAATACTCCAGAATAATCTGAGAATCCAGATCCAGTCCCTGAAATAATAGTAGAATAAAAAGTAGTTTAATAAAAAAGAAGAAAAACTCATAACTTCTTTGTTCCTCAATCAGTTCCTCTATTGATGGGAGTTAAAGAAGATGATGCTGAAGAAAATTAGATCAAAAATTAAGTGTAAGCATAATCAATGAATTCAGAATAAATAAATGATGCACAATCAAATAAGAGTGCTATAGATTAAAGTAGTAAAAATATTAACAATGCAATTGAAAGTTTAGCAATCATAGAAGAGAATAATTAATAATAATAAATTGATGAAAATTAGGTATAAAATGTGGAACAATAAGAAGTTATAAATGATAACGAAGTAGGGACTGAATAGAACTAGCAAATAGATGAAAATAAACCTGAAGAATTAAATTAAAATAATTAACAGAATTCTACCCCTTTGTTGCCAAAATTGGATCAGAACGAAATAACTTTAAAGGATTATATAGATTAGTAGGCACAATAAGAATACGAGGAAGCGTCCAATTTTACCAAAAAAGGAGACTTTAATTAGGAGTTAATCTTGTAGCAATAATATAATGATTATTCTTATTCGAAAGCTAGAAAATTAAAATTGAATTAAATCATATAAGCTAAAAGACTTTCACAAAAGAAACAGCATTCAAAAAAATATAAATTGAAATTAGATACAAACTTGAATGAACATAATCATATAAATCAAACACCTGAAACTATAGCAGATACTATAAATACAAAGGCAAGTAGAAGCACTCATATTCAAACAGAATGGTCTCTTAAAGTAACACCTTATGCTACTTTATAATTCTAATTAGAGAATGAGTAATAAGGATTGTTAATAAATAAAGATCAAATTAAGGAAAGTTAAGAATACATATTATTATAAAAGGAGTATGGCAAATTATAGAATAGGTTGGTTGACATAGAGTAAGAGAACCTAAGGATGACTTTAATAATTGAATATTTTTAGAAAAACCAACCTATATAAAAAATATATCAGGATGTTAGCTGCTTTTGTAATTTAGATGAAGACATCTACGAAAAATGTGAATAGTTATATGAATAAGTATAGACTTTACAAATGGAGGTTCAAAAATTGAATGAGACTAAAGTAGAACTGGAATAGAAAGGAAAAGAAATTGAGCATTTATAAGATTTGATAGCAAACTTGAGTGATTAAGCAATGTAATAAAAATACTAAAATTTGCAGCTGAAAGATGAGCTTCTATAGTTGTAAGAATAAATTAAGTCATTAAATAAGTAAAACGAAATGATGAGTCAATCAGTTAATGCTTCTAAAGAGAGGGAATAAAACACCAAGATTAAATTACATTCAAATTCTATTGTGGTAAGAAAAGAAATTAAGGATAAGCCAAAACCTTTAACACCCACTAAATCTGATTAAATGGATGATTTGAAATAGAAGGTCTTTTAATAAGAAAAGATTATTAGATGTCTGAATTAATAAATTGCAAAGAAAGATGAACTATTGACATAGAAGTAATACCATTAGGAGAACATGGCTTAACTTTCATAGTTATAGAATGCAAATGTTGAAGTCTAAGACTTGAGAAAATAATTAGAATAAAAGAAAGAATAACTTGCAAAGTGCTATACTCTCATCCAATATTTAGAGGTTGAATTGGAGAATTATAAATCCACTTGCAATCTATTTACTAAACCCAAACAACAAAATACGGAGAGAATTATTAAAAGTGTTTAAGTCACCATACCTTCTATTCCTTAGACTATTTAGAAAAGACTGCCCTATCTATAATCGGATGAATAATATTCTACAATAAGTCGAAGTTCATACAAGAAGAGGTATATGCATTTAATTTATTATACTTAGAAACCATTCTCTATATACGAATCCATTTGAGAACTATGATATACTTAGAAACGCAGCAAAGGTTGTAAAATAGTTAAATAATAATTCTATATAATTATAAAATGATTGATAAATTTCTTGAATAGGCGTATTAAGGAGAGTTGCTTAACGAAAATGCCATTAAGTTTATTTGTTTAACCTTGAAAGAGATTTTTTCTAAAGAACCAAATGTAAAAAAGATCCCGACTCCAGTCACAATAGTTGGAGATGTTCATGGGTATTTGAAAATGTCTAATTAGTCAATTATACGATGTTTAAGAGCTGTTTAAAGTGGGAGGAAAGCCTCCCTTCACCAATTATTTGTTTTTAGGAGATTATGTTGATAGAGGTGCTCATAGCGTAGAGGTCATTACATTGCTTTCCCTCCTTAAAGTAAAATTCCCAAATAGAGTTACATTGATTAGAGGAAATCATGAAACTAGAGGGATTACTCAAAATTATGGATTTTACATGGAATGTCAATAGAAATACGGGAATACTCAGGCATGGGAATATTTTACAGATATGTTTGATTATATTCCTATTGCTTGTATTGTTGGTACAAATCTATTGTGTGTGCATGGAGGACTGTCCCCATGCATAGAGAGTGTAGATGAAATAGAGCATCTGAATAGATTCTAAGAGATTCCTCATGAGGGAGCATTTACAGATATTATGTGGTCTGACCCTGATGATGAAGATACTCCAGGATTTAAAATATCTCCAAGAGGAGCAGGCTTTGTTTTTGGAGGCTAAGTTCTTAAGGAATTTCTACATTTCAACAACATGACACATCTGATCAGAGCTCATTAATTGTGCAATGAAGGATTCAATTTGAAATTTGAAGACAGATGTATTACTGTTTGGAGTGCTCCTAATTACTTATATAGGAATGGGAATCTGGCTTCGATTCTTGAGATTGATGAATAGGACAATCGTTATTTTAATATTTTTAGTGAGAGTCCTGAAAACATGAAGAAAGATTTAGGAACTAAAAGCATGATGCTTGGTGCTGATAAAAATTATTTTATATGACTAATTAATATAAAATTTCTAAATATCAACTACAACGAATTCGAAAGCAAGCTTAAGAGGATGCTGAATTATGTGATCTATATAATGCCTTATATCCCAAAAAGGATACTCAAGAACCAAGCAATCAGTCTCTCCATAAGTCATATTTGAGATTGACATAATAAATCGACTATGAAAAAATACGACCTCTAAATATCCTCCAAGAAGCCTTGAAGTTATTCAAAAAGCAATATAAATCAGGTGAAATTGACTACCAATATTTTAATGATTAATTACGATCAATTAGATAGGATATCAATGTTTAAAATATTGAAAATGAATTCACGATAAAAACATATGAAGCCAATGCTTTGGCTAGTATTGAAAATCTGGATCTGTACACCTTTGAATAATGCTAAATGAAATTGCTAGAATTGTATTTAATGCCAATTAAGGCCAAAAGGAAATCAGAATTCTTATGCTACATCATTTTATATCATGCACTCAAAGACAATAAGGATTAACTTATTAATATTTTCAATACCTAATCAATTGATGCTGAAAATGATCTCATTTATTTTGCTTTGAAGTATGCTATTTAAATCAAGTAAATAGCATGTGCTCATATTTGTCAACCAAAAACTATTACAAAGTTTTTAGATGCTTCTATTATGCTAGTAATAAGATGTCCAAAATGATTCAACCCTTTTTGCCCCAAATAAGAAAGAGATTCATCAAAGAATAAAAGAAAGGGTATTGTAATTTCTTATTCGATGTAGATTGATTGGAGAAGGATCGACTCAATATTTAGCCGACATTGCATGGGATGGAGACCTTAAAGCCTGTATGTAATTTATTAGTGAAGAATTATGACAAGAATGAGATGAGCATTAAATATTAAATCTTTTAATTATTTTTTTAAATGGCTAGAGCATAAAAAGACACTCGACCAATCGCAGATTAGGCTACATCAGAAGCAGCTTGTACCTATGCTGCCCTCATCTTATATGAAGACAATTAAGAAGTATATTAGTAAATAAAACTCAGATTGTTGCTTCTAAATTAGCATCAGTCATCAAAGCTGCTAATCTAAGAGTTGAACCAATCTGGACTAAAGTATTTGAAAAGGCACTCAAAGGAAAGAAAGTCGGAGATTTATTGCATGGAAATACAGGCAATGCACCTGCCGCATAATCTGCTGCATAAACATCAGCTCCTGCCGCTTAATAAACTAAGGCTCCTGAGCCAGCTAAAGAAGTTAAGAAAGCTGAAGAACCAGAAGAAGATGTTGATATGGGAGGCTTGTTTGATTGATTAAACACCTTGTTCGTACATTAATATTCATCATCGCTTGAACATGCCTCTTCTCGTAGTTGAATCTCTTAGTTACGCTTTCATTGGTAAACTCTCAATCGTTGTGTTGTTTAAACTCTCAATTGCCTTTTTTGCATCAGATGCATAAAAAAACTCGATATACCCTTATTCCTTTCTATTATATTTAACTATATACAAGAGATCTCCCCATTTTGTCCCACTCTACTTAAGCCTTCTTCACCTTCCCAAATTGTTAAGCCAACTCTTTCAATTCATCATTTGTAACACTATAATGCAAGTTTGTAATGTCAACAAATGTCCCAGGATTGCGATTGTCATTTCTCTGTCTATCGCCAAAAAACGCTTATAATTTCTATCTCTTTTCTTAGTATCCCTTTCTAACATTCTGCTTATTTCTTTTTTACTATTGAATTTTCTCTTCCAAGTTTATTTCTATAATGTCCTCTTTTTAACTCATTCTATTTAAATTAATATTATTATTTACGATTTATCTTTTATCTATAAGATCAAACCACTTTAATCTATTAGATATAATCAGGATTTTTTCAAGCATTTAATAAATACAACCATACTTAATCATCGATTTAATATTTTTTATTAGCAGAATTATTCTAAGCGCTTTTAAATTTACTTATCGATCAATCCTCATTTAATTATCCTTAGATTTAAATAATATCTTTAATAATTACACAGATTTATTTAAAAAGTTGTTTATAAGCCAATTTCTTTTATATAGTTTAATTTAACTCGGCCATAAAAAATAACAAATTTAGTAAACTTATTGAGTTGTTTAAAAAATTAAAATTTGTTTCAAAAATATTAATTAGCTATTAAAATCTGAAGAGATTAAATATTTTTTTTTATTTTAATATTTAGTTGAACGTTAATAGTTTAATTAAAATTATACATTCGTTGATTAATTACAATGTTGAATTTTTACTTTACCCTTCAAATAATATGAATTTTATGGTTTATTTAGAAATCTTAAATGTTTTATACTAAAGTCATCATAATAATAGGATAATTAATCCATTTTATAAAATATTTTAAAATAATTAATTCATAGATAACTAGAAATGCAAAAATGATATTCAATTAAAATGATCTCTAGAGTTTGCTAAACTGCTCAAACTAATCATTCCATTAAATAATTCATTTAATTTTAGAGTCTCTTAGTATCTTACTGACATAAGGTCTTATCTAACCTTTAATTTAATAAAATAATTTTACTCTATCAATTTCTGATTTAATTTTAATTTCACTTTCCTCCTTTTCATAAAGAGACTTAATTTCTAGTTTCAAATTGTTGTTTTCATCAATCGCTTCAACATACTTCTATTCTAAATCTTGTATTTGTATTTTTAATGATTGATATTAATCTTTATATTCTTGTAATCTCTAATTTTCATTTTTTAAGTCTTTAACATAACCAGATTTAAACTCTTCTATTTATTTGTTGATTTCTTGTTTTCCTTATTTTAATTCCTATGACAATTTGTGTTTCTCATGCTTATATTGTCTTAGTTTTTCATTAAGCTTTTCATTTTCTTACTTTAGAGGTTCATATGTAAACAATAGTTCGTCCAACTTTGCTATTTCTGACTTTAATCTTGAATTTTCTTCTGCCAGCAGAACCAATTATTCTTATAACTATCTTTATTAATCGTCATTTTTAAATTATAACGACTATGAAATAATTTCATTTTGAATACATTTAAAGTTTCATTTTCATTTCGTAAATGTTAAATTACATCCTTTAATTCTTAATTATCTTTAATTAAATTATCTTTTTCCACTTATAATTTATTCAATCTATAGAATTCATTTTCTTAATTTTGAACATGTTCTTAATAAATTTCTCTTAGCTATTCACATTCATCTTATAATTATTCCAAGTGTCCTTACAACTCTAAGATGACATGATCTTTCTTCATAAATTCAATTTTTAATAATTCCATCTATGATTTATAATAGTGTATAATTACTTTTTCCCTTTGATCCTTTAATTAGCTGATATAATACTATTCTTGCTCAATCAATTTCATATCATTCATTCTTAATTTGTCATTGTTTGATAAGAACTCCATAAATTTTTAAGAAGCCATAAAATTATAAAATAATAAAATCAATTTAACATATGCTTATTCATTAGTTCAATTCTACTATTAGGTCGTTCAAAATTCATATCATTTAATTATGGTTACTTCAAACAAAAGAAACCATCACTTATCAAATTTTTAGCACTCTTCAAAAACCCTCTTTCCCTTGCTGACTCTATCCTTCTTCTCTCATCATTCGACATTTTCAATATAGTCATAATAGCATTCATCAAGATTGAAGCTTCCTTATAGTTCCTAGTCTCTTAATATAAAAAGTATTTATAGACTACATTTTTTAAGTATTCAAAATTTGCATTGTTAATTTACAATTCTTCCTTTGTTTAATAAATAAAATCAGTTTAAGTTTATTTTTGATTAGATAAAAAATTGTAATTTAGATCTTATTTTTATAACGCTATTTCTTATTCAAATGGGTTAACTTCATCATAATCATCTGGAGTTTTTGTAAAACCAATATGATTATTGTAATTATCTCGAACATTAGGCTTTTAAACTTATTAGAAATTCGCATTCTCTAGTTCCAATTATTTGATTTTCAAACTTTATTTTTGAATTTCTTCCAACAATTTATCTACTTATTATTTCATTTTAAGAGATTCGTTCAGACTATCAGATGAACTAATTTTATATTGTCTATCCGGTTACTATTACTGTAGCTCTTAGACCATCAACTAAGTCTTTAAGTTAGCACAATCATCTTCCAATTGACTTAATTTCAGAATTTACCCATTCTTTATTTATAAAATATCATTTAACTCAATAATTTCTTTAGCCAATCTAGTATTATTGTTATCTAAATCATTAATTTATTATTTCAATTATTTAATTATTTATTAAGTCTTTTGATCGCTATTAGACCCCTATTTTTCGATCATTTATCTATACTTTTCTTCAAGTTAAAATTTCTCATTATTAGTCTCCTTAATTAAATTTGTAAGAGCCTTGGACTTATCTTCATCCTTTTATTTAAGCAAGTCAATTATCGAATTGGTATCAAATTGACCTAACATTTAAATTAACTCTAACCTAAAGGTTTCTATTCGAATTAATATTATTAATCACTAACAGCAAAATGAATAGCTTAAAATAGAGATTCTCTATCCTTTGCCAATAGCTTATACTCCTTATAAGTCTAAACATATTTCTCTGATAATCTGTCTAGTTTCTTTGTTATTGTTTTATTTTCCTTAACCTTAAGACTAAATCATAAATAATACTTTTTCTCTCAACTGCACAATCAAGTTCTCCTTTGTTAAGTTCTCAAATTATTCATTGCTTTCTTGCATTATATTTAATAAATTAATTCAATTTAATTTAAATTCCTTAAATTCTAATAAAAACTTTAGGATAATGAATTTTCTAAATTACATAAGAAAACTCTAATTTTAATAATAAATAATAATAAAGCATAATTACCAAATACAAATTTTACACATAATAATATATAAACATATTTTCGACTTAAATTAACATTAAATATATAGAAGACAATCATAATTGTAATTTGCACTAATCTCACTTACAAAATCCTTTATGCTATTTCCAATGCGTCTTTTGACAATCAACTCCACAATAATAGACTAACTTACACTATCCACATCTTAAATCTCCATTTTTTTTGCAAATTCCGCAGATTGTTTACTTTGCAGGCTCATACAAAATAATTTAATCTATTGCTACATTAGGCTAGTCCCAAGTTTTAGTTTGAAAGGTTATTTCAATGCCAAGATGATCGTAGCTAATGCCTATATTTATTGGGCCACCTCCTTATTTACTTGTGGGTTCACCAAACTTAGCAACTATATGCTAATGTAATGTAAATTTAATATACTGCATTGCACATAGTAAATGTTATTCCTAATGGTAAATCACCTTTATAAAGTTTGAATTACTTGTCATGATTTCCATACAAGTAAATATTTTTTAGTATACTATTTTGTAGCTCTAATTGGAATCCTTCTTAATAATTCATTAAGTAAGTAACACCATTAGGAAATTTCTATACTTTACAATTATTATCATTCTATTATTCATTGTTTATTTTATATGAATCTGTGCCCAGATGCTATAAGAATTCTGTCATTTTAACAAAATTATACTATTTTTGTAAAATAAATTATTATGATTATTATCAGCTCTCCATAATTTATTTTTCCAATATATTCCTAATAACACATAAATAAATTCATTTGAGCACATTTAGAGAAATATAATGTAGGAGTTATTTAGACTTTTCTCATATACTTATATTCTTTGTTTTCTAATGGATAACACATTTCATAGTTCCAATAGAAATGAAGAATTTATTTGAAAATCTAAAATTCTTGCTCAATTTCTTATCATAAACAAAATGTAATAAAATTTCATCTATGCCTATGATTTAATGTAGAATAGACATGGTAATAACATGGATTGCTGTATTTTGATATCAATGCTGTGTTTTTTGTAATGAATATACATGATATTGATCATCATATTGAAAATAATTCTTCATATTTGATAAAAATTAAATCCTTTTATTTAAATAATGTCCTAAAAGTTCAAGGTTAGAAAGCTCAGAGAATAAAAGCCTGAAGATCTCCTCAAGGACTTAGAAAAGCTCAAGGGTGAATTAATTTAATTGAGAACAGTGAAAGTATCAGCAGGTAATGCCTAAAAACTTGGCAGAATTGGAGTAACTAAATATATGAATAATCAAGCTTGTTAGAAAGAGAATTGCCAAATATTTGACAGTCATTAATGAATAAAGAAGAAACTAAGTCAAAACAGCTACCAAATCAAGTGGCAAACTCCCTGTTGATCTCAGAGGCAAAAAAACTCGAGCAATTAGATAAAGACTCACAAGAAGCGAAAGAGGTATATTTATTTAGTTATATGTAAAGCTTAAAAAACATAGAGATAATGGAAGAGACTCAACAATTTCCCATTAAGAAAGTTTGCTTTGAAGGAATGATTCAATTATATTAAAATTAGTACAATATTGACAAGGCAATATGTAAACCATATCTCAATAATTCTTTTATATATTTGAACGATTTGCAATAGCTTAAAAGGATATAATCCATTTTAAAGACAATCAATTGAATTCTTAAGGATTCAAAAAGAATTGTGTGCTTAAATCAAATTGGCTCAAATAGCATAAATTATACAAGCTCAAAATTTAGATATTCAAAATTAAATAGCTAAATTATTGGTTGCTTTCATTTCTTCTTAATCTGTTTAATTTTATTAATATTTATGGATAATAATTATTAATGGTTATGATTTGATTAATAAAAATTCTCTAAATTAGGTTTATCATGAAATATGATCAAAAATGGTTAAAATCATTTTAGCATTTTAATTTATTTGTTGTTTTCATTGATTATTCAATTAAATATAAAATTACTATAAAACTGTTATTATAAAAAAATGATGTTTAACTTCTGGAAAAATTAAGTTTTTTAGATACTAAAATATTAAGATTGAATAAAATTAAATAAATATGGTAACATAAATAAACAAGATCAGACTTAATCATTTAATTTAATTAGCTTCTTGTTGACCAAGACAACAATATCTTCATAATCTTCTAAATAAGTAGGATTAAATTAATCTAATTTGTAATTTTTAGCTTCCTGTTCCTCTGTCTCTTCTAGTTTTGGTTGATAATTAGCAGATGTTTCTAATTGTTTAATCACTGAATCCACTAATGCTTTATTTTTTTACTCCTTTGTTATTCTTCCAAATTTCATCTTTGTTTCAGCTTGCTTTAATAAATTATAATATCTATTTTTAATAGTGTTCTCAGTTCTCCTCAATTGGAATACTTTGAGTGAAATCTCTGCCCATTTCTTTCCTCTTAATTCTATTTCTCGAAACAATTATAGCTCCTCTTCTTTTGTCCATGGAATGCTGTACAATTAAATATGAAGTTTACTTGACAATATTAGGATCAAGTTTATTTACCCATCTGTCTCTGCATTGTTTTCCCTATCTTATGTATGGTGTTTTACAGATCCTCATCAAATCTATAGCTATCTCACACCACTTATTAGGTTTAAATTATTATAATTATGTTAAAACTTTGTCTTCTTAGGGAGTCCAATTTGCTTTTTTGTGACATTCTTCTAACCATCTATTTCTGCAGGCTTTCCAATTATGAAAACGAAATAATCGAGAAATCTATTCCCACTATTATGAGGACTATTAAAAAATAAAAAATATTTATTACTAACTCTATAGGCTTCATTAAATGCTTTAGGCATGTTCCTAATACAGTGAGATTTAGAAATTTATCTTGGCATGGAGTCCAAGCACCTCTTTTGCTATTGTATGCTTTTTCAACTGAGCATAGAATCTATAAAATTTCTTCTTGCGTTGGTAATTTTGAGAATGTGAACTAATCATTTTTAAGAAGTGTCTCTGCAAATTCTAAGTGTGGTTATTCAAACCACTCAAGAACAATCTACCTATTTAAGGGCGTTTTTTTTTGCATAATCAAAATGATGATTAAAATAATAAATAGATTATATAGCATATAATGGACAGTTAACTATCAACATTAATGAATAATAATCAACCTCAATCGGAGGATCATCTTCATCCATACATAAATATAAATGCCTGTATCATTTATATTCTAATACTAGAATTTTCATTTAATAAACATTGTTGATGTTTGAAAAACGTAGTTTTCAAAATAAATTTATATTTTTCCGTATTCATCCCTGCTATATATTTTGAATATTCTTGTTATGTTTTTTAGACGTAATTACTTTTGTGGTGCAGAACAACAAATTCGATGACAGTTACTTTTTTTATGATAATCCTACTACCTTTTTGATTTTTAATTAAGAACTTTTTAGCAATAGAGATTAACTGAATATTCAAAATTTGTTGAAGGTTTCCTAATTCTTATTAGTAAAAGAGACAATAATTATAAAATTAGTTTACTAATATTTATTTATTAATAATGAAGAAAATTTCCATGCAATCACAAAAGCAAACTTATTTATAACATTAATTACTGTATCTTCAAGTTGCAACATACTGCAAAATCAATGAAAAATCTTTATATGTAGTTAATAAAGCTGCACCTTTCTTGCACGATGGTGGTCTATATGATTTTTTAACTCTATCTTAGCAATAATAAAACTGTTCTAATCTATTTTGTTTCATCAGTTCAAAATAATAGCTACACATCAATCTTTGTATAATATAAGTGTCAAAAAATTAAGTAATAAGTCATCTTTGATTGCTGTACAAAATTCTGAATTAAGAAAAACAATATATTTATGTGTTCCTCAAAATAAATGTTAAAAATAATAGAATATCAAAAGATACCATAACTAATTAAAACAATTTGGTAAATTAGAATGAAGAGTATGGAAAATTTAAAGTATATAAATGAAATTAGATTTTAGTTAACAAATTTTTATATCAAAAACAGGCATCATTTATGTGTTAATGAGACTATAGAAGCTTATGCATTGATTCTGAATTCTTAATACAATTATTTGTTGTTTAATAAAAGAGTATTATTAATTAACATGAACTTATTGATTTAATAAGAGGATGCCCATGAGAAATAGAATGAAGATAATCAAAATCTAGAATAATAATAACAAAATGAAGATGAATAGTAAAAATAATCAAGCAAGAAAAATTCTCAAGAAGAGGAAAATGCAGGATTTGATTCTGGCTATAAAGAATAAGATCTATAGTAAATTCATGAGGACAGTCAACAGAATAGTCAGAAATAAGAAGGAAAGGATGAGACTAAAAGAATACCAACTTAAGGAGAAATGGAAACTACTACTTAAAGAAAAGATTAGAATAGACGATTAGAAACTGAAAAGTAATAAAGACAAAAAACAACTTCAGAAAAAACATTTAAAACACTTGAATAGATTTATTACAAAAGAAATACCTAATCATTCATGCATCTTAGAACACCTCATTAATTTGATACAAAAATAATCCATGATCAATTAAATAAATCTCATGCAAAACAATAATACACTTTTCCTAAAGCCTAAAGGTTTTCCAAGCCAAAAGAAAGTTATTGCTCAATGTAGTTTTACGACTCTTAGTAAATTGTATTATTAATTCTAGAATTTAAACATAATTAAATAAAAGAGCAGCAGCCTTGGGCTACGGAACTAAATCTGACTTCACAAAAAGAGACAAATATATACCAGGACCTACCGATTACAATATCAGATTAATGCCAAAGCCAGGAGTTAAATTTGCATATGGAAGAGATGAATTGCATTCGAAAGGACTTCATGGTAGACCCAATTCTAATCCTGCTCCCAATACATATTAAGTCAAAGATATCATCACCTCATACAAGTATACCATGGGAGAAAGAACATCTGCAAAACGTACTTTAACCCTTATATCCATATAAGACATCTACATTCAGTCCACTACTCCAGCCCCAGGTCGATATAATGTAGGTGGTTTCAGTTAAAAAGGAAATTACTTTATTGGCAAATACAAAAGTAGTGGAGCCCCTGTTATTTCTCCTGCAACTGCTTAATCTCAAAGAGTAAAAAAGATTCCCGGCCCTGGAACATATGACCCACCAGGAGATATAGGAGACCCAAGGAATTATTTGCCTTCATAATATTCTACCAGAAGTGGATTTCGATTTGGTTATTAGGAAAGACAGACCTAAGAGATTAAAAATAAATAATGTAATAAAATTAATCATCTTAAGTCCCTGGTCCTGGTACTTATTAACTTCCATCAGAATTTGGTGATTTTGAATACCCACCTTAATTTTGATTTTATAATTTAACCACAATCTTATACATTCTAATATGATCTATATTAATTTATCCAGATGAATCTAAGAATAAAATAATAATAATTCAATCATAAATATTATATATATATATGAAATTTGTAAAATTAAACAGATTATTAATTCTATAATAATACTCTATATTTTGGCATTATTCTATTTAAGAAGTGCAACTATATTAAGATGTCAAAATCTAAATTTCATTATTAAAATTAATAAAAGCAGATAATTAAAAGTAGATATCATCTAATTTCTGATTGAAAATATCTATAAAAAAGATTTAAATTATAAATTGGTATAAATATTTATTATTATTTTATTATTAATATTCATTCTGCTTCAGTAATGAGTTATTATTTCTCCTCAATGTCTTCGATCTATGCAGACTATTATTCTTATTCTTGTGGCGTTACTTTATCATTTATAATATGAATCCATGGCAAGGGTAAAATGATAAAGAGACTTGATAGAGCTATAAAAATATATAGTTTAGAGTAATCTTATTAATTGATTCCCATTTCATATAAGATTAGATTGCCGAATTATCCTCCAGCAAAGGTTCCTAAATTCATTGTGGCCATAAGCATAGCATATATAGTGGCTTCAATGTTTTTAGGACATATTTTGCATGCATACACTAAAATAGGAAGCAAATTCAATTCTCCAATAAATTATAGGATCACAGAATCCCCTAGACAGAAAAATCTATCGTCTATTCCCCATTATACATTCATTCTAGTAACCAAAGGTATTGTAGTAAGATAACAAAAGAAGAATGCAACTGTAGTACTAATAAATATATTTTTAAATGCAACGTCCTTTAAGTAATTTCTATACAATAAAATTGCAAGAAGAGTGCCCAAACAACTAATAAATTTTAGATATCCCATGAATTTAGGAGTGAAATGCAAGACTTCAGTATAGAAATAAAACATTATTGAACTACTTGAAGGTACCATCATGAATGCTAAAATTAACAATACAGGTCTCTTAAATTAGATTAAGCTTTTACTAATAAATTTTAGGATTAGAAAAGAATTTCCAGAAAATATTCAATACTTCCTTTAGATTTTATGATTATTGAGTTTATTGAGTCTCTTTCAATTTCAAAGAAAGTAATGCCATCGTTAATGGAAACAAACTATTGATTATAAATACTAATTCTCATTTCAAAAATTACTTTATTTTTTAGTTAAATACATAAGTAACATTCCTGAAAAATATGCACTAATCAACCCACCTACAGCTTTGAATCCAAAGAATACTGAAACATTATTTGCTGCATGATCATTTGCACACTATTCTACCATTAAAGCCTCTACAGTTCAACATATTTTTACCTCCAACTACGTTACATATGCAAACAGATGATGATATCATAATAAGTAAAGTAACAGCTACATAAACATTATCAACTCCAATGTATGCCATTAATTGCCATCCTAAAAAACTTAAAAAACCACAGCACACAATATATGCTTTTCTTTTTGATCCAAAAATTGGAAAGGAATCACAAACTATTCCCCAAATAGGCTTAATTATCCTATGGATAACTAATTAACAAAAATACCATGGTAATTATGATAGTCCAATAAATACTCCCATCTTACTAGGTGATACATGAAAATCATCTTTGTATAAATATTAAATTGATAAATCTGCTAAATGCTATACTCCTTGTGAAAAGGCCACAATTCCAACTATTATCTTAGTCAAATTGAGCAAAGGAATATTTGTTTTTGGACTCATAAAAATTATTTGTAAAAAAACGAATGTATTATAATTCTAATTTAATATTGACAAGAATGAGATCTTTAGTGTTTAAAAAAAAAAATTTCAACAATAGGATCGTTATCCTAAAATTTTACTCACTTACTATCAATTTCAGATATAAATATGTTTAGTCATCTATTCAATGATTAATATCATCATATTTTTTCAATGTTTCCCTTTAATATGCATTAAAAATACAATTAACTCAATTCATTTACTAATCAGCTGTATTCTTGATATTATTTATTTAATTATTGAAATTGATAAATATCTCATATTCATGCATTTAAAGATATAAATTGCCATAATTCCTAGTCTTAATTTTTTTCTCTCGTCTATGGTATTGCAGATTCTAGTTGAGAACTTCAAAACTTTATTATATCTGATTACTACATCTCATTTGTTTTTAAAATTGAAAGATAATTCAATAGTTTTTGTCTAATGAATTTATTTATCCACCTAAGATCTGATTATAATCTTGCGAAGAATTATTGCTCTTAAAAATATTCTATTTAGATTGTTTTCTCTTTGTAAATACGTTCTCTTTAAGATTATTATTTTCATTATTTTATGTTAGCTTTGTTAGATGGGCTTGGTATGATCTAGTACAGATTTTGCACTTAGGTCATCAGTTCATTCAGTAAATGATTGAGATGTGCAAACTAATCGCCATTAGATGTTTTTTTATAATTCATAAATAAAAATAACCAAAATTGATCAGATCAATCCATTTGCTTTGGCTTTCTCCATTTCAACATTCAAATCTAATTGTAGTTTCAAATTTAATCTATTTAATTACAAAATTATACATACTTCTCAATATTTTAGATACACTAATATATTTTAGAATCGGGAAGTTGTTTGAGTTGCTGAGCAAGTTCGTTGATCTATTAAGGAGTTATTTCTAAGATCTATTATAGGTCTTCAACTGTTCCTTAAGGAGGCTTGGAGTTTGATATTGATTCATTTAATTCATTAAGGACTGAGCTCATCTCCAAACAGGTGTCACTTTATTCATTAATGAACCTTGAATAGGAATTCACAAAATTCACGAAACAATGAGATGACTCAGATTCTGATTCAGATTCCTCTTCATCTTCTTCTTTTTAGTTCTATTTCACAATAATAACTGATTTTTTGTTATTCTCTGACATTATTATTAATTATTATTTAATAAAGTGGAGCAAAAACACATTGGTTGATTATTAATTACCTTAAAAATTTAGATGATCTAAAATAAGGATTAAACTCATTAGATTTTCTATTGAAATTGAACAGAATCACAACAATTGAAGAGAACTTGGAAAGCAAGAATATAGTTGAGAGGATGTTAATAATGAATATAAGTAATACAATTAACATAATATTAACTAATTATTTAGTTATTTATAATAATAATTTATAATATATAAATGCTGGATTCAAATGCTTTATTGAGAGCCAAGAGAGATTAGTTAAGAGTGTAAATAAGAAGAGACTAGTTGGAGAGCATATTTAAATCCAAAAGGGTGATTGATAACAAGGAATAATCAAATAAATATTGGGCAATTCATTAAGAATTAATACATAATATTGAGAGATAATCAAACAAACTTTTATAAGACAAAACCTTAATGAAGGAACTCTTTGAGTCAAATGATAAAATGGCTCTTGTAATACTAGCCAACTCTTGTGCTTCCGAATCAGATTAAACTATTTATACTTTAATTAATGACTATCAAATTCATATGTATTTTATGCAAAAACTACAATCGAATGATGATGAGGAAATGAGATACAGATGTTATTTGGGTTTGGCCAATGTGTTATATTCCGATTCTAAAATAGCCAGATCAATTAAAAAATAATTATTTTAATCAAATATACTTGCTGAAACCCAAAAATCCTTACACAATTTACAATAGGATTAACTTGAACATATTAATGCTGTCTTCAGATTACTATTTGGATTGCTTGATAAAATGAATGATTGTGATTGCACTTAATTAATTAGGTAATCCCAGATAGTTGATATCTGTACCAAAGTAATTGAATTAATGGATGCAAGACTCAGTTTGGCATCATTAGTTTTGCGTAAGGCAAGTGAGATCTGTGATGGACTGTTAGAATTATTTGATGATGATAAACTAAAATATTTGTTAAAATAGACTGAATAATAAGATGACAAACAGACTTGTTAAATAATAAGATTGATAGACGAATTATTTATGAGATCTGATGTCAAACTTATCATCACTTGTTTGGATAATCTAAATATAGATGCAGTTGTCAAGAATGCTCTAACATAGGAAGATAGTTATTCGTGTTAGGCTGCATTAGACTTTATTTATCATTTGGCACTTAAAAACAATGAAACAACACAATCATTTGCTTATTTATTATATGATGATATCATTAAATTACTAAGAACATCCCATTCTAAACGATCCATTGATATTTGCTAAAAGATTCTATCAGAACTAATTTAAAGTTAAATTCTTAAAACTGAGATTAATGACTTAAATGAAATTATTTTTGAAATAGCTGAGGAAAGATACACTTATTTTGATTATCAGAATTGTCATTTGGCATTGGAAGTTCTAATGGATTTAAAAGAACACTACGGGTTGGAAATGACTAATGAAAGAAGAAAGAAAATAAAGTAATGGAGGGGCAGTTAATATGAGCAACTTGAAGAATTGATCTCCTTAATTTTAGATGATGTTTGATCATATAGAGTATTCACTTAATTTAATTATTAATTAATTTTTATAATAAAGAAATTTTGTACACCAAGCCATATAATCTTTTATAACAAATATTGAAAATTTAACCATTTTAATCATGTTGAATTATCACTTCTCATATGTCAGTTCCCTCCTTGAAGTCACTTTAATTTAAATCAATGGTCCAAATAAAATCGCAGCAATCAAAACTTCTTCTTAATTGAAATAAATTCTTTGGAACTTTTATTCTTCCACCCTTCAGCAACAAGATGTTCGACTATCATTGATACTAACAATAAGGTGTAAGTCATACCTGATTTATGGGTTATAGTGATTGATCGTATTGAGTGTCTTTTATTACAATGCAATTCGGAGTAAGGAAATAGTTAATCGCCAACATACTAACAATATTATTTAAATTCATAATGAATAATAGGATCTTTAGATTTTAAAATACTAATATTTTAGCATAAGCATTAACTAATAAGATTCATGAGTTAGAGTATTAATCTAAAAAAGGGACAAAATATCCATTTGGAAACAATGAAGAATTTATTGTGATTGGTTAAATGATCTTAGAATTTTATTTCTCCGATTATCTGATCTAGAGAGGGTATTAGTAAAGTCAATATTTAGCTATCCCAACAAAGATTCCTCGATTAAAAAGCCAAGTGATCTTGTCTTATTGAGATAAAGACTATTAAATGATAAAAACTTAGCAGAAATTGCTATATAATACAATATACACAACTTTGTTTAAATAGGTAATCAAACAGCTTTAAAGTATTTACCTTCATATTTACTTTAGGAAGAACCCTAAAGTTATGGCTGAAACACTTAAGGCTATGGTGGCAGCACAATATTACGATTCCGGATTCGATTTAGAACATACTAGAGAGATTTTATAATCTATATTGAAAGAACTTTTAGACAAGTAATTATTCAAATGGAATATTAGAGGCTAGAGTGTTCCAATGGCTGAATTAAAGCAAAATCCAAAAACCTCATTCCTCGAATTCATTAACAACTAAACAGATCTAATTCCAAAGGTGTCAGTGGAATGGAAAAAAGATGAGAATTCAATAAATTTATACAAGGTATAATTAGAATTGGATTCTGATATAAACATTACTAAAACTGGTGTAAACAAAAGACAAACAGAATAACTTGTCTATCTAGAAGCTTTGAAATAAATTAAATAAAAATTAGCTCATAAAAATCAAATGCAAAAAAAAATCCAAGAAAAGTAATCCTTTGAATAAAGCACTATAATCTACGAATTAGATAACTCTATTACAGATGAGACTCAATATTTTCAATTTTCAGAATATCATGAATTTAGTAAATCAGATATAACCGAATCATTGGGCGAAAAGGTAGAGCATCTGCTCGAAAAATTAGCATTTTGAAACCAATATTTATAAACTAATACTTAAAACTTGAGGTTTCAATTTAAACAAGAATTTTAATTATAGTTTCATAATTTAATCTGACCCTTCAGAAATAAATCTCTTAATTATATTCATATGTAATTTTATAATTCTTTTAGCCTTATTCATACAGAGCATAGCCTTTTACATTAACTATTTTCTATCATATATAAAATGGATTACGTTTAATGATTATTTGTTTGATTGTTTTTTCTTAAATTTTAAATGACTTTTATGATTCCCTAACTAATATTATAAAATTTTGTCTGTCTTATAATTTTCAATTAATTCTAACTTCCAACTAAACCATTTTAAATTTGTACCATGCGATTAAGTCAATTTATATTGAACCAATTTTATATGGATTTATATTATATGAGAATGATAAAAATAATTATAATTATAAATACAAAAACTTAAAGATTGTAACAAAAAATATCATAATTCATTTTTTAGTATAAAAACTTGAATTTAGATTACCCATAGTTTATTATTATTTTTTATGTCCACTAGTTGAAGTCTCATCTGATTTTTTGATAATGTCAATGGATTACTTTTTATTCTTATTACTATAGGAGGATAAGCTATGGGGAGTTTTATTTTCATTATGAGTTTCTTCAGTACTAAGTTAAAAATATTTGAAGATCACAAGTTTCTTAATTAGTTTTTCGATTTATTAATTATTATTATCAATCTCTTAAATTACAATTTTACATACTTTAGCTGTCATTCTGTTATTAGGATCATTCTCTAACATATAAGGCAATAAAACAAATAATTATTCCATTTTTAGGCTGTTAACTTCAGGGTGTGCCTAATTTTTTCTTAATTCATAGACACCTTCCTTATTTTCTTAGAAAATGTTTTTTTGTTTATGAAAGAGATTCTCTCCTGTTAACCTAAAAAATAATGAATTGGATTACAATTTATAAAGAACACATCCCAAACTATAGACATCTGCTCTGTCATCATAGAGTTTATCTTTATTAAAATTAATAACCTCTGGTGCAATATAGCCAGGAGTGCCAGAAGTTGGAAATATCAATTGATTTTTGATCTTTCTTGCCAATCCAAAATCAATCAATTTAATGGGATCTGACTTCATAATGTTGTGGGGATTAATATCTCTGTGCATAATTCCTCTTTCTGATATGTAGATTAGAGCATCTAGAATTTAGAGCATTATCTTAATGGCTTCGGCCACACTCAACCCATATGGCCTGGATTACAATTCTGTGCTTAATGCTCTTCCTTTAATAAGTTCTGTCACTATGTAATAGTATTATTAATCAGTATAGACCTCCTTTAATTTTAATATGTTTGGGTGTTAGAGAGATTGCAGCAATGAGAGTTCATGTATTAATTGAGGCTAGAGTAATGGAGATATAGTTACAATTCCTCCTTGATGGGATGCTAATTTCATCTTTTCACATTTCTTTACCGCGAAATACTCCCCATTATTAGAGATGCACCTATAAACCTATATAACAATACTATTTTATATACTTCTCCCGACATTCCATACCCTATAAGCATTTAAATTTAATAAAATTCAGTAATTGAAGTATAAAATACTCTGCCTGCAATCATTTCTTTCAAAATTTGTAATTTAGGAGCATGAAAAGCCTTAACAGTATTTTGATAAGCAATTGAAAATGCTTGTATTTTATTGTCCTAAACAATCCAATTAATTGTAGTAGTTAAATTCAATTTAATTGAGTATTTGGGTTAACGTAATGTGTTCTAGATTTATCAAATGGAGCATACATCTGTCATAACAATTTCATCCTGGAATAAGTAAAGCTAATAAACCTTATCAGAGAAGAAATGCTTCCTTGTTACCTGAACTGTAAATAGAGCATTGCCATATTAATAACTATTCATAATTTTATTAATAAAACGTATATGAAATATATAATATTATTACATATCCTTTTCCAATCCTATAAAATCATTTAAGATGTTCTGATAAAACTTTGTTATAGGAATATCCAACGAAAAGATATCCATCAGCCTTATAGAATTTACTTTAGAATTCAACCCTTAAGATATGATACAAAATATATACCAATGCAATCTTAAGGCATGCAAAAAACATTCCATAACATCCATCATCATCAATACTCCAAATGTCAACAAAGCAAACACAATATAAAAGTATCCACCCATAAGTCCACCTACAATTCCACCCATATCAATTTTTCCTGCAATACACATATCATAAAACACTTCTGCTAATTACCCATGAGCCAGAGATAATGCCCACAAACGAAGATATGATGCAGTGTTGCTTATACCTCCTAAAACGAATTCGATTGTTTCGATCATCTGATGCACCCAAATTTCACCAGAATCATGCTCCTATTCGGAAATTTCAACACTCTTGCTAGAAATAGCAAACTGCAAATCCTTTCTAAATTAATAAGAATCAATATCCTCAGATCCTTGTTTTTCAGGAATCAATTTTTATTATTGAGGATCACTCACCCTATGTTTCTTGTGACTTAAACTCAAAATTAACGGTTTTGGCAGTAACATCCAAGGAATACTAACTAGTGCAATCACCGTTAACCACTAAGTTAAAGTTAACTATAAAGGAGCATTATTTGGAAAAACTGGCGTGGCAGATTCCTCCATAGGTTTTAGAACTTGATTAATCATTGTCTCTATGATACTAGGATCTTTCCCATTTGGATACACATTCAACCATTTCATCATGATTAGGAAATCCATCCAACCAAATGTACAGGCCATAAATAACAATTGGGGGATGAATTCACAGAAAAAATCCAAATAGTTTCTGAAATATAAAGTATTAGCCCCTTTCATTAGAATTCCAAATAACATATGAGTTACTCCTAAAATTACAGATAATTTCATTTTATAGGAGTTCATGAAATTTAGACTTGACCCTGATGCCAACCAAACAGGATCAATACCAAATGGATATACACAATTCTATTCCCTTTCCCATTCCTCGTGTTTAGGATAATAACAACTACCAAAAAGATTAAGAGATATTGAGAGATAATCATTGTATATTAATCCATTATAGAATGCAAAGAGTCCCATGAGAGCTAATAGATATCTAAATGGGATCATTGCATTAAACATAGAATCTGTTTATCTCTTTAATTATTTTTTCCAGAATATCACATACAATCCACATAATAGCAATAAGAAACCGTGAGCAATATCTGCAAACATTACACCAAATAGAAATGGGAATGTTATTACTGTGAATAAGCCAGGATTAACTTCTTGATATCTGGGTACTCCATATGTATTTACAATTTCTTAAAATGGCATTGTAACTTCATTCAGATTGAAATAAGTAGGAGCCAGATCTCCTGGTTTTGGTTATATCTACTAAATTTATCCTGTCGGAAATCTGTCAATACTATTCTACATTGCATTTCTTAATTTATCTTCAACTTAAGCTTCAAGTCCTTCAGGTAACCAGAATTATCCAGTAAAAATTGAACCTTACATCAGTAAGTAATTTAAATTAACATAGAGATATTTCTCTTTCAAAACATATAATCTTAACTATTCAAAGTAAGAGCAATTGCAACCATTCTACTCCTTAACAAACTCATCTAATGTAACATCTAATTATTTTTTGGTCATTTAAATTAAATTTAATGCCTCATTAATTTGAATTGATAATTCCCTTAATTTGTTATCCATAGCTTCTTAAGAATTTGGATATTCTATTCTGTTTTTAGCAAATGAGTCACAAACTTTGAGCAATTTCTATTTCAAAGTACTCTAATCATTCATTCCAGGATAAACAACAACATACAAACATCTTGGTTATTATGCCTTGCTTAAAGAAGAACAATTACTCTATTGAGATCTATTGATGTTTTTATTTAATGGTGTTATTTTTCAGGCAAAAGATCCACAATATTAACCCATGCATTACCTTTTGTAATTCTAAACATTATTCTTTTAAATCTGGTTTCATCCTCTTTATCAATGACACCAATTAATTGTCCAAATTTTAATTGTTAATAATCATTCAGATAATGAGGAATTGATCTAAGTTATACATCTCAACTTACTATGAAAACATTGATTTTCCCAGAAATTCTTTTGCTTTTTCTAGTACTAATTTTTATTCTGTAATTGAATCTACTCTATCTAATAAATTCTACAAATTATTTGACATCTCTTAAATATGATTTTTTTTTTTCTCTATTACTTGCTCTAATTCATCAAAATAAGTATGTCCAGGTTTTTATCTTGAATTTTATATGTCTCTAAAATGATCAAGTAATTTTTGGGTATCTTCACAATGTATTAGATTTTTTTTGAATTACTTTAGGAGCGACTCAATTCCGATCAATTTGAACAATGCTTCATCACATCTAAGATAATCTAGGTTTTAAGTACCTTTTTACATAATTGGCAAATGGTCGATTCATCATTGGTATTAGAGGATCATAATCTATCATATGTAACTATCCCAGTCTTCCCAATTGATCCATGACCACCCAAGCACTCTCTCTTGGGATGACTAAACTATAATATTTCATCTATTTAGACCTAAAGAAACTCATATTAATATTAAATTTATGGAATGTATAATTTCATTAATTTACTCTATCAATCATCATCGTCGTCATCTTTTTTAATTTGCATCTTAGAAATTTGTTCTTACAACTTCATTTCATCCTCCTCTGATGCAGGTACTTCCTTCTAAATTACAATCTCTGTAGTTTTCATCGATTCGACAGCCATCAAAATTTCTTATGTATATCCTCCTGGAATGGCGATGTTAATAGGTGGCCTAACTATAAGCATAAGAAAAGTAACCAGAATTTTGTAAGGTTTGGACTTGTACCTCCGAATTATTCCTCCAGTTAATTGACTGCTATTCTCTCCTAAATTTTGGCGTATTCATTAGGTTTAAGCATTTAGACTTTTTCCATAGTATCAGCGTCAGCCACAGCTTAAGATTATTTCAAATTCAATACCAGAGACCATCTTCCAAGAAAAGCTCAATGAACTAGATGGATTTAATAAATAAAGTTTATCTAAACAACCACAGAAGTTAACTTGCATAGTTTTGGTTGCTATTTGAATAGCCTAACAAATAGATTCGAATAGGATACCTTGAAAGGGAATTTAGATAGGCCAAGCTTCTTAGTATCCATAATGAAAACCCAGTTCTCAACTTTTCCAGGAATAAAACAATACTTCTTGATGATACCAAAGTAATAGCTCAATGCATTTATGTAGACTTCCTCACTAAACTATAGGTTGATTCACTTTGATACTTGCTTCAGATTCACCAATTCGAGGTTCATAATTATGATGGGTCTTTGCTGTTTGTCTCTACCATGAGTGTAAACGATTCCTTTCTATAAAAATGCAATGTTGATATCAGTTGGCTGAAAATTATTGGGGATAGCTCTCCAAGCCAAATGAGATTGCAATACTTTTAAGTAATTCTTGTCCTTGAATTTACCACAATACACCATCTTCAAAGTATCACTATCAGTCCAACTAACAGATTGATCTAAATAGTTACTTCTCAGGTAAGTTGATCTTATTTTTTGTCACGATTTTCATGAAATCAGCCATCTTCTCCTTTTCATATGCATCATATGGCACATTCTCCCAAATTCTTCTTTGGCTCTTTGATCGCTCTTTTCTTTTAATATACTAAGCTTTATAGTTGTATATTCCAAATACCCTCATGAACAATAGCATCAACCAAATTCTAGGCTGGTCTCAGGTAATCAAAATTCAACACCACCTATTATTATTACATGCAATTAATTTTATTTTAATGGACTATTTTTTAATTCCACCATATATCATCTAATAATCTAAATAACTTTTATTTAAATAATCCATAATGAATCAATTAAATCAAATTTCAACTCATATTGGCCGTACTTCAAATTAAAAATACTATGTACAATATTCTATTTATTTTTTAGTGGAATTCAAAATTGTTATCATAAGCAATAATGCATACTATTCTAATGTATTAATAATAATTATTGTAAAAAATATTTATAATATTATTTAATGAATATATAATATTATTATTGCAAATCATTAATTAAATATTTAAATTTAATGGAAAATCCTTTGCTAGATTCAGATATAATCTATAAAAATAATTCAGAATATGCTTTCTTAACTTAAGTTTCATACAGTAAAGATCTTCTCTAGGTCTTAATTGATGAGATGCATTTTCTGCTTAAATTTACTTCTGATAATAAAACATACTTGAAATGTTCAAATTGTGAACTTCTATATGTTCTATAAAGTCAAGACAATCTATCAATCTAGATATTTTACCAAAAGAAACCTAAAAGTTAAATAAACAATAACTAGGATTAATGCCTCTAATGTTAATAATTCAAAAACGGTGGATGTTTCTAAAAATGCTTCAAATGTTATTCAAATTAAATTATTGGTTTTTAGAATGAAAAATAAGGGATATTTTGCCAAATCTGTTTTTCAGAAATATGCAAAATTTGTAATTCAAACTTAGAAATTTTTTAATAGTTTTCAGATAAATGTACATAGAATAATGCAACCAACTTTTAAAGATACCTTTATGTTATAACAATGATGATGCTATCATTCATCTTTTTACCAATTTTCATAATTCTAAATTTTAAGAAATAGAAATTCTAAAGATAATTTATAGAATTTCATGAATATATATTCACTAAATATTAATTAGTTATCATTCTCTTCTTTTACTAAGTATTCATAATAGTCTACCTTGTTAAGGTGTTTCTGATACTAATAAACTTTGTGATTGAAAAAAATAAAGAGAGAATACATTATTACTTTGATTGAATTTATTCTATATATTAATTCATTATTAAATGAATATATTCAAATTTATCATAAAATCTTAATATATCAACAATATTTTTTAAATTTTAAATAGATAAAATCAGTTTAGCAAAAAAAATAGAAAATTTAATAAAATTTGAAATAGAACCTTATAGATCCTTGATTATTTTAATGAAACACAGGTAAATAAATTAGAACAGTACACTGTGAAACGGGTTTAGTATTATTAGAAGAAATGCTTAATCAATTAATTATACAATATTTATTGTGCGTACTATATGTAAATTATCATAATCCACCTTTGAACTTATTGATTGGGTATTGATCTTTATATTTAGTTAAATGTTCTCTTAATTCAGTATATTATTCCTATAGATGAGGTAATACTTCATCATAAACATCAGTGAATAAATCTTGAATTGATGGTGATTGTTCTATTATAAATTAAATAAAATACATTCAGATCCGTGTTTCAAAGCTGCAATGACTCTATTTCTAACATCTTTTCTAATTTGATTATCATGATCATCATTAAATTGTCTAAGTCCTTACTTTTTCAAAAATAATCCTAATCTATTAATTGGATTATTTCCTGATTTCCATGAATCAATTTCTTCTTATGATCTATACAATACAGAGTGATCTGATGTTGAATGATCTCCAATCTAATGAATAGATATTAAAATTACTCTATAAGTAATGAATTCAATAAAGAATGGTTCTTTATTTTTAATAATTTCTTCTCTTGCATATTTGACTCCATTATAAACAGCCAATAGATCATTACCATCAATTTTCAATGTTCTCATTCCATAAGCAGGTGCTTTTCCAGCTATAGTATCACCTCTGAATTGATCATCTGTTGGTGTACTGATGGCATAATGATTGTTTCTGCATAAAAATAGTGTTTAGCATTTCAAAGTCTAAGCAAAGTTCATAGCTGAATGAAAATCTCCTTCAGAAGCTGCCCCTTCTCCAAACCAAGTGGCTGCGATCTTATTTTCCCCATTAACTCTAAATCCATACCCAGCCCCACTTGCTTATGGCACTTACGTAGCTATAGTACGTCAATTTATTATATTTTACTTAAAGGTGATGACACAGTGACAATATTCAAATCTTTGCTTCCATAATGAACAGGCATTTATCTACCCTTTCCACCATCTAAATGGTTTCCAATGCATTGATTTACAATTTATTCAATTGTGAATCCTCTCCACATAAAACTACCTTGTTCTCTATATTATGGGAAGATAAAGTCTTAGGGTTGGAGTGCAGCTGTAGTGCCGACTGTAGTTGCTGTCTCACCAAATGATGTCATGTAAAATGAAATCTTTCCTTATCTTTAAGACATGTAAAGGAGGTTGTCCATCTCTTCAATCTAAAATCTTCAAAATAAACATCTTTACACTTATCATTAAATCAAAGATTTGATTGAGGATCTCCTTTGGAATGTTATTGTATTCCTTGGCTACAAGATTACCTTCCAAATCAATTACTCTGAACTATTTTATGGCCTCAAAGTTTTTGATTGGATTGATTTGATACACATATTAGGAGGGCACTTCCTTGAAGGCTTTGCTTATTTTAGAGAATCTCATAAAGTGCTTCATTAAACACAGATATTAATATAAAATCAATTATTTATGTTTCCATATAAATGATCCTCTCAATCAATTTGGTTTTCATCACCCTTACTTTGCTGTTCTCATTTTTAATTCCTTAACAATAATATCAAATTTAATGAATTATGTTTGATATATTAATTATACTGCATTCTCAAATTACACTTAGAATTTAATAAATTTCAATAACAATCTTGAAACTCAATTTTCTTCATTATAAATTTTTATATTCTCTTCAAAATATACTCTGCTTATTTGTTTTGGAATACTTTTCATATGAGCTACTCTAAATTACAGAGATTCCAAGATTTCCATTAAGTTATCTTATTGCATCACCTTCTTAATGGCTAATTACTATGAGTTAGTGATTATTTCTTCTAAACCTTCTATTTTATTGGCATTTTTCAATATATAATGATGTATTATCCTCGAGAATTTGAGACTCTAGAATTTGTCATTGTCTTTTAATAGCAGTCTCTGTAATTCTTGAATACATTATTCTTCAATCTTATTTAAGTTTTAGAAATATGCTTATTGTATAACATCCAAATATTATGTATTTGTATTTTTAGTTTGTAACATATGTTAAATTGACTTAAACCATTGCTCTTAATCAAATACGTAAATTAGAGATCTGAGTTTGTATATATTCATTTTATTATATATTATAATAATTATCTGAATATTAAGTAGTAATATAAATAATTATTTAATTAATAATTTGAATTACTTAATGGGAATTAGAACATTGATAGAAATAGAAATTTGAGTTATTGCAAATTCAATATTATCGAAATATTTGATTAAACTCTGCTATAATAATATTTATTATTATATATTTGATAAGTTAAGAATATTAATAAGAAGTAGAATTAGGGTTTCGAAAAGGATGATAATATTAATTTTAATTTAGCGACTTTCTTCCTTCCTATTATCTTTTATTGATCAAAAATACTTATTCTTAATTATTAATATTAATTTGATTAATAATTTATTTATTCATTAAGTGAAAAGAACCATTTTTTGAATTGAATTAATTATTATTTATTAAGCTATAATTTATTTCAAATTAAATTTAGTTATTATATCACTCAAATAATAAAATTATGGAAAGAAGAAGATTGTTTATTAAAGGTGTTAAAAAGTTTGATTTATTTGCTTAACCCATCTAACTTTTGGTAAACGAGAAAGAATATCATCAAACAATTTTTGGGTCGCTGCTCACACTTGGATTGTTATTACTGTTCTCAAGTTTATTATACTCTAAATTAATTTCTCTATTTGATCACAACAACCCAACTTCCTTAAGTTCAGAAATTTACCACTCCCAGCCAGAGATTTATTAATTATTTCCGCAGAATTTTACGATGACTTTTGCATTTTAAAATTCAACTTATCACACATACATAGATGATTCAATATATGTGGTTAAAGCATAACTAGTACATAAATATGAAACAATAGATAATGGGTGCAAAAAGGAAGTGTGGGACAAATAAGAATTGCCCTTAATAGAATGCAGTCCTGATATGATTAAATAAAAAGATTTAAGCGAATATTTTTCACATTTTGATTTACCATCCAATTACTGCATTGATTGGAACAGCATTGATAAAATCAACCTAGAAGGGACATTTGATGCTCCTGTTTACCAATATATTTTAATCTAATTTTATATTTGTACCGAGGAAACCAAAAAGGGCAAATAATGCCAAGAATAATAAGAAATTAAAAAAGCATTAGAATAAAACTATTTCTCTTTCCAAATTTCCTCTTACACTACTAACTTAATGAAACCTAATTCACCTTATAATCCAAAAGGCCAAGATTTATTTACTACTATATCGAGTAATATTTATAAAGAAATCTCCATCTATCTTGAACCGTTAACCACTGTTACTGATGTTGGTCTCATTGAAACTGACTTAGAATACTACAAGACCTTGAGATATGGAAGACATACTGAGATGTTAGATCTTAGTTCAAATGACCTAATAATGAATGTAGTCATCCGATTGGATACTACAGAGTTCGTCGATTATAGAACGTACTCTAAAATTTAAGAAATCTTGGCTGAATTAGGAGGGTTATGGTAAGTCTTATTCAGTTTCTTTTATATCATTTCCAAACCTATCAATAAAATTAGCAGATATCTTGAATTAATTAACTCTTTATTTGAATTGAGTGACTCTGAAGATGGCGATGATAACTAATTTTATAAGCAATATTCTTTATATCGATAGGGGTAAGATGCCTCTCCATTTTCAATCTAAATTCCACAAATAAAGGAAAATCAACAGAAAGATGCATTCACAAATAAATTGAATTAGGAGGATCCTTAAGAAAGAAAAAGAACCTTGATTAAGCCTTAAAAAACTATTCTTACCACATATGCAGAATATTTGCAAAAACTCATCATCAGGAAAAAAAAGAAACTATAGTTTGGATATTTTGAAGCCTTTTAGAAGCTTAAATGCATTGTAACATAAGTATGTCATATTGTTTTAATATTAGGATAATGACAGAATTAAATAGTTTCACATAGCCTAAAAATAAATTATGGGTTAATTGAACATAGTAGATATTTTAAAGAAACTTAGAGATGTTGAAAAGTTAAAATATATCATATTTAATGAAAACCAAAGATTGTTGTTTGATAATTTCCCCAACATCTAAAATCAGTAAATCGAAGATAAGCATGATGGATTTGAACAGTAAAATAAGCCTTCTGCTTAAGATGCAATTCTGTAAATAATTGGAGATTAGAATAATGAAATGAATTAGAAACTTATTGCCTCTTTAGATTTGACTGTAAGCAATTTATTAAAAAATTGTCAACATGATCATTCTGAAAAATGAAAAAATGATTCTTTGTACTTAGTATTTGATGTATCTATTCATGAATATTTAAATTGTAAAATTAGATTACATCCTATTATATTTATACCAGGCCTATAATTAAAATTAAATTTATAATTAATTGTGTTATATTAATTAAGTGTTTTGATGCATGTAAGAAAGAATATGAAGTAAAAACCAAAAACATCAGTATTCTTTATACAGTATTTTTATAATTTTTTTTTTATATAATTTTGGAGATATTCAAATTAATCATCATTTGGTGAATGAAGAATTAAGAATGTTTTTAAAAAATGACTAATTTACAATTAATTCTGAATGTAATTTAGAATTATCCTTTTCTTCTATCAATTCAACTTATGTAATATATCATCAGTATTATCAAGCTTCAAGAATCTATTAAAATATTTGAAGTTAGAAGGAAATAATACCTTAGAATGATATGGTTAAAGATTTATTTATAAATCTAAACAATTTTTTGGTCACGCTCAAACATTTTAATCATACTCATTTTGGTTAAGAGATTACTTTTGATTATTTAGATACCATAAGATATCATTAAAGTCTTTTTTTTCTTACAAATGGAAGTATTGATTGTCATTAGCTATTTCAATGGAAAACCAAAAATATTGATCAAATTCAAACGAATTTTCCATTACCAATCCTTCTTAATTAATATCTTAATCCCACAAGAGAGATTCAAGATAAGCAATGGTTAACGTTAGCACTGTTTGGTGTACTTTTTAAGTCCCGATGAGACAGAAATTTAATGAAATGTATAATTGCTTAACTGTTAAACTAGAATGTAATCTGCTAATGCTTCAACTTGAGAGATGTTGAAATGAAACAATAAATAGTGAAAAAAATTTAAATAGTATTAATACTAATGTTATAAATAATAAGAAAAAAAGAATATATATTTTAATAATATTATTTAGAATATGATATAGATAGTGTAATTTAAGGACTGGAAAGATATTTTAATTTTTAAATATATTTTTATTTTTTAAATATTAATGGATTAAGGTTTAGACCCGGGAATGTTATTGGCAGAATTAAAGAAACAAGATGAAGTATAAAACTTGAAATATAAGTTAGTGGGCTAAAGCAATAATATTTGATGAGGATTTGAATGTGATTACACATAAAAACTGTGCAGCAACAAAGGAGGAATTAACACCATACTTAAAAGCCTATGATGTGAGAGACAACACAATTGGTGCAGGCTTTGTATTATTAGGTGAACATTATGAAGTTCACAGATGGCATCCTCCCCTGGTATATGGAAGAAGAGGTGATGCCGATGTAGGAGAAGGGATCTCATTAGCAAGAGTAAAAGAATTAAAATATCGGTGATTAGGGAATTTGCAAAAAGCTTAATGGAAAGAGAGTCTATTTATTGATAACCTATGAATTGCCAATAGTGAGTGCAAGAGCAGTACCCCAACAAATAAACTTTTATAATCAATTCATTGGTGAATTAGAGAAATTTGACATTAAGTAACAATGAGTATTAATAGTAAATAATATTAATAATCCGCATTCACTAAAATATCTTAAAAGATGGCCTTGATTAAAGAGCTAACTATCTAATTATCAAGGTTTACCCCAATAATATAATAATGTAATGATGATTATTAATATACTCTCACACTAACTTAATTGTGCATCCAATAGCTTCCAATTTTTTCTTCAACTCTTCCGCATCAGCTTTCTTCATCTATTTGCCTAGAGTGGCAGGCAATTTTTCAACCATGTCTTTGGCTTCCTTCAAACCCAAATTGAAGATTGCTCTGACATCTTTAATAATTTTGATCTTTTATGCAGCATCGATAGAATCAAGAATTACATCATAATTAGCTTTCTAATTTATTTTGAATAGAAAATACAGCAGCCTCTTTTGGTGCTTCCTTAGGAGCCTCTTCCTTTTTCCCCTCTTATGCAGAGGCAGAAGTATTGGCAGCTGAAGCCTAAGCTCCTCCTGTTCCGACTCCACCTCCAAATCCAACAACTTCGGAGAACAATGTTGCAACTCCTTATTATCCCAAAGGCCATAATTTGGCTATGATTTCTTATTATTATAACCATTGAGGATGTGCTGTTGGCCACACTCCAGGACCTTTAATTCAATTGATTTAATTACCAACTTGAGTATCCTCTTTAGAAATACCTAAAGAAAACTCAGCATAATCGGGTTTATTGAGCACTTATTTCTACAAAATGTAATTCAGATATTAAAATTCATTCTCACTCAAGTATTCTATGTGTTTTGCTAATAAATTAATCTTTTTCTATTGGTTGGCATCTAGTTTATCATTGAAGACTCTTGGAGGCCTACAGAAAAAGTGATAAGTGCAAATTAATACATTTCTTTTGCTCTATTTTTGAATTCATTCCATTCTCTTTGAAATGATAGATAACTTTCTTTGAAAGAGATTTTTTCAATCTTATTCAATTCGCTTTCTAATTTATTAATGGTGCTGCAACCAAACCTCACTGCTCTTTGCATCTCTAATAAAATATTAAATATATATATATATATTTTATTATACATATTATACTATATTTTATGTTCATCACTTTTTAGCCACTTTCTTTATTGAAATTATCATCTTTTAAAGTCAAATTCTAGATCTTTAGTTGTCAATACATTGTAAACTTCTTTAATTGATTCAATTTCTATTCTCACTCTTAATTGTTTTCATTAAGGATTCTCTTTAAATCAATTATGTTGTTCTACATTCTATTGAATTTATTGCTCTGGTTTTTACTCAAAATATCAGATGGAGTTATTAAATCTTCAAGCAAAGCATCGTAAACATTTGTAAGTGTTCTAAAATTTGGACTTGTTTACGTTTATGTTTCCTCATCCATTTATTTGCAATTGTTCTTTTACACTCAATTAAATATCTTAATTTGAATTTCATATTTTGTATTCACTTTGAGTCTTATTTTCTAAGGATAGTAAGGATAATTTTTTTAATTATCTATTTTAGTAGCCACTAAAATAGTTGCCTTAACTCTCTTCTCTAATTCAGGTAATAGTGTTAAGTAAATTTTACTTTTTTGTTAACAGATTTTGCCATGTTTTGTTAAGCATTGATATGGGATGAACACTAAATTAACCTACTTCTTAATATTTATCTTTGCTGTCAAATTGATGATAACTCAAAATTTTAATCTCTGTTATTATTCCTTCTATTTATGCAAAGCTGATCCAATTTATTATTTTAAATTTGATAATTCATCTGACTATTATTTATTTCTTTTTCTAAAATTTATTGGCTGCCATTTTATTAAAATCAATTTGAATTTTTTTATAAGTTTTATACTATCATTATAATATAAGTCGTTCAGAGTTAGAATAAGCTCTTGAATTTAATTCTTATCACTATAATAAATTCTAAATATAAAGTCTATCATGTTATTTGATCTTAAATTTGCAATAATAATTAAATAATATTATAACATAAATAATATTAAATAGGTAGCTATTTCACTATTGAATGCTCATAAGTAACTTTGATTCATTAAGGATCTATATAGATAACATAAAAATTTATACAAGCTGATTTAAAAATGAGAAATCTATTGGATAACATATATTTCTATAGAAAAAGATTATGTGATAGTTTCAATTGCTATTAATTCTAGTAATATTATATAATGATCTTCTATTGATTATTTCAAAGGAATCAGAATTGCTTGAATAATTAGAATAAATTAATAAAACTATTATTAAAATGATCAAAATATTGATTTTATTGGCATAATTTCTTGAATTTTTGTTTTCAGTCTCATTATGCACATTCATGAAGATTGGAAGAGAAGAAACCAAAATGAGTGGCAGAGTTCTAAAGTTTGCTTACAGAGTTGAAAAAAATCTGCTTTACAACTATGAATTCGGACCATATACTAAAGTAGGTAATCACTAATCATTAGGATATAAGGCTTTGCTTGATTCCATTTTTACTACCAACTATTTGCAAGAAATTAATTAATATCAAATCGTCATTCAGTTTTTATGAGCTATTGCTTGCATTAATTGATATTTTATCGCTCGTTGATTATATCAATACAACAGAATCTTATCAGAGATATTGTCTAGTATATACAATTAGAGTTATGAGAACTATGATGATGCTGTTTGAATTAGTTTAGGAAATTACCAAAATGGTAATACTTCACTATGAGTAAATTTTGTAGAATAGATTATTATATATGCAACAAAAGAAACAATCCATAAAAAACAGCAATATTCAATAACAATAGTTATTATCAATCCAATAATAGCAAATTCTTAATGAAGATTTTGATTCAGATGAATAATCTAAATTAAGCATTATAAAAAAATAACAATAATAATAATCAATAATAAAACGAATAATATTTCCACAAATGAAGATCCCTTGCTTTTTATTAAATTTAATAATCAATTAATAATAATATTATATCTAAATTATAGATCCATGGAGCTTTGATAAGTCATTCTCATCGATTTCTATCAGGGAATAACTATTAATTATGATTAAACTTAATTATTGTTGCTAAATATATTAAACTTTAAAGAAAACTAAATGTAATTAGAAAGCCCTACATAAGTATCGAGAGTAAATAGCAGAATATTTATCTTAATTAATTTGGATGAATTGATAACAAAATTGTATATAACAATATATAGAAAACTGGTTTATCATTTATGTAATGAGATTTATTTGTATTCATTAAAGTTGTTGCATCATTCGTAATAGAATAAATGATAAAATACATATCTTTAAGATGAACTACTATTCTGTAATACTATCCTATATCTCTCTACAATAAAGTAGTCTTTCAATTTAAACTGTTCTACAACAGAATATTATTGTTTTCTTTCCAAATAGTAGTATTTATCAAATTAAAAGTCATAATTTTAACTAAAAAATGAAGAAATTGTAAATTTTAAAAGGTGATAGTGCTATTTTAGGACAATCTAATTTTATTTACTCTATAATAAAATAATCAACAATTAAATTACTTATAAAATGAAATGATCAATGGATGATTCAATTTAGCTTATAATCATTTTCCCTTGATATTATGAAAGTAAAGAATTACTTCAAAAACTTTATCTTTTGATTTAAATCAGTTCTATTTTTTGTTAATTCTATTAGCATTTCACTTTTTATTTCTAATTTTTAAGATTTGAAAGAATAAAAAAATAAAAAGGATATTTTTGTTAATTAATTATATAAGTAAAATTGTTTGATCTATCTAACACAAGCCTTCAAATATCAAACCTATAAATGTATTTTGAAACTGAATTCTTAAATAATCATTCTTTTAATGTCTATATTAGACAATTTATTTTTCACTGTTATAAAATAATAGGTTTAAAACATTTACATATATATATATATGATAATTTATATTATTAGACTATAATTAAATTTATATGATTAAGATTCTTTGTAAAGTTTGAGATTAATTAAAACTCAAATAACTAATTTCATTAATGATGGAATGAGTTTGATCTCAGCTTTTATTTGTTCTAGGCTATTTCGCTTTCATTGCTTGAACTCATATACCTAAATCTCTTTTAAGGTATGTTTTAAAATGATTTTATTGTTGTTGGAGTATTGGATGGGTTACTTAATCGAATAATTGGGCAAATAGTTTCTTCAGCATCTAGATCTCTTGGGGAACCCTAATCAGAAAAAAATAAAAAATCAATACAATTCAAAATATCAAATAGCTTTTCTTCTAATTCTTCAAAATTTTAGCAATTACCAATAAAACAGTAGAAATTGTGATCTTTTCTGATTAATAAATCTTTCATAAATTATATATTAACCTTTGATACATCCTTTTTATTCCATTGAGATTTTATTTTGTCGATATAATTCCCAAATTGCAAATAATACTTAACTCTCTAAAGAACTTGACATATTTTATATTTTAATATTTATATTAATTAAACCTATTTTGTTATTATAAAACTATTATTTTTGATTTGTTTGATATGATCCAGGAGTCTTACTAAAATTATTTGAATGAAATATGCCAATTTTACATTTAAAAGAGAATTCACAATTTATTTTTAATGAAATAAAGTAAATGCTTATTTTTTTAATTTTAAGACTTAATGCACTAATAAGAAAAGTTCAAACTAAAACAAAAATGGTATTTCTTTCTTTTGTGTAGTTTCTCTTAGCAATTTTCTAAACTAATGGATTATATAATTTATTCAATTTTTTAGGGGATTTAAACATTTAATATTTATTTGTTGTTGTTTCATAGTTCTATTTTTATTGTAATAATTTCAGAATTATTTAACTGAACTCTAGATAGTCATTATTTGTATATTGATATTTATCAGATTTGATGTGAATTAATTATCAATTAATTGCCTCAATATAAATTTATTTAGAATATCTTTAGATTACAGTTTATTTAATTTTGATTATCTCGTTGTAAAATTCAGCTAATTTAATATAGTATCATCGCCTCTTATTGTGTGTAATTAAGGTGTTTTATATTTTTAAGAACACATTTATTAAGTTAATTTCTTAACTATTTTTTTATAATCTCATAAATTTGTAATAATATATGAATTGACTTTAAGGAATTTATGACTTTATTTTGAGAATAATTTTGATAAAAATTAATGTATAAAATTTATTTTTTATTAAATAAATATAGTTAATGATAAATCATTTAATTGCTAATATTTGAATATTTTTGTTTAGAATATTACTATTAGTTTTAATTAAAATGAGTAGAGTTTAACAAATAAAAAGTACTGATAATTTAGATTAATTGATGTGATTAAGTTATATAATTTGTCTTTTCAATGAGAAAATGCTAGAGAATGGAATTCTGAAATTACTTCGATACTTTTAAAAATTTAACATATCTATATTAATTTAAGTTAATATGGAGATTAGCAAAATCAATTTTCACCAGTTCCCAGTTCGGAAGCGAGCTAAAAGATTGGCTCGAAATGAGAAGAATTTGGAGAATTTGAAATGGTTTCATTTGAATTACATGAAATGATTTCATCTTAAAATAGGGAATTTACATCACTGTCTTATTCTGAATCCTAGAAAAGAATAAAACAATAAATTACTGAGTCATCGTCTGAATCATATAATTTATCCTTCAGTTAAATGGAAACTTTTCTTGTTCTTCCTAGATTTTATTTTTTTTAAATTACCTTAAGCAATTGTAGTGAGATCTGAGTCTGAAAATATTCTTTTAATGTTGTAAATAAAGACGGATGGCAAGTTGTAAGTCAAAACAACCACTAATTTCTAACCTTATATCTAAATGGATCGATTCTCGCCACATTCCCAAAAGGAATTGTACCCATCAGTTATTATAATTTTGAATTCGACTAGTTAATCTAGAAATATAAAAAGTATATACTTAGTTCAACTTCCAAAGCATAATCACTATACCAAATGGGATACATTTCATTATTGGTTATTAATTTAAATCCTTGTTATGGATTCCAATTCCCTAATTATGGAGTGTTTCCAACGATTCTCACCATTTAACTAAATTCTGTTGAACATTTCACCCTAAATAATACTTGAGCACTCATTTAACAATATTTAATATTATAGATAAACTTAAGTCATCCGCTATTAGTTTTGTAATATTTCATATTAAAACGCGAATCTCAAGGTTTTGCGTCATTTACAAAAAGGGAAATTATTATTTAAGAATTTATATATATATCAAACGAAGATTTTCTTAATTCTCTAAGGAGGAAATTTAATTCTTACTCTTTCTGTCCTTTCTCCATAACCTAAGGTTGGTAACTTGAATTCTGATTTTGCTTAGATTCTTTTTTTTTTATGTACAGTCAATACCTTAGAACTAAATTTTACGAATTATTACAATTTAGTCTCTTTTTTAAGTCATGTATTATGCATGAATTCTAGATGAAGCTATATTTGCAAATGCTTTTCGAAATAAATTCATTTCCTGCTACTGTTGCTTCTTCATCATCTCAATATAAGGATCAAAGTTTTTTCTTTACTAAAATAGGTACTCTCCTTAATCAATAGTTTAATGTCTTTTTGTCTTTGGAGGTATTAACATAATAAAATATATATAAATATTATTTTTTTTGCTTTCTTTTCATGAGATATGCTCATAATTAATGTAACCTAGTAACAGTTGTGAGTCAAGTAGTAACTTTAATTTTAAATTGGAAAGCATAGTTTGTATAACAAGTGATTTTATTTATTTTTATTAAAAGATAATTTTCTTCTATAATGAAGGAACCTTTTCTAGTACGAATAGTGGTCTTGAACAATTTTGCTACTTATTATTAGGAGGAGGAAATTAAATTGCCTTTAAAAAAAATCAATTAGATGTATACAATCACAAAAGAGAGATTTATAAGATTTTTAGAGAAAAAGAGTTTACTATAGCCATCAGATTCGAAATAAATACATTTTGGTATTTTCAAAAAAAATTATGATAGAATTTTTCGACAAATCCTAAAGTAAATTTAAATAGGAAAAACAAGTATTTGATGCTAATAATAATTTATTCAGTTTTCCCCAAGAATTTTTTGGAAAGCCAGAGACTTTGGAGATAAAGCTAGTTTATGAAATCAATTATTGGAACATTAAAGGGTTTGATATAGATTTTTTAGAGTGCGAAGAGAAAAAAGAAAAATTGAATTAGGAGCAATAGAAATTAATGAATGAATTAGATAAATAAAAGCAATTATTTCAAGAGATGAAGGAAGATTTAAATGATATTTACGACTTAGCCAAAGAGTAGATTAAAATTAAAAAAAAGAAAGAAGTTGATATTGTAGTACTTTATAGCAGTCCATTGATATAATTGGAGAATAATATAGAAGAAGCACTATTTATTGATTATGAAGGTGAAATAAAGAATATCGAAGCTGAAATTAAAAGTTCAGGCAAAGAAATAGAATATGAAATTTTATTGGCTACAAGGGACAATTTGGATGAAGCTATGAGATGGAATCCATAAATATTGCATTTAATAATAAATGGGGATTATGATTTGAATTCTGGTTATTATTTTGAACTATAAGAGGGCAGTCTTGTAGAAAAATTAACTCTGGATGGCCTCATTTAAATATTGTCATATCATTAAAGAAAACTCAAACGATTAAGGTTGATTTGCATAAGTTCAATGATAGCAAAGGATATAATATAGGTTCCACAAGCAAACGATAATAATCCATACTTAATTGAAAATGTCTAAAACTTTTAATCAGTAACCTTTGTAGGATAAGTAAAGTTTTTCAATTAAGATGACAATTTAGGAAACTAATTTTGGAGATATTTTTATAAATAATTGATTGAAAACAAAAGCTTCAAAGATTCATACGATATTGCTAAGAAAAAAATAGATGAGCTGTTTAAAGTCTATTTAAAAGAAAATCCAACGAGTGTTAAAATTTGTTGTTGCTTTCATGAACATGACTAAGAATGTTTGAAAGACCCTGCGAAGATAGGATATACAAAATCTCATTAATTGCACTTAAAATGTTCTAAATAAAGATTTAATCATCTTTGTGGAAAATAGTATAAAAGTGTGGAATAATGTGAAAAAGGTTGTTTAGGATAAATTTATCATGACAACGAAGATGATTAATGCTAGATTAATGAACATAATTGCAATAATTATGAATCTAGATTTGATGATATTTCAGTTAGTCTCAATCTAAAAAATAATCAAACTCTAAGCAGTGAGATTTTAAATATTAATATACCAATTGGATTATAGATATAGAACAAATAAAAAGAAAAAAATGTATGTTGTTGTTTTGAATATCATGTGTTTCAAAATAAGATTAATGATAATTATCCAATTAATTAAAATAAATATCAACAAAAACCACATCAACTCTCTCAAAAGTTTGTCATCAGATTAGTTAAAGGATAAAATTAATTAGATATGAAAGAATTACTAAGTTTTGAAAAAAAAATTAATTACTTATAAATTAATAAATAAATCATCATTATTCATAGCTAGGATTGCTCTAAAGAAAATTTTAGTTTGTTAATATAGATATTAAAAAAATACTTTGAAGTAAATCATATTTTTAATAATAGAAATATTATACAAATAAAAATTTGGAACTTATAACCCTTTCCAATGAAGATCATCCTTAATCAATTTAAGAATTGATCCAAAATGTAAATTAATTTTGCTAAAAATATTTATCAAACGATAAAACATTCAAAATTCTTATTCTCTCAAAGATTGATAACTATTGTAAAGATGAACAATTCAAATAGTTTTATGAAAATTTACTTGACTAATTCTAATCTAAAGAAAATCTAGTCATAATAATTGAAGCTAGTTACAACAACATTAGATATCTAAAACAATCTAGTCTAGAAGACTTTTTTCAATTAATTAATTATGATGAAATAAAAGAATAGCTCAATAAATTAAAATGTGAAAAATAATGAATGTTAAAAGCATAATTGTTATAAATCATCTATTTTTCAGTAACTACTTATTTATTTATTCTATTTTAATAATATTTGTTTAATATATTACATTAATAAATTCAATTAAACAATGTAGAATTATACTTAGGCAAATCAATTAAAAAGTTTTAGGTTCACCCAACACTAACTCAATCAGATTTTAAAATAATATTAGACCTATGGATTTACTTAATCATAGATATTGCAAGCCTGGCAAAAATGCAATCAAGATTAGTATCTCTTTCATGATGTACTAATCTAATAAGTGTACAATTAATCTAATTTAGAAATGCCAAAGGTACTGTGAGCAAGGATCTACTATAATCGTAGCTTAATCTCAAAACTTAAACTGATCAAAAATAAATGCGGAACTCCATATTTATTCAAACAGTAGATGATCTACAGTATTCTATTATCTAAAATCATATAGGAATTGTGATTTACCAACTCTCTAAGAATTATATCGAACTAATTAAATTAATTCTCCGAATTGGAAGCCAACAGGTTTGATTAACTTAGGCAATAGTAAGATATCATTCATATCTTAAGCTTGTTATATCAACATTATGCTTCAATATATGTTCAATGTAACTACATTCAGGCAACTGATCTTTAATGTGTAACTGCCAAGCTCAAAGAATAATGGATAAAAGGTGATTTAAAAACTAAAGGAACTATTTGCCTTAATGTAATCAGGCAATAGAAACTATATAAATCCTTGTGAATTAATTACATCCCTTCAAGAATATAAACCAAGTAATTTTGCAACTTATCCTACTAGATATTCTAACTATTAAGGGTGAATAAAATGATTATAATGAATTATAACTGATGTTTTTGGATGCAATAGAAAGCTCTTTGCTCGATTTAAACAATGAATCAGTGATCCAAGAATTCAAATCTATATTTTATGGCTAATCAGAAGAAAACATTATTGTTAGTAATAAAGTTGTCAAAACTAATCCAACTTAATATAGCTCCATCACAATAGAGGCTAATGAAGAAAACCTATTGAAAGCATTCACTTCCTCTAGAATTCTGTATATAGATGACTATGAAATTTCAGAGAAGGTTTTCACAAAGGCCTTAATTCATCAAAACATTAAAACCGTCCCAAAAATATTATAGTTTTATCTCAATAGAGTTCTTTATGATACGAATTAAAATCAGCTTATTAAAAATAATAAGGTCTTTACTTTCCCCTCAGTAATAACTTTTTATATTTTAGACAATTGATATTAGTCAATTCATATAGGATGATTCAATAAATCAATCTAAAGAAATGCAAGAGTTGTTAAAAAAAGAATAAGAAATCTTGTAAAAATTAGAATAATGTGGAGACATTTAATCAGATACTTAATTCGAAGGTTTAATCAAGCTCTTTACTAAGCAGCCTAATGAACCGTTTATCATTGATCCTTAGCCAAATCTCTAAAGTCATATAGAAATGGCTAAGTAATTGTCCTTGTATCAAGAAGCCTTTAAGATAAAAAAATAGCAACTATAGATGGACTTTATTAAAATAGAAGAGCAGAAAAGAAGAGTTATTGAAGCTAAGAAAACAATATATCAATTGACAGCTCTATTAATTCATTCTGGTACTGCCTTAAGCGGTCATTATTATTGTTTTATTTATGATGGGAAATTTTGGTGGAAGTTTAATGACAGAGTTGTTACACAGGTGGAATTTCCAGTTGTGTTTGCGGAAGCACAAGGAAAAACTAATAAGAACACTAATGTATCAGGTTTGATCTATGAACAGTGCGAATAAATAAATTAAAAGAGATTGGTTCCATTAGGTAATGAATTAGAGTAATTTATTGAACAGAAAAATTAAGAACTTTTGATGCTGTTTGATCAGTAAAAGGTATTATAAATTAAGTCTCGAATTTTGTAAAGAGCTGCAGAGCATAAGATAATATATCCCAAAAGTCAGATTGCCATAGCTTTAACTAAATATTAGTATTTTGAAGAATTTCTGTAAGGAAATCCAAATAGACATTATTTTGTTAGATATACTATTTTAGATGTATTTTATTAATGTATTTTTAATAGGAAGAATTAAAGATATTAAATCCAATTCTAAAATATCCTCAACAAATCAATGAATATAAAAAATATTTCATCTCTAATTCAGGAATATTCCCCAAAAATTTTGATTAGATGTTCTAGTAAGATTATTCAAAATATACTTTCATAAATAACCTAATATCTAACTTTTCAGTGCCTACCATAGTAACTTCAGCAAATTTTCAATAAGTTATCACTCAATTCCAAAAGTATTGTTTGTAATTAAAAAATTTGGATAATTCTGCATTTGAATACTTGACTATCTTATTTTAAGCAATTTTATTATAAGGCTGTTTCTTATGTGAATTATTGATTCAAAAAAGCAAATTACAAGAAGGAAAATAATTGACATAATTTATTTTTGAAACTATTAAAACTAGGTAAAAATAGAATAATTAATTTATAGTTAATTTATCTAAGCCATTATAACATAATAACTGAGAGAAAATATGAAGAGTATCATTGAAGAATTAGAGGAACTTAGTAAGAAGCAAAGTTTGATCTCCAAATCTAATATTACATCACCTAGCATTTTGGTTCCTGATACTATTTTTCAGATAAATCAGAACAAGATAAAGGATCTTTCAGATGTGATACAGAAATTTGATGAGTTAGAATAAAATACATAGGTAATATATTTTTTAAGAGTTTGATAGTTATGGATTGGGTTTGTTAATAAGATATTGAAATCAAGTGAAATCATCCCTCAAAAAGTTCGCTTAGAATAAGAAATGCCACTATATTTTGACAAAAAACTATATTGATATTATTAAAAATATTAAATGTCATCTGATGAATTAGATGTGTAAAAAAATAAATTAAGAGAACAAGTTATTCATACTGAGACTCTTAATATGATGGCAAAATATTAGTTAGTATTCCTAAAGATGGAAATATCAATAAGAAAGTTAGCCTTGATAATAAAATTAAAGTAATTCTAACTGATTATTGTAGAGGAAACCAATAGAAGTCTTACGCATATAGAAAACTAAAGCAATCTAATAAATACAGTTCTAATCATTTTAAAGTACTTTTTACATAGATTGCATTAAAATATAAGTAAGTTGGAGCGATTATTCAAAAAAAATAAAAAAGGAATTTGCATTTTGCATTCCTAAAGGTTCGTCTTCAATTTTCCAGAAACAAAAATGACAAAATAAGGAAATCCTTTTTATAGGTAATCACTTCTAAGGAGACAGAGATTAAAAATCTGTAAATCAAGGAGTAGGAAATAATGGAGAATATAACAAATTAAAAACTAAAAGAGCAGGATCTTTAATAGAAAATAAAACAAAAAGAATTAATACTAACATCTTTAGAAAATGAGTTAAGGAGAAATTCAGCCAATAAAACAATTGATTCAAAAGTAAATCTACTTAATATTGAAGTTAAAAAATATAGAGATCGAGAATCAGGAGATGTAAGACCGTATTATGGGGACAGAGGATTCTGTAAATTTATTTATAAGAGAAATGAACGATATGCTTGATAGTCATGAAATCAGCACTAATTTAGGTATATTTAACAAAGACTCCATTAGATATTGACTCTGATGAAAACTAATCTTATGAATAACCTGCTTAGGTCGTTGAATATTAGAGTTAAAGATTGAATCAAAATTCAAGATCACAAAAATCAAAAAATTTTTACTCAAATTAATTGACTCGTACTAAAATTAATTGAATATATGAAAAATAATAAGAATCAAAATAACTATGATTTAATCTTCTTATCTTATTAATAAATTTTATTATATTGCTAGTTAAGCAAGATTGAATAATTATTGACTTAAGCTTTTTGTTTAGATTTGCTACTATTCATGGCATCATAGAGTTCCTTTTCTTGTTTCTTTGTTCTTCCTTACACTGCCAATTTAATGGCTTGTTGATTCTATAATTTAAGCATTTCATTTTCTTATTCCAACTATTATAATTTGAAATTAATAGAATCGTTGGGATTTAAGGTAATCATATGTTTAAGTTCTTGAACTTCATTTTCCAATGCCAAAATGGTGTTTTCGTATTGATGTATTTTCAATTCATATGTTTGTTTGATATTTTGAACCTGTAATCATGATAAAATAGTGATACTTCAGCATCTTTCAATCTCAAAGTTTGCAAACTCTCTTAAATGCATTCATCAATTGCTCTAATAATTGATTAGCAATCATCAATTGATAGATATTATCCTTGAATGATTTTCGATAGCATTTTTTGAAGTTCATTCTATAATGCTAATTCAAATGGTCTTTTTTGAATTGCAACATTAATTTAATTTGGATACTATTCTTCTTCTAAATCATCCAAGAAATTTGCTTATTGACTGTAGCTTTTGAGTCTGCTTTGATTGCTGAAGGTAGGAGCATAATTTTTGCTATAGGTTGCATCAAAAGATTGATTATGCTCAGATCTAGATTTGTTGGTAACATCTTTAATGAACTTGGGACCTTTATAAAAAGAATTATGGTAGAGAGAATACCTGAAGATTGATTGGGTGTTTTTTTCAAGGACATTATTAAATGCAAAACTGTAATATAATAATAATATTTAAAATAATTAATCACTAATCATTTCTTCCAAATGCTCTATTATATATTGCTCAAATACCATAATAGTGTTGACACATCCTTGAAGTCCTCGTTTTTTGTTTTCAGAGTCTATTTATAAATGTTGCACTTCGTTCACTTCTGTTTCAATGCATTCCGTACATTTTCGCGATAGAAAGTTAAATGCCTCTTGCACTCCTTCTCCAGTCTTTGCACTTCCTTAATTATGAAAAGAAACCTGACTTCGAAATAAGGGAGTTTGTATTTCTATGAGAATTCCTAGGCTTCAAGGAATTTGACTTATCGTTTCTAATTATGTGGCATTTTATACTTCGCACAAATCTATTTTATTGCCAACCAGAATAGATTATGAGTTTGCTTTCGAACATTCTTAGACTTGTTTAATCCAATAATCACTAATGCGATTGAAACTGTCTTTATCTGCAATGTCAAATACCATTATGACTCCATCAGCTCTTTAAAAATAACCTTCATATTAACAACATAGACCTACTTTTTGTGAGACTAAAATATTTATCCTATCCAGCAGTATCCCAAAGACATAATTTAATTTACTGTCCCTGATAAACGAATTCCTTCTTCACTAGATTTAATCCGAGTGTGGGAAGATAATTATGTTAAAAGGGAGCATCCTCTGAATTATAAGATAAATCTTACAGTCAATGAACCTCTATATCAGACTTGTTTTGCCAGACCCTAATCATCTTGAATATATCAAATACCTAGATTACCAATAACAATTAAATCAATTTTTATCATATATTTATAAAATCAATACAAATATTCACTATTAATTCAATACATTAAAATTATTATAATACTTCTCATTGAATAGACTAATTAAGTCAGTAAACCAAATTATTATATACCAACATACATCCTCACTAAATGAATTCCCCCTTGTAAACCATTTTTCTATTCAAACAAACAACTAAAAACATTTCTCTTTGAAATAAAGAAATATGATATTAATATCTAGAATATTATAAAATTGCTATCTCGTTTTTAATCGGAATTCTACTACTATCATATAATATTTAACCACATTTTCATTTTAATAGATGAAAATGCGTTTGTATTTTAGGAATCAATAAAATTCAAAATATACTTATCAAAGGAAAAGATACTGTTGAATGAATTTTAATGAGATTAACATTTTTATTTATACAAATTTGATTAACAAAACTATAAGATGATGAATTTTTCATTTATTTATTTTAATAATAGATTATCATAAATTAGCTTTATTTCTCATATCTATTGGTACAAATTATTTCTTAGCAGGTCCAGTGTAATCTGAAACAGGTCTCATCAATTTGTTATTGCTTCTTTACTCTATGATATGTCCTCCCCATCCTGTCATTCTAGAAATCACAAAGATTGCTGTGAACATAGGAGTAGGCACTCTAAATTTAAGCATTTTATCATACCCACATTGTTTATATGCACTAGCACTATAGAAATCAAGATTCGGATAAATCTTCTTCTCCTCAATCATTCTTTTTTCAATATGCTAAGAAACAGCCAACAATGTAGGATCTCCATTAGCTGTCTTACTTAATTATAAAGAAAAATCTTTTATAATTGGAGATCGTGGATCTTCCTTCTTGTATACTCGATGTCCAAAACCCATAATCAATTATTTGCTTTGGTATCTGCTATTCAAGAATTGATCTGCCTATTGTATGCTTCTTAGAGGTTCCAAATATTGCATAGCTGCTTCATTAGCTCCTCCATGAAGTGGTCCTCTCAAAGTTCCAATAGCAGTTGTGATTCCAGAATAGAAATCGGATAGTGTACTTACAGTAACACGAGCAGCAAATGTTGATGCAGCAAAATCATGTTCTGCATATAATATTAATGAAACATCAAAAGTCTTGACAACCAAAGGATCTATCTAACTCTTCAAATGGTAGAGCTTGAGAAAGTTTTCAGCAATCGAATCTTTTCCTGTATTCTCATTTATTTTGATTCCAGAATTGCTGTAATGGTGCCAATACAATAAGGCTGGACCAAATAATGAAATTAATCTGATGCTTATTTCGTATTCCTAACCAGGCTTTGATTCTGGTTCTAATATACCAACAAGGGATGCTACTGTCCTCATAATATCCATAGGATGGGATTCTTTAGGCAAAGTCTCCAAAATCTATTTCAATTTGCATGGGATTTATCTCTTTTAAGAAATAAGAGTTCTCAATTCATCTAGTTATTACTTATTAGGTAAATGGCCCTTTAGTAACAAATAAGTGACTTCTTCAAAACTACATTTATAAGCAAGATCCTAAATTATCTTAACTCATATCTTACATTAATATCGTAACCTCTGTAATTTAAGCCGATGCCACCTACTCCAACTGTAGAAATGGCTGATTATCCAGCAACTACTCCTTGAAGCCCTCCTGCTGCTTTCTTTTCACTCATTTATATTAATGACTCATTTTGTGAGTTAGTGCGTAACTATAAATACTGAATAATTTTATAACATAATCATGTATTTGTAATTCCTCATTCATTGGAATAATCAATATAAAAACCAAAAGAATTAAAAACAATAACTTTGTTACATAAGCGAATTGATATAAGCTCTTTATATAGTGCATATGATATGAAGGATAGTAAAAAATTGATTAAATCAATTGACTTTGGCTTGTAACCGTTGAAACAATTTAATGAACATCTCGTTTTAAGGTTTTTTCTCTCTGGGAATCTGCTTGTTGAATTAGATCGTCCTTATTTTTTGGCCTGATTTAACATCATAATCTAGTAGACATGTTATAGGGAGATGTTCCTTTTATTAAGATGACTTACCAAAGTCAACTGCTGTTTATCTTCTTGATTTTATGTAATTAAAACTCTTTTAAATCTCATAATCTGGCATTGCATCCTTTTCCACTAATGGTTTTCTTGCTGAATAGGATTCAAAAGAATGAGCATTGTTGTTTTTCATTTGATCCATTGGCTAATAAAATTTATCAACTGTATCTCTTTACACATCCTTTCTCCCTTCTTATTTATCAAATGGAATCATCATCTTCACTTTCGGAGGAGGTATCTTCACATTAGAAATATCCTATTAATTGTTTGACAGACTCATAGATCTTCTTTTTGTCTGCTTTTCAAAACTTATTGTTGGAATATGTTTCTCTATAATATCAAAATGAGGTTTGTAATCTCTTTCTGCTTAAGTAACTTACTGTTATTGGGAGTAAATTGATCCTTAGGATCTATCTATTCTTCTGAAGAGCCAATCTCCTTTTTAAGTTGCTTTCTTTTCCAATTTAATAGGAGGAACCGCAACAACATTTTGTGGGTAGAATCTAGTTCCAGTGGTCTTTCTCTAATCCAACCTTCTACCAAATCTGGAGAAAGAAAACGACGATGTTTTTGGTCTGTCTTCATCCATGTTAATTAAATTATGTTAATCAATTATAAGGGATAAGAAATAAAAGTTGGCTATATTGATTTCAATAGTTTGATTGAAATAATCGAAGCACGATTTGCCTATGAACTACAATCGATGTATTAAGTCATCTATCAAGATGATGATGATAGCAGTCCAGTTTTGATTGTTGATGATGATTCATTGCAAGGGGCTTGTAATTTATTGTTCATTTTTTTAAGATAATCTATGCCAAACCAAAAATACCTAACTTGTATTAGAAGTTTAGAATGCAAATATTGATGCCTCCAATTACATTCTAAAAAGACAAATTGTAAATAATATCCACTTAAAATAGAGCACTGAAAAATCAAATATCTATTAAGAGAGTCTGCATCAGATCAATGAAAAATTGAAGGAATACAAAGAACAACAAAAATATCAGGAAATTTAGGAATCCATTTATGAAGTCAAGGATGAGGATCTCACGATTCAAAACATCATGCAATATTATTAAAACAAATTGACCAAGTTCGTAACCAATTATCAAAAGCAATCCAATGAACACAAAGCAAAGCATTATCAACAGTATTAGGAATGCTTCGGTTCCTTATTGGAAAGAATGAATAAGAAATTATTGAATTAATTTGAACTTATCACATAGCAATAGAAGGAAATTCGAAACCATGTAGAAAATATAAATGAATTTAAACAATTCATATGAATATTTTAAAATTATTATTATTTTAAGATATCTAACATATTCACTTCATAAATGTTATCAATATAAATAGAATTTCTCATATTTTCTTAACTAACAATATGAAATTATTTTCATTTTTCTGCTTCTGTAATTCTATCAATTATTAAATCATATCTGGAGTCTCCTTGATTTAAGGAGATTTAAGTTAAGAGTCATGATAATAAAACTAAAAGTCACCATCAGGCTTGACAATTTTTCTTATGGAAATCCAATGTCTGGGATCCCATTAACAAAATCTTTCGAAAATAGAGAGTTACTTGGTCATGCTAACCACAAATCCAAAAACTTAAGGATCAGCAATAAGATTTTCATCAATTTTTTGGTTCTATTTAATCCATACAATTTCAAGCGATTCTTTGTATAACACTCTCTCCAAAACATTAAAATCATAATTTCCAATGAAAAAAGTGTGATGAGATAAGTTTGTTTCTTTTTAAATTTCTTCTGCTATATTTTAGAAATCTAACCAGGTATATTTCTCTACTTAAAGTAAGTTGTTCACTGCATGGAGCCCACATCTTCGAAACTATTATGTTTGATGCTTAAATTATGGCTTTTGCATATGCTATGAATAAAAATAATTAAATTATTTAAATAAAATGATATCGTTTGAATTATCAAACATATTAATTCTAGTATCAACAGGTATTGGATTACTTTGGGCAGTATATAACGCATACAAACTGAACCGAATAAAGATTGGCACTCCAAATTAATATAATAATTTCCAGGATGATTATTAAGATCACCATTCTTAACTTCTGTTAGAAATAGCATCTCATATTGAAAGTGGAGCGGCTGCATTTTTGGCTGCAGAATATAGATACATTGGAGTTGTAATTATATTATTAGCCTTGCTGATCTTCTTTATCGTTGAGCCAGTCTTAGGATAAGCTTGGACTACTGTTGCATTTTTGGTTGGAGCGTTAACCTCAATAATTTCAGGTTCAGATATTAATATAAACAATAGGATTTATTGGAATGAGAGTAGCCACCTTCTCAAACTATCGTTGTGCCTATTGCGCATAGACAAAAATGACAGAAGCATTCGCAGTTGCATATAGAGCTGGATGTGTTATGGGTTTTGCTTTGGTTAGCTTTGCGTTACTTAGTCTAACAATACTTTTGGGAATTTACATAAATTGGTTCATTAAGGATTATAGAGACTTCTAACAATTGTTTGAAGCAATAGCAGGATATGGATTAGGTGGATCAGTGATTGCATTATTCGGCAGAGTTGGAGGAGGAATCTATACAAAAGCAGCTGATGTTGGAGCTGATCTAGTTGGAAAAGTTGAAAATGATTTCAAAGAAGACAGTCCAAATAATCCTGCAACCATAGCAGATAATGTAGGAGACAATGTTGGAGATATTGCAGGTATGGGTGCAGACTTATTTGGATCCTTTGCAGAGGCTACTTGTGCTGCTTTAGTCGTATGTAGTGTATCCCCATCATTTTATTATCATCCTACTACATTTTATTATCCATTATTGGTTTCAGCTGCAGGAATTCTTGTGTAAATATTTCATCTTAATTCATTAGTTGTTTTATAGTTTCCATTTTTGCATTTGTAGGCGAGAAGGAAAGCTTTGATTAAGTTTCAAATGCATTGAAATTTTAGTTGATTCTTTCAACTCTTTTAATGTTACCTGCTCTTTATTATGTTGCATATCTAACTTTACCAGAGAGAATCTTTGGATTGGCACCAGTAGATAGACAACCCATTCATGCATGGCTTTGTACTGTTGTCGGACTCATTAGTGGTTGCATCATCGGATTTGTCACTGAATATTACACTTCACATTCTTATAGACCTGTATAAGAAGTAGCTTAAGCATGTGGTACTGGAGCAGCCACTAACATTATTTATGGAATTGCCTTGGGAAATCTCTCTACTATTATTCCAGTATTCTTGCTAGCATTTACAGCCTTTATTTCATATTCGCTCTTGTCTATGTTTGGAGTTGCTCTAAGTGCTTTAGGAATGTTATCTACTTTAACCATCGGTTTGGCAATTGATGCATATGGTCCTGTCTCTGATAATGCTGGAGGTATTGCAGAAATGGTTGGATATCCATAGGATGTTAGACACAGAACAGATCAACTTGATGCTGCTGGTAATTGCACCGCAGCCATTGGTAAGGGATTTGCCATTGGATCAGCTGCATTGGTGGCCTTCTCTTTGTATGGAGCTTTTATCACAAGAGCATCTAACTCTCTTAATAAGCATCCGCTAACAGATTTAGGAGTCAATTCCCCATTAGTATTTTTGGGACTCTTAATTGGAGCTATGATTCCTTATTGGTTTTCTGCTTTCACACTTAAATCTGTTGGAAGGGCTGCATTTGAAATGGTTGAAGAAGTAAGAAAGCAATTAGCCGAGAGACCAGGAATAAGAGATGGAAGAGAGAAACCAGATTATGACAGATGCATTGCTATATCAACCAAATCTTCTCTTTAAGAGATGTTTGCTCCAGGATTACTTGTAATTTTAGTACCTTTGGCGTTGGGATTATTCCTTGGTCCCACTGCTGTAGCTGGATTATTACCAGGTATTTTGGTTTCTGGAGTTTGTATGGCCACTTCATCAGCTAATTCAGGAGGAGCTTGGGATAATGCTAAGAAGTATATTGAAGCTGATTTATGCGAAATTGGTAATTTTAGTATATATCTCTAGATGATATTATCAAAGGTAAAGGCACTGATGAACACAAGGCAGCAGTGATAGGTGATACAGTTGGAGATCCTTTAAAAGATACTTCAGGTCCTTCCTTAAATATTCTCATTAAATTAAGTGCAATTTTTTCTTTGGTCTTTGCTGGCGTTTACGATAAATCAGCATGGTTATTGTGTGCTATGACAACTAGTAGCAGTGGCTGTCCAGCATGAAAGAAATAGAGTATGAGAAATATCAAATAAATCAGTTCATTAATTTAGTTTATTTATTAATATATATATTCAGTTTTTAATATTCTCCATAAATATGTTATTTGATTGGTTATCCACATCCATCCATCAATTTTACATCTGTTAAAACTGAAAATCCATGCAAGGAGCTGAGGATGCTTGAAATCTACATTTAGTTTACGAACCACTCTCTGGATGGGTAGCTTATACTTAATTTAATTCCATAAGTTCACCATTTAAATTGCTCAGGTAAGTACAGGATAATTAATTTAGTTTGTATTTTCATAATAAATTATAAAACAGCATTAAGCTTTCACTCTAAATCAAACTAAACAACATTGTTTGTTTTTTATCAAACAGCTTGGATAATGATATACATTAATTTTGGGTTGCAGTGATTTCATTCACTTTACCTCCATTTGATAACCTTGTTGTTTTTCTTTTAGCGTAAAGAGGTACAATATGACAATGTATTTTAAAGACTAAAAGGTTAAAAAAAAGGTCAAAATTATCAAGAAAAGTTGAAATCACATTATTATAGCTTTATAAGTAATTTATCTATTAAATCGCAGTGAATATTGAGAATTAATTTTCCAAAGAGATACATTTTGATACGTATTAAAATAGGCTTCTTATTTCTTCAAACCTTAACAATGTATAAATTGAAATATACTTTCATAAAAATACATTTTTAATATTATATAGGGTTTTATAAAACAGCATAAAATTGTAATCGGAAAAATGATGGTGATAATTATAATTGATTAGGTTTGAGAAAAGGTAGTAATTTAGGCGCTTTTAGGGTTTTGTATTATGAAAGTTCTTTACGATGATAAAATAAACAAATATAATCATTAGGCATGTTATGTATCAAGTTAAATGTGTTGCTGTCGATCCTAGTGACCTATTAATGCGAAAGATCTGAGTCTTATTTTTAAAAATAAGATTGGAATTTAGAGGAAAAGCAGAATAAATTTCAATTCTATTCCATAAACTATTATAGTGATAATCAGTAAAATTAATAAAAAGGCCATACATCTAATAGTTTAGAAAAAATAATTACAATAATAGGAAATGTAGGGGAATTATTTATTTTGAATAGCCGATGATGTGAATTTCTGCTATATTTAAAAGGAGATAAAGAAAAATCTATGATATTTAATACATTACTATACAGTTATAAAGTACAACCATGAATGCCTCAAATACTCTTACATAATGAATAGTATCCAATTTATTGTAAATTCTAGGATTGTTAAAATTTCAATTCTTTTCAATATAACCTTTTGATTTACATTCTGCATTTATCTAGAATTCATATTTATTGTTATATATAAATAATAATGCTCATATTAGTTGGATTTTCAAAATTAACAATTAATTTATTTTTTAGATGTTCACCCAACCCTCAGGTGCGAAGTCTTCTGCCTAGAGCACTCCTTATAAAAAACAATACATTCAGCCAGACCAAGAGGAAACGATCTCAGAGGACGAATCGCAAATAAATAATATTCTCAAAGCCTTAAAACAATAGTAAATAATTTGAATTTTCTTTTCCAGATATCTGATAATGGATAATACACTTAATGAGAAGGAGGAAGAGAAATCTCAAATTTTAGAAGACTTACAAATCTTGAATTAAAGATTGCAATAACTCAATAAGTCTATTGCTATAAAGAGACAAAAGTATGAAAAATGCGATAGAACCTTAAAAGAAGCTGAGTCAGCCTTTGCAACTATTGCTGATTCTACTAAGTCTCTGCTTCAGATCGTCAAAAGCAATATAGGGGATATGAGCAAAAAATAAAAAAATTGATTGATTAACTAATTATCTTCTCTAGTAATTGAGAATAAAAATATTCACATTTTTTTAAATATTTATTAATGGTTTTGAGAAGATTCTCGCAATAGTATAAAAGTGTCTATGCATTTTGCAAAGTTGAATCTTACACAATAAAACCTTAGAATACTGTGATAGATTACAAGTTTTTATAAAAGATTATATTTAGTTAGAACATTAACTTATAATCCATAATAGAAAATCAAATTTGATTCGTCAAACAAATCATTACTCTACTATTACAAACCTCTGGTATTCATAATTTCTAAATATAATGCAGCTTTGGACTTATCAGTTATAATATTGGATATATTTATTCCCCATGGTATTGGTTGGGAATGTGATCAAGCATAATCCTTGTAATATTTAATATTTAGATCTTAGTTTATTCAACTTTTCCTGCAGCATTGCCAATGATGTTTACAGTTGAGTTTTGGCGTAAGCTAAATTGAATAAATTATAATAGTGTTTTTGAGATGGTTCAAGAAATTCAAATATTTGAGATACGTCGTTTCTGAAGTCTACTTACATAAGGATGGTCAAACTGTGGAAGTAGTATTTGAAAAGAAATTTTGGGTAAACAATAAAATCTCAACGTATAAACTAGAGAAAAGTAAAGGAATAGAATGTGACCCAAATATTTTATGTCACAAATCTGAAGACTTTGGCTGGAGATGACAAGAGACCCTTGAAGGGGAATCTTTTTCCAGAACTATGGCCATAGAAAAAGGAAATGTCTAAAAGGTGGAGATGGTCATTTGTTAAATATTACCTAAATCAAAATAATTTTCTAGTTTTCCCCTCGAATCCCAATTATGTTAATACGGAAGTAATAATAAGTAGCTATTTTCAATAGATTTTAATTGCCGTAATGAATGGAAAGATTATAAATACAGCAAAGTAATATGTAGAAGATGTTCAAGGAGACATGCTATAGATGGTCGAGGAGGGTAAGATCAAATCAGATACATTAATATGATTAAGATATAGCATAGGAATGCATTTAAGATTTATAAAAAGAAAAAAATGTAACAATCTAGAATTAATATTAATATTATCATTCCTATTAATTTATGCTAATGCCAATCAAGCACCATCGTTGTAGCTAATTTCTTCTTCTTCTTCTGAGTAATAATACTCAATTTGATTAGAATTTTCTATTTAAAATCAGATGAATCATACTTTTCATTTTTTTGGATGAATTTTTTGAGAGACTTGGAGGTAAATCTAGATCCTCAAATTCGTCTTCAGGATCCTCCACTATATTTTCCTCTAGTAAAGAATTGGTCAAGAACCTTGAAACATAATAAAAGCTTTAAAGGTATTCAGGTAGGATCTATAATAGATTGAATCATATTACTCTAGGAACTTCTCGGTCGTTGCTTATTAATTCAACATCTCTGTCTTTAGTTACAACTTATAGTAGCATTTTTTCGTAATAAACGGTATATTCATTGAATACTTGATAGAGCTTAGAAAATTGGGCATCAGTTAATAGAAATTGCTTTGCGGCCTTAATAATTTCTTCTGGAACTTCAGTTTGTTCTGCATTTACTTGGATTATTTATATTATTTTGATTACATTTAGTATTTGAAAATGCTCTGTGTATTCTTGGTGGCCTATTAAAATCAAGAAATTCTTAGGAGTTCCCATGTTAGTATGAATCATCAAAGGATGCCAATTATTCAAGATTCATTTGAGAAAGTGCAACTTTGATGATTTCTAACAGAGGATCTTATTGATATTTGGTTTTCTCTTTTATTAGCAGATCTTCCAAATCTATGTTGCTGTTTTCCAAACACAAATTAAAGAATTTTTGAGCATCATTTAAATTAGAATCTCCTTAAGTTTCAAGATGTTCGTTATTTTAAGAGGATGTTATTGAAATGCGCTCTTGTTTTGGAGATTTGGGTCTGGAGGTTTTGTAAACCTGCATGATTTGTTCCTTATTGGTTTACACAAATTTCTAAAGATACGAAACTTCTAAGAAATAATATAAGGAAGTGTAAATGTGTTCTCTCTAAAGATTTTCAATTTTAAACATAAGAGGTTCAGGTACAATTTACTATAAAAATCTAATAAATGGTTAAATTAATTATTAATTTACTCCTTGTCAAACTTAATAAACTCGATAAAAGATATAATGTTTGATCCAAATACTTATCTACTTTCGTCATAATAAAAGCTGGTTTCATATTATAATTTCTCACTCAATTATTCATAAAACTCCTCATAGCAACAATCTTTATGGCCTACCCAATGTACAGACACCTAAGTAATTAAGTACAATGATGAACCTCACTAATAGATATGTCTTAGATGCATCGAGTGAAACTTCTTAACAGATCTACAATATCAGTATAGAATAGATGCGAAGTGTCAATTTAATATTGATCCCTATAACTATTCCTTTGTTTAAGTAAGAAATTATCATAGATCTCATAGGTGATTTAAAAGGATTGGGCACTTTCAAGATCATCATTGACTCCTTGATCAAACTCCTTTTTGAACATTTGTTGTCTTTGAGCTGAGAGTAGACGTAAATAACACTGTATTAAAATAGGTTGCAGTTGTTCATTTCTAATTATCTTAAGATTAATTGGAAGCATACATATTTTATCCACAGCTTAGTCATTACTCTCCAAATTGAAAACTTCGGATATTGGGGGTATTTTGAGAACACATTTTGATGCAACTCATTTATGATATTCTCAAATGGAAAGATAATCGTTGATAAGTCCATAATTGCATTACTATAAGCTTGCCAATACATTACGTATTCGCTAAGCAAATCAATACTGTTTATGGTATTAGCATTTATAAATACACTAAAGTACTGTTATAACCCTTCCAAATAACACTCCAGGGAAGTATAAAACTCATTCAATAAAGTTAATATGCAAATTTATTCCTCATCCAATTGTTCCAAGTGGTTTTCCAATTCCTCATCAACTATACCCATTTTTTAGAGACTCAATTGTTGGTATTCACATGGTTCCTCTTCCAAACTCCATCTGTATTACAAAAATTGACTTTTCAATTTCTCGTTGTGTTGCAACTTAGCTTGCATTTCTGCCAATATTTGCAATTTGTTATGTTTTAACTAATTCATCAACTAGAGGGTTAGATTAGATTTCATAATTACCTCATTCTGAATGAATTAAAAGTCAAACAACTTATCAAATCCTTTTTGTTCCAATTCTAAGCGCTAAGCTAACATAATTTGGAACTCGGATTCACAATGTATCCCGATGGTTTCTCTCTTCAAGATGGGTTTGGGAAACACAGCATCGGAAAGGATAAATGGAAATTTCATTGTCTATCTATTAACTATTGAAAGCCTCGTTTACTTGGTTTGGATCATTTTTTTAAGTTGATTCTTCCAATCAAAGCAAGAGTTGTCAAAATTCTATAATCTAATCTACTTTCTTTTTTGTATGTCCGGGTAGCTTAACTCTAGAGTCATTTCAAGTTGTTCATGAAGAAATAATTTATAATAGATCTCTCCGAAGAATTCTTTGTGTTTCTATATGTTAATTATTCACACCTAACCTCAACGATTTCATTTAAAATATGACAGGTCTATCCAAGAGTTAAAACATCCTTTAAACTTAAAAACCCTGATATTCTCTTAAAAAATTCATAATTAAAAAGAATATTTGTTAGTGTCTCCACAGTCAACTCAATTTAGGTTAATGATGCATTATATTTTTCATTCTTCAGATCCATTTATATTATATATTATTTATATATTAATATATGTACAGACGAGAAAAGAAATTCATTTCCACAAAATCCAATCCTCTCTAATTCTCCATCAACTTCAGCAGCTCCCCACTAAAATCACCAAATCAGAAGAGAAATAAAAGAATTATGTGTTGGTTATTTAATAAAATTGAATGAAATCTCATTATTTTTTTATGTATGCTATCTTCTCTGTTAATTGGGATGTGATCACATGCACAGTATCACTGTCAGTAATCCCTTTTGCACTCAAATAGTCAATATCATCAAGCAATGTGGTTTCGAATCCAATATATAATCTGTCGGGGGTAAGGTTTATGACTTCGGAAAGTTGTTGTTTTAGTTAATTCACAGTTTTTGTTTCTGGTCTAATATCCAATTCCACAGTCATTCCAGTCACAAATCTGCAATAGAGCTTTTTGATATCTGTCATTTTTTATTATTTTTAATAATGTTTTTATATTCAATAACTTGCCCTTTAATATCTTCTGTAAGAGCTATTTCTATTTCGTCATTATAATCTAGAAGCCTTCTTTTGCATAGTTGCAAACTCTCCTTGATGGACTTAATCTTTATCTGAATACTCTGATCGTCCTTCTTAATTTCATCTAAATTATCCAAGTGCGCCATGGTTACTGTTTTAAAAAAATTGTGAATTTTCCTTTTAGTTATTCTTGTCTAAGGTCTATTTTTAAAGGTTTAAACACTGTATACCAAATCAAGTCTTTCAGTTAGACAATCTACCAAATACTCATCCTAATAATCATAGGCCTTTCTAGACGCCCCAGATGCTGAAGTAGTGCATCTTTGAGCTGATTAAACCTGCTCTTGTTTCTCATTCTCTCTCAATTAAAAAGTAATTGATTCAAGTTATTTATGATTTAATGAAGAGGTCTCCTTGTTTTTGGAAACCTTGAGAGCCCTGTTGCTGAGTTTTTCGATTTGGAGTTCCCGCTTTGCTTGGACACTCAACAATCCTAAACGATGAAGAATCTCCTTATTCATCATTTATTATTTGGTGCTTCTTTTTATCGATACAGGTAATTCACTACTCCTTTCTACAGGCTTTATGGTGTTTACTATATTTTCTGTTAAGAAAACTGGGTGTTTCAGAGCCTTGAACTTCTTAATTATAGGTTTATGAGGGACTTCCACTATTGGAATCATGGGTTCCACCAGAGTTCCCACTTTACTTACTTTCAAATTCAGATTGTCAAGTTAAAAATCGATAAGACTAGGTTCTGTAACAGTTTAATTAAATTTCTACTGTGGAAATTATGAATGAGCATATCTGGGTTTGGCTAGTTCACCTTCTTCCTTTAAGTGACTTAAATATTTTACAACTTATTCAATATTAGAAATACAAGGATACCTCTTTGCTTTTGTTCCTCCTTGATATTCGTCATTACTATACGAATATTTCGTTGAACTCTCGATTCAGGTTTATTAAGCTTATTCATAAATTTTTATCCTTTTTTTTATCAAAATTGTACTTATGATTAATATTTAAATTATTATTACCAAATTTAAAGGCAATAATTTAATGATCAATAACAAATTTAGCTTTCCATTATCACTCAAGTAAAGAAACTCTATCTAAAGTACCCAAAAATTCAAATAGAATTGGCTTATGAATTCTCCTTTAATTTTATATAATAAATAGATATATTAGGTGACTAATTCATTTATTTGGGGGATAAACTAAAAAATAGCGTTGGAATTGCAGTTAAATTATTATAATTATAACAATATTGATATGAATTAGAGAAATTCAAATTTTTGACTCAAAATTCAAATATTATATTGTGTGTGTGATACTCTCTTTAACTAACCTAACAATATAATGTGATTTATTAAATTATTAACTATTATAATAGTTTTTTTGATTTAATTTAATTTGTAATGGGAGCATAATGCTGCAACAATTAATCGTATTCAGAGGATGTAGAACCCTGTGATGACACAGAATTGAATCATTTGGATGCTCGCTAAATAATTATTAAATATAATTATAAAAAGAAGTAGAGAGAGATGAATTCAAGTCAAACCACAAAGACTCAAGAGAGAACCAAACAATTAGCAGTGACTTTGAAAAGTGGAGGCGAGTATTTGGGAGATTGGGTGGGCAATAAAAGAGAAGGATATGGTATCTTAAAATGGCCAGATGGTTCAGAATATGAAGGAGAATGGAAGAATAATAGAGCTCATGGGTAAGGAAAGTTTATCTATCCCGACGGAGATTATTATGAAGGACAATGGGAAAACGATAAATAAAATGGTAGAGGGACATTCCAATCGATGAGTGGATGCAAATTTGAAGGACAGTGGAAGGATGATTTGTAATAAGGATTTGGGATAGAGACTTGGGAAGATGGGAGCAAATATGAGGGATACTATTATGAAGGGATAAAATAGGGACAGGGGACTTATGTCTGGAATGATGGTTCAACATATACAGGTTTATGGATAAATAATAAGCGACACGGACAAGGGAGTCAAGTGTGGAAGAATGGGAAGGAATATCAAGGGGAGTGGTTTGAGGACTTTATGTGTGGTTAAGGTCAAATTAAATGGCCTAATGGTTATACTTATGTTGGATTATTTAATAAAGACGTTCCTAATGGTTATGGCATTTTCAAATGGCCAAGTATTTGATATTAGTATTTTTAGATGGTAAGACTTATGAAGGTAGTTTTAAACAGTCAAAGCCAAATGGGAAAGGGAAAGTTATATTGAGTAACGGGTAGACTAGGTTTGGAGAGTGGCATGAAGGATAGTTGATAAAATGGTTCGATAACACATAGGATGATCAAAAGGAAAACTATAATGTACTCAATCTAGAAGATTTATGAAAAATCATATATATATACTAATAATCAGACTCAGCATTAGGAATAATATGTTAGCTTAATTGTCAGTATCGGTAACATTGGTGTTGTTGGGAGTGTTTGTCTGATTGCTTGTATTCGTATATTTTGTTCCACATTACAAACAGAAAGAATTAGCAGAATCCCATGTGTATGTATAAGCAGTAGATTAAAAGCAGGTTTATGCTCCTAAAGAAGATTTCTCTGCTGAGATGCATTAGTCACTCGACAATGCACACAAATAGTAATTCTTTTAAGAGAAATCTAAGATGGGTAGACATAATCCGGTTTCTTTTGACTTTGATGAACATGTGTGTTAGGCACAGGTGCTCTTAGTAGCAGTTTCAGTCCATTAGCAAACCCATGATCTTGATTGACATGCCTCTTTGTTTGTTGAAGCATCTGAACAAGCACTCATGATTTTACATTTTCCTTCTCCGTTATCTAAATACCAGACACAGAATCCATCAGTACCACTTTATTTACATCCTTTTTCTGTTTGATATTTATCACATGTTGATTATTCTACACATCCAATTCCACTGTCTACACATTTACTAATCTGAGTGCAATTGTCTACTAATTCAGTGCATTTAATTAAACGGCATTTATTATTAGTTGGATCATATTTGCATTTACCATCAGAACCTAGAGCAGTATTGCAATAGTCCTTAGAATAAGTTTCACATTTGTCCATTGTAATACAACTTGTGTTATTACTTGTACAAGTTTGTAATCCATTATTGCATTCTTCATGAGTTGTAAATTATAGATGAGAACATTACAAATCAACGCATTTCTTTTCTTTTTCATCATAATAACATTATTATTGATCACTATTTAAATGACAATTAACCTATTTGTATGATGAACAATCTTATAGATCAATACATTTGGTTCCATCAGTTGTGCATGTTGTACTCACTTTCTAGCATTCCTCATGAGTAGTATATTCAACAGAATTACAAGCATTAAACACAACGCACTTGTTTTTTTCAGATAGAAAAACACATTTACCATCCGTTCCTTAAATACACCCTTATTGAGGCAATTTCTCACATTTGTCAATTGGTATACAAGTATTTCCATCAGTTGTGCATTCATCACTAAATTCAAAGCATTATTCATGAGACTAGAATTAGAGAGATGTACATGATGAATATTGATAACAAGCATTTCTCACCCATAAACATGGTCCATCTAAACCTAAAAAGCATCCACTTTAAACTTTGGTACTACAGTTTGTTTGAGCAATACAAGTTAAGCCATTCGATGTGCAACTAGTATCAAAATTAGCACAATCATAATGATTGCTGTATGCAACATCTGAACATATGATATCTCTGCATCCATCCTTTGTGAATCTGCATTACTTTCCATATTTGTCTGTAGTACAAGCTGATTATATTTTGGCATCTTTGCAGAGACCTTTAGCTACACACCCTCCAGATTAATTTACAGTACATCCTATTTTATGCAATTGGCATTCCATCTCAGTGACATACTTAGTAGGAGCACTTTAACAACTGTAGGCAACGCATTTATTATTAAACCATGTACACTTATTACCATTGGAATCAGTAACACATGCCTATTCAATATAAGCATCAGAACACTCAGTTCTCAAAACACATCCATTTCCATTTGTTGTACATTCTTTTTTATATGATTTACATTATTCATCTGTGGAATAGGATTAAGGAGCATCACTGCATTGTTGTAGATTGCAACTAGGTTGGAATGCACATAGTTAGTTATTCTAATCAATGATACATCCTGATTTGGTAGTGTATACAGAACATTGATCAATTTTAATGCATCCCTTGCCATTAGTAGTGCAATTCTTACTGAAAGACTGGCATTCAACATGGGATGTATAAATCTTATCAGCTTTATCACAAGTTTTATCGATGCAGGTATTGTTATACCAGATACATTCAACTCCTGATTTAGTGTATCTACAATTGATTTCATTTCCATATTCACTGCATTTTTGATAACGTTCAATGCATCCAGTTTTGGCAGAATTGACAGTACAAGTATTCAAAAAGTTATTGCATGCCTCATCACTTGTGGTCTGATCTGAATTCTAACATGATCTCACTTCACAAGCATTAGGGGTAGCTTTCTTATTCCAAATGCATTTGCCTTCTTATAGACTCTCAATACACATGAATTCATTGGTATATTAGTTACATTTATTCTACTTGGTTACACATCCATTATATTGAGTGCCATCGTAATTGGCAGTGCAAGTTGATAAAAACGTATTACATGCTTTAAATGTGTTGTAAACAACTTGATTACATTGTCTTGTTACACATTATTGTCCGTTCCAGAAACATAAAGATCCTGAATTGGTGACTGAACATTAAAATTCTAATAATTCTAAACAAGTAGCCTTACGACTTGTACAACCACTCTTTTGATTACTAAGCATGCATCCACTCAAATAACTTGTACATTCCTCATCTGAAGATATGTCAAGACTAGCAGTAGAACAACTTTTTTGGACACATTATTCATTTATCCACAAACACGAATATTTAGTATTGCCTGCCAAGTAACATTAATCTTGGATCTTGTAAATACTACAAACTTATTCTAAATTTTGACATCCTTTGAGATCTGATTAGACAGTACAAGTATCTAACCATTGTTAACAATCCTTATGAGAAGTTAACTCATCACTGGCATTCTCGCATGTTTTCAGTTTACAGGTCCCACTCCAAGCACATTTATTATTTAAATAGTCATTACTACATTGTTTTTCATTTGAATATGTACTACAGGTCTTTAAAGTGCATTTATTATTAACAGCAACGCATTAGGACAGATATCTACTGCATGAGACTTGATCGTATTTGGCTAGAACAGCATTGGCACAGATTTTATCAACACATTTGCTACCATTCCAATAACAAGATTGTTGATCATTCAATACACTAACACATTGATTTTGAGTTGTGTATTAAGAACATTATTCCAATCTCTTAATACAACCATTATTAGTATTATTGACTGTGCATTCAGTTTTGAATTATCTACACAAAATATCACTATTGTAAGTAGATTAAGCATTTTCACAAGTCCAGGATTTGCATTCAGCTTTTGGCGAGCAATTCGAATCACCCTCCTTACAAGTAATTGAGAACCAAAAACATAGAGTATCTTTGACTGAAATGCATTGTGGTTCAATAGTATAAACATCACATGTAGCTGGCATATCAACGCATCCTTTTTAATCTTAATTAAGAGAACAAGTATTTAAATAACTTTGACATTAAGCATGTGTTGTATAAGAAGTAGGTGCATTTGTACAAATCTTATCTTTACATGATGATCCATCCCAAAAACACTCACTTCCTTATTGATTAATTACACATCCTAGTTTTTATAAACTGCCACAATCACTTGTGATATCAACACAACCTCCTCCTTCTTTGGCTGTACATTTTAGTAATTTAACCTACCCAGCATCATAACAAGACTGATGAGTTATAAATGAGGAGGGCAGTTCCTTACAATTTTAAATTTAGTAACATTTCTTATTTTCATTATTCCAATAGCACGGATATCCACTCGAATCTACTTAGCAAGCCAATTAATTGTCATTGAAATTATCACATAATATTTCAGTCAAAATACAATTTTCCCCATTAGTTGTGCATAAAGTAGTTATCTTTTAACATTCTTCATGCGTTTTTCCTTGATATACAGAACACCCACTAAATGGCTTACAAGTTCCTTTATACAAGGCACAACCATTCGTTGGACAATTTGAGCTGTTCATTGAGCAGTAGGATTCTAAGTCTGTGGATTTGCGATCTTCACACACTCCTGATGCTGAGTTCCATTAACACTTAGTTAATTGAGCACAATCTTTAGAACTAAGTATTTGCTTGCATGTGCATTAATCTACTTTGGGTAGGAGTTCTGAATGAGTTACTAAAAGTAAATTCAAGAGAAGTAACATCATATTTTTCATTAATAAATTAATATAAATAAATTTCAAATTTCACTGTGACACCTTTATATATGCTTATTTAAGGTTTATTTATGAGCAAAATGTTTATTGCACTTTTCACACCCAAATGCTCTTATGTTTTTGTGTCTAATCAAATTGTGTTTCCTCAAGGACCTCAATCTCTAAAACACTTTATTGCATTTTAAACATTAAAATAAATCATTTTATTATTATTTTTTATGATGATCTTCTTGCTAATGCTTTTTCAATTGTCTCTTCTTTGTAAACTTCTAATCACATTCATTGCATTCGTACGACTTCATCTCGTGAATCAATTGCATATGTCTTTTCAAATGATGTTTACATGTGAACTTCTATGGACAACCTCAATCTCAAATCTATTAAATACATTCACATTTGAAGGGTCGACTCCCGCTGTGAGTTAACTGATGTCTCTTAAGATGCTAAGAACGCTTGAACTCCTTCCCACACTACTCACATCGAAACTGCTTCAAGTTTTAGTGAGTCTCTCGTATATGTCTTTATAGTTTAGAATTGTTGGTAAAAACCTTTTTGCATTCGTCACAAGTAGGCTGCTACTATGGCTCCTCCATCCCCTCATATACTTCCTCCTCCAAACAAGATTATATTTTGTTTAACTTCTAAAAAATTGGTAAAGTGAACACTTCCATTAATTATTATTTATTTATAATTTATACAATTCCCACTTTAATTAAGAAATAACACTCCTTTTATTTATCTCTACTCATTAAACTAATATCTATTTAGAAAATTCTGGACTTTTATTGTACCTTATTGGTTATTGATATGATTATACAATAATTAAATTCAAAGGTAGCTCAACCCAAGGCTATACTAATTAAAATTTTTGTCCCTACACTTTTAGAAATAAATTCATCCACAGATCAAAAAGAATAGATAGAAATATCACAATTTCTTTAACTTTTATTCATTCTATTCAATTTTTGATCAAATACTGCATTTACTCCTTTCTAAATAGATTGAAAGCAGTATATTCAAAAACCGCTCGCTTACACTATTCACTTCTAACAAACAGCTTATTTAATTTATATTTGTGCTTAAAGTTAAGTTTTCAAATTGTGAGGACTAATTTTATGCAAAAGAACTAGATCAATATTTGTGCCATGAAATCTTTAGATCAGATTTACATTGTCTTATACATTCTTTATTTAACAATATCAATTGAAAGATTAACAAGAAGAAGATGTAATATGATGCATTGCTATTCATAAAGGATGAAGAGTAAGAGGATAAGAAAAAGAAGTAACCTGAAGAAAGCACGCTCAAGATCATGCTTTGAAACTAATGTAGTTCAAAAGCTTAAGATTTTGGACAGGAGTTGCAATTCAAATAAGAATAATATAATAATGTAGTTTATATTTCTGGATATTTCATTGTAAGACTATCAATTTAATATTTTTTTTATGGATATAAACATGAGAGTTAGCATGTAGTTACCTTATTTGAATACTTGAATGTACTTATTCTAAGTGCTAGCAGTGAAAATAATTCTACATTTAAAATTATTCATTTATTATATCAAACAACAAAATGGCTGAGGCTTAAAATTACTACTATTTCGATCTAGTTTTATTATTAAGTGTATTACCCAGATTATCCAGTAGCATACTTATTTTCTTTGCTTTTCTAAATTAATTGTTTTGTAACTTTCTTAACACACTGATTTTTGTTTAGACTACATCCAATGATTTGAGAAGAAATATAAATATTTAATCATTCTGCAACATGATTAGTAATCTGGTTTAGAGTGTTATGTATTTCTTATTGAACGAGGATCATATCAATCTAACTTTGGACTCTTTTTAAGCATTATTTAAATTAAAATGGATAGTATATACAAGACTGCTAATATTAAAGATTTCTATAAATTAGATAAAATATTGGGAGAGGGTAGTTATGCAATTGTTAGAAAGGCAATTAGAAAAAGTGATAATTTGGAAGTTGCTGTAAAAATAATTGACAAGTACTTATATATAAGATTACTTAAATTAGAGCTTCATTGGAAAGCGATGATCATTTGGCTATACAAAGTGAAGTCGAAATAATGAGTTAGATTGATCATCCAAATATTGTTAAAGTCTTGGAAGTTTTTGATGATAAATAGAAACTTTACATCGTACTTGAATTAATGACTGGCGGCGAGCTTTTTGATCGTATTGTTGAAAAGGAATTATATAATGAAAAAGAAGCAGCTGATGTCATCAGACCAGTTGTGGATGCTATCAGATGTAATTCATACAGAAATTATTTTTTAGATTGTCACTCCATGGGTGTAGTACATAGAGATCTTAAACCTGAGAATATTCTGTATACAACTCCAGATCCAGATGCAACAGTTAAGATATCAGATTTTGGAGTGGCAAAAGTTATTTCAGATGAATTGATGCTTACTGCATGTGGAACTCCTGGATATGTTGCACCAGAAATCCTAACAGGAATGGGATATGACATGGCAGTTGATTATTGGAGTATCGGCGTAGTCCTTTATGTGCTGTATATATCTGAATTATTGGACCTAACTTAGATTGTGTGGCTATCCTCCATTTTACGAAGAGTCTAATGAGAAGTTATTCGAGTAGATCAAATCAGGTAAGATAGACTTCTCAGGGGAATAATGGGAGAAAATATCTAAGGAAGCTAAAGATCTAGTTGAGAAACTTCTGAAGGTTGATCCCAAGCAAAGATATAAGGCTGATTAGATATGCAAACATCCTTGGATTACTGGAGAGAAGGCCTTGACCAAGGATTTGTCCGATGTGACTGAAAAACTAAGAGAATTGAATGCTCGTAGAAAATTGAGAGTAACTAAATACTATTATAATTATTAGCGTGCCTAATTGATGGTGTTGGCTACAACCAAACTTTAAAGACGCATTCAATAACATTAACAAAAAAATTGATTTGTTAATTCATTAATGAACATATATATTGATGTATTTCATCTATTTTCTGCCATCCAATTGAACTTAAATAAGAAATTAAGCTTAGATAATAAATAATACTAATCTAAATTTGTGATTTCTTATTAATAATTTAAAGAATATGAACCATTTACATAATTATTATACCAACATTGTACTGATTCTTTTGATAAGTGTCTATAATATGTTATTTATTTGTAAGAATTTTAACCATGGATGTAATTTGGTCATACCCAACCAATTTCACAGGAACAAACTCAAAAAACCTATCATAACAAATTCATTCAAATTGAGATTGTTTTTATTATTCAAATTACGTCATCCAAATATAGTCTAATTATACAAGATTCTTAGATCAGAATGTAGATTTTATATGATTATAGAGTAAATAAGTGAAATAGCCTTAAACACTTTATTAGAAATAATAGAAATAATAATTTATCTAAAAAAGAGGCAAAAGCTTTGATTATTTAATTATTCAAGGCATCAAATAATTCCCAAAAGTGTTCTATGGGTTTAAAATTCTACTATTTGATAAGGATTTTAAAAGATTCCCTGAGATTAGTTTATGGAATATTCTCTAATTTTTAAATTCTCTTTATAAATAATTATATAATGTTGTAACAGAGGTTCAGACAGTGTTTCTGGTCAAAGATAATAACGAATCAAGATATATATATTGATAGTAGGTTAGTATTTTATGCAAAGATTTAGAGTTTTCCACCTTGTTAATTAAAAATACATAAAAATTATGTGTAAATTTAGTATTCCTATTTAGACATCTCTTCAAAATTTAAATTTTTATGATTTTATTTAATTAACCAGTTAATCAAATCTTAATAAACTGCCATTGAGATATTTAAAGGGTTTGAAAATTCAAAAACACATAAAATAGAAAAAGGAATTAATCCATAAATACAACTTTTGCAATTAGTAGAGAGATATTCCAAGACCATATATCTCTATGAATGTAGATTAAAAACCTTTAGGATAATGTGAATAATTTTTCATACATTAATATGCATTAATTAAATACTATAAAAAATAGATTGCATTATGCTTTAAGAATAAACAAAATCATTAAATTCATATCCCAATCTTTAAGTACTTTGCAAAAAGGATGAAAAGCAAAAGTAATCTTTGGAAAAATTGCTTAAACACAAACCCAATGTAGTTAAGAGTTTGGACATCTATGCTTAAAATATAGAAGAATATTTGAAAGATCAAAGGAAGAGAATAGCATACTTAAAAAAAAGAGAGGAACCTTACTACGATTCTAGACCAATCCAAGCTTATGATGAGGCACTTATTATGTAATACAATAGAGTTAAGGCTAAATAATTTTATTTGCAACAATCACAAAAAAAGTTATCATAACACCCATCCCCTGAGTAGCAACGCAATAGAACACCCTCTAAGTATTTTGATAAGAATTATACCCCCTTGAAAAGAAATGAAAGATTTGATATTCCATCCCTTCAACCTGTCAATGTTTCACCTCCAAAAGAACTCAAGCCAATTCAATTCAGAGTAAATCATACGATTATTAAGATAGTATAATTATACAATGTAAGTAAATGACCCACTCCTTAGATAAGTCTTAAGTACTCGCTAATAATGGTTTGAAGTACCTAGTAGTTCATTTGCCCATTTGTAATGGCTTACTTAACTCTTAGATTTTAGTAGTCTTGCAAAATAGGATGCTGTTTCCAAGAGATAAATGGTTAATTTAATGGAATTTCAGCATGAATGGTCAGCTAAATCTTAATTATACAACAATCTTTGCTCCATCTCACCAGAACAAGCATTAAAGGTCTTACCGCCAGGCTTCGTGCTAAATTTTAAAATATCATAATGGGTTGAAGATCTAGATTTTCTTTAAGATTATTTAATCACCAATCATTCTCAAAAAGACAAATAATCAAAATTTCAATTTTCTGTTTATGTGCCTAATAAAGGAGGTTATACATATAATAAACAAATTTCAAGACTAATTCAGGATATCCCTAAGCTTTGGATATGTAAATCAGCGATAGGCTCTGGTGCTATGCTTATAAATAGTGTTGATTAATTATAAACATTTTTGAATCAATAATACAAAGATTAAAAAGAATTTGTGATCTAAAAGTATATTACAAATCCATCATTATATAATGGTAAGAAGTTTGATATTTAAATTAATGTATTGGTTAATTAAGAGAATTAAATTTATATTTCAACAGAACCAACAGGAAGATGTTGTTCGGTTATTTACGATCTCAATTCGGTATCCTATTTATTTAAAATAATTAGTCAGATCCTTTAGCTCACACAAAACCAAAATAAGCCATTTCTCATTAGACCTTAGTTGAACTCTTGAATTCATAGGGAATATCCTTAAAAGATCTATTGAATTAAATAAAATCTTCGATTTCTTTGATTCCTTGTAAATTAAATAGAAGATAAAGGAAATACTGTATGTAAATTTTTGGCTTTGATTATTTACTTGATGACACTAAAAAAATTCATTTAATAGGAATTAATGCAAATCCAATTTATACTTTTGCTGAATTAGATGGAGCTTTTAAATTGACTATAGATAAAATTTTCCCAATCAATAATAAAAGTGATGATAAATCAATTTGGACCTGCTTATATTGATATAAATTTATTGAATAATAGATTCATTATTGATATAATATATATTAAATTTTATGTATTAAAGTAAATTAAGTTTAATTAACAATTCTCATTCAGCTTTTGATTTAATATATCATGAATGAAGGTGAGATATTATTAAAACTTTTATAATGGTCAATTGTTATAATAGAAAATAGAAATGAAAGAAGACAAGGTTTATAGTAGTAAATATGATATTAATAATGAGTTTTCAGATAATTATCATATAAGTAGACTGAAAAATAGAGACAAAAAAATAGGAATATAACAGAAGAATTATAATTAAACTTTTTCATTCAATTACGAATGATTATTAATATATTAAGATATGAATATTGATTGATGTAATATCATCATTTATTGAATCTTGTTTTTAAATTCTACCATATACCTCCTGCTGTATCTTTAACAGTGCCAAATGTCTCCAAAGTTTTTTCAGTTGCAAAATTAAACATACTCTTAAATTAATCCATTTCTAAAATATGAAATATGTTTACTTTATGATGAGTCTTCAGAATCCTCCTCCTTTTCTCCAAAAAATTATTTACTAGAAATAGCAGTTTATCCATTAAATTTATAAATATTCTGTTTATTTTATTCACTAATGATAATATTTAGTTTGAATACTTATCTTAAGCTTAGAATAAGGTCTCGGATGAGATTGATTTAACATTCTTGTCTTTCAATTTTTCTAAAGTCTCATTGGTTTGTGGAATTGGCTAAGTGGGTTATTGAGTTTGTTTAATGATCACTTTTGGCTCTTCATATTAAGGTAACTCTTGTTTACTGGAGTCAGACTTGAATGGATCATTACTGAATGGGTTTGAAAATGGATCATCAAATTATAATTAATCAAAGTCCACGTCAGCTAACTTCTTACCTTAAACTGCTTTGCCAGTTGCAGCTTAGGGTTTAGCATTATCTGCAAATACGATTTTATTGCTTTTCTTTGTAACAGCTGCTTCTTCTTATAGCAAATTGTTTTAAAACACTTATTTAGGTTATTCCTTAACTGGGGATTCTTCTTCTTTGTTTTAAGTTGGCTTTTCTGAGGTTTGAGCAATTTTTACAGGACTGGGAATAAGCGATGGACGAATGATGTTCAACTTTTCTTCACACAAGGCTAATCCACTTAATCAGAGTACTTATTTAAGAAGTTCCTATTTGTATTTTTCAACCAAAGGACTTTTGTAATCAATTTGACTACATCCAGGACCAATCAAGCCAACGCTTTAAAAATATTCCAAGGCTTTCTCATTGCCTCCTACTTATAGGAAGGTAATTTATTTTCTAGACCAAGAATCCAAAGTAAGAGATCTAAACTTAAATGAATTTTCAACCTTGCAAATGTGTAACGAACACCGTATTCTCGATGTTTACCAGAACAATCAATACATAAAAATAAACCCAAAGTGACAGATGCCCATTTGGTATTTTTTTTTCCGCAATCAATGCATTTCTAAAAATTGTTGAAAATGAATTTTTTACATCGTTTCCTTAAACAAGTTTCAATTATTTAATAATTTAATCTCTCTCTGCATCATCGATCTATTTAATTATTCAAACAAAATTACTATCTAATTCTCCATATTTAATTGTGTTTCTAAACTATTTTATAACAATATTTATAAAAATAGCTCTTTCTGTTTATGAACTTGAAAACTAAAAAAAACTGAAATAACAATTTATTTTTTTCAATTAGATGTTTGATTTTAGTCTGAACACAAATTTTAGAACTCTCCAAAATATCAACCATAACAATTTAAATATGCAATAGCTGTGTAAATAATTAAAATGTTTATGTTTAATTTATTCAAATGCAATATCCTATTAAACCAGAAATCTACGCATCATTGAGTTACTCAAAGTAATTTCTATTATGGATTTCTTCCATTCATAATGTAGGATAACTATTTAAACGAATTATTAATAAATAATTCCTAAAAATGATAAAAATGGATATTAAGCAATTTTCTATGCTTCGTTTGATTGGCAAAGGAGCATACGGATAAGTATTTTTGGCTAAAAAGAAGGATACCAACAAAGTATATGCTATAAAAACATTGAAAAAAAAAGAAATTGATAAGAAGAAATAAGCTGTATTTAATTATATGTTAGAGATAGTAACATGTAATGATGGAAAAAACTATTTTAAACCAAGCCAAACATTAGTTTATTGTTTCCCTCTCATATACGTTTTAATCTGACAAACATTTCTATTTTGTTTTGGAATATTGTGCTGGTGGTGATTTATTCAGTTTGTTAAGAGTAAAAAGAAGGTTAAAAGAAGAATAAATATAATTCTATGCAATTTTAATAATTCATGCATTGTAATTTCTACACACTTAAAAAATTATTTATAGAGAGTAAATATGGAATTTTATGTATAGCTTAAAACCTGAGAATGTACTCATTGACGAAAAAGGATATATCAAGTTAACTGATTTCGGACTATCTAAAATATTGCTTTAAGAAAAGGCAGACTCAATAGTTGGAACACCTGAATATCTAGCTCCTGAAATACTTACTTAAAATGGCGATGGATACGATTATAAAGTAGATTGCTGGTCCTTGGGATGTTTACTGTATGAAATGATTGCTGAATGCCCTCCTTTCATATCAGAATAGAGAGATCAATTGATTAAGTTGATTAAAACAAAACAACCTGAATATAATTTCCCCATATCCAATGAACTAAAAGATCTGATTGTAAGTCTATTGTAGAAGGACCCAAAGCAAAGACCCTCCTTAATGGAAGTTAAATCATTTGCATTCTTTAAAAATGTTGAAGATTGGCAATCATATTTAACATACAAAGTCATCCCTCCCTTTTTACCTGTAATTCATGGACCTGAAGACGTTAGCAATTTCGATACTGTAATTTATCTTTTCATAGCATTTAGGAATTTACTTAATAAGAACAATTTGGATCTCCAAGTGATGGATCCAATTCAGATAACAAATTTCCTGGCTTTTCTGGTAACAATTCTTAATAATGAATTAAATACATATATAATTTATTAAAACAAAATCAAGATTCCTTTAAATGAGTAAGATCTAATAAATGATAAAATTAAATGAAATCAAAAATGCATAAAACTTATATGAATCTAAAATAAAGACTTTTATGATTCAATTTGAAATTGTCAAATTTATTAAAATAATTAATAGTATTTAAGAAATTTATTATATTTGTTTATTATGAATAACTTATGTCATGACTTTTTCTATGATTATTATATTAAAATAATAGAATAATTATTACAAAAAAGATCAATATATTCTATTAATCAGTCTGAATATCATAAAACTATTCTTTTTTGATAAACAGAGAATTATATAATTTAATAACACGAGAAAACAATAGAAATATTATATTAAGATTAAAGCTCTTTTCTTTTTATCCTATACTATATATTTCCAGTTATTGATACTAAATGTAGATCTCATTGATATTCAACATTTCTAAATAATATTAAGTCTTTTTAAAATATTAACTCATCTTAAAATTTTGAGAAATTAGCATACATCAATTTCAGATTGTTGATTAATGGCTTATTCAAATGTTTGTAATAATATTTAAAGAACTCGCTAGGTATACGATTATAATTAGTGAGGGTTTTTAAATCTGCTTTAGAGTTGTAAGAGCTTTGATTTTGAAGACATAATTAAACATTTTTGATATAAAAATTAATAAAATGGAGAATGAACTGCAAAAAGAAAATCAGCTACTCTTAGAATAAATTAAGTCGTTATAGGCTTAATTGAATAACAGAGAATCTCAAAGAAATGAATATACTAGAGTAAATGATTAAAGCAGCTTTTTCAACACATTCAAATAATCAACACCAAGAGGTAATATTAGTAGAGACCAAAGCAAAAGGGATCTTTAGGATTTGACTGCTTAAGTGAAGAAACTTAATGAGTACAATTTCAATTTATTTCCAAAGAGAGAAAGAACAATTAAGGAAAACATTAAAACATCAAATTGATGCTTATGAACAAAAAGTTCTATAAAAAGAATTGGAATTGAGCTAAAAAGAAAAAATGTATAGACAATTATAGAATGACTACAAAGAATTGCAATAGACTCTTATATAAGAATAAAATAAGCCAGCTCCTCAGCCAGCAGCGCCAACACCTGTTCCCACAAAACCTATTGGCGATCAAATACAGCAGTATCGAGTTTAGAAGGTTGGTCTAATGAATCTTCCTTGTTTGGTATAGAGTCATGAGCATATGCATAGATCATTATTCGAAGGAATATATTCGAATAATTCGTGATAGAGATTGAAAATACAAAAGATAGAGTGAGCATCCTTGTTTAAGACATCACAGATTTGGTGCCTGATAGAACTAAAGAGGATCATTTTTAGTTAACATACAAATAATCAAATTAAAAGATAACAGAAGTATATTAATCTTCAGAGTTTAAATAAATATTGAGAGCAATTAAGTAATCTGATTAAGTCTAATTTTCATAGATATCTTCATTCTTAATAATAACAAACTAGGAAATAAGAAGCTTAACCAGCATAATAAGAATAACAAAGTGGCTTAATCAAAAGTTTGAGTTCATTTTTTATGAAAAAATGACATTTTAATAATAACAATAAATTAGATATAATAGATTCAAAATACATTATTCTCACAATTTATAATTTCCTCTAATAAATTCACTAAAACTTTGTTATATTCTTTATTTTCAACTCCTGACACATTCAACCCAGCCTTTAGTAATTAAATCAGCCATTTGCTTACAACCTTTGATTTCAAATTCTATTTTAATTACGGGAATACAGTTTCCATAAACAATAATTGTAATCTACTGATGACAATCTAAGATTCAAGATGCCTTAATTGTTCTAAATTACCATTTAAGCTATCTTATCTATGCAAAGGTTAAGAAAACCCATTATAAGCATCTAGAAATCTTTGTATCAATTATTCGATAAAAGCTAAGGGGTCATTGCTAAGTTAAACAATGACTTTGGCTGCCAGAAACTCAACATTGATGAAACTCAATTGTTTACTTTGGGTAGTGTTATTATTTTCTAAATCATCAAATTCTTATGAGCTTCTCTTAACAAAATTCCATTAAACTGCCCATTGTTCTAAAAAGTATCTCATATAGATATTAGTGTTGAATCTTTTGCATTTTTAATATTATTCCTAAAATAATTGCAATATCAATTGTTTGTTTTGTTAAGTGATTTGGTTTTAGAATTATGTTACTTAAACTTCTAAAATCTCCAAACATTTTTCTTAGATCTATTATTTTGATGAACACTCTTAGGCATTTATTTTGAAACTAAACTTCTTTGGTCTTATCTCCTCTTTTAATAGTTCATCTAAAGGTTTTTAAAAGTCTTCATCTAAATTAAAAGCTTCAAACAACTCAGTAGGAGAACATTAAGACAGTAAATGTTGGATCTATTCTATCAAGAGATTCCAGTTATCTTCAGTCAGTGATTGACCTACATTCTAGATAATTTTCCTAAGTGATTAAAGACATAAAATGGATATATGCTATATTTATAAATATTTATTATTACATCTTGAGTTTGCAAAATCAATTGAATGTAGATGTCTATTAGATCATTCAAACAAGGTTACATTTATTAAATTTGTGAAATTACTAAATCTGTAAACAATAAAAATGTCATCTTGCATGTTGAAGTTATAGATTTCTTGGATTACTACTATTTGGTATATTGTAATTTAGAAAATTGGATTTCATCGAATAATGGTCTGATAACTCCTCTTAATATCATTTTCCAGAATTCATTTGATTAATAGACTCCATGCTTTTAAAGCAAATCAAAGAGTGTTTGGACACTCAATTATTGAACAGCTACTCTCTCATCGCTGTATAAAATAGATAATGATGATAATACAGGAATCCATAATGAGTCCAAGAATTTATTGTCATTTCTTTTTATCAATGCAATGTGATCAACCAATGTCTTCAATTATTTGATTGCATTTTCAACAATGTTAATATCTTTATTCTTGGTCAATTTAATTAAAGCCTAAATTAATTCCATATAGATTTCCTGATTAACCTATTGATTGTTTACATCTTCCATTATCTTATCTGTAATCTGTACACACAATCTTATGAGCTATTATTAATCTTCTTGAAGTGCCTAATTAACAATACTCATTATGATTTTCCAACCACTTTTTAGTGAATTAAAACACACATTAGTTATCATACACATGCAAGACAATAAGTATTCCCTTAGTTATATTTTATATTGAGACTGTGCTTGACTGTGGCTGAAAATCTATTCAAAAGGCATGAGGAACTCTTTCTAGAAATGATAATTTGCTAATTCAGGTTACTGTAAGAATTTGCAACTCAATTATTTTAATTAATCTATCGCATAAATTGCTAAATCAACATTCTTATGACATCCTACTTCCAGGAAATGTTCCCTCATTATTTCCCACATTCTTGACCATATAATCTTAATTCTATCCATGTTAAAATCTGCTACTTCAATCATTCTACTTAACAAAAATGTTCTATTTTGTTTAATTTCTTCTTTTGATAATTCACACAAGGCTCTTATAAATTCCAAGATTGAATTAGAATCCAAATTTATAGACATATTGAATATCTTATCTATCTAATCGTATGAAATAGATTGAAATAATCTCTCAATATTTTGAATATCTTCCTAATTATAATTCTCCTTCTAGGGCGAATCAACCTTAATTTTCTTCACAACTTGATGCAAGGTCTCCAACCTAGAAACCAATTACAAGGCAACTTTCCAACTCTTGCGCAAATATTATCCAGATTAGATAGCTGCTTTTATTAAGGCCTAAACACCCAAAATTTATCGATAGGTATTAGGAATACCAGTACAATATCTCTATAAAAAACTGATAAATGTATCTTTTTCTTCATCTAAATCGAATCTACCCATCAATTAAATAAAGGATTGGATGGTCTCAAAACATAATAAAATCTATTATTGATCTTCAGTTTATTCTAAAAATACACTAATCGAAGCGAAAATAGCACTCCAAGTTTATTATAATAGAGATTTCACATGCTCAATTGAATTCGCATAGAAATATGCATCTTAATTAGGATGTTCCTTGAACCACTTTTTTAAAGATTCTTCAGCCTCTTTTGCTAGCATTGCATGTCTTTTCCTTTAATCCACTTAGTTTGCTTATTCTAATGCTCTTTTAGCTTATTCTTTGGCATGTAATGCAAGAGGGGTTTTCTGGATTCTTTAATAAAATCCAAGTAATAAATCTTATGGAAGATTTTCCCCATCATTAATTCCTTTTGCCAAATTAACAAACTATGGAATTGTCATTTTGTCTAGGTTTTTTTCATTGTGTAAGTCTGTTTGTAGCATCATCAATAGATATGATAGTGTATAAGCAGCTTGAGCTGATTAATAGATTCCAGGATTATCTATGCAATACTTGGAAGCAAATTTTTCCATAATTCTATCTATTTATTGAGATTCTCCAGGCAAGGTAAAAAATTCAAGCATATATCTTAAGCCTTCATCTATTTATAAGTCTTTGAAGTTCATAAAATCTATATATTATTGGAATACTTATTAATTGAATTCGCTTGAACAACCAAATAATTCTCCTAATTTATCTTTGTTTAAATCTCTATTTTCCCATAGGAATTATGCAAACAATTTTGGATCTCTCGTCTCCATAAATTAACAAGCAAGCAAATGTTTTATACAATGTTCAGGTTTGAAGTTGAATTTCTGAACAGCCTTATTCATTTCTAATTTCATCTATTTTTATTTCTCTATGGGATCTTGTGATAATTGCTATGATTGAATGGCTGTTTCTTCTTGATCTTCAAGTTGTTAAACTTGTATGACATTTTATTGGTCTTCATTCTATTCGCAGAATTCCTTAAGGCATTTAATATACCCATAGTAATTATCTAGACATAAGGATTTTAAATAGGTTTCCTAATTTTGAGTAATGGATGCTTAGAATTCTTATTTGCTAAATCTGCCTTAGACGATTCTGCATTACATATCTAGTATCTTTTTTAAGAGGTTATTTTATCCTAAAGAACAATCATAATTAACAAAGATTTCAATGACGACTCTGGGTTTGGTCATGATTTTATTAAACACTTTGAGAGTGTATTATTTATGATCAAAGGAACTGTTGCTACTATCCAAGAACTTAAAGTAAACATTTTCAATCAAAGCTTCTAGTTCCTTTTTGAGATGGCTTCTTACTTTCCATATCAGTTAAATGAAGATATTGAGTGTCAATATGAGTAGTTATTTCTCGGTAGATAGGGAATTCTTTAATAGAGATTCCAATAATTGTTCTTTTAAAATTTAAATTAATTTGGGTTTGTTTTATAGGATTGTATCGCTTTAAGCCAAGGCCTCATAGATCAATTCAAGAGAGAGGATCTTACATTTGATAATCATTTAACTTAATTAAGGATTAGTGTTATCTCTTTAACTAAGTTAACATAGCATTTCCAAGATTTCCAAGGCATCCTTGCAATATTGGTCGCTGTTGCTTGAGTGTTGGTAGCATTATGAGAAGTTATTCATTTAATTAAGATGTATAAATTTGCACTCTTTGCTACAAATAGGTACTTTCGTCTCTTTACAATATTGTGATGCTGAGTTTCTGCACACCACGCACCATCCGAATTTTCCATTTTTAATATTTTGTTCGTTGGTGACATTAACTTAGATCTAGTTTTTTTCAACTGTTACATTTCTTAAATTGGGTTCATGAAGATCTAGATTAATAACTTTCATTTAGTTTAAATCTTCTATTTGTCTATCATATACTTATTTCCTCTCAGTATAGATCTGCACCTCATCAATGAGGGAAGTCATCAAGGACCTCATGTATTGTTCGGCATTAATCATGGCTCTACATTTACCTAAGACCAACTATCCTTGATTGCCCTGTTTTTGAATAGCTTGTTGGAATTCTTCCTCAGTTAAAATGCCATAATCCTCTAATCTTTAAAAGTAAGTGCTAACTATCTTCTGACATGCCTCCTTGCTTGCATTCACAATCGCAACTATTTTAGAGACTATTATATTGAACATATCATGTTACCTGCATGTAAATTGATGAGCATTGAAAACACTTTAGTGATTAGTTCCCCATATATATGGTGCCTTCTGTTGGTCATAATTGCCTATATGGCTTTTATCATGTGGATTTGAACTGTTTCCTCCTTCTCTTACTGACATGAGATTACAATGTCCAAGATTACTTCAATCACTCTTTTTTCTCCAATCAATTATTCCCCAGCGAAAAATCCTTGTTCTACTAAATTCTATTCTTAGTCCATTTAATACTTTAATGTCGAATAAGGCCAACTCAATCAGTTTGACTTGTTTGGATTAAATGCACTATTAATACACTGTTATTAAATGATTAGCATCGAAATATTCTTTGAGCTCTTTTAAATAAGCAATAATATGTTACATTAAGCTTCATCGATGCTTTATTTCAATTCGAATTATTTTTTAGTTATTGCCTTTTTGATTTTGTCCAATGATTGATTGATCAATTCACCCAAACTTAATGACATATGTATTTATTAATTATTTTTAAATTATTCAATTCTATATGTTAATTATACTTGATTAGGATGATGCAAAATTTCTAATTAAAATTAATGACACGTAAGATAAGAGAATGAAATGCAATTTGCAATCTTTAAAATTAATGATTTTAATAACTATCAAAAATTGTTAAACTATGTGATTTGTTTCTCGCTAAAATTATCCATCTCATATCCAGAAAATTAGGCTTAAATTGATAGTCACATATTTTACATTAAATCGAATTTCTTCTTAACATAATTGAATGCTATTATATTAATTCGTTATTTTCATCATCCTCCATTGATATCTAACGAGCATCAAAATTATCTTCATTTTGCTAACAAACTTCTAATAGAATATATACATTAGGAATGTAAGGTGACTTTAACTCTTTGTTCATTAATTTTGACCATGGAAAATTCTTAAACCATGAATGCTACCTTAATTCATGAGGTCCATTAAAACCTAGTCTATTGGCTGGTTTCCTTTGTATCAACTATTTTTGATCTAATCACTTACTCTATTTATAAAATCAGCTGATTCTAGAGACCAATTATCTGGAATTTCCGATCTTTTAATTTGAACTTGCTTAGCCAGAATCTAATCTCTAATTTCCTTTCTTGATCTCCCAGTGTATGGTCGCTGATTATTACTATAAATGATTACCTTCCCCAACATAAACTCGTATCCAATGACTCCCAAAGCGAAATAATCAACCGCGAAAGAATGATTTTATCTACACATAACTTCTGGAGCTAGGAATTTAGGATTATGAAGATACCCATATAACCAGGAGTACCTGAAGTGTCTTATGAATTATCAGGCCTGAGATTTCGAGCAATTCCTAAATCCGTTATTCTGACGTAACCTAAAAATAGATTTCAATTCTACCATGTTTATCAAGAACTAAATTCTCTGGCTTAATATCTCTATGTAAACTGTTTTTAGAGTGCATGTATTCCAATCCTAAGAAGATGCAAGCCATGAAAAATCCTGCATATCATAATTACATACTTGTCTGATCTTCAGTGAATCTTCTCATTTTCCCAACATGATATCTCAAGTCTCCTCCTTACATGTAATCCAGCACTAGGAATAGGTTCTCTCGGTCTTAAAATGCGTAGTAGATATTCACTAAGAATCTATATTTAATGCACTATTTACGGATGTTTAAGATTGCTCAAGATATTCCTCTCGTTCATCACGGAATTCACACTTTTTTTGGCTATAATACTTAATCGATATGATGAAATCTATACAGTGCTTTTGACATCTCCTTCATCGCATAAATCTACCCGTTCTTTTTGTACTCCACCTTCCACACCTTGCCGAATCCTCCTATTCCAATCACAAATTGAAAGTTGAACATATTCTTCTACACTACTGGTTCAGTTATATCTAATTTCATATTTAATAGTCAACTTTCTTTCTCCTCATCTTAAACTATTTGAGATTTATCCTTCAGAATCAAGTAGTTAAGAAATGATATCTATTTCGGCTATTGCTATTTAGAGATCGATGATTTCTTTGAATGGTTGGCAGATGATTGTTAACTAGAAGGTACTGCCAACTTATGCAAACCATGTACCATCGGAGCTGGTGATCTATCAACATTTTGTTCATTCTGTCGGCTTAACATTCACATCACTTTCTTACTTATTTAGCACATTCGTCACCTACTAAGCTTATCCCAATTAAGATCTTGTCAAGTTCATTTAACCAGAATCCTATCTTGAATGAGGAAATCGATAATTTAAACTTTTCATAACAGTAATTATATATATAAATTTTGTATTCACTTAATATTATTTTATATAACTTTGCCTGTATAAATTATTATTCGCATTTAAATCTTATCCCATCCATCCCCACTGAGTGGATGAATCAAGAAATATCTACATTATTCTGACACCATCAAAAATATTCTTAATTGCTTTGATAGTATAAAATATACCACAACTTTACCACCGAGTTAGCTACTCATCTATAAGTTAATAAAGCCGCAATTTAATGCAAAAATATCAATTTGAGAGCATAATTAGAATAGTAAATCAATTATATTTAGATTAAACATAGACCAAAATAAGGAAGTTGCAAGGAGCGCTTTTGAAATAATTGATAGATTATTGGAATTTACAAAATCTACTTCTCTATTTATCTTGAAAATACCTAAGTAACTCATAAATAAAAGTCTAATGGATTAAAAATGATATTCCAGTTAAGTAAAAAATAATTTTTGTATTATGATTCATGTATATGATTAATATTACTTAACTCTTAAATATTTATTACTTAGTAGATATTATATATTCTAATCATTTTAACTCCATTTGAAGATAATCGACTAAGATATTAATCTACAATGAATTATTAGTTTTATAATTCTAATCCCATACTGAAAATGTTCTGTTCTGTATATTATTTAGAAAACATATAATTTTGAGATATGAAGTTTATTCAAATCACTATTAATAGTATAAAATTTTTATTTAAAAGGAAATTTTATATCATCAGGTAGTAGTTTGCCATCATTTAAAGGGTCTTTATTAATTTTAATTAGAAATCTGAAAAATTGATATATTTAATTATGCTAAAGTTTTTAATACTTTGTTTGCTTGGATTATCAGCATTCGGATACACATTCCCATATGATGAAGATGTGTTAGTACTTAATGATAATACTATAAATGCTGCTATCAAGTAGTATGATTACTTATTGGTTGAGTTTTATGCATCATGGTTTAAATTGATATTTTACCTTTCATTATAGGTGTGGTCATTGTAAACAATTTGCCCCCGAGTACTCTCAATTTGCTACACAAGTGAAACAAGCTGGTCAACCTTTTATCGTTGCCAAACTGAATGGTGGAGATCAGGAAAAGTAAGCTATGAACAGGTTGATTAATTTAATTTGAAAAATAGATACAAAGTATCAAGTTTCCCAACAATAATATTGCTCATTAAAGGACATGCAGTACCTTATAATGGCGATAGAAGTGCTAATGGATTAATGAATTTTGTAACTTAAGCTCTTGAGGATAAATTAGTAAGAGTTGATGAAATCGATGATGTTTACAAGGTATTAATGAAGATCTCACTATTTTAGTTTTTAAGTGATAACAATTTGAGTCTATTATATTTCGTTAAGGATTCTCAATAACCAGAGTTACAGATTTATTCCTTGGCTGCCAAAATATTTCCCAATTTGAAATTTGGTTATACCACTTCAGCTTATGCCAGAGTAAGATAGTTAAATATAGTTGTAGAAATTATACGATGTAGATGAAGGATAGATAGTCCTATTTAGAACATTTGAAGAGAGAAGAAAGGAATTCACAGATTAGATAACCTTAGAAAAATTAACAAATTTCCTATATGAGAATTCAACTCCATCATTTGAGGAATTAGACAACAAAAGCTATGCATCCATATTTAATAAAAATACACCAGCTTTGATTCTCTTTTGGAGTCAATAAAGTTAAGAAACAAAGGATGTTCTAAAATTGATTGCTCCAAACATCAAAAAAAGAATCACTGTAGTTTCTGTTTACTCTGATAATTACATGTTGAATCAAGTCACTGGTCAATTGTTCATTAATACTCCCACATTCCCTTCATTGTATTATTACAAGACAACTAACGAAGTCTATAAATTCGATGGATAAATCACTGTTGAGAATGTAATGAGATTTGTTCATGGGGCCAACAATGGAAAAATTGCAAGAAAATAAAAATCTCAACCCATACCAACTCAAACATCAAATGTTCTCAAAGTTGTAGGTGATACTTTCGATGAGTTAGTTCTAAATTCAAATAAGAACACTTTAGTTTAGTTTTGTCAATCATCTAGTAGCAAATGGTAACATATAAATCTTATCATCATAGCTATGAACCAGAATTTGAAGATTTGGCTAAGGAATTGAAGGACAATGAGAATTTAGTATTGGCTCAAATAGATTTGTCACACAATGATTTGGAAAGTGTGAAGATTGAAAACTACCCTGGATTTAAATTATACATTCCAAAGGTTACATCTAATCCAGTTAATTTTGATTAAGAATTTAGCAAGGAGAATCTTTATGCCTTCGTTAAACAAAATGTTTAGCTTACACATACAGAATAAAACAAAAGCAAATCTGATTTGTGAATTATTTTATGTAAAACCAGAATATGTATATTTATTTAGTTATTTATTATATTAATAATATTTATATGCACACACATTATTACATCTCAAATCTATTGTTAATCATCATTTTAAATTAATAGCTTTAATTACTCGTATGTTTATGTTAAATTTTACTATAGATAATTACTTTAATAATTACTAATGTTAATGGGATCAATTAAGGTTGTGAAGTTGTGTCATTTGGTAGAATCAAAAATTATACTAATAATGGTATTTATTTTTATTAAATCAATTATTATTATTAAATGCCAAGAAGTTACTTATTATTTTGGATTGTTTCATTTTATTTAGCATTTACATTTGTATTTGTTTCATAGGATGTTGTATTTTATATTTCCTTGGTATTTGAAGATAGAGAACCACTTATTTAATTTTGTGATTACTATGTATTTTTTATAGATTGGCCTTGTATATCATTAGACGCCTGAACTTTATTCGATTGTTCAATTTCCTATAATTATTGATTTTGTATAGTAGAGTCGCCAATTTTAATTTGATTCTTTGATTGTGAGTCTTGATTGTTTAATTAGACAACATCTTTATTGGTTTATTGTTGATTTTCAGTTGGCACAGAATGTTTTTGATCATAAGAAATGGAATCAGATTAAGAGTAATAGGGCTGATCTCTTTGTTTCTGAGTGTATCTGTAATTATTTTATTTATTATTATTGTAATTGTGAGAGTAGTTGGCATGGCTTTGACGATAATGATTCTGATTTTTACTATATAAGAGATTAAAATGATCATACTTATAGGAGTCTCTAAAATTGTGCCCCTATTTGTTCTAGGAATTATTATTGTCTGAATAACGAGGATTATGATTCTTTGGGTGTTGAGTTCTATTGTTTTCCTAATATTGGGGAGGCTAATCACTCATCTATTAAAATATCGATATTATTAATATTATTATGTCTTTTATATTTATAAATCACTACTACCTCAACTATACTTGTCGAAATGGCCTCTGTAGTTGAAGAAATCAAATTGTAAAGCTTCTTTTTATTTATCTGTTGAAAGCTATTTGTATTATATTATATTACAGCCAAGAAATCTTGATATTTTTCTTAATCCATCTGGCAATCAACGAATTATTGTGATTCTTTTTTGCAATTGAAGATATTTCCATCAGCCTTGAAAACACATTCTCTGACATCGTTGAAAGGTGCCAAACACAATGGGTGCATACGTTCTCTAATAATCATAAACATCATATAAAATACGCCTCCTTATAGCATCCTACCAATTCTCTGGCGGTGTTTCTACAAAGACGAGGATCTTTGGGAATAGGGGATGTTGTTTATCTACAATCTTCGTACTTGTGCACTTCATTTCTGCATCTGTGGAAGGCATATTATGAATGTATCAAAACTTCAAATGACTTTGTATTCATTTTATACAAAATTAATTAAAATAGAAATTTTCATATATATAAATTATATATAAAATATATATTAAAATGAATCAAAAGAAAATGCCATAAGTTAAAGTTACTCTCAAGAAAGTCGCAAATGGATATATTGTTCATGATGCCGATACCACTGTGCGAATACCAAAAAGCATTGTTCAATAGACTACTCCTCAATCAACAGTTTAGATCAAAAATAAGTCTCAAACAACATCATTACATTCCCAAACATAAATACCCTAATAATAATTACAAATTAGTCCAGCAATACTCTCTCCGTAATAATAGTTCTTATATTCACCACTAAATCCAGGAATCCAATAAAGTATGCAAGTTTAACAATCTAAACAACCCATCATTTATCCATCTCCTACACCTCCGTACAAACCCATCATACAATAGAATTTGATTCATCAACCAATTGCACCTCAGAATTTTGAAATTTTCCCTCCTGATCCTTTCGTGACCAAAAAGAGATCTTATGAAATCACCGTACCTTCTTGCACTTCATGGTTCAGAATTGACAAAATACATTCAATTGAAAAGGAGAATTTTAAAGAGTATTTCAATCAAGAAAACAAACACAAAACACCTTCACTTTATAAAAAACATAGGAACTTTATTATCAATTTATATTATAACACACCAAATGTTTACTTGACAACTACTGCATGCAGAAGACAATTAGCTGCTGATGCATGTACAATCGTTAGAATTCATGGTTTTTTGAATCATTGGGGAATTATCAATTCTCAAGTGGACTCAGATTAATACTAAGGCAAAATTATACCGTAACCTGCTATTCCTGATAATTTATTTAATGAATTGTTTTAATCGAAAAATAGTTCGCTACAATATTAATTAAGTGAATAATAAATTATTGATTCTATAAGAGAATTATCGCTTAAATTAAGGTTACAAGATAAAATAATATTAGGCCTATTTGTGACTCATGTTAAATGAAATGCAATTTAGTTTGGTACCAACAAAAACCTATTAAAGATATTAAAGAGATTATTCTATGTATTAAATGCTATGGAAACAATCATTTCCCAAACATTCTTTGTGCAGAAGACTTTTTTAGAACTGACATTGAAGAAAGATTGAAAAACATAAACAAATCAATTGATTAGGCTGAATTATCAGATTCACAATTAAAAGATGTGGAATTGTCAGAAATGCTAAATTACATCCAAGAAAACCCAGAAGTAGGTTGGGATAAAATTACAGAATTTGTAAACGAGAACAGAAAAGTCAAATTAGATGTCGTTTAGATTTTAATTAATTTTCTAATATATCCACTAAAAAAGCAATCTTCCATTAGCCGTTCTTTAGATGGAAAAGAACAATTGTAAAAATGGACCATTTATGATTTAGCAAGTAAAATTGCTAGTGAAGAAGTATTATTTATAATATTTAAACATTAGCCATAAATTTTCTCTGATTCTTCCAATCTATATGCTTATCATATATCCATTTTCCAAAAACGCTTAAATCAAGACGAAGAATCGAAATAGCAAAACGGCGATAAATTGTGCAATGGAACCACTCATTCAGATTTGCTACAATAACAAACCAACCTCTAGAATAGTTTAGTATTAATTATCTATCATATTTAAGAATGACCTAGATCAAAATTTGATTGCTAATTTCAAAGAGAATTCAATCAAAAAGGCTGAAACTGAAATTGTCAAAGAAGAAAATAAATTAAATCAATGTATCAATGCTATCATCAATGTTCAAATGGAGAAAATCCAGCAAAAGATTGCTTTCTTGGAAGAGTATGAAAAAATTGTGTTAAATGAAAAAAATATCTTAGAATTACAATAAGTATATCTTCTTTAAAAATAGAAAAATAGAAATAAACACTTGCTGAGAGATTAATCGTTGTCTAATAAAAGCTATAAATGTATAATGAAGATAATAATTAATGATATATTTATTAAATAAAATATGTAATAATAGAATTAAGGATCCAAAATTCCAGGTATCGAAAAAAGAATAAACAAAATTGGTAAGCCGAAGGGAATGAATTCTTCCAAGCCTTTAGATAAAACTGATGCTTGGAGTTCTAATTAGTAAAGTACACAAGTTATTTAAACTCTATCACGTTTGGGAAGATTTATTTGTTTTTAACAAACAGGCACAAAAAAACCAAAACCTGACTAGAATTTAGTACGCAACTATAAAGCCAAAACAAACATTTAAGATGCCCCAGGCATATTTCTTAACAATAACCAAATATAATTAGCCAAACAAATAGGGGTTCATTGTGAAATTATTGAAAAATCAAAGAAAAACTGTGTTGTTTTCTTTTTTGGATTCACTTATCCTGAATTTGAAATTGTTGAAGGCAAACCTAAACTAGTGAATAAATTTGATAATTTTACGAATTACCCTCCTTTATTAAAGATAGCACCGATGTTAACCTAGAAGTTTTTAATTGAATATGTCCATTATTTGGAATGTTAGGGTGATGAATTAAAGTTTTCTGGATTGTATTCTGTATCTAAAAATAAAAATTTGAAAAGCGCAGATACTCTATTATAATGTCTTTTTACAAAATACATAACTGAACTCAAAGAACTTGAAGAAACAGAAAATAAAAAGAATTTTGAATAATAAATAGAAAATTATTACCTCAACTTTTATAATCTACCAGAAACAAAGACTTAATATGAAAAAGCTGTTATTGACTTGTTGGCATGCATGCAAAAAGAGGATGATGATTATGATTAATAATACATATAATATCAATGATATAATTCAGATAAGGTTGATATGATAGTGTTAGCTCATTTAGAAAGGCTATTATTTAATCTATTATTTTTGAATTTTAATATCAGTTATTTTTCTGTATTGATAGAATTAAAAATGGATTTATTCAAATTATACATTATGTTCACTATTTAATAAGAAGATGACAAGTAGGATTTAGAATTTCCTCAGAATTAAGCTGCTTACTATTAGTATCGGATTTACATAATACAAAATTGAAAAGAACAGAATAAAACTACATTCATGCCAAATCCATCAATCACATCCACTTCCAATGGTATATACTATGAAAACTACATACATAAGATCAGCTAATTTAGATTTCAAAATTATAATAGAAAGTATTGTAAGGCATTGGTTTTATTAATTTTCTTTATGCTGAGTAATAGAAAGATAAAACAAGGTAGATTTTTTATGGATGAGATATTTTTTCATCTCGCAGTAAAAAAATTCTATTAATTAAGGAGATTTATCCATCTAAACCTCATAAGAAAAAATAACCAAAAATTAGAGATTGAAAAGAAGGATTGCGATAAATAAATAAAACATATTATAATGCATTTTCGATAGGATTGAAATAAATACAAATGAAAAGCTGGAGATATTGTTACTTAGATACTTTACTAATAATTAAATGTATCCATCATTTAGGTCTTAAATATTTCATTTAGATGCCAATACTTAACCTATAAGTATTACTCTATAGAATTGAGACACTTAAATTTATTAATTAAAAACAATAATGAATGCTTTAATTGAATTATACATATTATATAGTCAAAAATGAACATCTCTAACAAAATTTTTCTTGAGTATTTTATAATCACCATCATAAGCCCCAGGACCAATTTCTTATATTTATTATTATTAGATTCTTTATCCTTTACCAAAGATATCATTTCCTTTATTAAAAGTGCTTTTGGTAAATTAGTCATGCACAGTATAACTTCCTGGACCCAATTCTTCAGTTATCTTTTTATCCTTAAATCTTTGAACATTAGAGGAGAACATAGAAGATTATTACTTAGGTTTTATATGATTAATACTTGTTTTTATAGAGACTTGCTGCGTTCTTTTGTAGTATTAACAGATACTAATTCTTTTGCAACTGATAATCCAAATGATTCTGGGCATTTCTCAAACATAGGTCTTTTCTCTTTTTTTCTAAAAACATATTTAAACTGTTTCTTCTTTAACATCAAATTATCATAACTACCAGGGCCAGGAGCGTCATTATTAATTATACCATCTTACATTCTTTTAGATCCAGAACCAAAACTAGATGGAAAGAGTCCATCCTTTCTTTAAGGTTTTGATAAATCTTATACAATATAATTACCAACAGGAACAATCATATTATCCTTAGGAGGTTATCTAGGTAATTTAGACATATATCCTCCAGTTTCATTGAATTGATTATCTGCTGAATATTAGCCAGGTCCTGGTTTGTCATCTGCAATATATTTAAATCTTGGTTCTCTACTATCAAAACATTAATTTTGATAATTCAATTCTGTTATTTTTCCAAACTGGGATTCAATATCATAATATCCAGGTGGTGGAGCAGTTTGTCTTTCTTTCTTTCTCTTTTCTTTTTCAAATAATTTTTCTAGGTTATATTCATCTCCTTATAAGAATTTGATTTTTTTCTACTTTTATTTTTGAGTGAGACTAAGTTCTGATTCAAGTTGTCCATTATTGGTTAATTATTTTCCATAGATGACATCTGCAGTCAAGAAGGGCTCTTAGTATGTTGTTCTTTTACTGTCTTCTTTAATGATAGTTCCTCTTACTCTTGGTTTGATTATGGTTTAATTTGAATTATAATGTCCAGGACCAGGGTGCTTAAGATTTAGCTGAATATTTGTACTTGTAATGGAGCTATAGTCTACAGTTTTTGCAACAGTTTAGTTTTATCTAAAACGCATTATCCTGATGGTGTTATTTCTAGTTATTAGTTTAAACAATTTTCCATTTGTTTGATAAGCAAATTCTTCATCTTATTTTCGACTTCCTGAGTCTTCTTCAAATATTGCTATGACTACAATTATTGATTAAGCTTACTTACTTATGCTTAATAAACGTAATTGTGATCTTGTAATTTCTTATTTTAAAAGGAATGCTTTAATGAAGCTTAATAAGCAATTTTATCAAATCCTTCGACGGTTTTACTTTGAGGATGTATAATTTCCTAAATAAGACCAAATCGATCAGATTTTGAGAATTATTATTGAGGTGGTTTAGTCTTAATAGTATTCAGCATATCATTTAAATCATTACCAATATAGTAACCAGGAGGTGGATTGAAATTTTGTGTTAAGGTTGATTTCGGAGATTGACTAAATTTCATAATATTTAATAAAATAAATTATGCTAATTATAGATAAAGATCTCTTCTTCTCAATATGATGTGAATTTAAAGGATAATTGAGTATTAAATAATTAGTAATTGTCTGAACCTATACTATTTTAATCATATAAAATTATCATATATATATAAAATGAATGAAGAAGAATTAATCAATATAACAGCTATTATTGAGAAAACAAATAATTAAAAAATCATTTAGACTTTAAATGAGTTCAAAGATACAATTGAAAGTTTGAATAACATAGATGGGAATAATAAATTTATGAAGAAATGTTTAAATATTATTTATAATGATGTACTTTCAAAAATTGATGAATTATCTAATATGGAAGAGTGTAGGAGAATTTCAATAAATTTGGCTTTCGAACTTTAAAAAATAAAATAGGTTACTGAGATGTTACCTTATATCAATAAAAAACCAAAAAATACAATTTTTAATGATGAGGAATTCATGAATATTCCAAACATAGAAATAATCAAATTGGATTAACCAGACAAAATTAAATAACAATTAAACAACTTTTATTCAAAAATATCTTTAGGACATGCATACGTTGGTACTGGGAAATAGCATCAATTCCAAGCTATGTAATGTTTTGTTAAGAATTTGAAGGCTCTTTATTATATCTCAAACTAGGAAGAAACCAAACTTGCTGCCACACAAGCAATCACAAATCCTACTCTTGAACATGCATTGTAGATATGGAGAATTATTGATGAGTCAAAAATAGTAAAAGCGGGGTTTAAATTACAATTAGAAAAAGTTAAATTAAAGAAAATTATCTATATTCCAAGACTATTCAATCAAATAACTTTAGATTCTTTACATAATTTTAATACCAATTCGACTGACATTCCAAATAACTAGCTTTATGAAATTGCATTCAGAAGTATCAGAAAGAAACAAAATGGAAATGACATTAGGGTTAGAGTCATGTGTAATAAATAAGTCTTTAAGCATAAAGTATCTAATGGAGATATTGTGTAAGTGGTGAGAAGATTGACAAAGAGTGAGTTTTAGATGTAAAAGACTTAACATATTTAATAATTACAATAGCCATTGACATTTTTTGGTGAAAGTTGTGTTTCATCAAGAACAGATATCAGAGGAATGGGATTAAATGCTATATCAAATATCATAGTACATATACATGGTGGAGGATTCATCTCAATGTCCTCGTTTTCTCATTAATCATATACAAGAAAATGGGCTAACTAATTAGATAATACAGTTGTCTTTTCAATTGATTACCGTTTAGCCCCTGAATTTCCTTTTCCTTAGGCACTTGATGACTGCTGGCAATATTACATGTGGATAATCCATTTTGGTTCTGCCTACTTCAACATATGTCCAAAAAATATCATTTTGATGGGAGATTCAGCTGGAGGTAATTTGGCATTGGGAATTGTCATCAGAGCAATAGAAACCAATTAAAGAATTCCAGATAAAGTTATCTTATAATATCCAGCTCTTAATTTGAATCTGTAAGATGTAGTTCCTTCTAATCTCAAAAGCATGAATGATTAGATAATACCTATGGGATTCTTAATGTTGTGTAGATAAAGCTATATAAAAGATGAATCTGATATAGCCAATGATTATTATTTGTCTCCTATTCAAACTCCTTAGGAAATTATTCAACAATTTCCCAAAGATTTTGTCATTTTTGTGGGTTCAGAGGATGTATTATTGGATAATTCTGTTGAATTTGTTCATTGCTGTAAAAATAATGGATTGGAAAGTATCAAACTAAAGGTTTTTGAAAGTCTTCCTCATGGGTTTTAGAATATGGACATAAGATACAATGGAGTGAGGGCTGCTAATTCGGCAAACACTCAAATCATAGATTAGATTAAATAATTTATTATTTGATAACCGATATTAACAAAATAATAAAATCTATTTAAGTAAACTTTATCGTTTTAATCAAGTAGTTTTTTATAATTAATATTTGTTCAGGATTATTGTTTATTTCAAATGTTATATCCTAAAATATCAAATTTAGGTTTAGTTTGTTCCTTTTTATTATTAATTGATTAATTAATGGGAAGTTCGTAATGCTGTACAATTAATGCAGATGAGTCAGCATCAGAATTGGCGATTGGTATGAAAGAAACGGCTCAATCATCGAAGGGTCCAAATCGTTCAAGTGATGGGAAGAAAAATAAAAACCAACCTTTGTATTTTATTCTAATTGAGTAATGAAAAGGTCTCCAATTCAAAAGCAAAAAGGTACTCGTGGTTAATTTCGAATTGATGATCCATAAACACCTGCGTTTGCTGATAATAAATCAATTCACAGTAAGCAAGAATCGGAACAATAATCTAATAAGGACATACAATTAGTGGCTGAGATAGTAATGTAATTAGATGATTTCCATTAAAAAATTGAGGAGGCAAATGAGGATAGATTTCTTTCTTAGACTTCATTGAAGAAGAAAAGGAAAAATGATTCTCCTTTGTGTGATTTCTAACCAAAAAATTCATTGAAATCATTTGATTCAAAAAGACTGGATAAATTGAAATCTATCAGTGAACACAAATAGATCAAGGAAGAACTCATGAAAGAAGAATTAGATAGTTAGAGAAGTCAAAGTGCTGACAATAAATCAGTGAAGAGCATTTTAAAATAGGAAATGAAGTACAGTCAATTTAAAAAGGGGCAGTATGGCAATGATATTCAGTCACAAAAGAGGGTACATTTTTAATTGAACAAGTGATAAATACTGTTGTTTCAAATTAGGTTGATGCAACTTCTATTTAAATATATTGCTATATAAATATTATTAATAATTAATTTTACATGTCGGAAAGATAAGTATATATTTTATTCAAAATGGTAGAAAGCGATTCGAGCTCAGTCAGCCAAAAATCCTAATTAAAAAATACCTACTAGCCAACCTTATGGAAATTCTGTTAAAGGATTTAAAATGTAACTTAATTTAATTTAAGAAGTGTGAAAAAGGTTAAAGTGAATAACTTGATGGAGGAGAGACCACAAAGTGGTTAGAACGAAATAAGGGCAAGATAGATTTAACAAGAAACTGATTTTTTTAGAAATAACATGGAAGTGTTTGACAAGGAAAGACTTTTTGAGCATTTATCCTAGGCAAAAACACAAATCAACCACTTGAAAACAGATAATTATTAATTGAGGACAACCATTTTATAATAGGAAGTAATTGCTAATAATTAATAGATAGAAAACAATCTAAAAATACGAGAGAATCATAGAGGATTTTCAAAACAATGGCAATTTGAAAAATGTTCAAATGAAATTGGGAGTTGAGGTTTGAATTCTATATTGATATTCTTAGACATCACTATTTCTATAAATGAAAAGACAAATCAAGGAGTAACAAAATGAATTGAGAGAAAAAGAAATAACAATATAAAATTTTAAGAAAAATGCTAAAGTAAGCAAATTCTAAGAACTCGATGTAAGTAATATCTCATAATCAAGGCTGAAATCAGGGAAGTCTATGAAGAACTCTAGAGATTGAGAGAACTACTAAAAGAAAGAGATGAAATACTATAATAATAATAAAAGTAAATTGATATATATCATAGTCATGCTCAGGAGCACTCATCAAATAATGAATTTGTCAAAGAGTTGCAATAACAGAATGAAACTTACCTCAAGGACAACTAGGAGTTAGTATAGATTGTCAAGTAAAATAATTGATCATTTTAGACTTTATGAAGAGAGGAATACTTAATTAGAACACCAGGCACAGCAATAATTGAAATAAATGAATAAGCAAGGCAGAGATATCTAATTGTTAAATCAAAAGTTACAAGTATTCAAGAAGAGAGGAACTAATGGCCAATATTTGATTAGTTAGGAGGAGATCGATAAGGATATAGAAGAGAGGACCAAATTGAATTACTTAGTGGAAGAATAGAAGGAGAAGATCCAAAAATTGGAGTAACAATTAAAGAAATTTTAATCAGACAATAGAAAATAATTGGAATAGAAATAAGGCAGAAACTTATAATAATAACAATCATCCAGTCCCAAGAATTAGAATAATAATATTTCTTAATAGCAGCAAATAGCATAGTTTCAATAATAGGAATAATTAAGGTAGAATAATAGTACAGATTCTATTTTACTTGATTAAGAATTGGCACAATGTTATGCTGATGAAATACGTTGTTAATTGTATTTGGATAATATACCCTTCGCAAAATTCAAGGAAGTATTATATTCAAATCATTTTAGAAATTGTCTATTTTGAATAAGGGCAGATTAAATGAGAATGGAGTTGTTGAGTTTTTAAAGACCAAATTGGACATGAATGCGGTCAAAGCCTAAAAATTTGCAAAAGCATTACTCAAAAGTGATGGATATGATTAACCAATTTAAAAAATGATAAGTGCCAATAGACTTAAGAATATGATATTGTCTCTTATTCAAGAATACATCACCTATGATGGATCATCAATTTATTAAGAAGTTAGAAAAGTAAATACTTTATTTAATATTGTTATAGACTTTATTGAAAAATAAAGAAGAACTTACAAAGAAATTTAGGTAGAAATTTCAAAATTAAGACTACATCAATATAAGATAATTTGAATAACTAATATTGGAGTCTCATATATCTATGACTGAATTGTAAAAGGATTAATTGTTCATTCACATTTATCAAGTGTATAGGGACTTGGTCTAATTGTAATGGGAATAATTCTTTAGAGATGATTTCAAGGGAAATCAATAGCCAAAATTGGAAAATTAGTAAAAGTTAAATTCTCCTCCTAATACATAAAAATAAGACAGCCCTAATGATTACATAAAGATTTAGACGTAGAATTCAGATACTTCAAAATAGGCTAAGATTAGAAGTCATGCTAGAAATTCATCTTAAATTATTGATAATGATGCTAATTATCAGTCTGCAAAGGAACATAAAAAGCATGATGAAGAAGATGAGAATTATGATGATTACTTCGAGAGAGATGAGGATAAGAATTCATAAAACTCAGCAAAAGCAAAAGAATAGGGTAAATAGGACAATGCAGAAGAAGAATATTAGGAACAATTTGATGATTAAGAAGAGAAGCCTTAAGAGGATTAAGAGGATGCAGCAGTGAAGATTTAGCTTGCCTATAAAAAGAAAAAGTAAAAGGAAGAAGGTAAGAGAATTTAGGAGGAGTAGAAAGAAAAGAAGAGATAATATCTAGAAGAAAAAGAGAAGAAGAAGAAGCAGGAGTAATAATTAAAGAAATAGTAAGAAGAGAAAAAAAGATAAGAGGAAGAGCAAAGGAAAATATTGGAAGATTAAAAAAGGAGATAAGAGGAGGAGTAAAGGAAGATTTTGGAAGATTAAAAAAAGAAATAAGAGGAGTAAAGAAGATAGGAAGAAGAAAGAATAAGGAAAGAGGAAGAGTAAAAATAGAAAGAAAAAGAAGAAGAATAAAGAAGATATGAAGAATAATTAAGAAAAGAGGAAGAGGAGAAAGCATTGTTGATATAAAATGCTTACAAACAAAAAAAGTAGAAAGAAGAGGGTAAGAAAATATTAGAATAGAAAAAAAAGGAAAAAGAATAATATTTAGCTGAATAAGAAGCAAAAAAGCAGTAGGAAGAATTGGAAAGATAGAGATTATTAAAAGAATAAGAGGAAAAAGAAAAGTTATTGAAAGAAGAGGAGGATGCTGCTTTAAAGATATAGTTAGCTTATTAAAAAAAGAAATAAATAGCAGAAGCTAAAGCATTATTAGAGTAAAAGAAAAGAGAAAAGTTTGTTAATGATTAAAAGTAAAAGGAGGAGGACAGGATAAGAAGATAGAGGGAGAGGGAGGAAAAATTAAGGAAAGAATAGGAGGAAAATGCTTTGAAAAATTAAAGGGGCTCCAAAGATAAGTAGTAAATGGATGAGGCAAAACAAATGTTAGAGAGTAAAAGAAATGAGAGAGATTCAGTACATAAGAATCAAAAAAAAGGAGTTAAAGATAAAAAAATTAATGAAGATGATTATGATTTTGAGTTTGAATAAGAGCTGGATGATTAATTAGAAGTTAAGAAGGAAATTAAAGCTAAGGAAGAGGAAATTAATATGGCAGCATCAAGAATACAAGGGGCTTACAGACACAAAAAAAATAAATCAGAAGGGAAAAAATTATTAGAAGAACTCAAAGAGGAAAGAAGGTTAGAGGAATTAAGAAAGAAGGAAGAAGAATTAAAACAAAAGGAATAGCAAGAGCTTGATGATGTAGCTGTTAAAATTCAAAAGGCTTACAAAAAGAAGCAATAGAAGGAGGAAGGAAGGAAAATCTTAGAAGAGAAAAAGAAGGAAAGGGAATTGGAGATTTAATAAAAAAACAATAAGCCTGTATAGAATTAGAATAAAGAGAATGATGACGGATACGATAATGAGAAATTTGAAGATGGTACTGGTTATGACAAATTTACTAATCCAGCCTTAGTATAAAAAGAGCCTTAAGATCTTGAGGATGATGAAAAAGTGCCGGATGATCCAGTTGCAGAACACATGGAAGATAAGTTATTTAATAGTGTTGGAATATTTGTAAGATTTTAATTGATTAAATTTAGTAATAATCTATAAATAAAGAGGAAGTATCTGATGCTGATTAACCTTTATGAAAACAATTTACATCAATATTTATTTATAAATTACATATTTTGCATTTAGTGCTTAATAATATATGTATAAATTACAGTAAGCAAGACCAAATACAGAATGTCAAGCTGGTTTCCGATAGAAATACCTTCCATTCCAGTAATTTAAAAGCGAATCTAAAGTAGTTAAAGACTAGCCTAAAACGAAAAAGAGGAAGAAGATTGATAACAAACTTTAAGATCCTTTAAAACTATATGAATTATATTTAAAAGCCCTTTAGGGAACTGAATTTACAGAGGAGGATTAAAAAGATTATGAAAGACTAATTGGGAAATGTTCATATGATTTCCATACAGCATTTTATCCCGATGGAGTGATTTCGTAATTATATATATTGAGAAATTATGAGCTTTCCTAACCCAGATTATGAAGAGGTTGCTCGTCCTTAGCAAATGAGACCCTTGGAGTTTTTTGACTTTGTCCAATAGGCCTTGAAGATAAATCCTAAATCACTAAATGACCAATTGTTATTTAAAGCAATAGAGACGAGTTATTAATTATTATCAATATCTTAGTCTGAGCTGCAAAACTCCCTCTCTTCAGACCCTTTTCAATTATAATCCTAATAAAGTGATGTAAGATATAAATAATTTTTCACCTAATAAACTTTGTCAGGCAAAAGGTTTTCTAAAAGTATAAGACCAATTTTGAGTGCTTAAGAGAAATTGAATTACGCAATGAAGTCTTTGAGAGAAAAGTTCGAGGCAGCGTTGAGTTCGAATATGAAAGCTAATTTGATAGATTTTATAAATTTGGATTATAAAAGTTTAGAGGAGGCTTAAATTAGATGTGACGTAAAGGGGGAGTACTTAAATCAGATCCAAGAATAATGGTTTAAAACACCAAAGGAGGCATTGGACACATCAACAATGTTAAGGAATGCAATTTTGATTCAATTATCAAGGAAGGGATTTTAAACCAGGTAAGTAATATCGAATGATGGCAGATGGATATTTCTTTTGATAAAGATGGATGAGGAGAATTTAAAAGTTGTAGCTGAGTAAAAAAAGCTTTCAAAACGATTAAATTTTTGGTTCAGTGACCTTTTTTCCCTTGAACCTGTTGATAAGAGATTAAGACCCTTAAGATTGAATAATCGATTATGGAAGCCTTATGAATACAAGTGCACAACGTTTTTTGAGTATTTGAGACCTCAAATAATAGAATTAATTGAATAAATCAATTTCAAAAGATTAAGTAGAGAGGTAAATCAGAGTCACATCAATTAAGAATTATTTTAGTATGGAAAATAGGACCTAAATGATGAAGAAGATAATGGTCCAACAGATGACGAATGGTTTGCATTTTATAAATACTTGGTGCATTTGAAAAAGTGTGTGTCTGAACATAGGCAACAAAACATTATAGACAGTGATTTGTCAGCCATACTAAATAAATAGATGGATTCCTTTCAATTGTACATCAAAAGATTTCAAAAGGAATTGATATCATAAGGTTTAGGAAATAAATAGGAAATATTTCTAAACAAACAAAATATTCTGAATCCTGAAAATAAATAACACTTAGAGAAATTAGAAGTTTATGATCACAATGCTGAATCCTTAATGAATGAATACAAACAATATATGATTGAATAAAACATTCCATTGACAAAGTATATCAAAATCTTATAGAAGGAGAGATTGGCATATAATTATATGTAAGCCTTTATTGAATCATTAGAAGTGGCTAATGATTCTAAAAAATATCTAAAAAATCTCTGGGACCAAGTTGATTTAACACCCTAAGAGCCTTATATAAACTTTAGGAGACCCACAAAAAAGATGGCACCTACTCTCTAAGCTTAATAATAGATGATTTGGTGTAAATATTAGAAAGATGAAGATGGAAATATCTCTGTATTTTCATCAATCGACAGATTAAAATTAGTGTATTTTGCTGTTGATGACTGCTTTGATATCAATTCCTTTACTATGAAAGGCTATATTAATCAATTTTTTTGTTTAAATGATCAATATGAGTTACTAGGTTATTGCTAGAACTTTGAGAAGGCCCTAACAAGTGAAACCTAATTTTATCATAAAAAGCTATTCTTTTTTGCAGATGAATGGAAATTCAGAATATTAGAACCTTGGTTTGCACCTATTGATGTTATATGTTCATATTACGGTGAGAAAATTGGATTGTACTTTTTTTTCATGAGTTATTATACAAAAATGCTGACATTTATTTCTGTTTGTGGTTTTGGATGCAGTCTGGCTGAATGGATATTGAACAATCAAGATGGTGAAGCCAGTATTATAATTACAATGATATTCACATTTGTATTAATACAGTGGAATAGCATAGTAACTGATTATTGGAAACAATAATAAGTAAGATTTAATTTGAAATATGGTTAATTAAATGAAAAGGAGAAATCTACCGAAAGATCATCATTCAAAGGAACCTTTATAAGATCCTTGGAAAATGACCAGTTGAATTCAGCAGCTCAAGATGATAGTGATTTAGTGTTAAGATTGTTCCTTGCCTCCATATTGCTTGTGTTATTAATAGCAGCTTACAGTGGATTAGTAGTAGGATTGTTTACACTTACCACAGCCTTGAGAAACTCATTTGGTAGTGAGTTCTCTAATGTCTCAGTGATGTCATTGGAAGTTACACTATCAGCTACTATCAATGTATTTGTCTAATTGTTTGTTGATAAATTCTATGATTACATTTCTACATCAGTCACCGATTTTGAAAATCATAAAACCATGTAAAAATACGAAACCAGTTTTGTTGTTAAGAAATTTATCCTCTATTTTTGTTCATATGTGGTCCCTCTGTTATTCATAGGTTACCTCAATGGGCCTTTGAACTTATATTGTTCAAAAAGCAATTGCTCTAGACATGTGCAATATTACTTTTCTACCATCATCATTTGGTAATTTCTATTCAAAATTTTGCAATTATTTAAATTCATATCAGATTTAGCTAAATATCCTAAGATTAAATATGAAATCAATGACAATGATATTTAATAATTTATTGATGAAACCTCAAGAAGGTAATCATATGCAATAAGTCCTGAAAGATATGGCACCTTGGAGGATTATATGGAAATCTTGATTCTTTATTCCTTACTAATCATTTTCGGATACTCATTTCCTCTTAGCTTTTTTCTCTTATGGTCCTTCAACATTTTATAATTGCAAGTGAAGAAGTATTCCTTTATGTATTGTCTCCAAAGACCCTGGCCCTAGAATGAAAGTTCTTTAGGAATTTGGAATAACATTTTAGATCTTGTAAATCAAATTGGTATCCTCACCAATACGGGTATAATTACTGTTCTATATAATAAAAAATATGGAGAATAGTTGGTCTTAGTATTCTTAAGTCTGCTAATCTCAAACAGTCTATTTAAATTTGTGATAGCCTCGGTTTTTGGTGATACTCCTTTTAGACTAACTTAATTGACAATAAGACATAAATATCTTCTTAAATCAACTCTCGAAATTTTTAGTAAGACAAAACAAAGTACAAAAATCAAAAAAGAAGAAGAAGACATCTATAAAAGATTTCCCTTATTTAAAGTATATAGTTCCACTAATAATATGGAGTTTGGTAGTTTTTAAACTATCAGCTCGCAATCAGATCTTGAAGAGCATATTAGAAAAGGTTAATTAAGGGAGGAATTGAATTAAAAAAGAGAAACTAAAGTACAACCTAAAAAAATTGATTTAGATGATCCACCTTATGAATTGCTGCATAACTAGTTTTCTTAAAGAGTCTCAAATTGGGCATTTGAAATTCAGTATAATAATTTAAATCCTTTTCAAAGGAAAAAGAAATTAATCAAATATTGGAAATATTTGTATAAATTGTCAGTCTTAACAACCTATAAGAAATTGTGGACTGAAGATCGTTTGACTTAAAGACACTTTTATATGAAAAGGAAAAAATTGGCTATCAAGAATTTAGATTAAAGAAAGTTAAATATTTTAAAATAGAATTACAAACTAACTCATCAAGTGTATTCTGACAATGCCCAATTAAAATTTAGAAAGAAGTTTTAATAGGTGACTAAAAACAGCAACAAACCTGACGATATTAAAGAATATGAAAATATGGTGTAGAAATAATAGAATTATATTGAGAAAAACCTGTGGTTAAATTGCAGAAAAGTAGTGGTACTTAAGATTAAGGCCATTTGGATTAGAGGATTTAGAAAGACAGTATTAAGAAGATCTGCTATTTAGAACATACGTTTACTTACGAAAACCTCTGTTCAAAATGGTACTTTTTCTCTAAAAAGTAATATTCACAAATAATATAATAAATTGCTAGAAACTAACTAAAAAATGGATGGATACAGCATGAAAGAATTTATTAATATGGTAAGCTAGTTGAATTTCGAATAAATTGATCAAATTGTCTTTCCACTTACATCATAATCATTAAATATCCAATAGTATATATTATATCCTAAAAAATCCTATATTTTTAAGACAGTTATTGATTAACTTAGAGATACATTTATTTTTGACACTTAGACTACTAAATTATAAGAAATTGCTATGTAATTCTTTATCGAGGAACAATTTTAAATCCAAAATATTGAGCTGATCAAGCATTATCATGACAACATTTGGTTAGGTAGAAAAAACGATTAAGAATATTTGGTCTAATTTTTATAGGTTACTTATAATCAAAAATTGTAATTCTAATAGAAATTAGACAGTAAACATGGAGTTTACTATGCAGAGAGTAAAAACTATTTGAGATTGTCTAATATTATAGATTAAATTGATGATTTTGTAATTAAAGGGTATTGCTTATGTTTATATGAGCTTGAAAAACCGTTAAGCTTATGGTAAGTAATCAAATTTAGAAAAACCTATGGAATCGATTATAAAGCAGAGGAAATCAATGAGTTTTTGTATGCAAATCTAATATTAATGAAATCGAAACCCCATCCTTATATCAGCATTTTTAATTACTTTCTTGATGGCAGATAATATGCTTTATTAAACACATTAAAAAGTGAATAGCCACTTTATAATTTAGCGAAAGTCATTATTCAAATGATTTGCTTAAAACAAATAGACGATCCATACTAATAGTTAGAGTAAATGGATCACAAATTAACAGATGTCCTAAGAGCTATGTTAGATAACAATATTACTATCGATTAAATTGTGTATGAAATAAGAAAGCAATATAAGTTTAAAGAGATTTAATATGCGTCTGATATTTTCAAATCACCGGATTAATCATTCAATTCTTAAATTTAATTATACTTACATAAGATAAACTGTTCATTCCGAATGAAATTTTATGATTAAACATTAAATTTAATTCAATAATTTGATAATATCTTAAAAAGAGAATATCCACCTTAAAATAAAGATGCTGTTTCTATTTTCTCTAGATCTTTAAAAGATGATATCTCTAAAATTATTCTTTAACCAAATTACATGCAAAGAAACTTAGATATTATCCTAATATACTATTTAAAAATGGCGACATTATGTGCTTTGAAGTTAGACTTTGATGAAGATCTTAATAGTTTACTTACTGGAATATAGAGTTGTTCAAATGAAATTAATTTAATTATAAGACAATTGTGTCTTAATATTGAATTTTAAAATTTGAATCCTACTGAATAGCATACTCTTCTCAGAAAGAGGAAAAAGAATAAATAAAATACAAGGTTGTTTTCAGAACAAAGAATGTTTTTATTAGAAACTTTAAGATATAATTAAGAATATTTAAATGTAATAATTCAATACAAATCTCAATTACAAAGGTATAGTAATTAATTAAACATTGTTTAAAGTATAAAATAATATTTTAATAAAAATTATGGCTTTGCTAGTTTTCTAATAGATGATAGCATACAAAATACTTAAAAAATTATTAAGCCTGTATAATTACCTGTGATTTTAGAATAAGCAAGACAAATAAGTTTAGAAATGTTTAATTTAGATTAATTTTCTCCTTAGATGGATGATGATGATGTTATTGATTTGTTTAATAAGCCTAATAATGACTTTAATATTTTGGATGAAATTCATACTAATCTTAATTACTGCATGTAATATCTATACTTTTAATATTTATAATTGATTGTATGGTTTGATGAATAAAATGTAATGTTCGATTAGAATTGTTAGTAATTCGTTAAACTGCAATTATAAAATATACCAGTCTTTGATAATCTAAAGTGCTAAATATTGCAATTAATGAAATTTGAAGTTCATTAGGATTAGATAAAGTCATATGAAGATTGTGAGTTAGGAAAATATTTGATTTTAAAGATTAGAAAGTGGAATGAATCAAATTTCAATGAGATTTATGATATTATTGATAGTAGCGACTTTTAATATATGTGGGTCCAATTGATGACTCAAAGTCTAATTAATAAAACACTTGTGAATAGACAAATAATCTGTGAATTTTTAGAGTAGGACAAAGATGATATACGATTCATATTGCTAAGGATACGATTGCTAATGTAATTACTACATATGGATGATTATCAATCAACAAATATTATCATAAATTAGAATATACAGAACTATTAGAAACTAAATAGAAAATACGAAGATAAATCAAAGATATTGCAATTGAAAAGTCTCATAAAATAATATAAGTACTAGTATTATTATTTGGAAGAATCGTGGTTTTAACATTTTAGCTTAAGCTAGCTTAGATTGACATATCTGTTGGCAATATGCTATGCATTTTCACCAAAGCATATTGAGAACTTCCATAATTAAAGTTCATTTGAAATAACCTAATTACAAGGTGCTTTAAATTAAATAGAGGAAAACAAATAACAAGAGTCTTTTCATTTAATGTTAAAGGCTGCATAAATCGTGTAATTACATGATTATTGCAACTTGCTCGATGATGAGGCAATAGGATTTGTGAAATATCAACAACTTTACACTTTTATCACTTTAAGTTTGCAATAAGGAGTGGGTTTATAATTCACATTTGAAGCCATAAAAAGAATTGTTAATTACGATATAAACCCATCCATTTTTATTCTATTGTTGATTCAATAGTTTATTAGCTTTTAGTTGATAGATTAAGTGGATATCTTTATTCGTTTAATTTAAAAGATGCAACAAAATAAATCAATGTTATTGGAAGAGGCTCATGAGGGATTTGATATGGATCTCAAAATCTTCACATTCTTCACAAAATCCTAAGATATGAAGATTATTAAGCCATATGACTAGTTATACATTAGATATCCTACTATTTAGTAATACAAGGATCTTCTGTTAGATTCTCAAAGTTTATTTTATTTTTCACTCTATCATGAGAATATAGAAGAACAATAAATTTAAATTAGAACCCAACTTCGATAATTGCTGTTAGATGCTAGATATACAAAGATGATTCAGTTATATGAATCATTACTTTTATACTTTAATATGCAAATTGGCGAAGAAGTAGATTAACTGCATAGCAAGGTTGCAAGATATCAAATAACTGAGAAAACCTTATTTCACGCTATTATTTGTCATTAGTTGAGTCGATATTATGTTTGTAGATATGATTATCAATTAGCTTTTAATTCTTCCAAACATGCACTTAATTATATTAAGTCTTCTCAATTTGAACAAGCAGTTATTATAAAAATTGAAAAAAATATCTTTCATTTTTAAAATAACATTTAAAATGAAGAATTAATGAAATTATTTAATTTACAATTATTTGATTGCATTTACGAGGAATCAGATCAATATTATAATAATGTGATTGATGAAACATTCATCAATGAACAAATTTTGATTCATGTTGAATCAGTTATCAACTTATAGCATCAATTCATATATTAGTAATCCTATCAAACCAATAGAGGTCGATAACAATCATAATATTAGTAAACAAAATAGAATGAATAATAACAAATATTTGAAATTGATATTCAATTGACTGATCTATTGTATTTGTTATAGACATTGCCATTTCGATCTTAGCAATTAAAGGTATTTTATATCATAGCCTAATATCTGTTGTATCATTTAACTACTGAAGGAATTCAAATGGTAGAAATGAACCTGAAAAAGAATTGCAAATAAAGGCTAAAGGAGATTTCTAGTTAGATATCATCGATTAAGCTTATTGTAAGCTAAAAAATTCAGTAGAAGGAATTAACTTAAGAAGAATTTCAAGATGCAGAATTACGAAAGTAATTGCTTTCTTTTGAATAAATCATCTTAAATAGTGTAGAATATGGTATTAACAAAGTAATAATGCTGTCTTGGATTCATTAATCTATTGACAGAGCCCTTGAATTATGTGAATACTTTTAAGATCAATATATGATAAAAGTGCATTATTTCGTACCAAAATTTTAATTACTTCAAATTAGGATGTATTAAGAGGGAGAACAATTAATCAAGTTGATCAATTAAATTAGTTTTGTTAATGATTCCTTAAGAGATTTTTATTCAAACAATTCGCATCCTACAAAAGGAGTACTTTATTATTTGATGGGTCAGTAAAAGAGATGGTTAAAATATCTATATATCAAATATATTGAATAGGTTATTGAATTTCAACAATTCAATATTGATGAATTGAGAGTGATTACCAAAGGTCTGCTTGAGTAAAATCTGAAACTGTATCACATATGGGAAAAATTTGATTCTCCTTACAGATACACCATACCTTAATAATTGGAGGCATTTATTATAGAGGAAGTAGGAAATATCGTAAAAGAGGATAATAATGTTACAGATTTAAAAGTTTTCTAAGCAACTGGAATAGTTGAGGAATTAATTTAATAGTTTTAAAATCAAATAGATGTAAATGGTAATCTAGATTTCATTTATTCTGCCTCTTAATTTGATTATTTCAAGTAAGATAACTTTTACACTCAAGACATCAAATTTATTCAATAATAGGATAAATTAAAATAGCAACAAGAATAAGATTTATAGTAATAGCAGCAATAAGCTGGTCAAAAAAGAAGATGATAAATATATTTAGAATATTTATTAATAATTATTAATTAATAATAATAACACCATTGTCAATATTCTTAATTTTTTATGTGAAATATTACTTTCCAGTCAACTATTATGTTAAGTTTTATGGAAATTGGTATTTCAATTTATTCTATCAAAATCAGAATTTAAGTATCTGAATTAATATTTAAAATCCCTTTATGGGTTTAATATTGATAATTGATTTTTTTCATTTCAAATCAGACTTTGAAACAAAAATTAATTCAAAAAGAAATTGTGAAAATTTATAAGAAAATTTATTCTAGAATATAGGTTATTTATATCTATATAAATATATGATTAATTAAGGTTAAATCTAGATTTTATTATTCTATTGACAACACAATAATATATGTTATTAAGAAAGTTTTTAGTCTTAAAAATATAATTATATCTAGGATACATTAGCAGCCAAATATTACATTATCTAGTCAATAAATACATGTAATTTAAATCTAAATTAGCTTAAAAGATTATATAGTAAGTAATTAAGGACAATGACTTTCATCTTCTAATTTAAATAAAAGATGTTTTATGAAGTTTAATTATTTATATTTCATTTACATTATTAGAATATTTTAGGGTATATTAAAAAATCATAATGATTTATGAAATGTGTATCTAATTTGTAACCCAAACCCAAATTAATCTACTTGATTGTTCGTTACTTCTATGAGCATTATGGATATTTATTAAATTTTATAAAAACACACACTTAGAAAAATTTGAATACGAAATGGAATTCAGATTGGAA